ATCCATATTGATTTTCACTTAAAATTTTGAATTTTGTGACGTATCGAATCATTCTAGTAGATAAAACTTTATCAAAAACCTTTGCTACACTGGATATTATTGATATTGGTCTATAGTTGTTAACATCTGTTTTTGTTCCTGATTTATGTATCGGTATTATATTACCTTTTTTTAAAATTGAGGGATATATGCCAGATTCAAAGCATTTGTTGATTAGGTAAGTGAGTGGTTCTGTTATGTCCTCGGCTATAATTTTCAAATGCTCGCTTTTAATACCATCGAACCCAGGACTTTTCCGATTTTTTAAGGACATAACAGTGGTGTATACTTCACATTGCTCGACTTTATTCAAAATAAATGAGTTCAAAGTTCTTTTTGGAGGCTGAGTATTTTGTACATTTGCTTGTATATTACTTGCTAAATTTTCGCCTATGTCAGTAAAGAATTGTACAAATTCATCGCATATCTGTTGAGTATTTTTTAATACTGTTCCCGATGTTGTATTTAACTCAGTGACACACTCTTTAACTTTTGTTTTCCCAGTAATCTCATCAATAGTTGTCCAAAGCCGCTTAGGATCATTTAAGTTATTATTCAATTTATTTAGGTAATGTTTTCGTTTGGTTTGCCTTACAAGCTCTATAAATTTATTTTTATATTGGTTGTAGCAGTCGGTATTCTCTGTAGTTGGCGTTAGTTTCATTACATTATATAGTCTTTCTTTTTCTATTGGCGATGTTATTAATCCTTTGGTAATCCAGGCATTTCTGCTTTTCTCTTTGTGACTAATTATTACTTTATTGGTACTAATATCTATTATTTTTTTATTTTCTCTATGAACAGTCCCGTTGCTTTGTCTATATTATTTATAGAGTATAATTGTTCCCAGGATTCTTGTTTGACATTTGATATTAGTTTTGAATTGTCGACAAAAAATTTGTAATTTTCCTGGTTGTTACTAACGGTAGGGATGTTAGAATGTTTTTCATTTGAAGATATCAGTAAAATAGTGGAGAAGTGGTCAGTAATATCGCTTTCTAGGATTATTGGTATACAAGTAATTTTGTTGGATAGGTCTTTCACAAAGCAGTGATCTATACATGTGCCACTGATGGACCTTGTAGGTAGGTTTATATAACTTTATTTTGATTTTGAAAAAAAAATTCGATATTCTCTAAAAACTCGTGGGGTTCTGAACATGGCGGACGATAAATTGCAGATACCTCAATTTTGTTATGGTTAATTTGGATCATTATGTTTAAATTTTGATTCCATCGGTGAAAGTGAATGTATCATGATTATATTGCAGTTTATTTCTTACAAAAACTATCACCCCATCGTTTTGGTTATAAGTGCCAAAGTTATACAGCGTGTCATATCCCTGCTGATTGAAGCAAGAAATATCAGCCACTTGCCACGTTTCAGTTAAAACTATTAGATCAAAATTGTACCATATTTGGTCGAGTAGTATTTTTAAGTAATCAATGTTGTGTTTTATACTCCTTATGTTCATATTAAAAATTCGAAATTTTGCATCAGAATTTTGTGTACATAAATTAAGTTTATCGACGTTTTGTGCTATATTTGTTGCAATACTTGGAATTTGGAAATCATTAATGTATTTATTTACTGACATTTTTAGGTCCTCTTTAGTGATAGGAGTAGTAAAAGATGAACTTGAATTTTAAAAAAGTATCCTTAAGTTTTGTTGTTCCTGATAATATTTGTACGATGGACAGTTTTTGTCGGTAGGTGAGTAGTTAAGATTATAATTTTTTTTATATCTTTCATTTCCATATCTACAGTTGCAGCATTCTATTGATACATGCTTACAATTTTCTTCTTCGTGATCGTTGCCACAGTTGGCACATATCTTCTCATTCCTGCAATTCTTTTCTGTATGATTAAAACGGTAGCATTTTCTACACTGAGAAATGTCGTTATTTTGATATACTGTCAAACATTGCCATCCCAGAAGTATTCTTCTATTATTGTCTTCGAAGATTTTTTTGAATAGCTTTCCAGAAGTTTCCGCGTAGATAGTGTAATTATTTCTTGATGGAAAATATTTGATAAACTTTACTTGTATGTCTCCACTCTGAATCATATAATTCTGATGTATAAGATCTTCAATTTGCTTTTCATTCGGTTTCTCACTACTTTTGTAATTTATTATTTTAATTTTTGGATTTAACATTTTCGACTCACTAACTTGGTATTTTTCATTCAATTTATTTTGAAGTTCATCTTTCAGTTTATTATGGTTTGATTCATCAATTTTTATATCAATTCCGCCATTTTTTGAGTTTCTCACACTTTCTATTTGAATGTTCAGAGATGAAAGATTTATTCCCTTACTCAATTCTCTTCTCGTATTATCGCAAGATTGTTTTTCTTTTGGAATAACTGTGATGCATTTCAGTGATTGCCTTTTAGTAATAGGTGTCGTTTGTTTTAAGATTTGTGCGCATGAATTTTCTTTTACTAATTGGTTTTTCTCAACTTCGTCGAGTCTCATAATAATTCTATTTAATGCTGATGCTATGGCATCCTTCTCAGTAATACTTGCGGTTATTGACACTTGCTGCTCTTTTAGTTTTAAATTTTCGTTATTGAGCTGACGAATTATTTCGTCCTTTTCTGCTAGCCTCATGTTTCTGATTTAATACAAAGATTAATTTTGGATGATCAGATATCACTTCCAATCCAATTGTCATCATTGCTAAGTTTAAACAGAAAGTCCATCCTGGAAAAAACGGTTGAATTCACAAAATTAGCTAAGGTGGTGATATAAAGCATCACGTAATACAAATTTAGAAAATCTGTGGCTAATGGAATTCTGTCCAAAGCCAAAATTTTGACACGTGTTAAAAAGAGTCTGTAGTTTTTTAAATCGATCCAGTGACGGTGGAGCAAAAAACGAAAGAAATAAAAACCTCGTTGCCGGATTTAAGCAGCATAAGTTTAATTGAGGGGATTTCAAGATATAGCAACATAATGGTTAAATTATATTAGTAATATGTGTTTCAGATCACAGATAAAAATGAATGCAAGAAATATACTAAGTGACATATAAATCCGAACACCCAGTTTAAATGGTTTTATTTTAATAAAATTTTGTATAAGTACTTAATGAAGCATAATAAGTAAATGATAAAAATTTCAAAATGATTGCACTGCTTTAAAGCCCTTTGACCTTTAATAATGTGTGGATGCACCCTGATGAGCTACGCATTCTCCAACGCGCCTAGGCATGCTTCTGATCAGGTGGTCAATGTCCTCCTGTGATATCTCATTCCAGGCAACCACCAACTCCTCTCGAAGTGCTTTTAGAGTCTGGGGAGGACGTTGCAAATTGAGCAATCTCCTACCCATCATATCCCACACGTGCTCAATTGGGGATAAGTCGGGAGATCTTGGTGGCCATGGTAACAATGTGACATCATTATGTTGAAAGAAGTCTATTGTGACTCTTGCAACATGTGGTCGGGCATTATCTTGTTGGAAAGTTGGATCTGCCAGGGTGTCAAGATAGGGTAAAAGATGGGGTTCTAGAACTTCGTGGATATAACGCTGCGCGTTCATGTTACCTCTGATGAAGATTAAAGGTGACCTGGAACCATAAGCTATAGCACCCCAAACCATAACTCCAACAGTGTGATGAACATGTCTTTCAACAAAAAACTGTGGATTCCTCCTTTTACCACATCGCCTTCTAACCCTGGCACGACCATCGTGCATGCCTAAGCAAAATCGAGACTCGTCACTAAAGACAATACTGTTCCATTCCTGATCCCAGAGTGACCGTTGTCTGCACCACTCAAGGTGATTACGTCGGTGTTCTCGAGTTAAAGGGAGGACCCAGTGTGGCCGGTTTGAAAACAAGCCAAAACTTCTCATTCGTCGGTAAACACTTCGCATGCCAATAGGTCTTCCGTGTTCTGCAAACCATTCATTTCCAGTGGACCTGGTAGTGGAGAAACGGTCCCTTAAGGCCAATAATCTTAGGCGGCGATCTTCACGGTCTGTTGTTCTACGGCGGCGTCCGATCGTAAAGGATGTCAAGATCCAAAATCCGCCAACGTTGATTCTTTACTGCGGCTGAAATATTCATTTTTAGAGCGTTAGTGAATTAAAAAAAAAACAGTATAAAAACCGGAATGTCCAACTGATAAGGCTGAAAATTTTTTCACTTGTTATTTACAGTAAGATAAATACATTCACCAACTTTTATTAAAATAAAACCATTTAAACTGGGTGTTCGGATTTATATGTCACTTAGTATAGTTCTGTTCGTTTTGTGCTCACTTGTCCTTGGTTCTATGATTCTAAACTTATTAATTTCTTGTCCGGCTTGGACACAAATATTACAGAAACTTTTCTATGAAAAAAAATACAAAATTTTGAACTTTTGGGGTTAGCTGTACGTCAAAATAAAAAAAAATAAGTAACATGTCCTGACCATATAGTAGGAGAAACCATAGAAATATTTTTCATGCTGTAAAAACGACCACGAAATTTGACGTGGTGCTTTGACAGTGTTGCCATATTGGAGGATTTTTCTCCAATATGGCGTCCTTGGGAAAAACCACACGTTTTGCATATCCTTGCTCTTTGAATCAAACTTATACTTTTCCATTAAAAACTGTGATTTGGGTTTTTATTTTTTAAATTAGCAATTTGGGGGGATTTTTGTGCTTATTATGTCCGACCCATCTCACAACGCTGTGTCTTGCGCTTGAATCTGCAGGTATCTGCTCTTTGATAAGACTCAATTTTTATGAATAGTAAATAATAGTAGAACATATTAAGCAGGGTTGCTGGTACTCGCTTCGATCACTGCGCCCTCAGTCAGGCGTCAAGTTTTGAGGTCGTACTTGGTCAACTTTAGTTGTCATAAAAACATCCGTTATTTGCTGTCGCTATCAAAAATAACTTAAGGGAAAGCTTAACGATTCGTTATTTTTGTTTTGTATTGTAAGTGTATTTTATATTTGTTTCAGGTGTAACAAAGCATGTGGGCGACGCACTCCTGTTGGAAAGATCTCAACGCACCGGAAGGGTGAACACTTTAGGCATCGCCCCATGGGGCATCGTAGAAAATAATCAAGACCTCATCGGTCACAATACAGAAGTACCATATCATTCCATATCATCTCCAAGGTAAATTATTTTCAATTCACACTGAAATCCATTCGATAGTTTTTGTTGTACAAAAATATTCATATGGCCGGTGCTGTTTCCCGATATCTTTTGTATACGTATGAATCGTTCCAATTGTCAGGAACACAAGCGATTCGGTAGAATCGTTATTCTTGTTGTCCAAAAAAAAACAAAACGCTGCACACTTTAGATAAGGTTTCTGTTAGTCCAGGAAGTATCTTAGCATAGGCGCGTCCGTCAGCTACATCTCTGTCACGCTCACGCAAAATATACATTAGGGCACGCTGGATTACCAACTGAAAAAAATGGTGTTAAGTAGGTTGACTCTGCAATTTTCACGTAACGCCTTCATCACTTCACTTTATGGATTATGTTCAGCTCAAGTTAGACCCTGTGAGAAAAAAGTTAGTTACGAACATGTATAACAGAGAAATTGAACGGAACAAGTCAGTCTAAATGGCCCATACAATTAGTCAATATACACCCACAACGACAATAACGCCAAAACATTTATCAAGATCGGTACACCCACCGGTGCATCATGAAAGCAGAAGACATGTAAGGAAAAATCTGTGAAATGTGAAATATATCTAATATGTGCGTAGAATTACCGGGGTTGGGATCGTATAAATATACTAAGGTTGAGATATACCCTCCCCGACCCCAACCCCCAATCTTTAATCCCTACAAAAATTGTTCTGAAGTTGATCAGGACCCTCTGAAACATCAAAAAACGAAGTTCTAGCAACATCATTTTTTTTTCGTTTCTTTTCTCGTAGCTGCACCGCCACTGGACCGATTTTCAAAAACTACTTTTTTCGTCTTCGGCATAGTAGTAATCTTATGTGAAAATTTCAGCCCAGAGAGTCAGGCAGGTAGACAGACTAAAAGACAGACCAACCGACCGACAGGCAAACAGTGATTACAATACATCCTCGCGAGTTGGCCAGTAGGCATGGGAAGTAAAACGATGCTCCCTGCAATGTTTTGAGAGCGAAAAAAAACAATTTTTGAAGTTGAAAATATTGGTTAAACAACGCTTAACGTAATTTTGGGTCGGTAATATGCAGATTCGTTTGAAGAGGTCTTTTTTTAGTGAGATTATTTAAAGAAACTGATTATAATACTTTTTTCGAACAGATGCGATGATACTTCCTGGACTATGCTGTTAAAAACCTTGTTTTATGTACGTTACAGGGATGCTCGATTTTTGCTCTCGCTGTAATTTATGAACGTTTCCGAAGGAGTTGTCCTCCTTCTCTCAACCCCACGAAATTATATGGAGAGTTTTTTTTATAAAAATCTACTATACCAGAGTTCCCCAAACTTTTTTGTGTCGTAGACCCCTTGCCATGTTTTTCCGTGTTGGGTAGACCCCCTACTTACCTGATATTGATTTCCTGCAAATTTCTAACTGTAGTGAAGTTTAGTGTTAAAAACTTAAAGTAAAAACACATGTTAATTCATACATTTATTAATTGAATTTAAATTAAAACTACTCAAAATAAAATTTTGTATCTGTTATGTAAAATATACGTAACATTAAATAAACAGGTGTCTGACCAATAAGTGCCCGCATTGGGAATAAGTGCCCGCATTGAAAAAAAATAAAAGGGATAAAAAAAAGTGAAAAATAATAAAAAAAAAGTTTTTTACTTAAAATAGTACAATAAGCGAGTTCGTTTATTAATTATAACATAAACGTATATTCTACAATAATTTCACTGTTAGTTTGATTAAATTCCGCTTCTTATACGTTTAAGTTATCTAAAAGTAGGCAAAAAATTAACGAATTTTATAGTGTACCTATCCTTGAATTTTCAGAATAATTTAAACAAAAATATTTTCTATAAAGGGGGGTTCTTTAAAAAAATCAATGCGGGCACTTATTCCCAATGCGGGCATTTACTGCTCAGACACCAATAAACATAAAATAAACTATAAATAAAATAACATAAGCAATAAGTCAATATTTTTAGTGAGAAGGATGAACCTGATGCTTTAATAATAAATTATCAACATTTGGCGTCAATTTTGTAAGGGTTAATCTTAAATCTCCTCGGCTAATGATCTCCACTCTGTTTCTTTTTTTCGTTAGGAGATTGGTAACAGCGCTGAACCCCCTTTCCACTAGGTATGACGATGGAATGGAAATTAAAAATGTCCTCGCTATATTCCATAATACGGGATAAGTAACGGGTATGTTGTTTTGCAGCCAGAATTGCTGATATCCGTTTTTAAACTGAATCTTAAGTTCTTCGTTTGTACTTAGTTCAGTCAGTTCCTCTTGTATTATGACATTCGTTCTTCTATGTCACCATATGGATTAATTATCCACGGTGGTATTACCATAGTCAAAATATCCTCAAACCTAGATTCACAATCTGAATAGAGGGCATTTAAATGTTGAACGTAAGTTGAAACGTCGTCTTCCTGGCAGCTTGTCTGTGACAAATTGGGGAACTGAGAAAATTCGCCCCGTCCAATATTTTGCTTCATTAGTTTAACTCTGGCAAGAAACGCTGAATTGCAAATTAACCATATTACATTTTGTAAACAAATCTGTTAAATAGGCGATGTCTGTTTTCCTCTTCATCAAATTTTCTTTTAAAATTTTATCTTTAGTATCCAGAAATTCTAAAATAGTCTCAAAAAGTGCAAAAAATCTTGTCAAAGATAAGCCTTTCGTTAGCCAGCGTACTTCAGTGTGAAGGGGTAATTGATGAAAGTGTTCGTCATTTTCTTCACACAACTGCGCAAATAACCGCGTATTCAACGCGTTGCTTCGGATTCGGTTTACTGCATCAATGACTAAATGAAGTGATTCATGCAATCTAACACTCAAATCTTTAACAACTAAATGTTGTCGATGGATGACGCAATGTATTGCTAACACCCCTGACACATTTTGTTTTAAATAGCTTATAAATCCACGATAACGTCCAACCATGGCAGGTGCTCCATCTGTAGCTACTGATTTTATATTTGATAAAGGAATTGCTTTTTCAATGAAGTAATGCTTCAAAACATGAAATATTGATTCACCTTTAGTTTCGGTTATCAAAGTTCTTGCGAAGAGCAGTTCTTCGTAGATTTCTTGATTCATAATAAAACGAAGATATGCCAATAATAATGCTGCACTATCAGGTAAAGTTGACTCGTCCAGTTGTATAGAGAAATGGGTCGGTTGCAAATAATTACATAAGAAGCTTTCAATATCAGAACTCATTTCATCAATACGTCTTTCAACAGTATTGTTGTTGCTTAAGGGAATTCTTTTAATGATATCAGATCCAGGTTTGTGTAAAACAGTTTTTAAAACCTCTTCAACGGCTGGCAAAATTAACTTATCTCCGATAGTATGCGGTTTTCCGGATTTTGCTATAAGTAACGAGATATTGTAAGTCGCCCGCAAACCATCATCATTTCTTTGTGACGTCGAAGCGAACATTCTGTCCAGTGTAGGTCTCTTCTGAAATTTATCTTTGAGTGTTTGAAAGTATTTCAAATCTTTCTCTGTTTTATCAGGGTGGCATCTTCTCAGATGATCTTGCAGTTTCATGGTTTCATAGCGTCATTGCACAAAACTTTGTTGCATAAAAGGCACATAGGCGATTGTTTGTCCGGCAATGATGGAATGAAGCCAAATTTCAAATAATCAACACTGTACTGTCTACATTTCTTTTAGATTCGGACATGGCATCAGTCATCTGTGGGCAAAATTAAATTATTTAAATAAGACAGAAAATCCAGCAGCTGTATATTAAAAATATTTTTTGATATTTCCGAAAACATTCCATAATTCGAACATCTTCTTGCAACAATTAGCTCGAATTACGGGGATTGCACTGTAATTATATCACCGATTGCTAAAACTTTCAAAAAGAAACTATTGAGGAGTACTCGTGTAATTTTGCATGATTGAATATTTAACTACTAATAACTAAAGTCATGATTGGCGTAATTTATCTATCTTTGCTAACTACGAGTACAAAACTAAAATTTAATAAAAAATAATTTACTTACTTTTCTCCAGCACTCTCAAACAAAATAACACTGACTCACTATAATTTGTGTGATATACTATCTGTTTATATTTTTTAAAATATTTTCTTAGCACTTTCCTTTTCAAGATTCAGGAAACGAATAAACGTATTTGTCCCACATTCGTTTTTATAGAGTGACGAATTGAACAAGTCAGTGCAAGGTAGCGACGCTCTGAGACTGCGACTCTCAGGTTTTTACAAGTTCAAAATGTATTGCGACCACAAAGCGAATACCAACATCCTACAACTTACACAATTTTATAAACATATATAATAAATTTTTTACTTCATAGGTACTTTTATAAATAATGTATATGTTTTGATATTATAAGATAGTATGATGTAAGTTAATAGGTACTATCAGTGTATGTGTTGAGATCCACTGTCGTGGACCCCCAAATTTTTTTCGCTGGCGTAGACCCCTTGCAGGTTGTGATAGACCCCTAGGGGTCGATATAGACCACTTTGGGAATCAATGTACTATTCCAAAGTTGTACATATTCTCCCCCATGAGAAAATAGAACATGATATGGGTATCAAATGAAACAACTTGATGAGAGAAACCCAATAAGCAAACCTCTATAATATGGGCATCAGATGAAAGTGCTTGAGAGAAACACAATAAGCGGTGTAGTCATTTCAAAAATCAAATATGTCGACAGCCGCAGGAACGCGTTTATAATCTCTATAGTTACCTCTATGATATGGCCATCGACTTAAGTGGCTTGTTAAGAGAGATACAGTAAGCAAAATGACGTCATTCTAAATTCAATATGGCGGCAACATTATGGATATCAAATGATGAAAGAAACACAATAAGCAAAGTGACGTCATTCTAGTGCAATATAGCGGACGTTCATTATGACAATTTATTGACAATGCAGTATTATGATGACATGGAGATGATCCGATGATGCAGCCAGGACATGGTCATGAGAACCCATCGAATAGAGCTGCTCCTGAGCCCTAATGACAAGTACTCTATAATAACTATATCAAATTTTAACTCATTATTTGGGCAAGAATACTTAATAGTACTTCTGCCGTATTTACAAGAATTTGTTATATTTTTATGTTTTTTTTAATGCATCATATCATGCATTTCTTAAAATGTACATACATATAAATAATTATTTTTGCCTTATATGAATTATTCTAGTTTTTTCACACACTCTTATTTGTATTATCTGTTTCAATTTGGCATGATGTTATTGATTTTCTCATAAAATTAACTCGCTTTTTGTATGTATAAACTCTCGCTATTTTCTCACTACTTTTCTTTCTCACTTAAATTCTTGCTTTCAATAAACACATTTCATGCGAATCGACAAGACTAAAACGGGCATGAACGTAGCCCTCCTTAGTTACAAAAGCAAACTAAAACCCTTGTTCTCTATCCCGAAAAACTCATTTTTAGTTAGCGAAAAATCTGTGTAACAGAACTACCTATACTCCCTTATATACTCCCACTGATTTCTTGTCATATATACATATACGCGGCGACTGTTATGTGGGCTTGTTACCATTTTTTGTTTTGGTTATTCACTTCTCACTCGTTAGTAGCCGTTTTGGTTACCGGCTGTAGTATGCTGGCAATTAAACATGGATGAGTGTCGCCGCGTAATCGATCAACTACTCGAAAAGTCATTCTCCTTGTATAAGTTTTAAGAAAAAAAGGAGATCACTGAAAATGGAAGACCAACGCCTACTTTAGATAATTTTAAAAAGGAATAAAAAACGTAGTTAGATATTTTAAATTAAGTTGGTATATGGGAACTCTTGTTTATGTGGTTGTAAAAAAACAAATTGTATGGTTGGCGATGTCTTCTATTTTAATCGGAATAAAATGCAGCGGAGTCAACGATTTAAATAGTTTTAGGGCTCTAAAGAGGAGACATGAAATTTCTCCATTACACGTGAGATGTGTAGCCAGTTTAATTCAGTTTGGCAAAACAAGAATCAAAAGTTGTCTTAACCAAGCTTTTAGGCAGCACAATTCTAGATACTGTATGTTTTTTGGCAAAACAGGAATTACCGTTTATTTTGAAGAGGATGACTCTGACAATAGAGGAAATTACAGGGAATTGTTAAGATTCATTGCCAAAAAAGATCAAAAATTTTCCGAACATCTAGAAACGTCGACTGTTTTTTCGGACGGCTTGGATTAGTCATAGAATAAGACGATGAGGTAAATCAACTGCCCCAGACACTCAGTCCAGGAATGTTTACCTTAATTTATAAATAGTTTAAATAAAATAACTAAAATAAGCAAAAACATATTTGGGAGGTTCAAAATAAACTTTTTTAATAAGATTTTTCACATCTGGTTTTGGTAACAGTTTAGGAAGAGTCACGCGTCGCCACTGAGATCTAGTATTGCAGCATTTCGGAAGCTCAGTAACAATGTACTTTCTAGTTCATTTCGGTAACTAGTTCAATAGGTCGCACTCACCAAAGCGAACTAGTTCTAGGAACTAGTTCGCGAGCGAACTATTTCACACAAGAATAATGTCGCCTCTCAATTTTTCATCCAATCGCCGAATTAAGCAGCGTCTGGCGCGGTTAGTATTTGGATGGGTAACCACTTCGGAACAACTAATTTTTTTTTGTTGCATTTTTTTTCTTAAGATGACTGTTTCGAATTTGAATACTGGTGGTAGATGAGATATACACGTTTTCTAACAATCTTAAATAATGTACATTTTGGTTTTTTGAATTCACCAGTTCAAAAGGTTTTCAATAAATAATAATACAAACCTAGAGGCAACCCTAGGTATGTAGATATCCTTCTTTTGCAAAAACGGTCTTTCAGTATCCCAGACAAAAGCCAAGCGGAAAAAGAACTAAAGAAGACGAAAAGAGTAACAGACGTTTTGTACTATTCTGACCTGAGATAAAACGTCTTTGCGCAGTTTAAAATCCAGTCGTAGCAGGCATTGTCGAACGAGATACAATCATGAACCGCTTTTACCCCTGAAGTGGAGCCAGGAACGAGCAAAATCCACCCCCAGATTAGTTGAGATGGTTAAAAACCGTTTTTATAGAGTTGAAAAATAAATTTTTAAATTTTCAGTTAATTTATATTTTCATTTTAATATTGCTTCAATTTCTTCAGGGGCCTCAATGGGTGATCTTTTTTATAAGAGTATCTGATTTTTAATGTCTCAGCCTTTATAAACAGCATTTATAATCTTTTTCATAACTCTCAGTTATACAACCTTCTGCTTACGATTGTCCTTTGTATCCTATCTCGTTCTCGTTCGTTTACTCACAACTAGTTTGATTGGATCATCGGGATCCTGGAACACCAGTCATTCGGACTGAACGAGTGAATTAGTTTTCTAAGGAGTTCAATCATAAGAATCCTTCGAATGAACTAGTTCATTCGTGAAATACACACCTTTAAAGCTCAGTAGTCCTTAAATAACAAAATGGTTCATTTTATATTCAATCCATATATTGTTTCCATTTCACATTATTGATTTGAGTAACTTCAGTGTGGCGCTTGAGAAAGTACAGCACACTCCATTATATCAAAAGCACTGATAGTCCAATCTTGGCTAGCACCTTCGTTGTAGTTCCTCAAAAATTCTGTCTGCAGTGCAACGAGTACCAACCTCAAAGCTCCGTTCGGTTGTTGTATCCATTTCAATGCCAAAACTCTCATTAGAACTTTGCAGTCCTTTTGCCTCTCATCACTGCTCATTGACACCGTCATTGGTACCAGGATTTTGATGTCTTCAGGTTTGAGTCTGATTATCGCCCTTTGGCCTTTGGTTAGTCTTGTCCTCATGTCAAGTTCCAATTTGATCCTGGCCGCAGTGGTGAGAAGCTCATCTAACTGCTCGGGTTTGTCGTCAGCGATTATCTCTGAAAATCAAATCCCGTTTATAATCCAGGATGAATAGTCTAATCGTATTAGACAAATATTCCTCTGGTTTGACCACACACAAGATCAGACTGAGAGCAAGAAGGTTATGGCCGAAAACCTAGTCGAAATGCATCGATAGTGTCATGCAGATACTTGAAATTCTTCATGTCCGTAGTGTTTATACTTACAATATAACCACGGTATAATTGGAGTAGATTGGTCAAGTACTTTAAGAGAATTTCTAATTGTTCATCCCAGAACACCTGTTTTCTGGCCATCACTACTAGTTTGTTGAGCAATATACAATGTTTGTTCAAGGGTGACTTGTAATGTCACGTATTCCTGTTAAAGGGTGATAGATTATGTCAAAAGCAACCGATTTTGTCCTATAATGTCCTATCCAGAAGTTAACAGTTTTTGAGTTTATTGATTTTTATTTTTTATTCCGATTTCAGACAGTTAAATTTGAAATACAAAAAAACTACATGTTTGATTTTGAGTTTTTTGTTATCGTCGCATAGCGGACATTCCAATAGTTCATAATAAGTAATAAAATGTTGAAAACTTACAACAGTTTTAAAATTACGCTTTTGAAATGTATGATTTTCTTATTTTCTGTAAAAAACCTCCTAGTAATGAAATATGCAAATTATGTAAATAATATCTCTATCTAATAAGCTTTCATTTGAGGTATAAAAGTTACAACTAACTCAAGTACAAAGAAATTAAAAAAAGATGAGTAAAGTTGTACGAACGATAATTACGTAGGATAAACAAAATGCTTTCATTTTAATTACAGTTTTATTTAATTACATTTTCTTTAGTATTTTACAGATTCTGCTCAAATTGTAATCCCCTGTTACGAATACACGCCAGCATTCTCTTACGTAATTCACTTTTGGTAACTCTAGTTGTTAAGCGGATTTTTATTTGGTCAGCTACACTGATTATCCTTGTAATTAATTCATCGCGCGTTGGTTTGGGCGAAACATCGTACACCAGGCTTTTCATATGTCCCCACATATAGTAATCCATCGGTGTGAGATCTGGGCTTCTTGCTGGCCAGGCAATGAGCCCGCCTCTGCCAATCCATTGATTTGGAAATTTAGAGTCTAAATACGCCCGTACTAATCTACTGTAGTGTGCGGGACAGCCGTCGTGCTGGAACCGCATATTTTGTCTCGTCGCCAATGGGACGTCTTCCATTAATGGAAACAAGTGATTTTTCAAGAACTCTTCATACACTTCTCCATTTAAATTGGCGGGCAGACAATGAGGTCCAATTAAATATCCATCAATGATGCCCATCCCCACATTGACTGAAAACCGGCTCTGAGACCCCGTCGGTCTTATTTTTCGGGGGTTTAAAGCTTCTTTATCAGCCCAGTAATGAGCATTATGGTAGTCCTTATCAAACTTCGATTCATCGGTCCACAGAATTGTCTTAAAATAGTCTGGATCTTCTGTATCTGCATGTAACATGTACCTGCAGAAATCTAATCGTCTTGCAGGATCGCCCTCTTCAATCACATGCACAGGCGTGTAGTGATAAGGGTATAATCTTGCAGTATGAACAGTAAACCATACTTTGTATTGTGATATACCCAACTGAACAGCCACAATGCGCGTAGACGTAGTAGGGTCTTCCTGAAACACACGAAGGATTTCCTCTTCATCTTCAGGAGGATAGACTCGAGGTCGACCAGCATCACTATGTTGCCTTTGAACACGTCCGGTTTGTCGGATGCGCGGATACACAGAGTTAAACACAGTAACATGAAGTGTACGGCGATTCGGGAAACGTTGCCGATATTCACGGCGGGCAGCTGCAGAATCGCCATTACAAAGTCCATAACGGAACATTATGTCTGCGTATTCTTCATTTGTAAAAGTTTGCCCGTGCTCGCTATGGCGAGGTCCTGGCGGATCTTCTGCGTCTGCCATGATGATAAAGAAACTACTCTAAATGAACTGGGAAACTCGAAAATAATAATCGTGCGTAAAACGTGTGCGCGTACGCAGTAGTTGATATCAACCAAACCTAATTCTCACACGCCGTGCGGCGATGGCGTAACTACAATGATGAATAATAACAGCTCTCTCTCTCTCTCTCACTCGTCCACTAAGTCAACTCTTCTCGCTCGCTTCCTTGTCGAGTTGATGCCATAAAACAATCATGGCATGCGAGTCCTTTGAGGGCAGTAAGGACTTGTTCAAACAGGTAATACAAATTCCTTAAAAATCTAGGCTCTGTGGGTGTCATTGTTGTTTCTCTGCATGTACTTCAGATAATTGAACGCTTAATACCTCAAATGAAAGCTTTTTAGATAGAGATATTATTTACATAATTTGCACATTTCATTACTAGGAGATTTTTTACAGAAAATTGCATTTTATCGAATAAGTTAGTAAAAAAAAAGAAAATGATACATTTAAAAAGCGTAATATCAAAACGTTTGTAGCTTTTCAACATTTTATTACTTATTACTATTGGAATGTCTGCTATGCGACGATAACAAAAAACTCAAAATCAAGCATGCAGTTTTTTTGTATTTCAATTTTAACCGTCTGAAATCGGAATAAAAAATAAAAAACTTAAAATTCAAATAACACAAAAACGGTTAACTTTTGGATAAGACATAATAGGAGAAAATCGGTTGCTTTTGACCTAATCTGTCACCCCTTAACAGGAATACATCACATACGAGTTTACCCGGTTTACCTCGCCTATATGAGTCACAAACCATTTCGAAAGATAAATGCTATTTTTATGCCAAAAGCTAAGGGTATCGTTTTTTTTTCCTATAAACAGACTAAAACATTTCGTATTTGTGAGTAATAGAACAGAAAACACATTTTAAAACAAAGCGGACGTGACTCTCACCGTTTGTTGGGAAGAAAACATTTTCTTTCAAGCTTTTTTCATTCTCTTTTGAATATACAGGGTGTAAACGTTATGATAGTCATTATTTAAATGGGTGATAGAGGGGGTTAGAAGAAGCAAAAAGTTTCATATAACATGGGGGTCAAAACGGCATTTTTTAGAGAAAAGCGACGTTAAAGTAAAATAAAATCTGACAACGCCGCAATGCCAGATGCAAATTACGACGGAACGCAGTGTAAATAAAGATGGAGTTTGTTATTTTTGGCTCTTAGGTATTATTTCATTATTTGATAATGTACTCGTAAAATACAAACAATTAAAAAAACGGACTTACCACTAACTGTCGCGCTTCACCTGGTATATGAAAGTTTATTGAACGTATTCAAAAAATCCACTTATAAATAGGGAACACAATTTTGATACATATATTGCTTTTCTTTTTAAAACCCACACTGCACTTTTTTGTATTTAAAGGTGTTCAAAATGACGTCCTCCACTTTCCATACAAGCTTCATTACGACGAACCCAGTTTCTTCTTACGCTAGGTCCATTTATTATTTCAGCCGCATTAAGAATTTTTTCGCGAAGTTGTGCTTCAGTTATTATTGGACCAGCCCCATAAACCATCCCTTTAAGTTCTCCCCAATACCAGAAATCCATCGGATTGAGGTCAGGAGATCTTGCTGGCCATTTTCGAGGATCAGGAGCATTTCGACCGATCCAGCTAAAGGATAATGTTCACTCAAATACTGAATGACGCCGCTAAAAATGTATGGTGGTGCCCCGTCATGAAGAAACCACAAATTCTGTCTCCGTTGTAATGGCAACAAGATAACAAGGTCTTCACTCGTTGACATGGTAGGGATAAAGCATTTTTTCCCGTAGGATTCTATGGACTATGGTATGCGATAGTCCTACGCGGCGGCCTAATTCCCGACTGCTGATATCTGCATTGATTTCCACGATTTTAAAAATTTGTTCCTCCTGCTCTTCAGTAACCTGTCTTTCACGAGTGCGAATATTAGTGGCCTGAACACTTCCTGTATCTCGTACACTTGCACAAATGTCCTTCTGCCTGGGTGTACCCGTTGGCCAAATCTGTCGCGATAAATTTGAGCTGCAAGATTTGAATTCTGACGAGTTTCACCGTAAACTAACAACATGTCGGCGAACTCTTGATTCGAGAACATTGTAAATAAACACGACGACGTACGCGTACAAAAACAAAACAACACGTCCGATGCTCTACTCGACAAAACGATAAAGTAATTTATCTATGCAAAACGATAACTAACCACTGTTACCGTTTGCGATCGATTGCCGGTTCGATAAGAGTGATGAAAGACCGACGCGCTGTTGTCATGTGTGTTTTAAATATTTAATTTAATGAAACTTACTTACTGACTACAAATTTTTGCTTAACTTAGAAAAACTTAATGCCATTTATTTGTTAATTTCAAAAAGTTTTAGATTAGATTATAAAAATTAGTAAGATTGTGGTGATTGTGGTCGATATAAAGCACTTAAACCATAACGTTTACACCCTGTATATTTAGAACTCAATTTTTTACACGATCTCAAATGCGCCTTAAAGTTTATGAACAAAATAATTTCATATTGAAATGCACTGAATTGTTTATAAAGTTAGCACGAGAACTGAAGACATTTATGTTTCAAACTGCCTTAGCCTAGTTAATATCTAGCTCGAGCTACATGGCTACATTATTGATGGCTACATGACTTTGTGAAATAAGTAGGTCACGTAGTTTATTACGCAGAAATATAATTCCCTGGACTTTCTTCTAAAAGTTTTAATGTTTTCGAAATCTCGTGCCATTAAAACGACTGCGAGTTCAAAGTGTTGGAAAATAAACTTGAGAAAACGAAAAAACAGTAGAGGGATATCAACCAATAGTAATGTTTGAAAAATTAGGCAAAATGCTCCGTTTTACTCCTTAATACATCGTTTGAAGTTTCAGCATTGTATCTTGTATAGTTTTCAAGGTTATTCTAATTGTTTATAACAGATTAGGTGTGCCATCAACGTTAACTTAACAGTTTTTTGTTTTAAATACCACTTTGAACAACTTACATCAATAAAACCAGACTTTACAATTATTTCGAGGAAAATTGAATATTTTTTTTCTATGCGACGATGCGAAGACGGTAAAAGATCATTTTTTTCGAGAAAATATGGATTTGAAGATTTCTATGCGGCAAACTATGTGAATATTTGCAGTCGAGTTATTCAAAAGAAGAACAAGTCTGGATATTTCAGTTGAGATATGCAGAAAACTGAGAAAATATCCTGAAACCTACAATCTGATAAGCAAGAGTTTTGACTTAACTTAGCATGTCCCATTTTCAACAGCCTGTCTGTACGAGTATTCTCAATACTTTTCATCTGATTGTTTCATGTTGAGTATAGAGATGACTGAAAAAGCAATGTTATCACTTTCTTCAATGTCAAAAATGCATGTTTATGCATTTTCTCTTAAATCGTAACTTGTTGTAATAGTACAGATCTAAAGTTGTACGTGAATATTCCACTTTTATGGAAAAAGAATCAGGTGATTACTTTTTTTGTTATAACTTTCGCTATTCAAAAAATCTTAGCTTTTCTTGAAAACTCAATTTGCAGCAAAATCAAAGATTTTTCAAGGAGAGAAAGTAATATGGATAATAGTAATTGAATGAATTCTAATTAATCATCTCATTATGTTTAAAAGTAGAATTTTGACATACAATTTCAGAACAGTAGCAATATTTGTTAACAAGTTACGACTGAAGGAAAGATACACAATTAAATGCAAAAGGATTTAGAAGACTGCTGCTACTGGCAGAAAAAAAGACATGCTATCTTAAGGATGACCAATACATATGTTCCGATGTTAATCAACGTGTGTACATAGATCCGTTGTTCTATCAATTTTTTTTTATTTCCTGAAGTTAAACATGACTTTTGAGATAAGGGCTCAATGTACAGACAACCTTTTTGTGAAAATGTAAAGTTTTAGTTCCATCATAAGCTATTTGTTTTATGAGTTCTAAAACTTGTTTAGATACTTATCTTGGAAATACAAAAAAGAATGAGTTAGCGTGGAAGACCATTCTTTGGATTTGTCCTAGAAAAAATTTTCAGTACAAAGTATCAGTCACAAAACATTTGGGATTTGACAACCGGGCAATTTTGATGAAAATTCGTATAATCGTAGTTCATGTTCCAATGGGAACAGAAATGCTTTCTGTTGGAGATACAGGGTGTTAAAGTTTGGTGCCTTAGTAGTAACCTGTCTGCACCTATTTACAAAAACCAACTCGTCTTTATTCGATACGATATAATAAAAATTACGTAAAACTGTACAATAAATACAGAGTGACCCAACGAAATCGGAACGTAGTTTAATATAAAAGATATAAAATATATTCGGAAACGATTTAACATCATGGACATCTTATAGGTGTGTATTTTTAAATCATTTGGAGATATGCAGGGTATTGCACAATTCCGTGAAACAACAAAAAACATTTTTTTATAAATTATAATATGTCTTATTATGTATAATAGAAAAAACTTATCAAAACGCGAATCTGTGTAAACATATATTGGATGTTCCATATACATTTTTTTGAGAAACCGACGTTTTGCGTTTTGCAGCACCTTGTTAAAGCTAGCGTACTTTTTCATTTTCTTTGCAAAATGACAATCAAAGCCTTCAAGAATGCACATTTTTTTCAAACAAATGACAAATTAACTAAACAAGTGACAAAATCCTACTGTACAGTACATCAACCTTCTTGTTGTCGAAAGGCCTTTCCAAATATCTAATATTATATAGGATATTCCTTTATATTTCCAAATAATTTAGAGATATACACCTATAAAATTTGTACCGCACACCGTTTTCATATGTTACATAGTTCTATTATACAACTTTCCATCTTCCTTGGGACACCCTGTATATACTGAAAGTGTTCCCGGGATTCTTATTGTATTCTTAAGCTCCCTAAGTACATTAAGGACGAGTAAGTTTTCGATAAATTGTGCAGGCGAGCGTACCCACAGAGGCTAAGTTATTGAATATTTTTATCTAGGTCTTTTCCCGATGAGAAACTTTAAAAGCAGCAAAGCTTTGGAACTGGGGATTATCCGACTCCTCCACTAAAAAAATTTAATCGCCCCCAAAAATCATAGAGTTGCAAAATGAAAAAATAATATTTTGTGAACTATCTGATATTTTTCTGTTCGCTACCACTGAACCGATTTTCAAACGTAAAATAGCACTACTTGCTATTACCTCACATAGTATATTGTCATTCTCGCACACTCGATTATGTCAAGTTATACGAGGTCTGTAAATTTAGTGATGAGAGTGATTTTTTTAAATTTTTTGTTCAAATATACTAAGTGACATATATCCGAACACCCAGTTTAAATGGTTTTATTTTAATAAAATTTTGTATAAGTACTTAATGAAGCATAATAAGTAAATGATAAAAATTTCAAAATGATTGCACTGATTTAAAGCCCTTTGACCTCCAACGCGCCTAGGCATGCTTCTGATCAGGTGGTCAATGTCCTCCTGTGGTATCTCATTCCAGGCAACCACCAACTCCTCTCGAAGTGCTTCTAGAGTCTGAGGAGGACGTTGCAAATTGAGCAATCTCCGACCCATCATATCCCACACGTGCTCAATTGGGGATAAGTCGGGAGATCTTGGTGGCCATGGTAACAATGTGACATCATTATGTTGAAAGAAGTCTATTGTGACTCTTGCAACATGTGGTCGGGCATTATCTATTTGGAAAGTTGGATCTGCCAGGGTGTCAAGATAGGATAAAAGATGGGGTTCTAGAACTAAAGGTGACCTGGAACCATAAGCTATAGCACCCCAAACCATAACTCCAAGAGTGTGTGTGTGTGTCTTTCAACAAAAAACTGTGGATTCCTCCTTTCACCACGTCGCCTTCTAACCCTGGCACGACCATCGTGCATGCCTAAACAAAATCGAGACTCGTCACTAAAGACAATACTGTTCCATTCCTGATCCCAGAGTGACCCTTGTCTGCACCACTCAAGGCGATTACGTCGGTGTTCTCGAGTTAAAGGGAGGACCCAGTGTGGCCGGTATGAGAACAAGCCAAAACTTCTCATTCGTCGGTAAACACTTGGCATGCCAATAGGTCTTCCGTGTTCTGCAAACCATTCATTTGCAATGGACCTGGTAGTGGAGAAACGGTCCCTTAAGGCCAATAATCTTAGGCGGCGATCTTCACGGTCTGTTGTTCTACGGCGGCGTCCAGTGCCCCTTGCACTCTGTGTACGGCCTTCTCGAAGCCATGCCTGACAACACCTAACCACAGTGTCTACACTTCTTTGCACTCTAACTGCAATTGCCCGAAAAGAAAGTCCAGCTTCCCGAAGTCCCACTATACGGCCACTATCAAACTCACTAAGTTGACGAAGTCGTACAGGTCTCCGTACTCTAGGCATCGTAACCGATCGTAAAGGATGTCAAGAACCAAAATCCGCCAAACGTTGATTCTTTACTGCGGCTGAAATATTCATTTTTAGAGCGTTAGTGAATTAAAAAAAAGCAGTATGAAAACCGGAATGTCCAACTGATAAGGCTGAACATTTTTTCACTTGTTATTTACAGTAAGATAAATACATTCACCAACTTTTATTAAAATAAAACCATTTAAACTGGGTGTTCGGATTTATATGTCACTTAGTATATAATTACAATTTTTTATTGTCACCCTCGAAATGACTACAGGCGTTTGAATATTTTCGACTGTCCCAAAATGGTGGTGATTTTTCAACTTGCGAAATATCCGTTGCTTGAAATTGATATGACTCATTTTTATCAATAGAAAAAGCTGTTTCACAAAAAAAATCGCTACGGACAACCAAATGACTCGAACGCTACGTTGCCAGTCTCATCACTTAATATACTGACCTCGTCTACGGATGACAGTGATACCGATAAAGACTGAAGGCCGTATAGTTAGTCGAGGGGACCAGTGCTACAACCAGTCAGGTCCATTTTTTATAATTTTACAGGAGAGCACACAAATGTCCGGACTTGACTTGTTTTTGTAACGTTTGAGAAAGCAGGCAACCACCAATACATTTATATATTGCTTATTTTTAGGATTACATGTCTCGTTTCTGTACAGCCCGATAGATAATTTTAAACTGGGCAAATACATGACGTTAACTAAATTTGCCTAAAAAATGGACTTAAATTGTAGGACGCCTTTATCGTCCCCTTGGTTTTCATAGTTTTTCCTATCCTTCAGAAAGGCAGGGGTATTTCTAGATGTCTACTGTTTCCCGGTCTATTTTATTTTGAGGTTATATTTTCTTTTTGAATTCTGACACGGAACAGTGGAAATCTAGAAATACCCCCGCCTTTCTGAAGCAGAGAAAGGGCTATGAAAATCAAGGAGTCCATAAAGGCATTCTACAATAAAAGGAGCGATTGACAATACGGCCCTAAATGCTGGATAGGCATTTCCGCACGCACAGACCCTGTCTCCTGTGGATACTTCATATTCATTTGTGTTATATTTAGTTTTACCTGCTATAAGTTGTAATTGGACAACAAACAAATATTATATTATTACAGTATTACCCATTATGACCAAAAAAAAGTTTTGCTTTAATACAATTTGTACCTGTAATTCTGCAAACAGCTTTGGTGCTGCCATAGATGAAAGCTCCTTCTGTGAAGTCAGGATCCCATTTTTTCTGTAGATATTTGAACTGAAATTTTGTCTTGAGCCATCTCATCACGTGGGGAATGTATATCAAATCTGGAGTTTTTGGAAGTCTTGTGTTGTATTTTCTAAAATTCGGGTGCAGTCTCTTCGGTTGTCCATTTAACCTCTTGTTTTGATTGCTGCGTATGAACCTGATTACATGATTTGGTTTCGATGATAGCTTTGGTAACTCTTTCCGTATAATATTAGCGATAAGTTTTGGGAGCATTACTATTAAGGATTTTGTGGTTGAATTTTTATTGTAACATTTTCACGAGAATTTTGAGTATATGAAGTGGTGAAACGTCAGTGCAGAAGCCAAAATTTTCAGGCGGAATGACAATTGTTTGACGAGCAGGTTTTCCCATTATTGCTCAAAAATATATGTTTATACACTGCGTATAAAGCGAAGATTCTTCTTCTCACTTCAGTTGGTCCACTTTTTTACCAAAATATGCCTTTATAAACTAAACATGACGAAACTATTTACTTCTAAAACAATTTATTTTCTCAAAAACATTTTAGATACACTCTAGTCGTAAAAAATACATATTTAAAATCACTTAGACCTATAACTAATAGAACATCTGAACAAATAAACAATGTGCGAATAAATGCGCGAAGTTAACAAAGCAACAATTGAAAGATTACCATTGGGTAACATCTCCTTTATTTTTTATTACGGCTGAAATTCTTTGGGGCATAGTGTTAACCAAGTTTTGGCAAAAATTTGGTGTAAAACAATCCCATATTTCTCAGTTCGGTGATTGTACGAGCAGGATGTTGTCGTAGAACCTTTTTCATCTCGTGCCACAAAGTTTCAATAGGTGACAGATCTGGACTGCTAGAAACCCATTTCAAAAGTGGTACATTATTTTCTTCCATTAATTTTATAGCCTTTTTTGAGGTATGGCACGCTGCACCGTCTTGCTGAAACTCAAAATCTTGGCCGGATGTCAAACATTGATGATGGATGCTGGAAATTTCACTTTTCTCTTCAGACAGTCAACAGGGAATGCTTCATTTTTTTGCGAATAACTCTACTGCGACTGTCACCAACACAAACTTCGGGCCTTATCGCTCCATTGTATTACACACCATTGTTGAGGGTGTCCATTGTCTATGTTCTTTAGCCCATCTAAGCTGATTTTTCTTTTGCAGTGGAGTTAATAGTGGCTTTTCTTTGGCCTATAAACAAGTTGTGCAACTTTAGGGTTTTTACTTCACTTTTTTTTATAAGAAAACTTACCTTGTAAGTGCTAAATCCCAGTTTGTGGGTCTCTCTATGAGTTGTGGACCTCGAAACTCTCCTTCCAACAGCGTCACTCCACAGAGCACTTAATTGTAAATAATTGACACGCCTGTTTTTCACGATTATTCTTCTTAATGCTCTTCGGTCGGCATTTGTGATATTACTTTTTTCACATATCGTGGCTTAATATTAACTGAACCAGTTACGTTATATCTTCTAACAATATTTCTCACACTGTACCGCGATAAGTCTAACAAAGTTGCAATTTCTGAGTTTGATTTCCCAGAATTAAAAAATTTAATTATCAGTAACCGAATTTTCTCACTAATAACCTTTCCTCTACCCATTTTGAAATCCTTAACTACCCAAAACTATTTTAAACGTATTCTGACAGCCGTGATTAATAAAAACAATTGTCATGGCTTTTATTTTTCACAGCCACCTATGCGTTATAGACTTGTTTTGCATTGAAATGAAAATAGGTTGATATGCTGTAATTGCAACATGTGTTATTTTTATGCTGCAAATTTGATTTGTTTTCTACTATATATTATCAAAATATTCATTGTTAATATTTTAAACCTATAACACCCTGCTACATTTTTTTTATTTGTGTTTGATAAGAAAAAAACTAAGATTTCAATAGTTGGGCCATCTGAAGTGGGAAGGGGCTCGTAGCTATCTATTAAGAGCGCAAAGAGCTACTTTGTCGCTCGACAAATACGTTTAGTCCGTGCGATGCAAAACAGCAATATTTTGCGAGTGGCCAGTTGTTCGCAAATCAAATTTTGTCCATGCAGGGACATGTTTACACATCAGCTTCTGATAACTAACATTCTGGCAACGGACCAGTGGCGAACTTTTTTGCTACTTTACTGCTGAAGAGCGGTAAGATGGTCGGTATTGGATAAATAATAACTACGAGCAAAAAGACTCACTTTTCCAGTTGGTTGTTAAAAAGATGGTATTCTGGAATATATATGAATAAATATCAAGAAACATGAAAATAGGCACTTTATTATGTTTATTTTATTTTAAGACCGTTTAATCAACATTGGCTGAAAGCTACTAGCACTGGAACGTATCTACAAATCAACGTCACTCCTCTATTTGAAGTTATCCACAACCAGCGACACCCCATACAAAAAATAATAGCTATTATTGACAATGATGACTTTGAAACTGCCAGATAACGAGAAATACGTCACCGTAACTGTAGGTTTGTTTTGGATATAGAATTTAAACGGCTATTCAAAATAGCTATGTCTTTAAGTTAAAAGCAAAAACAAAAATGTCAGTGTTCCCTATCACTGAAAATATCTAGAATGTAATTGTTATAGTTTTTCTAATTTTCAGGCTGCAACGGTGGTATTTTTTTCTGCCAATTTTATTCCATGATGAATTGGATGATTTGAACAAAATTTAAAAGGATGAAATCTTTGTTCCAGATCTAAAAATGCAGCTTTAAATAACAGACACGCATACTTCTTGCTAGTAGACAATGGTACCGTTGGAAAATACGGCGCCGAAATTATTCTTAGGAGAAGACTAGAGAAATACATATCGAAACAAAGGCTGTATCCGTGTAAGTACGACATTATTATGCATACAAAAATATATAATACATATAAAAACAAAATTGTTCACCATGATCATTCAAATGGCTTTACTAATTTCTATATGTTTTGCGATTAACAGAACTACAATTAGTCCAACGAGAAATATGATGGATATACAGGGTGGCGCATCGAAATTGAAACAGATGCATTTATTGGCAGCTCAGTTTTTTTTTTTTTTGAAAAACGCTCAGACCCGTCGATTTTGTTTTCGAGGGGGACACAAGTTTGACAAAAAATCACGTTAACACGTGCAACCCTAAAATCTTAAATGGAAAGGGGGGGTCGAGTGATACCTTATTTTAAAGGTATTTCCATTCCCTTTATAATGATGTAAAATACATGAGCTTCAGTTCAGTAGTTATGAAGATTTATTGATTTAAAGCTTAAAGTAGACTTTAATAGGTACATCAGATTAGTTTGTACTACTTTCAGAAGAAATTTGACTAAAAGAATTTACTTAATAAGTAAATGCTGTTCTGCGCTACACCCATGGTTTGTTTATCATTTTGTTGTTGAAAATAGCTATTGGAGCGTTTTTTTTTTTTTTGTGGCAAAAAAGTTATTTCTTGAAGAAAGATAAGGAAATATCTCGTACTTATTTTAACTAGGAATTTAGTACATAGTTTGCGATTGATTTGACCAAACTTTGTTGCTAAAACAACTTGTAACGCTTTATTACATAAATTAACCATGGTATATTCCACAGCAGAAAGAGTTGAAATTATTGAAATATTTTTCGGAAATAATCAGTGCGCTAATAGAACAGCAGAAATACAAATGAGCGACATGAGAACAGTAACGTGCATCGAAAATATGTTCTTGAACTTGTAGCTTAATTTCGGGAAACTGGGTCAGTCTCCAATAAAAAACGCAACATTGAAAATCCTATAAGGAACGAAGCAATAGAAGTGGGGGTTTTAGGGCAAGTTTATGTAGATCCTACGTTAAGTACCCGCAAATTGGAGACTGTGTGTGGTGTTAGTCGACGTACTGTCCAACGGATTCTAAAGGCCCATAGTTTTAATCCGTATAAAATTCACTTGGTACAAGAACTTAGTGAAGACGATTTTGATCGGCGATTACAATTTTGTGAAGATATGAGTGAACGAACTATAAACGATGAACATTTACTATTCAACACTTGCTTTTCCGACGAATGTTCTTTTTTCTTAAATGGCATAGTAAATCGTCATAACTGCCGATATTGGTCCGATTCTAATCCCAGAATTTATCATGAGGTTCATACACAGCAGCCACAAAAATTAAATGTTTGGGCTGGTATTTTTGACGATCATTTAGTTGGTCCTTTTTTCTTACCTGGAAATTTGACCGGAGAAATGTATTTGGAATTACTGGAAGACGCCATAGATCCTGCATTAACAGCCATAGTTGAAAATCAGAATGATCGGCGGTACATTGCGAATAGGTTGATGTTCCAACAGGATGGTGCCCCACCACATTACGCATTACGTGTTCGACAATATTTAGATCAGACGTTTCCAGATCGATGGATTGGTAGCAGAGGTGCCATTGAATCGCCCCCAAGATCGCCAGATTTATCACATTTGGATTTCTTTATGTGGGGCCATTTAAAAAGCAAAATCTATGCTACTCAGCCAACATCAACACCTGCGACAAAGAATTGTGAATGAGTGTCTTCAAATTAATCCTCAAATATTGCAAAATGTGCGGCAACGTTTTGAGCAAAATCTTTATTATTGCATGGAGAGTCATGGTGGCCCTTTTCAACATTTACTTGCCTAACGGGTCAGTTCATTCTTCATTTTTAAATTACTTTGCTGCCAAATGTATTGATCTCCACTAATGATGATGTATTAGTTATATTTAAGCTTTAAATCCAGAAGTCTCAAAAACTACAGAACTAAAGTACATTAATTTTATATCATTATAAAGGGAATTGAAAGTCCTTTAAAATAAGGTATCACTCGACCCCCCTTTCCATTTAAGATTTTGGGGGTGGTGTCACCCCCGCTTAGGGGGCTGCTCGTGCTAACGTGATTTTTTGACAAACTTGTGTCTCCCTCGAAAACAAAATCGACGGGTCTGACCGTTTTTCAAAAAAAAAACTGAGCTGCCAGTAAATGCGTCTGTTTCGTTTTCGATGCGCCACCCTGTATGTATTTTTTCATAATATTTCAAGCAACATTGCAAATTATTTGTACATTACAGGACAAGGAAAGCAGATACCAAAAGGATATACGTGATACTGGCCACTGTGAATTTTAGTTTACTTATATCCGGAAACTGTCTATTCCTTACACTGGAAAATTAAGAACCTTTGATTATATCTTCATTCTCTTGATATTTGATTCATGTTTCAGTTACGCAGAGTCCGATCCCGATAGTCTGCCTGGTGATAGAGGGTGGAACTAACACAATCCGAGCAGTATTGGAATACGTTACGGACGAACCGCCTGTACCGGTAGTCGTCTGCGACGGCTCCGGAAGAGCTGCGGACCTCATCGCTTTCATGTGCAAGTACGACACGATACGCCGGTGTCTGCTATGCAACTCTTCACAAATTTGTGTGGATACACTCATAAACCTCTGTTGTAATTTACTGAAATGAACAAGTTAATCTATTATTGCTATTACGTGTCCATCGCGACCACCAGATCTGAGTCCCGATGATTTTCTTCCGAGGTATCACAATAACAAAATTTAGGTAAATACTGCTAGGGATATCGCTACCTTGAAAAAATCTGTCACTAAATAAGCAAAAGTGAAATTGACCTGCGATGTTTCAATTTATGCAAAATGTGATTCGATGAGTTTGTTTAACGAAATGGAGAAGACTCACACATATGGTGCTTCAATAAAAACATGTTTCCTAGTTTGTGTAGTATTTTTTAATTTAGTTTGAGAATCCATGGTTTTCAAAATTGTCCACTCCCTAAGAAAAGGTTTATGTCGTTTTATATACAGTGTGTTCATTTGAAAATTTCCCACCACGGATTTATCGAAAACCACTGATAAAAATAAAAAACGCCGAGACACGTCAAAAAACCAAAAACTACTTCACCCCGTTTCACCCTCGACCCCTCCAGGGTCATTTCCTTAAAAGTTTTAAAAGGCAAAGGGTGCCGTGTAATAGTTTGTTTGAAAGGTCTTTCGAAGACCTTTATTTTGAGGTTTGATTTTATAAAATCAGTAGAGTCGTTTTCGAGAAAATTAGAAAAATCTTATTTTATCTTATTGTTCAGATAGACAACAAAAACCCACAAACATATCACTTTTTATTTCAATAAGTGTTCAAAATGTTAGGGTCTGCCAAATCAACAATTTGTTTATAATTTAAAACGGAAACTACCAACATAAACAGCAATTCGGAAGATTTGACGTAGTAACAACCAAATAACAACCCGAATTTCTTCCCGCATATTTTTCACCTACACAGATATCTTGGACAAACTGTATTTATTGTTATACCTGTTAAGGTATTTATTAAGGGAAATTATGATGCCCAAAATCAGTATGATCGGCAAACTGCCATGACGTTTAACGCCATACATTCGGGGAAGATAACTTAGCTTAGGTATTTTTTGGACTTTGGTAATAAATTTACTCAAACTGGATCTGTTGCAAATAAAAAATGTGATCATCTTAGAGTTTTGGATGAAGCCGCTCAAGTTGAAGTTTTGGGTCATTTTGGAATAAATCCTAAACCTATTTATGGCATGTTATACATGACATTTGAGGGCACATTCCCTAAATATTGGCAATTATACAGGATGTGACCTACATATCAAAGTTGTGATTTTTTAAATGGAATGCCTCAAATTTTATTGCACATTTGGATATACCAATTCAAAAGAAGAAGATTTATATAACATACTATGGGGTTTTGGTAATTAGTTACTGAGATGTAAGGTGTTTTGTCCAGAAAAACCGTCGACTTCGGCAACCCCTCAATCCGCCATTTTGAAATTCGGAGTGTTGAATTTTGTATCAAAAAAACTTACACACCTCAGCTTTCATCCTATTTGTTACTTTTTCGAATTTTCGTTTTTGCTCATACAGGGTGGTCAAAAACGCGAATTGTACTTTTTCTCAAAACTTTCAAAAGCATCACCCTGTATATTTGTGCAAGTTTGGATTCAGCTTTTTTTTGTATAAGGTTTGATTCAGATAAAATCACTAGATTTTGAGTTATTAAGCTTTTAATAGAACACACCAAAATTAAGGAAAAAACATCATGCATGGAAATAAAAGACAACGAGTGGGCTAGCTCCATATTATCACTAAGAGTACAGATTGGGCGTAAAAACTAATGAAAATCAGAACAGCATAAATCAGCTTCAAGCGTAATAGAGAAAAACAACTATAACAACAACATAAACAAACAACTATCACTACTCAAGTCCTAATCTACAAAAACTGCTCGAAAATATCTCTACTATGTTGAATATACAGCCGTAGTCTTTGGATAAGTGACCGTTGCACATCCCTCAGTATGTGTTCCCTTATTTTATTTATTTATTTATTTCCAACAGGTGAAACCCAATTACAGGAAATGCTGAAAAAAATAACAATTAAAGAGACTTGGACTTAAATCTATAGTATCACACATTCTAAATAAGATTGGATGATCTATAGCAGTTAATAATCGATGCACAACTGTCACTGTAAACATCACACGATTCAGTAACACTGTTCATGACGCAGCACATGAGATTAATTGGCGATTTTGTCATAACATTTGTACGGCCAGCTTGACAATAGAATGCCGTTTGTTGTCGACTCCCTAGCCTTGGAACGCGGAAACATATTTTTTCAAGTAAATTTTGACAGTCAATTTTATTGTGAATGAGGCCATACAAAAACGACAAAGCAAATATGTTTCGTCTTGTTGACAGTGAATCCAAATTGAAAAACTCTAATAGAGCACTATGGTCACAACCTCTTTCTGGATAAGAACCTGTGCATTTAAGATGAAAATACTTTAAAGCTTTACGTTGAATGGCCTCAAGGATCACGACAGAATTTTGGTATATAGGAGACCAGATCATAGTCGCATACTCCTACGTGCTCCTGGCAAAAGTAATAAATAAAGTCATTAATGTATCAACATTGGAGAAACACTCCCAGTTTCTGATACAGAAACCAAGTAGTCGAGTGGCAGCCGACGAGATATTGAGCATATGCTCAGTAAACGTTAGCTTGGTATCAAAAGTGACTCCAAGGTCTCTATAAGAGGTGCATCTGTCTATAACCTGACCATTGATGTTATAATTATCATAAATTAAATAGTTAACCTTTCTTGTATAAGTCATAACTTTACATTTCGAAACATTCAGACTGAGACAGTTTCGTGAACACTATGACGAAATTAGAGCTAAGTCATCTTGCAACATGACGCAATCCTCGACTGTCTTGACTGACGTGCGGATTTTAAGGTCAACAGCGAAAAACAAATGGAAACACTTCAGTTCAAAAGACAAGTCATTAATAAGTATCAAAAACAATAATGGACCTAGATTTGAAACTTGAGGTACCCCGGACGTGGCCCGATAGTAACTCGACCTATGACCACCATATTCGACAAATAACCTTCTATCCCCCAAATATGAATTCATGAGCGACAGCATTGCATCAGACATACCCACTGTTTTAAGCTTATCCAGAAGTGCATAATGATCAACTTGATCAAACGCCTTCTGAATATCTGTGTAGATGACATCAACTTGTCCCTGACCGTCCAGTACTTCAGAAATGTACTGAGTAATCAGAGCCAAGTTGGTGACCGTAGATCTGCCTCTCATAAATCCATGCTGATTAATAGAGACTGCACCCCTGACCGAGCAGTAAACCGTTTCATAAGCGATGAGCTCAAACAACTTGCTGAAATTGCACAGGATTGCTATTTGGCGATAGTTGGAAATATCAGAGATATCTCCACTTTTGTGAATAGGACATATTTTAGAGGTCTTCCAGATATGTGGATATGTCCTTGATTTTAGAATTAGGTTGAATATGGAATCCAGCGGTTACGCTAGCATATGAATGCAATCTTTAACGAAAAAACTTGGAATACAATCACATCCAGACGTCATTTTGTTCTTTAATCTTTTCGAAGCCTTAATTACGTTTTCTTCACCTATATTTTTTTAAGAAATGATATCGGTAGAATTATTTGTTGGAGGAGATGACCCTAGTAGACCAGACGGGATAAAAACTGTTGAAAAGAAGGTAGCAAAACTGACCGTTGTTTATAAATACGAGATGCTAGGAGACTATTTCTTTGGGCTTCGCCCAAAAAGAACACCATATTCACCAGTTCTTCTTTAGAAAATTTTCAAACATTATAATGCTCGCAAAGCTAATTTTGACAGTTTGTAACTAATAAACAATTTATTTGTTTCCAAGGATGATGCGATATTTTAGGGAATTAAGCCGTTCCATAAAAGACGTGCTAATAACCGAAAAAATAGTAAAAACGCTTATGTGTCTAATATCAAAAAAAAGCGTATACAAAATTGAATCCAAACTTGCACAAATATACAGGGTGATGCATTTGAAATTTTTGAGAAAAACTACAATTTGCGTTTTTGACCACCCTGTATGAGCAAAATTTTAAATTCCAAAACGTAACAAATAAGATAGAAGCTGAGGCGTGTAAGTTTTTTTATACAAAATTCAGCACTCCAAATTTCAAAATGGTGGACTGAGGGGTTGCCGAAGTGGGGGTTTTTTCTAGATAAAACACCTTATATCTCACTAGCTAATTAAAAAAAACCTACTGCTTCAATTTTCTTCTTTTGACATGGTTTATCCAAATATACAATCAAATTTGAGGCATTCCATTTGAAAAATCACAACTTTGATATGTAGGTCGAAATTGGGACACCCTGTATAGTGGCCAATATTTTAGAAATATGCCCTCAAATGTCATGTATAACATCTCATAAATAGATTTTCTCAAAATGTATTTGTTTATGAGTAATATTCCGTCCACACATGGATTGGCCACTCTATAGTTCAGTGACACAGATTGATGGTTAGAAAACTGAATTTTCCATTTTTACCTGCATTTGTTTTCGGTACAAACGCACAAGAAATTGAATAAAAGCTATACTTTAAGCGTTGCATAGAAGACACCGGCTCCTTTCTCGCTTTGAGCGATGAGACGGTTCCTCTTAGTTATTCGATCGCGTGTTTGATGCAGGTACGAATGTTCGGTCCTCAAGTCGATGAAGGACTACATCATCGCCACCATCCAGAGAGCGTTCGAGGTTGCCGCAGAACTTGCAGACGGACTGTTTGCAGAGCTTATGCAGTGCGTTGAAAATAAACATCTGGTGAGTTTGTATCTATATTGTTTTATAAAATGATCTCGAACATTTTTTATGTAGGTTGGGACCAGTAATTCGATTAAACGATTTTTTCAAAGACTTTAACAATTCATTAAAAATCATTGGCATTATCGTGTTGACTAATTTTTGTTCTGTGAATAGAAACTACAAAATTTTATATATTTAATAATTTTTTCAGAAACTCTTATACATGAAACATAACGAAATAAAATGGCGCTAGGACAAAATGTACTTTCAAAAAGAATGGTTATTTTTTCTTTTACTCAGTGATAATTATTCCAGAATAAAAAAATGCTAACCATTTTGACTTGAACCTATTTTCATAACAAATAGATGGAACACATTACTGAAAATTGAAAATAATAATTCTTCTACATAGTTGTTTCCAAGTACAGTCACTTTTATGTGATCCAAGTTTTTTTTTCGTTTTTTTTTTGCAGATAACGATATTCAGGATAGCAGATAAATATGACCAAAAACCTCAAGAGCTGGACCAAATCATTCTCACTGCACTGTTCAAATCCCAACATCTCTCACCGACTGAACAACTAAGCCTCGCATTGACCTGGAACAGAGCTGACATTGCTCGATCAGAGATCTTCATTTACGGCCAAGAGTGGCCACCAGGAGCACTCGAAGATGCTATGATCAAAGCTTTGGAACATGACAGGTAAAGCATGATTTATCACCGTTTGTATATTTTTTTTATTTGTTGAATATTTATTTAGCATTAATGCTAGATTATCAATTTTGTATTATTATTCGTTTACACATTTTTTAAACAGTTTTCTGTAATTTGACAAAAATGTCTGTTGAAATTACAACACTATGCATTTTGATTATTCATAAAGTTATTTTTAATTTCACCTTAAACATGTCGAACACTGTTCAATATCATTATTCAATTTATGAAATTCAAATACTCCCGTTTGAAATACAGTTGCTACTATTACAATTTTGCAGATGAAAATCTATACTTTCTCTGGTTTCGTAGTTATGGTAACGACTATTTAATCTTGTGAAGTTTTCTAAATTTGGTAATATGTAAAATGAGAACTCGGTAACATGTACATCTTTTTACATTCAGCCACTATAGTTCTTCTAACATAGACTTAATCTTAGCTTACTTGTTTTCATTAAAATGCTTCTCATAGCTTTATTTTGTAGAATTTGTAATTCTGTAAACATGCTTTCATTTGCTGTAAACAAGATGGTTGAACTACATATAAAAAATGGGAAAGGATTATAGTGTTATACACAATTATTTTGGAATACATACTGCGATTATGGGAAACTCTATATCTTCAATTTTAGTTTTTTGACTTCTATTTACCGAATAATTTTGTGAAGTGCTTAATAACTTTAAAACCATAGTGATTTAATTGCATTAACAAGTTTGCCCTATCTATAGTCTCAGTGTTTCTATATATTTCTGTCTTTTTTTTGGAATCTCAGCAAAAACTAGACCCGTATACAGGGTGTTAAGGAAATAATATTCGTAACTTCAAGAGTTGGTTCCTTGCATTATTCTAAGCAAAAAAGTTATTCATAACTTATGTCTGATAGTGAGTCGTAAATAATTAAATTTTCTCAAACATTTGGCAACGCTCCAACGCAACCGCGATACCAGCGCACGACGACCGCAATTGATTCATTGAATTGTTTACGTTTGTATGATATTTTTGTTGAAAATATGCCTTGAATTATTGAATACTTTTACGCAATTTTTTGTGGTGAATATTTTTTAATTAATAACGCTTTCAGTAGAGTACATTTACTTATAAAAAAAAAAGACAGAACTGACCGGTACGTGGCGATACACACCACCAATTCCCACGATTATCAGTCACTTATTTGAAACGATGCACGAAAAAAGAAAAAAAACAACATTCGTAAATCACAGAGTTACAGTTAAATGTATTGGTAATCACAACAACAATGACACAAGGAGTGCAGGCGACGTTGCCAGTTGTGTGACGGATTTTGTTTGTCTGTTTTTCTTCGGAAAATTGTATTTAATGAGCAAGAAAATTATTTTGTTAGAGGCAGTTAATTAATAAATAGATGTATTGATACATTTTACGCTATTAGACATATAAATTTAAATTATTAAGGTGCAAAATTAATTTATTTCATGACTAAAACGAAATAAGTTCAGCATTTTTTTGCTCCGAAACGGTTGATTTTCGGACATAGGTTATAATGAACTTTTTTGCTTAGAATAATGCAAGGAATCACCTCTCAAATTCACGAATATTATTTCCCTAACACCCTGTATATGTAACATACACCCTTTCTACCATCTAATGTTACGGGGTAGCACCACCTCGATCGATGGAGAATGAACTTTACAGAGACAGGTTACAGATTACACGTACATCACCCAAGGCTACGAAAGTTTTTTTCCTAGTATTAGTACTGGTCTCAGTCCATCAAGTAGATTTTCTTATTACTTAGGTTGACCAAAACTGTAGGAATCTTTAGTTATAAGTGGAATATGAAAAATGACCAATTTTATATTTTTGAATGTAATCTTTTTGGCTGCGTAACTGGAGTAGTAGTACTTTTGACTCTTTTTCCCAACCCCGTAGTATCAACACTACTACTCCGCATTCTAGTTACAGGTCATTGATCAATGAATGAATCAGCTCCATCAATTCGATGTACCTATGTTGATCTTGCACCGATCTGGTGGATAAGATATAGACAAACACAACATACATGGCTTGAAATTTACTTCCGCGGCGCGGATTCAAACCCGCGAGCCTTCGTGTCGATGGATTAGCCTCCTTTACGTAACTAGAAAGTCGACAAACGTCGAAAAACGAAGATCAGGATTTTGTAAAAATCGCGACCCCTCTGAAAATATTTGTTGAGTACGCCAAAAAGTTATTAGAAACTCGAAAAAAAAACATTATCTCGGAAACCAGTGGGTATACAAAAAAATATATAAAACATCGTCATAGTAGTAACCTTGTGCCAAAATTCAATCAAAATCCGGACAGCAATTTCTCACTTACAGAGGGGCCAAGTAAGATAATATGGAGACACCATCATATTTTTAGAGAATTAATATTTTTCAATATTCCTCTTTTTTATTTTCAGTAATTATCTTCTAATTGTTGACTTATTGCAGATGTGACTTTGTGAAGTTACTACTGGAAAACGGAGTCAGCATGAGAAAGTTCTTAACCATTCCTAGACTAGAGAACTTGTACAATACTAAACAAGGGCCTAGCAATACACTCAGGTACATACTTAGGGACGTACGGCCTCATATACCTCCTGGCTACGTTTATACGCTACACGATATTGGACTGGTAATTAACAAACTCATGGGAGGTGCTTATAGGTAAGGCATTTTTGATATAATAAAATTATAATGATAAGTATATTTAACCACAAAATAAGCGACTAAGGGATATGTTAATGATATAGGTCTGACAATATGTCCAAATGTCCCTCTTGTTCTTTTGGGCATATATCTACTCTGAAGACATAACTGCATTTAAACGTACACCTCAAAATGTACGTAAATCACCCTAAATAAATCACCTACATAAATCGTTTTGAGGTGCAACTGTAAACGTAATAATGCCAATACCAGCCATATGACTGTAATTGCCAACTACTTGCATATCTCATTTTTTTTTGTAGGGCATTCTACACTAGAAGAAAATTCCGACCTATTTACGCTAAAGTTATGAACAAGGGTCCAGGCATGGCGAACCAGTCTGAACGACAGTTTGGAGCAATGAGCTTACTAGCTGGAGCATTGCCCAGCAATGCTAATCCTTGTTTGTTTGACTATCCATTCAACGAATTACTCGTAAGTGCTAAAAAATAATATACAGGGCATCCTGAAAGTCAGGGCTAACTACGGTTGCAATACCAAAGCTAATTTGCGGCAAAACAACACAGAAAACGTACAAAAGAAATCGAAGTAAAATACTCACACGCAATTGTTAAGAAATGTTTTGTTTGTAAATACTGCTTGAAGTTATCGCTGTTCGATTCAAAAACACGATGTTCTTTACCTCGTCCCCAATTTGCAACATTTGGAGTCTTCAACTGTGTTCAACCAGACGGCTTTTGTACGATATAATCAAACATATGCAGCTCTGATGGAAAAAATATCAAGGTCATCGGCGACGTTCTGAGTACACTCGCGGAGTATCAATATGATCTCTAAGATGCTCATATCAAATCGATAACTATGTTATTGCTCTAGGAATGTGCCAATCTCGGTTTGTTTATAAACTAGGTTAAACTAGAGACCACTCGACGCCTGATTTGGATAGTGACTCACATAGTCTTAGTACAACATCGTAGAGAGTAGCGGGGTCATACTGGTTCATTTATTGCTTTTGGGAACCTGATATCTCGGTTATCTTAAAACTTAAGTATATATGTGTTTGATCGAAAATAAGGTTAACTGAGATTTTTACGAAAAGACATTTTTATACAATCCAAGGATTTAACCACCTAGACCAAGCTGACTAGCCAAAAATCGACCCTGTTGTAGAAAAATTGTAATAAGCTGCTTTTGTCGGCATTGAATTTTTTGTTTGATTGTTCAAGATTTATTTAGCATGATCACTACAAATACATTCTTTTACAAAACTACAACAATATTTAGAAAAACAAAATTTGCGTCTCTAAGAATTTTCGCTGTCCATGAAATATTCCTTTAATTTTCTGTTAAACATCTTTCAATTAAAGTAGACTTAATATAATTATTAATTTTATTGCATTTAAGTAATCGTTTCAGAAATATTGATTTCCTAGCTATATTACTGTTGCAATTTTGTAAATGAAAATCTATATTTCCTCTTATAACGGGTGATTTTTTTAAGAGGTATAGGATTTGATTTTCAAAAAAAAACACAAAAAACGATTAAATCTTTATTTGAGTCGATAGAACGGTCGATTTAATTTAATGTTTAAAGATTATTTCATGTAAATGTTGGCCGCGGCTCCGCTTTAGATGGCCCATGCGCAAGGCCCAATTTTGGCACACTCTCTCCAACATATCGGCCGGTATCTCACGAATAAATGCTTCAATATTGGCTTCCAGTGCGCCAATCGTTGCTGGTTTATCCCTGTAGACATTAGCCTTAACATGGCTCCACAAGAAATAGTCCAACGGCGTTAAATCACACGATCTAGGCGGCCAATTGACGGGCCCCAAACGTGAGATAAACTGTTCACCGAACTCGCCTCTCAATTGGGCCATTGTTTCGTGTGCGGTGTAGCATGTGGCACCGTCTTGTTGAAACCACATGTCAGCCAAGTCCAGCTCTTCCATTTTGGACAAAAAAAAGTTTGTTATCATCGCACGGAAGCGCTCGCCATTCACAGTTACGTTCCGGCCATTGTCGTCTTTGAAGAAGTCCGGCCCGATGATGCCACCGGCCCATAATCCACACCAAACAGTGATTTTTTCGGGATGCATTGGTAGCTCTTGCAATGCTTCTGGCTGGTCTTCACTCCAGATGCGGCAATTTTCCTTGTTAACGTACCCATTCAACCAGAAATGAGCTTCGTCGCTGAACACAATTTTTCGATAAAAATGTGGATCTTCCTCCAACTTTGCCAGCGCCCATTCACCAAATTGGAAACGTTGTGGGAGGTCGTGTGGCTTCAATTCTTGCACCAGCTGTATCTTATAAGGTTTTACACCCAAATCCTGTCGCAAAATTGTCCACGTAGTGGAGTAACAGAGGCCCAATTGCTGCGAACGGCGGCGAATCGACATTTCACGGTCATCACTAACACTGGCGGATACAGCCGCAATATTTTCTTCAGTCCTCACTCTATGTCTGCGTGTTGGTGGTTTAATGTCCAATAATGTAAACTGGGTTCGAAATTTAGTCTCAAGCTTCCGAATAGCTCCCTCAGTAGGCCGACCAAATTGCCCATAAATTGGAAGCAGTGCTCGATGCACTCTCTTAACCGAGCATGAATTTTGATAGTAAAATTCAATAATTTGCAAGCGTTGTTCGTTCGTAAGTCGATTCATGGTTAAATTATAGACCAAACTGAACAAGTTTGACAATGACACAAGACACGATTCACGCGTCATCTGTCAAAAACAGTGTAGCGAAAAAGATACTAGCAAAAAAATCACCCATTATAATAATTGTGGTAATGATTATTCAATTCAATGTAGTGTTATAAATGTTGTGGCAACAGAAGGTTTTTTTATTTTAAATATAAATATAAGAGCCAAATATGATATGAAATTTTTTATATTCAACCAGTACAATTCTTGTAACATAGATTTTATTTTGGTGTACCTATTTTTATTCAATATTATTCTCATAGCTTTATTTTGCAGAACTTGTAATTTTGAGAATACAGCTTCTTTGGCAGTGAACAAGAGAGAGAGAGCATTAATGCTAAATAAATCTACAACAAACAAATATTTTTTCTTTTCATCGCGTAGAACAGATTGGTTTCTTCATCATATTTTTATGACACATCTCAAGTCTATTCGAATAATCCGCAAACGATCACCAAAAATTTTAGTTGATATATTCGTCATTGTAAAAACAGCTAAGGCTGGCATTTGGAGAATATTATCTATAAAACCATACGTCTATTTACATTTTGATGGTATAACTTCCCCGATATGTTGTTTTTCCACAAAACATATATGGCCAATTACGAATTCTCATCAAACATTATTACAAGATCCATAATCCCACAAGCAATAAAACAAAGTTAGGATTGCGTCATTAAATTACTTTCATGACGATTTGAAAGCTTAGAGCCTTCGCAACTATCCGATTCATAAACTATGAAAACTTTACTATCCCGATTTCCGTTAAAATTAATTGGACCGAAATTATCATCTCACAATTCGTGAATCTCTAGAGCCCTAAATTGGATTTTCATCTGCAGATTTGGGCAGTATTAATGAAACGGCACAAAATGGCCTTGCTGATGTGGCAACACGGAGAGGAAGCTTTAGCCAAAGCTTTGGTCGCCTGTAAATTGTACAAAGCTATGGCGCACGAAGCGGCAGAAGATGATATGGAAACAGAGGTGTATGAAGAGCTCAGGCAGTATGGGAAGGAATTTGAGAATATAGGTAAGTTAGTACCTACGAGGTCTGAAAATTAAATGATGAGACTGACAAGTTTAAAGTCACTCGAATCACTTTGTTGTCCGTAGCGAGTACCCCGATATATTTTTTATTCATATCCACTTGATACAGGTTTGTATATGTGGTAAAAAAATGAAATGCAAAACAATAAAGATAAATGAAAATGTAACAATACATATGAATGAATTATTAACCTTTGATACCATCTTCAAGTACTCAAGTGCAAGTTCTACACTCCAAGTTCTCAGCTACATCGTGAAATGAGTTTTTCAACAATAATTTCCTAACTTCTTTTTTAGATGAAATATAATTACTAATTTATTGAATATTAACTGGTAATTTTTTAATAATATAACGCAGTTGTAATACGAAGAGTTTTTGAGTTATTTTCAAATATTGATTTCTCGTGTTGTACTCAAAATAGGTGTAAATTGTGATGTCGTTCTGAACGAAAACAACTGCCGAAAATCAAGAGTTTTTGCATCTATACAGGGTGTTAGGGAAATAATATTCGTAACTTTAAGAGGTGGTTCCTTGCATTGTTCTAAGCAAAAAAGTTCATTATAACTTATGTCCAAAAATCAATCGTTTTCGAGGAAAGTGAGTCGTAAATAATTAAATTTTATCAAACGTTTGGCAACGTTGCAACGCAGCCGCGATATGAGCGCACGACGACCGCAACTGATTCTTCGAAATGTTTACGTTTGTATGATATTTTTGTTGAAAATATGCCTTGAATTTTGAATACTTTTACGCAATTTTTGTAGATAATATTTTTTTATTTAGTAACGCTTTCAGTACAGTACATTTACTTAAAAAAAATGACAGAACTTACCGGTACGTGGCGATACACACCACCAATTCCCATGATTATCAGTCACTTATTTGAAGCGATACACGAAAAAAGGAAAAAAACAACATCGGTAAATCTCATAAAGTTATAGTTAAATGTATTAATAATCACAACAACACTCGATGTTACATGCAGTGCAGGCGGAGTACGACGTTGCCAGTTGCGTGAAGGATTTTGTTTGTCCGTTTTTCTTCGGAAAATTGTATTTAATGAACAAGAAAATTATTTTGTTAGAGACAGAGTTAATCAATAAGTAGATGTATTGACACATTTTATGCTATTAGGCATATGAATGTAAATTATTATGGTGCAAAATTAATTTATTTCATGACTAAAAAGAAATAAGTCTGAACTTATTTATTATATATATTTATACTGCAAAAATGCTGACATTTTTTTGCTTCGAAACGGTTGATTTTCGGACATAGGTTATAATGAACTTTTTTGCTTAGAATAATGCAAGGAATCACCTCTTAAAGTTACGAATATTATTTCCCTAACACCCATGATACAGCTGATCTGACAGATAAAGTCTGCCTGTTTATGAATTATTTTTAAAAATCATCTTACTAATACCTCAAGTTTTGCTAAATAAACGGTTAGAAATCCACCCCAAGCTAATATCGCAATCTAGACTCCACGAGAGCTTGGTAAATAATTTTCATGGTTTTTAATTTTGAATAATATAATAATATACATCTCAAGTTCAAGGCAATTTCTTGTGCGAATCCAAGAGTACACCCAAACATTTGATTTTGTTGGTATACTCTATTTTAATGATTGTTGTTGTTGTTTAAAATTTATTTAGCATAATTGGTACAATTACATTCTTCTAAAAAACTAAACAATCACATAATATACAGTCAGAAAAAAAACAAAATTTACATCTCTAAGAATTTTCATTATCCATTATATATTCCTTTAATTTTCTTTTAAATATCTTTAAATTACAAGTAGACTTTATATCATTATTTAGTTTATTAAATTCAAGTAATACTTTCTGAAATATTGATTTGCTAGTTACATTACTATTGCAATTTTGTAAATGAAAATCTATATTTCCTCTTGTATAATAATTGTGGTAATGATTATTCAATTCTGTGTTGTGTTCTAAATGTTCTGGCAAAAGATAATTTTTTATTTTAAATATAACAATAAGAACCAAATATGATATGAAATTTTTTATATTTAACCACTGCAATTCTTGTAAAATAGATTTTATTTTGGTGTACTTATTTTTATTCAATATTTTTCTCATAGCTTTATTTTGCAACACTTGTAATTTTGAGAATACAGCTTCATTGGCAGTGAACAAGATAGTTGAACAATATAGTACATGCGGTAGAATGATTGCATTATAAACTATTTTCTTGGAATAGGTACCAAGACTATGTAAAGCCCTATAAAAGTAATTTGGTTTTTTTTTGCAATTTTTGAAAAAATGTATTCATAGTGATCCTCAAACTTTAGTTTACTATCAATATATATACCTAAATATTTAATTGATTCAACATTTTCAATTATTTCAGCATTTATCCTAACTGTGATAGTATTTCCTTTAGGTATTTCCCTATTACCATACATTTTATTTTAGAAGTATTCAATTTTAGTTTATTTGCATTTAACCAATTTACTATTTTTGCCAAGTCAGAATTTAGCATTTTTAAAGCAGTGTCTATATTTTCATCTGATATATACTCATATATATATTAATGTATCATCTGCAACTATCTGAAGCTTACAATAATCTAAAATATTACAAATGCCATTAATGTATAAAATAAATAGTAGTGGACCTCGTTTTCTACCTTGTGGTATACCAACAGAAATATGTTTTGATCTTGATAATGTAGATCCAATTTTTTTTTATTACGCAATTAGACTTTGTTTTATCTTAATACCAGTTTAATCAGGAAGCATTCTTTTATCATTTGACAACGGCATAAACATCGCTTTTGGTAATTTATGGTTATTCAGAAATTATAATGAAATTCTGTTCCACCATCTCGTTAAGATTATACCACGGCGATTCATCTGAATAAAGAATCAGAAAAACAAACGACAGCTCCCTCTATTTGTAAATCTAGTAAGCTGTTCACGTATAAATTAAATTACAAGGGACCCAAAACTGTACCTTGAGGTAGTTTGTGCATTTTACACGAGAATTCCAATACCGTACGGGTAATAGAAAAATGTGAAAAATATCGTTTTTGATTATTTTTGTTTATTACTCATCAAGTCCAAGTTTGACTTGAACAAGTTTTTAAAAGAAATCTATTTCTTTTTCTAGCCTTAGAAGTACTGGACTACTGCTACAGGCAGGACGATGACCAGACGCAACAGTTGTTGACGTGTGAGCTGCAAAATTGGTCTGGGCAGACATGCTTAAGTCTCGCTGTAACCGCCAATCATCGAGCGCTATTGGCTCATCCCTGCTCGCAGATTATTCTTGCTGATCTGTGGATGGGGGGTTTACGCACAAGAAAGAACACAAATATTAAAGTGAGTATCAAAATGTACATTTTTGCAACTCCTGTATCAAAATATAGCGAGAGTGACTCGACATTGATTTATTTAAAGTATCTTCCTAAGAGGGATAGCAGTGTTTTATATTTACGAATGATGCAAAGTTGTACACTTTCAGGTGGGCATAATCAGAACCAGTAGCAGTATTTAAAAAAAAGGAAGTTTTTCCGATTAGGTTGACATTCTTCGGTGGAATATTGTTTCGCAATTGTGCATATCCATTTTTTTTTCTATGATAATGTCGGTTTTTTCGTATATACATTCGTACTTTCAAAAACCTAACCTCCATGGCAGTAGTAGAAAGATTTTTTACGTCACAGCTTTGGTGCTAAAGGCTACAGGCGAAACTTCATATGAAAATTTCCCTCAAAGGAATCGAAATCTGGATTGATCGAAATATTGGCTTATTGAGTCAAGCCACCCTTATCCAAATTTTTAGATTGATAGAAGGCCCGAGCCTCAAAAACGTGTTTTTTTTTGAAAAAAAAATTACAGGCGCAATTTTGCTTAAATAGTTTTGAAAAAATCTCCGATCCTACATTCTTGTTTCCTACATCCGGGATTATTTATAGATTTCTGAAACGAATAGATTAGAGAAAAAAATTGTTCAAGTTCAATTTCTATTTAGTTCCATTGTCAAAATGTTGATTCCGTCCGAACAGTCGCCAAAAATCGGTAAAACCGCATTTTCAGCGATTTTGTGGTTTCTCTTATTTTCGTATTTTTCCGGGAACAAGTTAAAATTCTAACTGTGGAACCTGGACAAAATACATATACACGTTCAGTTTTTAAGTTAGTTAATGCATGATATCCTACGTTTAAATTGGCAAAAAATTGTAGAAACTCGTTAAAAATGCGATTTCGATTTTTTGCGATTTTCTGGTTGAGAATTCGTGATTATGTTAGTAGATCTGAAAAGAACGTTAGAAAGTACTAATATAATGTGGATTTTTAAGCTCAAATTTTCATTGTCCAACCGAAAATTCGAGAAAATATTTTTCTCCAACCTGTACGTTCCAAAAATTTATAAAAAATCACGGTAATATAGAATAAAACAATGCAGGATCGATAATTTTCTCATTTTTTTTTAACAAAATTGCGCCCAAAGAAAATATTTTCGTAAGTTTTTGAGTTGGCAATTTTTATATGTAATTTCGCATATAGCCTTTTACGTTGGTCGACAAGCTTTGTGACTTCTCGTTTATAGAAAAAAGTGAAATCGCTCAAAAATACTTTTTGAAGGCAAAATTTGGATATTGAGAAATATTGAAATTTACAAGATCGCTTGACAGGATTATTTTTTCTTAAGATAAAATGATCCATGTTCAGGGCTTGCCTTCATGATATCGAACTAATTAATATTTCTTTCAAACATGCATTTCTCTGTTTACCATTCTTATATTTTCATGCTTTTCATGCCCTACATGCTAAAGCTGTGCCCATAAAAAAATATTATCGAAAAAACACGTTTTTGAGTGGGCAATTTTTATATGTAGTCTCGCCTTTAGCCTTTTACGTTGGTCGGCAAGTTTTGTCACTTCTCGTTTATAGAAAAAAGTGAAAACGCTCAAAAATACTTTTTCGAAGGCAAAATATGTATATTTATAATTAATGAAATTTGCAAGATCGCTCGAGAGGATCATTTTTTTAAGATAAAATGATCCGAGTTCAGGGCTTGCCTCCATGACTATTGAAGAAATTATTATTTCTTTCAAACATGCATTTCTCTATTTACCATTCTGATATTTTCAGGTTATCATGGGTCTACTTTTCATGCCCTACATCTTAAAGCTAGAATTCAAATCCAAAGAAGAGTTACAGTTGATGCCTCAGACTACAGAGGAACATATGGAGCTCGAAAACGACGATGACGATAAGTCTGATTCTGACAAAAATCAGGACGGAGAGGTAAGTATTCCAGCAGAAACATAATGTGGAAAGTATTTACTAACACTACATTCAAATGGAAATAATTCGTCTTTATGTATTTTTGTAGCATAATAAGGCAGTACGAAAGTATTACATTGAATTCTACCCAAAAGTAAGCAGTAAGGTCTAAAAGCTTTTGCACAAAATATGTTGCACATTTCACGTGTTATTGGTATCAGATGTGAAAAATTCATTGTGAACTTTTTTCTACACGACAGTCTTCTTCTCATAAAATCAAAACAGTTGTTTCGTTAAATTTATGATTCAAAACAGAAACAACATAAGTACTCGTGAATGTTCTCTTAAAATAAAAAAGAAATGATGTCAAAAATTACCAGATAATTGCAAAACGTGCAAAAATGATCTGAACTTTTTTTGTGTTGTCACTAAGACCCTACAGCATATCGTTTGCCAATTTCCGTCGAAAATTTTCATTAAGATTATACAATCACAAGAAGAAGAAACAAACCATGCAGATTTTGATAATGAGAACATCATAATACACTGAAAAAACAAATCTCAGTTTCTAACATCTTTGCGATCACTTTACATCACTTGCAGATTTTGCATATTCAATTCACATTACAATTATTTATAGTCAATTCCGTTTATGAGAAGAAAACGCTTACAAGAATGCAACATAATTTTGATTAAGATATTTCAAGTGAAAAAATTGCTTGTTAATTGTTGCATGATAATTGTTAATTATCAAAAGTTGCTAATGAAAATTTTGAATCTTCACTGTATCTATCTATTTATATATTTTCGGAACGAGTGTGATTATACTGATTGACCCATTATCAAAGAAGAATCTCTGGAAAAACCGTTCTCATAATTGGAATAGCATTTCAGGATATAAATTAATAAAGATATGTAACAAATTAGACTTACGTATATGCCAAATTACACAATATCTATTCAACAATCAGTATGCAACACCTTTTTACTCTGATTTGATACTTCCAAGTATAAATACTAAATATTCTTCAATTGATTGAGTAAACATAACTATATACACTCTTTCGTCACTTTACTATTAGTTAATAATTTTCACACACCATCTGTATATAATTTCAGTTCTTAGAATATGTCACGTTTTGGTTACTCTTATGTTGTAGCTGTACAAAATTTGCTTGCTTATTTCAGTTCTAATAATATATTTCTTCCAATAGCAGTAGCTCACACATTTTCCTTTCAGCCTAATCAAAGATCCGACTTTGCAATTACACATATTCCAGCGAAAACTCTTTCCCTATAACTTAAATATATTTTAAAAAAATGTCAATTAGTGTTCTGACCTACCTTCTTTGGAACTTCAGGGTGTTACAAGATGAAACATCGTAAACATAGGAATATGTAGACGTAATTCTCACGTACACATTACGATGTCCGTGATACTCGTATATAGATTTCACTGTATATCGACATTATTTTTAAGTGACAATACGCTTTCAGAAGTCAAATAACTGATTTACCTACCTCATAAATGAATTGACGCAATAGCAATTCATATCTTTCCACGTAATTGCAAAGTCGAATCTGCCTGGTTAGACTACTTGTTCCTATGAGATCTCATAAAACTACAACAATGTATAAAACTACTAACAACCTTAATAAAATTAATATTGTTCTTTTAGAAGCGTACTAGAGGTTTGAGTATTCGGAGCAAGTCATCAAATCCACAAGGTGTTAAGGTAGCCATCATTGAAAAAATATATGAATGTTCTCCACTACACCTTGTTTCATTTCATTTCTACATTTCACTTATATGTTTGGTTTTGTTTATTTGTACTGATAAAGCTTTTATGTTGCTTCAGACATGTTGTCAGTTCTTGTGCATATAACATGTCACGTTACTTGTGTCGTACCAATAACAGCAGAATCAAAAGAAGCTTCAGCCTTAACTAATTGTAAGATCTAATCTTAATCTATCACTCTATCGTTTGCTATTTTGTTTTTTCTATCTATTTGTTCATTATGGGCGATTAGATATTGTTTCTACTAAATAGTGATTGGTGATTTAACTAATGTGCAGAATATGTCACGCGACTGTTTTGATACAAATTTTCCCTCTTTTTAGTTCAAGAACCTTCTAAATGTCTGAAAAATGTTGAATACTTTTTTTGTAGCAAATTTTTTTGGCTACAAATAAAGTAGTACTATTTCATACTCGGGTAGCCATTATACACGGAAATATTACATGTACCTTCTCCCTCTAATTTCTCGTAATACAGGTTGCGCCAGCATAACTTCCTTTTTTCAAAACTTAATAAAACTCAGTTTATGAATCAGAACATTTTTACTTGTTTTTCTTAAAGTAGGCGTACAGTTTTGTTGGTAGATGGCACTATGTCATGAATTTTTTTCCTGGATGTTGGACTTCAAATCTTGTACGGTCCTTGGATATTTCCCTTAAACATTCCAAAAAGCTCCATTGAAATAAAATCGCAAGTGGCCAAATCGGGAGAGCAGGCCGACCACTCCAAATCACCCCCAATTGAGATGAGGTGCTTTGGCAAGTTCCTTCAAAACAGTAATCGACCCTGTTTATGTATGTGCCGTTGCACCGTCTTGTAGGAACCCAACGTCCCCTAAATCCAACTCTTCTAGCCGTGGGGAAAAATCATGTAACATATTTACATACCGGTCCGAATTCACTGTCACTGCGACTTCATTTTCATCAAAGAATCAGCGATCAATAATTCCTGCTGACGAATTGCACACCAAACGCCCCCTCATCAACTTTATGCTGTCGCACCCTGTATGTTGACTATACGACAAATTTGTATAGAGGCAAAATAATAAAGAATTTTATTCGTATAAAATTGTTTCTTTCACTTTTATACATAGAATCGATGGCTCTTGGGATTTTTTATCAAATTCATTTATTAAAATGAGAGCAAATGCTACACCCCTCTCATGCCACCAATTTGAACTTGTCATTAGGAAGCAATAGTCTAAGGATACTACTGTAAAATTGTAGGATTTGCTTATCTCTCTCTCTATTTCTTGGCCTATATCGATGGTATAGTGCACAAATGATTTTCTTTTGGAAATGAGTTATCTTCAAGAACATTTTGTTGTTGTTGTTGAAGATTTATTTAACATTAATGCTACAATGTCAATTTTGTATAATGATTCGGTTACATATTTTTCTTTAATCCATTTTCTGTAATTTTACATACTTGTCTATTAAAATTAAAATTACGTCACTATGTATTTTGATTATTCATAAAGTGATTTTTTAATGTCACCGTAAATATTTTTAAATTCGAACTTTGTTTAATATCATTATTCAGTTTATTAAATTCAAATACTCCCTTTGAAATATAGATTTATTAGTTATGCTACTATTACAATTTTGCAGATGAAAATCTATACTGCCTTTAGTTTCTTAGTTATGATAATGACTATTAAATTTTGTGAAGTTCTCTAAATGTGGTGGTAATAAATGATTTTTTAATTTGAATATGAGAACTAAATAATATATGCAATTTTTCACATCCAACCACTGCAGGTCTTTTAACATAGAGTTAATCCTAGTATATTTGTTTTTATTTAAAATGATGCTCATAGCTTTATTTTGTAGAATTTGTAATTTTGAAAATATGTTTTCATTTGGTGTAATTGGTTGAACAATATAATAAGTGGGGAAGAATTATAGTGTTATACACAATTTTTTTGGAATACATACTAAGATTATGGGAAAATCTATAGAAGTAATTTATCTTTTTCGATATTTTTGAAATAATGAATTCATAATGTTCGTGAAGCAGTAGCTTACTATCCACATATATACCAAGATATTTAAATGACTCGACTACTTCAATTTTTTCATCATTAATCATGAGTCTAATTGTATTGCCACCTAAATGTTTCCCTACTGACATACATTTTGTTTTATTAATGTTTAATTTAAGTTTATTGACATTTAACCACTTCATAATTTTTGCAATATCACTATTTAACAATTCTAAAGAAGGGTCCAAATGCTTATGTGCTATATCTATAAGTGTATCGTCCGCAAATATTTGAATTTTGTAGTGTTCTAAAATGTCAGAGATATCATTTATATAAATAATAACTAGTAACGGCGCTAATTTACTCCCCTGTGGCACCCCTACTGATATATTTTGAACACTTGACATAATATATCCAACTTCAGTTTTTTGACTTCTATTTACTAAATAATTTTGTAAAATGTGTAATACTGATCCTTTAAGGCCATAGTGATGCAATTTCATTAACAATTTGTCCCTATCTGTAGTCTCAAATGCCCTTTTGAAGTCTAAAAATATATCTAAAATATATTCTTTCTCGTCTATACTCTTCTGAGCTTGATTTTTTATCAAAATTTTGGTTTCTTCAATGAGTTCTATGATTTGTTCGTATATTATCCCTTCGAACAGCTTCTCGACATCGGGCAAGACATTAATCGACCGCATATTTGTATACAGCTGAGAATTTTGAACTTTTGGCACAGGAGTAATAGTGGAACACTTTAATTTTGATGGGAATTCACCATGTACTAAACAGTGATTCACCAATAATAATAATTTCTCTCCAATTATATTGAAACAATCATTTAGAATATTTTTTGAGAGATTCTCACTTGGATTTTTATTAGATTTCAATTTTGAGATAGCTTTTCTTAAATTGTTGATGTTAATTGTCCTAAATTGCTTCATTGATGAATTCTGACATACTTGTAATGGACATAAGTTTGGATCAACGTCAACATAATCAGAAGATGAAGCATCTAGTTCACAAGTGTGGTGAGTGATAACATTTATAATAATTCTTGCGCCACTTGCCAGGAGGTGCAAGTAACTTTGCAATACAGATTATAAATTTACTAAATACATTTGTATTTTGGTTTTTTCCTACCAGATTTGTGCGCTACACCATCGATATGTCTCGGAGGATTGTCACCTTGCAGTTTGGTCTATGTACCAAATACGCAATCACTTCAATGGCTGGCATACTTCGTACAAATATATTACTTAAAACATATACTGTCACATTGTTTATATTAATGAATGGCACAAAATTCGTGCAACAGACTCCAATAAATTAGTATCGCATCGCATAATGTCGTTTAGTTTTCTTTGTTTCGGACTTTGGCGAGTTATGCCAGTTATCCATATTGTATATATTCTAACTGACAACATGTCTCGTACGTTTTCGCAAAGCATTCCATCAGCTTCATACCTGTGTACATTTCCCTACGCGTTAACTGGTTTCCTAGTACTAGCTATAATTTTACTTTTAGGCGCTTCTTGCTGAAAATTTTATCACACGTGACACCGTTGTGCAAGAAAATGGAAAAGTCATGCCAGAGTTTGATGAAAAACAGTACCATATTCTATATCCTGATATTTACTCAGAGAAGATCCAAAAGAATCGGGAACTTAGGATAAAGAAAAAGCTGTACGAATTCTATACTGCACCCATAACGAAATTTTGGGCGAATTCGGTAAGTAGCCAAACACGTGATGAAGCATTTGTTTGATTCCAGTCTTGTTGCGTTTTTTTTTTTTCATTCGATGAAAAATACATTATCTGTAAATAATTCCCCCAATATACAAATTCGTGAAAAGTAGTTGGTGTCTGACAGAAGTATTTATTTTTGTGTTGGTGGGGAAATTCGTTAAGCAATATTTTGGGAGCGCCACCCAGTTCTTTATGCTCACACTTAAGTTTTTCCTACCAGCTCAGCAACAGGGTGTTTTACAAAATTAACATTAACACTTTCCATTCAAAAAGTATAGTTTGCCTGTTTTTGCTTTTTCTATGAAGAGAAATGATAAACATGTTGTGGCGGTTGCGATTATACCCCAAATTAAAGGGGGTGTACCACAAGGTACTAAAATGGTGCTTACCTGGATCCCTTGGTGCGGACGTCGGCAGGGGCCCCTGATCTCTACTGCAACTTTTTAACAGCTACTTGCACAGTAGTATGCAATTATACAGGGTGTAAACGTTATGATTGTCATTATTTAAATGGGTGATAGAGGAGGTTAAAAGAAGCAAAAAGTTTCATTTAACATGGGGGTCAAAACGACAGAAAGCAGTGTAAATAAAGATGGAGTTTGTTATTTTTGGCTCTTAGATATTATTTCATTATTTGATAATGTACTCGTAAAATGCAAACAATTAAAAAAAAAACGGACTTACCACTAACTGTCTCAGCGCTTCACCTGGTGCGTGAAAGTTTATTGAACGTATTAAAAAAATCCACTTTAAAATAGGAAACACAATTTTGATACATACATTGTTTTTCTTTTCAAAACCCACACTGCACTTTTTTTGTATTTAAAGAAGTTGTTCAAAATGTCGTCCTCCACTTTCCACACAAGCCTCATTACGGCGAACCCCGTTTCTTCTTACTCTAGGTCCTCGAAGTTGTCCATTTATTATTTCAGCCGCATTCAAAATTTTTTCGCGAAGTTGTGCTTCAGTTGTTATTGGACCAGCCCCATAAACCATCCCTTTAAATTCTCCCCAATACCAGAAATCCATCGGATTGAGGTCAGGAGATCTTGCTGGCCATTTACGAGGATCAGGAGCATCTCGACCGATCCAGCGATTTGGATAATGTTCATTCAAATACTGGATGACGCCTCTAATAAAGTGTGGTGGTGCCTCGTCATGAAGAAACCACAAATTATATCTCCGTTGTAATGGCATGTTGTCTAAGATCTGTTCCAAAAGTTCTGGTAGGTTATTAGCTAGAAAGCTAAGGTATCCTTCTCCTGACAACTTTGGGGCTAACTCGAAATTACCTGATCGTCAAGAATACCCGCCAAAATATTTATTTTAAAACGTTGTTGGAAATGACCTTCACGAATGGTATGAGGATTTTCTTGGGCCCACGTGTGAGTATTATGGAAATTTAATATCCCGTCTCGCGTAAAAGTACATTCGTCCATCGCCAGAATGTTTTTAAAAAAATCCGGATTTTCAATGTGTTTATGCACGATATTTAAAATTTGTTCCTCCTGCTCTACAGTAACCTGTCTTTCACGAGTGTGAATATTAGTGGGCGAACACTTCCTGTATCTCGAAGTCTTTAGTACACTTGCACAAATGTCCTTCTGTCTGGGTGTACCCTCTTGATTCGAGAACATTGTGAATCAACACAACGACGTACGCGAACAAAAACGAAACAACATACTAACCACTGTTACCCTTTGCGATCGATTGCCGGTTCGATAAGAGTGATGATGACCGACGCGCTGTTGTCATGTGTGTTTTAAATATTTAATTTAATGAAACTTACTTACTGACTATAAATTTTGGCATAACTTAGTAAAACTTAATGCCATTTATTTGTTAATTACCCAATTTGAAAACGTTTTAGATTAGATTATAAAAATTAGTAAGATTGTGGTGATTGTGGTCGATATAAAGCACTTATGGCCGATTTCACCAACGTGTCTTAAAATTTAGGAGTTTCTTAATTCAAGTTGAGAACTGCCCAAATCCATTTTCGGTTTCACCAGTTGCTAAGTATTTCCTAAAGTGAGATAAGTATTACCTAAGATAGGTATTGGTTAAACAGCGTTCTAGAGTTGTAAACTATAAAGCTATTTAGACAAAAATCTATTGACTTTTGCACCATGGGTCATATGAACTTTTTGACGTGTTTTGACCCCCCTATTACCCATTTCAATAATGACTACCATAACGTTTACACCATGTAGAATGGCGGTTCATCATAACGGCGTTAGCAGCGGTCTAGCGATTTGACACTACTACTTTTGTTCTGCTTGATATTAGAGTTCGCTCTTCCTCTTTCTTCCAAGAAACCATAGGCGCGTTCAAATTTAGTGCCAAGAAAAATGTGGGTAACACTTCTCGCAAAAGCTATAATTTCTAATTGTCCACTCCATGACTTACGATACTTCTTCATGTCAAAATGCGACAACAAACAACTACCGATATCTAGTGACCATAAAGCCTATATACCAGGAGAACCGACGAAATAAAACAAAATGACACTAAAACTTGACGCCTGACATCTAGTGACCATGGAGCCTATATACCGATGTTATGCTTGGTTCTTCAACCACAGAAGTTACAAGAATTTGGAAAACCACATTTTCTTCTTTTCTTTTCGAATAGCGATTCACATCATTAAGCATTTACATGTGGCCGAATTTCTTGTTTATATCACAGAAACGAAATTAGTCATGCGAGAACTATGAATGTATATATGGGGGTACTGAAGCTTAACAAACAAATCACGTAATTTCACTTCCTACGCCACTAGTCGGCGAAAAACTTCGAAAATGAGATACTATGTTTTTTGGATGTTATATGACATGTACGAGGTCTGTAAATTGAGTGATGAAACTGTTTTTTTTTTTATTAAATATAATTGCAATTTTATATTCCACCCCTCAAAGTAGTGCTGGAACTCCTATACTGGAATAGCCTTCAGCTGGTCGGTTACAGCCGTTTGAATGTTTTCGACTGTCCCAAAATGAGTTCCCTGGAGGTGATTTTCCAACTTCGGGAAGAGAAAAAAGTCACAAGGACTCAAGTCAGGCGAATAATGAGGCTGAGCTAGTTCAAATTTATACTGAAGGCGGATCACATGTTCCCTGTCCCCCTCCAAATCCGGCGCCTCCAACGTTGCCAGATCGAACGCTACGTTGCCAGTCTCATCACTAAATAAAGATCTAGTGCATCATGAAAAATGTGTCTGTCTGCCTATCCTTGACCCGTCTATAACTTGAGAAATACCGCTAGGATTTTGATGAAATTTTCATGCAAATTTGTTACTATAATAATAAGAAAAAACCTTCGTGGCTATTATAAACCAGTCCAGTGGTGATGGAGAGAAAAAAGCCGAAAACGAAAAAAAAAATAAAAACTGCGCAAACACCGCTTTTGACGTTTCGGAGGGTCTTGATCCCTTTCAGAAAAATTTTAGTGAGGGTTGGAATTCGAGGGAGGGCATATGCACATTTTTTTCTCAGTATATTTATAGAGAGCCTTAATGATATGCGAATATTTAAGGGTGTGAATCTACATGAAAAATTAATGTTAGTTAGCTTTATAAACTACGGTCCAAAAATGTTTCCTTACAAAAACTCGGGGTGTTGAAGTTTTAGGGAAAAAAGAAAATTAGTTAATATTTTCAGAACCGCTTCAGATATTTTATTGATATTTAGTAAGTAGTGAAAGGTAATAAAGTTGCATATTTTTCATTGCAAAAATAATTTTTAGCTTTAACAGTGGCGTGCGTACGGGTATTGACTTCGATATTTTTAAAGAAAAAAAATGGTACGCCAATGGTTTGTTGCCAAGTAAAAATTATTTTTGAATTCCTCGTTCAATCTAAAACAAATGATCTTTTCTGAATTGTTTTCCTTCGATGCGCCATTTTTGAGTAGAAAAATAAAAACTGTTCTATTGTCCGAGAAAATTAATGTAATAATTGAAGAATGCAGAATAAATATCTAGTTGCTCTGGAATATGTCACTGGCTTTTGACATCTGTTATTCAAATCTGTTCGCTGTGACATCTTTTTAATTATTTAGTTTTTACAATCTTGTTAATAATGGTGAATTGTTCAAATGCAGAAATGGCGGAAATACATTACGTATTTGGCCTTGCCGACGGTTATGGTGAGCAAGCCAGACGAATTTATGACCTGAGATATCCCGATCGTGCTTTGCCAGATAGTCGAACCTTTTCTAATATTCATCGTTGTCTTGTTGAAACTGGTTCTGTCCGAAAAGGAACATCTGAAGGTAGACCTCTAAGTGTGAGAACACCTGAAATTGAGGGAGCAGTGCTACACGAAGTCGAAGAACATCCTGAAACGAGTACGAAGAAGATCGCTAGACACTTAAATATTTGCCATCAAATTGTTTGGAGAATTTTAGTGGATTTGTGGGCAGAAGAAAATCACTATGCCGTAACCAAAACCCATTTCCAACACCAATTTCCGGTTAACGTATGGGCAGGAATTATTGGCAACCACTTTATTTGCCCATTCTTCTTGCCGGGAGGACCTGACGGACAGACTTTCCTCAATTTTCTTCAATAACGCTTGCCTTTGCTGCTTGATGATGTTCCGTTAGTAATAAGAAACAATATGTGGTACATGCATGATGGTGCACCAGCGCATTTCTGTGTAGCGGTTCGTAATTTACAAACTGTTTATCCAAATCGTTGGATTGGCCGCGGTGGGCCTCAAGAATGGCCACCAAGGTCCCCAGACCTCAACAGTTTAGATTTCTTTTTGTGGGGCTATCTTAAGACACTAGTGTACACAAGCCCCATTAACACTGTAGAGGAATTAAGAGAAAGAATAGTTGCAGCTTGTGATAGAATAAAAAACACTCCAGGGATATTTCAACGAGTGCGCAATTCCATGAGAAGGAGGACGGAAGCATGCCTACTAAGTGAAGGGGGCCATTTTCAACAATTTTTGTAATCATTTCGTTGGTTTTAATGTTATGTTTATGTTGTCAGTTGTTGTTGTTCATTACCCCTAATGTGTTTAATTTTCCCAATTAAATTAATAATAATTTTGCAAGTTAGACAATAGAACGGTTTTTATTTATTTACTCAAAAATTGTGCATCGAAGGAAAACAATTCATCATTTGTTTTAAATTGAAATTCAAAAATAATTTTTATTTGACAAAAAACCATATCAGTGAAATATCTGAAGCGGATCTGAAAATATTAATTAATTTCCATTTTTTTCCTAAAAATTCAACACCCAGATTTTTTGTAAGAAAACACTCCAGGGATATTTCAACGAGTGCGCAATTCCATGAGAAGGAGGACGGAAGCATGCATACTAAGTGAAGGGGGCCATTTTCAACAATTTTTGTAATCATTTCGTTGGTTTTAATGTTATGTTTATGTTGTCAGTTGTTGTTGTTCATTACCCCTAATGTGTTTAATTTTCCCAATTAAATTAATAATAATTTTGCAAGTTAGACAATAGAACGGTTTTTATTTATTTACTCAAAAATTGTGCATCGAAGGAAAACAATTCATCATTTGTTTTAAATTGAAATTCAAAAATAATTTTTATTTGACAAAAAACCATATCAGTGAAATATCTGAAGCGGATATGAAAATATTAATTAATTTCCATTTTTTTCCTAAAAATTCAACACCCAGATTTTTTGTAAGAAAACAATTTTTGGACCATAGTTTATAAAGCAAACTAACATTAATTTTTCTTATAGATTCAGACTTTTAAATATTCACATATCATTAAGGATATATAGTATGCTCCAAACCCTGGTAATTCTATGCACCCCGTACATTTCCTTAGAACAGTAGAGAAATGTTTCCGATCCGCGTACCCTTGCTATCTAAGCTTACCGCCCAGCGAAATGGTCCGGCTGACTAATTTATCTACAAGCATACACGAAATGAAAAATATTTCGCTGCAGCGATGCCGCGCAGATGCGGAGAGGGACAACGTTGGCAGATGGACGGTAACTACAGGCAGGGCAGGGAAAGAATGTCTATGGACTAATTGTATGGTCTTGAACCGTTTAATTCCCTGGTTGTACGTAACTGAAATTTTATTTTAAAGTGCTCAGAACTTCATCATTTATGAACTGATAACGGCGTTGTGTAGGAAGTGCAGAGTCAACCTACTTGACGCCATTTTGTTGTAACTGCGAATCTTCTTCAAATATCTTTTTCAGATCGCCTACATAATCTTCTTGGTCCTGTTCAGCTACATCGTCCTAGTTAAAATGTACTCGCTACCAACGTGGCAAGAATGGCTGTGCATCGCATTCGTAGTCTCTCTAGGCTGCGAGAAAATGCGAGAGATGTTCTCTTCGGAACCTGTTGGTCTGACGCAAAAATTCGCCGTTTGGTCCTGGAACCTGTGGAACCCGTGCGACATGGCCGCCGTGCTGATGTTTCTCATCGGAATGGCTCTCAGGTTCCAGCATGACACTTTTCAAGTGGGCAGGGTGATATACTGCGTGAATTGTATATACTGGTATCTGAGGTTGCTCAATATTCTCAGCGTTAATAAATATCTAGGTAGGTATTCTTTTATTTCTACGGTGGGTAGTATTTGTATTATCAAAACCGAGGGTATTAATAAACTTGTTCCCTATGCATCCTTACCGAGAACTCAATAGAACGAACAAAGGTATAGATTAAACATTTTTACGTATAGAAAATGAAAAAATATGTAATATTGAGTTTAATGAACGTAAGTGTACGTAGAAGGAAATTGGCAATAACTACGGCTTTTTAATAATTGGGTACCCTAACAAGGATCATGGACTTCATGACCTTAACATACATTTTCGTGGCGAAACACATCAAAAAACTATAATTCGAAAATCTTCACAATCACAATATTTCTGTTACTTATGCGTGGAAAGGATACCATTGATTTTTTCGGAAAATCTATCGCATTTTGGCCAAAAAATTATCATTAAATTGGTGAAGGCTAGATGGTGAAATAAAATCCCAAAACATCTTGAACCTAGAATATTTGTTTCATCAAAACTACTCTAGTATGAATGAAGTTGGTGATTGCAAACTCTACAAATTGTGTAAGAAAAGTAATGCCGCCACAAAACAACTTGATTTGGAGTGCTATTTCCAATATCGACAAGACATTTTAGGACTTCTTATGTCTATAGAAGTTTTTTATGTAATTTCTGCTCAAGAAATATTGGCACAGTTTTTTGAATTATCGTAACTATTGTATTTTTGAAAAACTACTTATTTGTTTTAGGTCCCTTGGTAACCATGATGGGTAAAATGGTGAAGAACATGATATACTTCGTTGTCCTCTTACTAATAGTATTGATGAGTTTTGGTGTATCTAGACAAGCTATACTTTTTCCTGATCAGGAGCCTAGTTGGATGATTGCCAGAGATGTAAGTGGATTTTAATTTTTTTATTATGGTGACGATATTATATACTTCGAAGTTGAGTCATTTATTTTAACAGTGAGTAGATCTGATCAAAAGAAATGTTTTTTTCCTTTACCATTTTTCTGGTAAAATTAAAGTAACAAAGTTATAGCCCTTTGGAAGTTTGAGTACCGCCCTGTCTCAATAACATCATGTGCTCGTGTTTGGCAACAACGGATATAATCCACCTTATCGGTCCATCGCATCGGAAACAAAAAAGCGAAAGAATTTGGAACGATGTTTATTTTATTCAGTTCAGTTATACATACAGTCAGTGTCAGTCGAAGGGTTTATCTCTGGTCAGTCGGTAACGCGTGTGAATAGTGTCTGTTGCGTGGCTCAAACGAAATAAAAAATGGCACATGTTTATGCGGATCGGTTTCCCAATCGAGTGCAACCAACCCCTCGTGCCTTTGTTAATGTAGTACAACGGGCTCGTGAATCAGGTGACTTCAGACCTCACAGGGGACCTCACGATCAAATACAGGTCCGCACTGAAATACTTGTCGGGAGGATACTTTATAAAACAAGGTAAAATTTTTTTTTTATTTTTTTTTTATTTTTACACACATATTTTGGTTTATCTTCCTTCTACAATCATTATCTGAAAATTAATGACTCAACTTCAAAGTCACCCTGTATATATAAAGAGAAAATGATCATGCGGAGAAAGGTATATAACAAAAAGTAGGAAAATCATGGGCAAAATCCGCAAAAAGGAGGCAAGTGACTTCGAGCAGAAAATAGAATAGGTAACCCGAGCGATACGTATTTCTGCTGGTTGGCTTCATCAGGCCAGAAATCAATGCACACATGAAACTACAAAAGTAGATCACATGCCCACACATCTGGATATGGGTGTAACCTGATGAAACGAAGTTGGAGGGGGAAAACACGACACTCGAAGTCCACAACAAGAACCAGTGAAGCCAACCAGCAGATATACGTATCGCTCGGGTTACCTATTCTATTTTCTGCTCGAATCCACTTTCCTCCTTTTTGCGGATTTTGCCCATTATTTTCCTAGCTTTTGATATATATATCATCAGCAAACAGTTGAATTTTGCAGTGTTGTAAAATATCAGGAATATCGTTAATATATAAAATAAATAGTAATGGACCTAATTTGCTACCCTGTGGCACACCTAGCGAAATGTTTTTAATGTTTGATAATGTATTGCCAATTTTAGTTCTTTGACTTCTATTGATCAATTAATTTTGTAATAATTTGAATACTGAACCTTCAAATCCATAGTAATGCAATTTCGTTAACAATTTCTCCCTGTCAATAGTCTCAAATGCTCTCTTGAAATCTAAGAACAATGTTACTGTCAACTTCTTTTCATCCAAAACTGATTCTTGGCCCCCTTTACAACGTAAAAAACTACGAAGAAGTTTTTTGAGTTTTGGAAATAGTTCCAGTGGGGGCGAAATTATGAGCGAAAAACAAGTATCTCAATATTCATAGTAATCACACTTTGAATAAGATCATTGAATGTTTCATTTTGAAAATCCTTTTTTATCCACATTGATAAGACATCTAACAATTTAATCATCATTCCAGGTATTCTTGGAACCATACTTCATGCTGTACGGTGAAGTATATGCAGACAAAATCGACCCGACTTGTGGCGGCGAGGGTGAAGAACCCTGTCGAACCGGTAAATGGATAACACCAACCATCATGTCGATCTACCTCTTAGTAGCTAATATTCTGCTGATCAACTTGCTGATCGCTGTGTTCAACAACATATTCAATGAAGTCAATGCTGTGGCACATCAAGTATGGATGTTCCAAAGGTAATATATAAATACGGGTTGTATATCTTTCACAATGTTATCATTGCATTTATGGGAGGCGGAACAGGTGTGCAACGGAGGTTGCTCCAGTTCTTTCGTGTCACTTCCAGAAATCTTATGAGACCTCCCAGAAAACTGTAAATTTGATCATTTCCAACCCATCCCAAAAAAGGGGATCTAAGACTGACCTTTACAACTACAGGCCTATTGCTCTGCTGTCTGTTATAAGTAAGGTGTTTGAGAGGTACTTAAATCTCGAGCTTCTGGACTAGCTCGAACGTCACAGCTTGATTAGCTCCACCGGGGGCACAGGGGAACTAATAGCATACGTCACGCAATTTCAGAGTAAACTCATCCAGTCTTTGCTAATGATAGTACTCTACCTACATGAATTCAGAGCCACAAGCCGATCTCTGCTGGTGAGCTGCAAAAAAGGAGACTAGCAGCGACCTACTCTCTGACGAGAGACCTGTAGTTTATCGCGCAACAATTTTGTACAGTTTAATGCTCCCAAAACACAGTACTGACCTTGACGAACAAAAAGCATCCTAGCGCTCATCCGTTCATTTCGGCTGGTCGGAGTCCAGATCACCGAGAACTTAATCTAGCACGAACATATCTCGTCAATAGCGGCAGCTGCTGGGAAAAGCTATGCTATTTGTTCAGGGCTAAGAAGTACTTTTCCCCACATGACCTCCTCACTCTGTACAAGGCTCAGATAAGACTTAGCCTCAAAGAGACCCTTCTTTGAGGGACCCTTAGTCTTAAAGTCTATTTACACTCAGCCGTGATGTGACAGTGCCGTGACGTGTCAGTCATTGGATTTGAAGAATTTCAAATATCTGCGAGAAACCATCGTCGCATTACCAAGTGCCAAAGCCTGCATTTTGCCTCGTTTTTCGGCCATAACATGTTTGCTATTAGTCGGATCTTTTTACGTGTGGTCTCATTTTGTAGGTCTCATAAATACCTAAAAATCTTATATGAAAAGTTTTTCCGTTCCTGTCAACACTTTCGATTGAATCCCAAAAAACACTTTTTCTCATTCTTTGTTGTGATACAAAAAGATGTCCCACAAAAATTGGTGTATCCATTTTATGCGACCATGTTACAAATACCCCCTTGAACAACTTGCATCAAAGAAACCGGACTTTGCAATTATTTCGGGGAAATTTGCTAATATGATTAGACTAGAGGATGAACTTGCAATTATTATATTAATTCTGGATGAAAAACAAGAAGAAAACGGAAGTCCATGTATTTTGAATTTGACTGGTTGTCTGTTTTTGACCAAATATATAAAAATATTCACGAAATTACATAAAAACACGGCCGTGAACATCGAAAAATATCGTTCCAAAACAATGCGATGATCACGGTACGGCGTCATCGAGCGCACTGAGAACACGGTCACTTCCACGTGCCGGTCTAGTGTGAATCAGTTCATCCAAATTCCAGGGAGAATCTTTTTAGTTTCTCCGGGCGGATCACGTGCCGGTCACGGCACTGTCACGTCACGGCTGAGTATGAATAGGCCTTTATATGATCGTATCAGAAGAGGGATCTTAGATCATTTACCTAACCCTTTATTAAATGAACCAACGTAAACTGAATCGCGTAGTACAAATCGTATTTTGCACGAATCATCCACCTCACGGGGATGATTTATGCATTGATTATGAATTAAAAAAACCGCTCATAGCTCATCCGTAAAGCGATCCATTGCGACTAAATTTACAAGAAACGAGCTATGGGAAATTTATGGCTCGCAATGCATTACGTTATTTCCAACTCTTTAAGCTATTGTATTGTATTCTCTTAGGTTCACCGTGGTTATGGAATACGAACAGAAACCAATACTACCTCCGCCTTTCATCATATTCTGCCATATATTCCTCCTGTTCAAGTATATTAAACGGAAAATGGGCGGCATAGAGGAGAGCTACGATAACGGATTGAAATTGTTCTTGGACAAAGACGAAATGGAGAGGCTGTATGACTTTGAAGAAGATTGTGTGGAAGGATATTTCGCTGAACAGGAAGCACGGCTGCAACAGTCTACCGAGGAAAGAATCAAGGTTACGACGGAGCGAATTGAACATTTGACCCAGGTAAAAAAAATTAACTTTTCTATTTCAAATGAAAAACATTGCCATCGTGCTATGCCACATAAAATTTTTATTGATTTGTGATGCATTTTATCTTACATTATCCCGCATCGCCAAGACTAATGAAGAAAGAACACTCTGCAAGATTGTGCGAGATTAGAGATTCATCAAGTACCTAATAATACAACAAACAAATTGACGTTATGTACAAAAGCTTTAGTAAAGTTCAACCATCATCTTCTGTGTGAGTTGGTGTCCTAAGCTCATATCGAATAGAACGCAATATGTTTATTATAATGGTTATTTCTCAGTAAATAATACTGTTTTCTCTGGCGTGCCTCAAGGATCGAACCTAGACCCGTTGTTGTTTTTATTTTTCATAAATAACCTTACCACTTCACTAAAGTGTCACAATCTACTATTTGCTGGTCATCTGAAAATCTACGCCAAAATTACAAATATAAAGAACTAGGTTTCCCTTTCCCGGGAGGAACTAGATAACTACGAGTAGATACTACCACACAGTGTGACAATAAATTTCTATTCTTAAACGTTTCCAAGAGTCAAGTTTGTTCATATAGTTGCTAAATGACTTCGATAGTCTTTGATTACTTCATAAATAATGCAGTTTTGGAGACAACGACAGAGATTAAAGATCTTGGTGTAACATTTTCCTGGAGGTTGAACTTTACTGTCCATGCAGCACGCATCACTTGCGAACCGACACAGATTCTAGGCTTTGTAATATGTAACTGCCGATCATTTTTCAAGGAAGCAGCACTAAAAACTTTTTTTACGTCAAAAACTTGAGTACGCTTCTTTGATATAGAACCCTTTCTATGCATATTACAAGGAAAATTTCTTTAATATTGTACAAATTGATGTACATCCAGAACGAGTCAATCTATTCTGCTGCGATGTTTCAACCTAGAGTCTCTACAATTGAGACGTTTAATTGCTTGCCTGACATTCCTCCAAAATCTTTTTTTTTTTGATTAACCGGCTTGTATATGCAATAATTATAAATCCATAGCAGACAGGTGTTTTGGGATAAACAATTAGAAATTCTCAAAAACTACTTGACCAATCGACTCCAATTTTGTTGTCGTTAATTAGAAGTATGAAACCTATGAATTTGGAGAATTTCAAGTATCTGCCTGAAACTGTCGTCACATTACCAACAAGTGCTAAAACCTGGATCTTGTCTCTGTTTTCGGCCATAACTTTTTTACTATTAGTCGGCTCTTTTTACATGTGGTCTCATAAATACCTAAAAAACTTGTTTAAAGAGTTTTTTAGTTCCTGTCAACACTTTCGATTGAATCCCAAAAAAATACGTTTTCTTATTCTTTGTTGTCGAATAACAAGTTTTCCCACAAAAACTGATGTGCTCATTTTATGCGTCCCTGATTTAAATACTCCCTTGAACAACTTGCATCAATAAAAAAAGAGTTTACAATTATTTCGCAAACCAGAGGTATTTTGGTCTAATATGGTTAGGCTACAACTATTTCTCGCCAACGTAAGCAAGGTGGAGCTGTCATCACCCACCATGCGAAAGGATCATTATTAGGATCCGACAATAAAAATTGTATGAGATTAAATAAACCTAAATTCATACGAGAATTATTTCTCTCCCTCTGTTATCTTCCCAGACGAATTGTTGCAGAAAAGCGGTCTATTGATGCGTGGTTACGAAAACATTCAGAACGGCCGCAAAACATTATAACAAATATTTGAAAAATCACAAAGTGTTTCTCTCAACGTTTTCTAATTTTCTAGCCACGTTATTTTTTTGTTGTTGTTGAAGATTTATTTAGCATTAATGCTACAATGTCAATTTTGTACATATTGAACTCAAGCCATTAGACAAATTTGGTTCTCAGTGTATGTTCAAATGTTTCAATGTGATTTGTTGGTGTGATATACAATCAATATGTTAAAAGCTATTTCCACATTTCAAATACTGACGCACTTGTATACATTTATTCGAGTTTTTTATGTTCTGCTGCTGTTGTTGTTGAAGATTTATTTAGCATTAATCCTACAATGTCAGTTTTGTATAATGATTCGGTTACATATTTTTCTTCAACCCACTTTCTGTAATTTTACATTCTTGTTTAATAATTAAAAATTAAAATTACGTCACTATGTATTTTGATTATCCATAAAGTGATTTTTTAATTTCACCTTAAACATTTTTAAATTCGAACCAAGATATTTAAATGACTCGACTACTTCAATTTTTTCATCATTAATCATGAGCCTAATAGTATTGTCACCTAAATGTTTCCCTGTTGACATACAGTTTGTTTTATTAGTGTTTAATTTAAGTTTTTTGAAATTTACTTTAATTTACACTATTTAACAGTTCTAAAGCAGTATCCAAATGCTTATGTGCTGTATATATATATATATATATATATATATATAAGGGTATCATCCGCAAATATTTGAATTTTTCAGTGTTCTAAAATGTGAGAGATATCATTCATACCTGTGGCACCCCTACTGATATATTTTGAACAGTTGACATAATATTTCCAACTTTAGTTTTTTACTACTATTTACTAAATAATTTTGTAAAATGTGTAATAGTCTCAAATGCCCTTTTGAAGTCTAAAAATATTGTTACAATATATTCTTTCTCATCCATACCTCCTCCAGTCTTCCACCACCATTTGGACTGCTGCTTCTGTGGAATAAACAAACAATTTTTCTCACAGATAATTTTGATTCCCATATTTTTTCACTCATCACTAGTGACGCTCCAAAATTTTTAATAGATCATATAATTGTCTCCATTTTTAAGAGACAAGCTAATAATTCGTGGGTTTACCCAATCAAGAAATATTCGTTTTGTGAATACGTAACGATGCCTCTTCACAAGTCATCATTCTTCCATAACTGATTTGCTTATAATGCCCTTACAATGCATTACCACTGCCTACGAAGCTTCTGAACTTCAAGAACAAGTTAAGGAAATAAGTTTTGAACAACAAATTGAAAGACTATCATCACATCTCATTTCTCTAAATTATAAACTTGAACAAGGTCCTTTCAAAACATAATTCAATTATAATTGCATAAGGCTGAGTTAATCTTCTTGGTGTTATTTTCTATGAGGCAAAATTCGGAACTTCTAAAATGATAGCATACGGTTAATATTTTCATTTTCATTTCCAGAAAGTTGAAGACATCCATACGAAGGAGAACGTCCAAACAACAGTCCTGCAAAACTTAGAAGTCCGTTGTCGAAGATTCACCGAGCAGATTCAGGATTTAACAGTGGAAGTGGAAACACTTCGTCAAATCATTGGACAGCAAAAAAACACTGTTGGTATCGTTGTTCCGCCGATGGATCCAATGAGAGAACGCACAATCAGTGAACAGACAGAAATGTCTGAAGATGACTCTGTTGTCGGACAACTGGTAAGTGATAATATCAGAGGTCGGTATTCTCGTACTTGAAAACGAAAAGGGTTTCAAGTCGCTAAGCAGATATGATACTCGTATAATTTGCAGTTGCTTTAAATGTCATTGTAAAAATATGATATTCGCTTAACGTTTTTGGAAATAGCTTGTCGACTTCATCGCTAAGTAGTTCGTGCTTGGCTTATCGGTGTCTGGGTTTTTATTTATATCTAGGGTGTTTTGTATTATTGATATGATGTTGCGGTAGTTTTCAAATAAATTCCCAGTACTTAGGGGTATATGGCGTTAATTGAGATATATTGAAAACTCCGAGAGGCAAAGATTCGTGAGCGATTACCCATTTGAATTCTCTATATTCCTACAATATTCTTATGAGTGGGTTCAGCCTGCCCTATTCTGAAAACACCGTGACGCTTAAAATCGGAAACATGTGAAGAAAACTATGGCACCTCATTGCAAAATTAATTGAATACTATACTTCTAAAATTCGGCCTTTTCCACTCAAAATTCTGTATCATTTTGGGTTAAGTGAGCTCACAAAGAAGATATCACAAATCGTTAGCAACCTCAGACACGAAGTATGTAGAAGCCTTTTAACAATGTTCGTACTACACCAGGTATTTTCCAGAGTCAGAGAGGCTTAGTAACGTAGAGCAGAGGCTTGTGTTTAATCCAGAGATCGTCACTTTCAACACCTCCTGGAGGTTGGATGTTATAGCATTTATTCAGCATTATTTTTGTTCCCATCGTTATGTCCTCAAAAATTTAGAAATAACCACCTAAGTTGTATCAAATGTTTATTGTTGTCTAGTTTGATTCTTATTAGCTTAATTTATTTATTTTTGAAATAAAAGTTTTCTTTGTTTTGAAGTTTCTTTATCTATAAACAAAAATGAATATTGCAAAACAAGTGGCGTGCATTGGAAAGGTTTAAGGAGGCTTCTACGCCACTGAGTGAGGATAAGACACGCATATTATTCAATTAATGTTGTAATGAGGTGCCATAGCTTTCTTCATCTTCTTCTTGCCATATACAGGGTGTAAACGTTATGATAGTCATTATTTAAATGGGCGATCGAGGGAGTTGAAAGAAGCAAAAAGTTTCATATAACATGGGGTCAAAACGGTATTTTTTTTAAATATTTAATGTAATGAAACTTACTGACTACAAATTTTGGCTTAACTTATAAAATCTTAATGCAATTTATTTGTTAATTACCCTATTTAAAAACGTTTACACCCTGTAGTTTTTTCAAGCTCACGTTGTTTTCAGAACAGGGGAGGCTAAACCTATAAGAATTTTTGAGGATTTTACCTCAAATATTCAAACCTACATATCTCCAAAACGAGTGATCTGATGAAAATTCCTTAAGAGACCAAATTTATGGAAAATTGGACGCTATTTTATAAAATGCACTTCTTTTCTCCGAAAAAGACAGTGGCGTAGATATTACCTCCTAGGGGTCTACATATAAACTGTACTACGTCCTGTTTTTGTTTGTGCCGAAAAACTCTGTGTTGTCTATTGCTTATGGTGTGCTTACTGAGGGTCTTAAATCCTAATTCAGTATCTGTACCCGCTCCGTAGATATATGTTTTTAGAAATTTTGTAAATAAAACTTCATCACCCTGTAACTCGGTAAGGGAGCATCATTGGATCCATGGTTATATGAACTTTTTTTGTTATTTTTGGATGTGCTTTCTACCCTAGAAATAATGGCACGTCTTTCTGAAACACCCTGTATGTACGAAATTTCGAATCGATAGCCCCAATGGGTGTTTAGGCCTCAGGCCTTCGTGGTAGTTGGAGTATAAAAAAAATTATCCATACAGGAGATATATTGATTTTTTTCTATTTCGAATTCAAATCTTTAACACCCTGTATGTGGGTAAGGAAACATTTAAGTACCCAAGTTTATTGCCATTGCTTTCAGAATCACCCCTATTTGGATCAAGATGCGGCGTCCGAAAAGTATACGAACGCACAGTAAAATGTGAATCCTGAAAAGAAAAATTGATATTTGCGGAAAATTGTAGCCATAATACTTCTTCGCTTTCCAGGTTGTGCAGCAGCCATCAAGGAAACGGAATTTGGGTAGATCATTAACAGAAGTAAGACCAGATGCTTATATTTTTGACAATGGACAACACATTGAGTATCGTTTTGCTGATGACGATGTAATAGAAAATGAAAAAGAGCAATTGGACAACATATCCATGTCGGGTAAGTTCAAAATTATTATGTTGCTTGCTAGTTCATCATTTGCTGTGTCATCTGATCTAAAGCTCTCTGAACGTAACAAACGGGCTTGATATTTAAGTAAAAGCTGCTATGTTTCTCAAAATTGTGAGACGTTTCTAGTATGGTGACAATGTCAGTCATTCTAGAGGACTCGCCTTTTGATACTATTTTAACCCTCATTCTTAGGATCCATGGATTTCGAAAGTCTTGTCGAATTTGTCAAAAAGTAAGCCAGTACATTTGTTGAGGAAATGTAAGAGATCCGTTATTTTTACAGGAAGCAGGCAAGGTCTGGACCTAATTCGACAGAGGACAAAAAGTACGGAGTCAAAGACGTCGATAGAAAGTGGTAATTCGAATGTAGTATCAGCGGATGATATCGCAGGACTTAGTTTGGAGATACTAAAAAGCAGAGCGTTGCAAAAAAGGCGAGATTCTTCTGGTACCGTGAGGAGAGGATCAGAAAGTGGAACATGTAAGTGTATGCATAACTTTCACATTAGCTCCTGTTATTTCTATTGTATCTGTTAGTAAATTGAGCATACGTAAGACTAGAATATTGGGTGAAATTCTGCATAAAAAAGTATTTAATAATAAGTTGGTTTTCAAAACATAAAAAATTAGCAATTCCGTATTGATTAGTTATTGCTTTTCAAATTCGATGCAATAGAAATAAAAGGATTTCTTTGGTTTTGGCTCTTGATTTTCGTGACAGTTACAGTTCTGTACCTTATTGACAACTAACAAAAGTGTGTTGCACTTTACTTTCAGAGTTTTGTGTGCGTAACTAATATGTACGATTTATCATTTACCGTTTTTAATGCAACATCAAGCGACCAATAAAACTGAATCGGGTTCTAGCAAACGTTTGCAAAAGAGTTACGTCGCATCAAAACTAACATTAACTCGCGATCGCCAAATTCTCGAGCGACTTTCAGCAGGTAAACTGCTCTTGCAACGCTAAGTCTATAAGGGTACGAGAATTGTGCGATCGAATAGCCGTGCTTGTTTTGACGCGGCGGGAATGCCGCATGGCATAGAACTTATATACCAGGAGAATTGGCGAAATAAGAAAAAACATTATCCCAAAACTTGACGCCTGAGGAAAATTCTAATTTCAACCTGACTTGTGCTGATACCTCAACTTGATACTAAACTAAATCGTGAAATCTCCCTCATAGGGGACTCAAGACCTTATCTTTTGTAAAACATCTGTAACAAATTTTTGCATTGTTTGGTTATTCTTCTATCAAGGGACACCATCTTCAATGACTTAATCCATAAATCTTGTCGATCTTTGGACAAAAGATTGATTTTTTCCACCAACATTTTGGAGAATAGCAGGAATTCCAAACATTGAAAATTTTACTGTTTCCCCATATTAAATGATTCATCGCCGCATAAAGGGAGTATGTTCAACAGCTCTTCACAAATAACTAAATAACCGTAACAACTTCTGACTATTCACACCAAGGATTTATAAGAAATATGCAAAAATTGTCGAGTTAATTTACAATGAACTAAATGGCAATCCGTTTGTTGGTGTCATATGGCGGATCTGTCAAAGCACAGCGTTGCCAGATGGGTTGGACAGAATTTTCCCGGAACAAGCAGAATTGCTACTTTTGTCAAAACAAAAAAATCACAAATCGCAGATACCTAATGGAAAATGGTAGGTTTGAGTCAAAAATAGAGGTGGTGCTGATATCCCCCCGAACATTATATTATCATGGCTGTGTCGTGGTGGCAAGTTTGCTCTGGGTTGAGCAGACTCCCTGGTATGCAGGGTCAAATGATAACACAAAAAAACATCAAAGTTTATTAACACCGCGCAAATGAAAGTACAATAGAAAATATTCACCCCGAGTGATCCCGATGCAGGAATAATCCCACGTCCCTGTTTTTATAAACCGATACAACCTACCCTTTGCAGATTATGCATTATTTGCCGACGATGTGCACATTTCTCAGCGGATTCCGTTTAGGGCATCTATCGACCTATATGGCGCCTGGAGCGTGTAAGGCACAACAAGGCGATCGCTCGTGGCAATATCCCCAAACATGACAACCCGTCAAAGCACCACCGGTACTACTGTCGTCAAGTTTCGAGGTAGTTTTTATAGCACGAACAGTATTGCCGTAGCTTCTTCTGGTATATAGGCTCCATGACTATGAGTTAGGAATACTGTTTATCGCGTATTTGGATCATTCTTATTTTCAGCGACAAAAAAGGAAATTGAATTTTTATTGTGATTTTGGTATCATTTCTATTCTTTGGCTATTATTTGGGTTTGACTATTTTAAACCGAGGTTCGCCAAACTTCAAATGCCGACGGTTACATGCTACAAATGAAATTAAATAAGAATAATTACTTCAAATATTGCAGCCACGGTGTTGACGTGGTATAATTGGGCAAATCCAAGAAATGCAGATACAAACCAACACTGTGCCCACTTGTAAACTCTTTAGACATAAGATAGTATTACTAGGCCTAAATGAAAAGCTAGAGTTGCTAAAGTTGAATAATAAAATGTACTGTGTTTCTCAGCAATTAAACAAAAAATTATTCCAACGTTCACTGCATGTATATTCCTCGGAATAAAATATAAATAAAAAGCTCTTTATTGACATCCAAAAAAATAAATACGTAAAATCGTACCTATAAATGAGATACACAAGCTTTATATTTGGTTAAATTTATATTTTAATAAAGTTATACTGTGATTATAGTAACACTTTTTTAAATAATAGAGTGATATATTTTATATTGCATAACTTTAGACGTAAGTCACATATTAGGATTTCAACTGCCTGAAACACTTTTCACTGGAAATAAGAATGATCTACTTAGTATTTGCGTACGAATCTTCGTCATATGATCAATTCAATTTATTTCATTTATTCAGTGCAAAGCAACACATTATACAAATGCCTCACAAGTGTGGTCATTGTGGTAGTGGAAATAAAATACATCATACCCACTGGTTGGTTTATCTGTATAAATTACAAAACTTACAAGGGCTTTAAGTAATAATTTCCTACCCAGTGTATCACTGGGTGACACAAGTCCCGAAACAAACGATTTCAAAACAACATACGGAATAATTAATCTTTTCTATAAAATTTAATTGCATATATAGTAAAATAAGGTGCAGAAACTTCATATTGTGTTTTTGAAACCTAACACTCATCACAAATACTACTATTATGTAATTTTCCTTATACACAGATATAGGTAGGAACATACCACCACGACAAAAACTGTATAGTTTTCTTTCGTCTAATGCTTTCTATTCTCTTATACTATAGCATGCGAGCTAAGGGCACCTTTTCTTACACCAAAGAGCATATCTATCTGCCACATTTTTAGGAAATTGGGTATGTAACGTTATTGTCGAAAAAGTATAGGCAGGGAGAATATGTTAATGGAGGAATAATTTTTTTCCAACTGCTATTTCTGTACTTGGAACAATGCAAAGTAGTAACATTTTATTTCTACGATCAGACATAACAAGATTCTTGAAGTTCACACAATATTAACATATAGACTTTAGAAACCGGAATTAAGGTACTTTTCAATAAAACCGTATAGTAGATGCTGACGTACTTGTCTGAAACCAAAAGGCACACATAATGTGTGGTGTTCTATGTGAAGAGTGTGAATAAAAAACCAAGCAATAAACATAATCAACAAACTATCGCCATTTTGTTTCCCGTACACTATTAGTAGTAGAGTGATTATTCCTCTATTTTTCATTCTCTCTGGTATAGGTGTTCAGACTCAGGGCGCTTGGCAAGTCATTTCAGGTATTATCATCATATTCACAGGGGTCGGTTTTTTCACCACAATAAACCGGGATCTCCCAACTCAGAACCCTACAAATACTTGATAATAAACTATTATATTTTCTGTTTGGTTTGTTGAAAAAGCTGACCTTATCATTTCATACTTAGATGTTGAGCTAATTGAGTTTGGAAAAATGTGGCAAAACATTACGCACATATACATAAACATTTCCTGGTTATAGTATAGGTACACCCACCATTCACGTGATCACATTCACCATGCTCTACGTCAATGTTTGTAGTAGGTCTTTCTGTAAATAAAAATCAATGGCCAGGTTTCGGAATATTGATCTTATACGAAAACTACATTGTAGGGATTTAAAGATAGTGTGAGGTTCATGGGGTTTATTTTATAAACTGTGTACCATCGTGTTTCTTAGACGGAGTGACGGACAGTGTCATTCTACATAGTGACAGCAAGACAGTAACGCCATTTTTATTAATTCTTGATTGTGTAGTTCCACCATGTCTGTATATGGCATTAAGCAAATCATTATGGGGAATGTAGATATAATGCTACTTCTGAGACATCCAGAAACTCTTTATAAATATCCCCCTTTACTACAAATCTTATTTATAACTTTTTATAATAAATATCAAAAATTAATCGAGAGTCAACAAAAACCCCCAGGAATTTAAAATTTTCTATGAATTCAATATCTTCACCATCAATACTCAGTTTAACATTTGTACATTGTTTTTTTCCGATTAACAAGCTTTCGTTTTACTTGTATTCAATTTGAGTCTGTTAGATGCTAACCATTTTGAGACAAATTTCATGTCTTCATTTATATATAAGAGATACCAGTCTGAATATTTTTAGTACTTATATAAATGATAGTGTCATCGGCGAAAATCTGAATTTTACATTTTTTGACTATGGCAGGTAAATCATTTATGTATAAAATAAAAAGAAGTGGTCCCAGGATACTGCGCTGTGGAACACCCAACGTATTTTCAACTTTTGATGAACTAGTGTCATTAACTTTTGTAACTTGCATCATTTAGACAAATACTTTCTAAACCAATCTAAAACACTTCCTGATATACCATATGCCGTCAATTTACCTAACAAAATATCTGTATCAATCGTTTCAAATGCCCTCATCAAATCCAAAAATATTTCTATGACAACTTCTTCTGAGTCTATGGCACTTCTCCAATTCTCAGTTACCAACTGGAAAGCCGTTTCTGTGGAATATTTTTTTCGAAAGCCTGCTTGCGCCTCCACTAAAATTTTGTTTTCTTCTATAAACTGCATTAATTGGTCATGCACTATGAACTCTAATAATTTTTCAATGTCTGGTAACACATTTACTGGTCTCATATCGCTGCATCTTTTAGAATTTCTTATTTTGGGAACTGGTGTTATTGTAGAGCATTTTAAATTTTCAGGAAAAGAACTGATTCTCAGTGAACAATTGATCCAATTTAATACAGGATATCCCAAAATTTCGAAACAGTTTTTCAGCACGTTTTTAGTAGTGATTTCGGCACAGTTGTTGTTTGATTTAAAAACTGTTTACTTTCTTTCTCAGATAATTCAATGATACGCTATGAAATTTTGAAAGTGTATGCAACACTTCCTCCTGGAAACTGGTTTTCATATAGTCAGGTGCATCATTGACAGTACCCACAATATCAACAATACTTTCCACAAAATATTCATTTAGTTTTTTTGCAATCACCAAAGAATTTGTTTCGATACCGTTTTCGAATTGAACTTGATTTACACAATCATGCGGCTTCGAATTGATCAGTCTTTTTAAAGTTTTCCACATCTTTACACTGTCGCACTTGTTATTATCGATTTGTTTATCGTAGAATTTCCTTTTTTCTTCTCTAATTACATACTAACATTTATTCCTAAGAGTTTTATATACCTCCCAATCATCAATTGATTTTGTGAATATACATTGTTTGTATTGTTTGCCTCTAAAATTTTGAGCTGCCTTAATATTTTTGTTACACCAGGGTGTATTTTTTGTCGACCAAATCACTTTTTTATCAGTTGCAAGATCTAAACAAGTTTTTATATTTCCTATTATGATCCGCGACTTTTAGAGAACATTTTTTGGACTAATGGGTCGACATTTAGAAAAGATGGTTACATGAGTCTACACAACTTACACGAGTGCCATGTAAAAACTCCACATTTGATGAGACAAGATAGATCACAGTATCGTTTTAGACATCTGGACCTTGATTCTAAATGCGGGAATCTTTGTACCCTTTGAGCTACCAGAGTTCTTGAATGGCAAAATTTGTTTAGACTTTTTACAAAATCATTTATAAAATTTATTGGAAGACGTGCCACTCAGCATTTACAAAGACCCGAGCAGATGGATAGGGCGGTTTGCTACAATTTCGTGGCCAGCCCTTCATCTGACTTAAATCCACTCGATTTTTTTTACTGGGAAGCCGTGAAAGAAAGAATAGCGAAAGCAGCTGAATTGTTAATAGTATATGATAAGGTTCCATATACAAATATTCAACCCCCTTACCCCATCCTAAGGATATATAATTTCTGAACGCCTTGTTAATAATTATTCGTTATTCCTACTTTTAGGCTGGATTGATTTGGAATATTCTAACTTCTCTACAAAAACTTGAAAATTGTGAATTTCCACTTGACCTCAAAAGGGTGGAATTTACAAAACTTCTTTGTAAGTGCCCATTTGTATTGTATCAAAGAACCGAATATGTGAAACCCATGTCTGTATATTTAGGTTTAGAAAATAGTAGTTTTCCCCTAGTAGCTTTTACCCCTTATTTCAATCCCATTGAAGTCTAATTCTCACATCCAAATGTAACCTATATACAAAATCATTTATAAAATTTATTGGTAACGTGCCACTAAGCATTTACAGAAACCCGAGCAAATGGATAGGGCGGACTGCTACAATTTCGTGGCCAGCCCGTTCACCTGAGTTAAATCCACTCGATTTTTTTACTGGGAAGCCGTGAAAGAAAAATTTTCCTCAAAGTCAATCGAAAATTTAGGTACGGGACAGAATAACGGAAGCAGCTGAATTTGTTAATAACGGAAAATTCGTCCGCCTGATAACCCTCATGTTTAAGATACATTCACGAATCAATAAAAGTGGCGTTACTACCTGTCTTGCTGTCACTACGTAGAATGACACCGTCCATTGCTCCGTCTTAGAATAAAAAATGAAATTTGTAGTAATGGGGACTACAAAATAATAGTTTTTTCCGACTTTTTTAAAGTCTTTAATGCCAAAAGTGGACGACGAGTTTTTTATAATTTTCTGATAACTATTATGATTTGGCCATTCCCCCGTTTCCAGCTTCACGTGGACTTCTGAGACACCCTATATAGATAAGCAATTATAAATACTACTATTTTTGAAATCAGGCAACACTATTCTCATCCAGGATGGGTTGGAAGAGATTTTTGCGGACATCCTACAAATTATTAGGAATGCTGTTGAAAACATACGCTCTGTTAACACTCACTTGAATTCCGAAATCTGGCCATTGTACGAACCCTTCTAACACTCGTCGTCCGCCCTGCGTGCCACATCTAACCCCCAACCTGTAAATACCGTTCAGGCGGCGGCGGGAGTGAGGACCAACCCCAACCGCCCGCCTCCGCTCTACCAGCAACCGTCTCGAAACCGTCCGGCCCGAAACGCCAGTTCTCCCAGACGCAGTCGGAACCCGGAGAAACGGCGCTCGACTCCGGCACCCCGCTAGAACGCAGCGTTACCTTCACAGAGCCACGGATCAAGGTCATACCGCCCCAGGGTGCAAGCGGCAGGTCGCACATGCTGATGCACATGCACACCGAGTACGCGAGCATCACCGACGAGTTGGAAAGTGTGTGCGGGGTGCTGTTGAGTCCGCCGAGGTCGCCGGGATTGCTGAGTCCGCCCAGGCCAGATCAGTCGCCGCCAAGTAAGAGAGATATTGAAGCAGCATCGTGTGCACGTTGGATATGCGTATCTACACTGGATGTGAAAATACTTGTAGCACGCTAGCCGATACATAATAGGGAGTTATTGAAATACTGCCATCCACTATTAATACCGACCTTACACTAATAATGACAAGTAGAGACTAGTTTTAAAATTGTTTCAGAATCAGAGTTATTGGGTGGTTATTGGTGCATTGGTGTTGGGTGCATTTCCGCCCACGGTTGACAAGACTTAAACATAAAAATATTGCGATAAAATAAACTGTTATTTTGTTTAAAAGTGTACCAAGACTGATTTAATTCCTATAACCTTATCAATTATAAAGTTTTGTTATTGTTTTTGGGTTTGCAACTCGTTGGAGGTAAATATTAGTCTTTCTGGTTTAAATTTTACGTCCTAAGGTCGATGATTGTCAACAAAAATCAGCGGACAGTACAAAATAATAGCGAGGAAATTACTTTCCGTTCATAATTTCTTTTATCTGCGAAAACTACTATAAAAAGTAAGGTTATTCGCACAAAAAAGGAGATGCACCTGCTCAGATGTCAAATACCGCCAGGAATTATTAGTGCCTGGCTTTATTGGACGTTCAATAACTCTCTAATAATTGGATGTTATAGGAATCTGTACTTGCGCACAACCAAACGTTATTCTTTCAGTACACCTCAGAGGAGACGTGGCGTAAGAACACTTATCTAGCCGTTGGTATTTCAGTTCTGAAATGTAATAAAGTGCTGGTACACATTCATTTCCACTCGAGCAGCTGTAACATCCCGGGTATCTCAAATTCGACTCTCACCATTGGGATCTCGAAAACAGTAAGAGATACGAAGTGGCTTAAGTGAGAGCAAAGTTGTGTATTTAGGTAGATAACAAAATGCCGCTTAGAAAGTACTTCTGGAAAGAGCTGGAAAAAATCGAATTTTCCCAAAATCGTTTTAATTTTTTCCTGTTTTATTTGTAGTGGGATATCAAAATAAATTCCACATTAACATAGCAACTTTTTGACCTCTATAAGGTGGCATAATCAGAATTTTAATATGACTCGTTTCTTGTCCTTCAGCATCAATTTTATTTTTTCTTATGAACGCCATACTGGATTTTTGCGCAGATGTATAGACTTGATAATTCCTATTGCAAAAATGTATAATATGTTTGTTTGTTGAATATTTATTTAGCATTAATGCTACAATGTCAATTTTGTATAATGATTCGGTTACATATTTTTGTTCAATCCATTTTCTGTGATTTCATTCTTGTTTATTAAAATTAAAATTACGTCACTATGTATTTTGATCATTCAGTGATTTTTTAATTTCACCTTAAACATTTTTAAATTCGAACTCTGTTTATAATCGTTATTCAATTTATTAAATCTAAATAGTCCCTTTTGAAATATACATGTAGATTTACTAGTTATGCTACTATTACAATTTTGCAGATGAAAATCTATACTGCCTCTAGTTTCGTAGTTATGATAATGACTATTTAATTTTGTGAAGTTTTGTAAATATGGTGGTAATAAATGATTTTTTAATTTGAATATGAAAATGAGAACTAAATAACATATGGAATTTTTCACATTCAACCACTGTAGTTATTCTAACATGGACTTAATCCTAGCATATGTATTTGTTTTTATTTTAAATGATTATCATAGCTTTATTTTGTAGAATTTGTAATTTTGAAAATATGCTTTCATTTGCTGTAAACAAGACGGTTTAACAATATAAAAAATGGGGAAGAATAACAGTGTTATACACAATTTTTTTGGTCATACTAAGATTATGGGAAACTCTATAGAAGTAATTTATCTTTTTCGATATTTTTGACACAATATATTCATAATGTTCGTGAAACAGTAGCTTACTATCCACATATATACCAAGATATTTAAATGACTCGACTACTTCAATTTTTTCATCATTAATCATGAGCCTAATTGTATTTTCACCTAAATGTTTCCCTATTGACATGCATTTTGTTTTATTAGTGTTTAATTTAAGTTTATTGACATTTAACCAATTCATAATTTTTTCAATATCACTATTTAACAGTTTTAAAGCAGTGTCCAAATGCTGATGTGCTATATATATAAGTGTATCATCCGCAAATATTTGAATTTTGCAGTGTTCTAAAATGTCAGAGATATCATTTATATAAATAATAAATAGCAACGGCCCTAATTTACTCCTCTGTGGCACGCATACTGATATATTTTGAACACACGACATAACTTTAGTTTTTTGACTTCTGTTTACTAAATAATTTTGTAAAATGTGTAATATTGATTCTTTAAAGCCATAGTGACGCAATTTCATTAACAACTTTTCCCTATCTATAGTCTCAAATGCCCTTTTGAAGTCTAAAAATATTATTACAATATATTCTTTCTCATTTAGTCTCCCTAGTCTTCCACCGTCATTTCGATTGCCGTTTGTGTGGAATATTTTTTTCTAAATCCAGCTTGATTTTTTATCAGTCATACATTGACATGGCCAAACCATAGTTATTCCAGATAAACAAAAGTTGCTAGGTAGACTTTGAAATTACCAGATAGTCATTTGTTTCGCAAACCAGGCCAGACCTTAAATTGAACATAGTAACAGGGTTTGGAAGATTGAAAAGAAGGGAAATGAATAGAATAGTGAATAATGTACAGAGAAGGGTCAGGCTTATTTATGATAATAATTGACTATCTGATAATTTCATGACCTACCTAGGAAATTTTTTGTTATGTGCAACTCTATTCATCTAAGCAAAAATCCAATAAGGCGCCCATAATAAAAAATATATAATGAAATTCTAATGTCAACCTGTATAGGAGAAAAAGTGGCGAATATTATTGTGCAATTTATGTTGAAATCTTACGACAAATAAGGTCGGAAATTGGAAAAATCTCTCTAATTACTTAAATACGCAACTTTGCCCCCATTTAAACGTGTTCGTATCTATTACAGTTTCCGAGATCCCAAAGCTAAGTGTCGAATTTGAAACACCCGGTATGAGAGCTTTTTCTTTGCGATTAGGGGACATGATGATTATTCATAAAAGATCATTGTTCAGTTTATTATTAAAGGGTGCCGGTCCTTTTGCTGACCAACAGAATCTTGAAAACCCGTAGAGATCTGGTGCAGCATTCATTAAAAAATACTTCACATACATATACATTTTTAATAATAAAAAAGCCGACTGTAGTAACTGAAACCGATGAAGTTTTGGTTGTGATATCAAACCGCGAAATCCATCAAAACGTTTGAGCTGTAGCCCGTGAAATAGAGATTTCAAAGTAAAATTTTGCGTTGAAAATACGTTATTTTGATTTTTTAATATTTAAATATATCCTATGTTACTCATATTTCAAGACAAATCTAGACACCTCATATGTTAAGATACATCGAGCCACGTACGATGTAGGACGTGAAATAGAAATTTCAAAGTTGAAATTTTCGATCAAAGTCGGTCATTTTGATTTTATTAAATTTTAACATACCCAGTAGCACTCACACTGCTAAAACGAATCCAAAATGTCATCAGACCGTTTGAACTGCAGCCTGTGAAATATAATTTTTTGTCTACATACATACTCACGCGCCCAAGAAAAAAGATATTATGGTATCAAGCCTTACAGCATTTTTTGTAAATGTCACTGCTTCTTGAAATGCACAACCCTGTATACATTAAAACACTATTAAACACGAAGTGAAAATAAACTTGTAAACCGAAACATATATTTTTTTCTCAAAAAGCTCCATAAAACGGCGTCTACGCTTTTAAATTACCAGTTCTGCTTTTTTTGTTCTTTATAGATATCATGAAACTAGTTACTGCTCACTGGTGTTTTAAAACCCAAGTATTACCTATCGAATCGTTAAAAAAAGGCTTGAAATGTGTAGACCATGCAACTTACAGTAGACACGTTTCTAGACTGCTTACCAAATAAGTGTGATAACGCCACCTCACGTTTATATCTCCAAACGAACCTGTTTGCTATCTGAACAATATATTTCCTTTCAATGTTCTGCATGTGAATATAACCAGTAAAATTAGAATAGAATTTTTGGTCTAAATACTACATACCTACATACCAACACGCGAAAAACATAAACCTGCTTCTGAAGCAGCCAGATGAAAATTACGTGGTTACATAGTTTTCGACAGTTTGTAAATTTTACTGCTCCATGAAATGCATCACCCTGTATATATCAAATGCTATGAAACACGAACTAAAAATCAGCTTGTCGTGGAAGCCGTTTTAGAACGCACATTGTTTTCTTTACTTTTGTCATTGGAGGACACTCAATATCACTAAACAATTAAAAATTTTCAGAAATTTTTTTTTCTGCCATTATCTCTCCGTCAAATGTTTAATTTCGAAATAAAAAAATATCTTCATCCACTGGACAGTTAGTAAGCGCTGTTAGTTTGTTATTTGGACGATTAGCTATTTTTAACGTATGGACTATATGAAATCAGGCTTAATAAATTAAAACAACGCCATGTGATAATTTTGATGATGTGGGAGTGCAAAGTAAAAATGGTTATGTAGAGGAATTAGATGAAGTGCTCTTCGCAAAATGATTTTATATAATGATATTTGCCTTGTATAGTATATACCTACGCTAGATTGCTTTTGATGTTGTAAAATCTGTAACATCTATAGGGTGTTTCAGAACTATGGGATCAAACTTGTAGGGGTTATTCTGTGTAACAGCAGAAAACGTTTGAGTATAGGGACCCATATCCGGCGCTTATGTGTTGTTATCTTTAAACACGATAACAGAGATTGTTTTTTTGTAGCTGCATTCCATATCGCCTTAGTCGTGCTATCGTATTTGTGAAGTTTGCAGAGAGTTCAATTTTGTCAATGGTTTCTTCATCAAATCGTTGCAGAACCAAATGTTTTACGCTATGTTTTATGAAGCCTATTTTACAAGAGACGGTATTTTTAATAGTATGAATAGCCATGTTTGGGACAAAGAAAATCCCCATGCAATTTTTCCTAGAAAACATCAGCAACGTTGGTCTGTCAACGTATGGGCAGGCATTGTTGATGATTATTTGATTGGCCATACCTTTTACCGGAACGGTTAACAGGACCTATTTACCGGCGTTTCTTGGAGGAAGTTCTTCGAGAATTTTCTGAAAATATTCCATTGAAAGTTCGACAGCAAATGTGGTTTTGGCATGATGGAGCGCCGGCTCACTTTGCTTTACAAGTACGTGAGTATTTGGCTCAGCGGTTTGGGCACTGTTGGATTGCCAGAGGTGGAGCAGTTTCTTGGCCTCCTAGGTCACCCGATTTAACGTCGCTAGATTTTTTCCGGTGAGGACATGCAAAGTCTTTGGTTTACGAAACTCCAGTAGAAACAGAGCAAGATTTAATTGGACGAATTACAACAGCATTTGAAATCATTCAAACAGAGCATCAAATTTTTAGTCAAGCCGAAATCATGTGCGACGTTTAAATCGGTGTATTCAGGTTGGAGGAAGACATTTTGAACAATTGTTGTGATGATATCATGTACAAAAGGCAAAAATTAAATGCATTAAATCCTATTTAGGCAATTCATCGTCTTTGTAAATTTTAACTTTTCCGGATATGGGTCGCTATACTCAAATGTTTTCTACTGTTACACTGAATAACCCCTAGAAGTTTGATCCCTTAGTTCTGAAACACCCTGTAACTGTATAATATTCAAAAAGATGGTCATAGGCAGTCAGCTATTTAGTGCGATTGTTGCAAGAAATTACATATTTTATTCCCCTACTGAGGTTTGATCAGTAGAAAAGGCTGGACAGACTAATGCTCTTCTTGTAATAATTCTCTATACCTATACATGTATTCACTAACGCTAGATAAATAAATATTTTACCTTGAACATTATGATTTCAGATTGCACATGATTTAGTATTATATTCAGCTGTACTGAAAAAGTTTACGCCAAACAGGTTTTTAGGAACACATTCGTGGCTGTACCAAAATATGTTTTTACAGTCTTTAATTTCATTCCGGCGTCTGTTCAGAACGTTTACATATGCTTAATCTGTGTAGTAATTTTAATTATATGAAATTCGTTCTGGACTGTTAACCTACCATATGGATTAAATACGTATCACATTTGGTGGGGAAACCGTACCGCTTCCCTTTTCATGGTCATGGTTTCTTCCACAGTCACAGGTGGCATCTTCAAGGTACTAAGAATTCATCCATCACAGATACGATTGGATCAATCTTAACCAAGATTTAGGCTATGGAAATCACTATAAATACGACTGAGCAGAGATATTATGTTCTCTTATCCTATACCCTTGAGGATGTCCTATACAATCGTGTAGTTGAAAACTGGACATTTAACTCAATCCAGATACACATTTTTTCCAGAATTGAGAAATATATTTAGTGGAAGTTCCCGAAGGTAAAACCTGCTAGCATTTAACAAAATGTATGTGCGTAGTGTAGTAAGTGTGTTGATAAAGCATTTGTAGATATCACCTGCTTGCTTGTAACATCCACGGGGCATGCATTTTCAGATGAAAAAAAATAATACAATTATATAATTGTAACTTCTTAACAGATTCCCGCAAACGTAACCCCTCCGAGATGTCAAACCCTGAAATAGCGTTGAATTTTGAGAAAGAGCATCTGAGAAGCGCCGAGGAATGCGACTACATGGTTATGGAGAATCTCATACAGAGACGCTATGAAGAAGAGGAAGAAGACGAAGAAGCTATTGAGGACAATAATGCTCAGGTAATCTACAGAGATCTTTCGTAATGCCCCGAAAATATAAACTTTCCATATATTCAACACAAGACCTCTAATCACTTAAGTGTCAGTATGTAAACTTTAACATGGATTTTGTAACAATTTCCGAAATTGTAGGTAACATCGGTGCACTCTGGCGTAAAATTTTCAGCTCAGCCTCTGTTGAAATCTGAAGATAGTAATGTTTATTTGACTCTTACGTGGGAACTACTAATTTGATGTTGTTAATATACCTTGCCAGCATTCCTCAGTAGATCTTAGTATTTATGAATAATAGGGCCCATGAATATCATTTTCAGACGTAAAACTAGCATGCTGATCTTAAAAATGTTTCTTATTTACACAGGTATTCTCTGGTGACATATAAAATATATCCTGTAAAATAAAATTTTCAGAAACCAAAGAATCCCACGTTACTGAACGTGGTGACAGAAACAAGGGAATTCAGACTAAATTCCTGGCCAGTACGAAATGCTTTGAGGAGATCAAGCGCCATAGAGTCTGATGAAACTGCAGGAACGTCATCATTAACAGCTACAGCACCACTACAAGCAACTGCTTCAGGGCCAATGGGTAAGTTTAACACCTCTCTAAACTATTATTAAATACTCCATTTTGTTTTGTACATAGACCGCTGCTGGGAATAGATAGTCAAATGCAAAATGTTCAAACTTCGCGGAAACATGTTACAGGCATAGAAAAGTTAAAAGGGTGTCTTAGAAGTTTTATAAATTTCGGCTTTATTTTTCAGAATGTCTGGTATGTTACACGTCAGTTAATATGTGGAACAAAAGGGTCCATTGGGCCATAGTTCTTATACCCGTAGGTCTCGAGATACAGGGTGGGTCAGTGAAACGAGCGATTTTGAAATATCTGTCACAAATTGATGAGCTTTCATCCAAAAAACCATTCATTCCACCAAGATCTACAAAAAAACAAAGTTGAGCTTGATGGTTCTATAGTTTTTAAAAAGTCCACTACAAACTACAAGGATGGCCGAGTTCTGCCCAAGAGCCGTTCACTTCGGCTGGTCGGAGTCCAGATCGCCGAGGACTTGATCTGGCACGAACACATCTCGTCAATAGCGGCAGGTGCTGGGAAAAAGTTACGCTATTTGTTTAAGGCTAAGAAGTACTTTTCACCGTATGACCTTCTCACTCTACACAAGGCCCAGATAAGGCCTAGCCTTGAGTATTGCTCATACGTTTGGGATGCTGCCGCTCCGACTACATTATTTATGCTCGATGCTGTACAGAGAAGGGCTGTCTGACTGGTCGACGACTCTTTTCTAATAGTCAGTCTGGGAACCCTTTCGCACCGGCGGGCCGTCGACGATCTAGCTCTATTCTACCGTTACACCAACGGGCTTTGCTCCTCAGAGCTCTCTTCCATGATGCAACCGCGCGATGTGCCTGCCAGATAGACCCGCCTGACTTTGGCCTCCCATCCTAACCGTGTCGAACTTCGTACATTCAGATCTGGCCGATACGACCGCTCCTTTCTCCTGAGGATGTCGAGATTGTGGAACATTCTACAAGATGCAGCTTTTCCCAGTTCTACTAACCTTAGGCAGTTCAAAAATCGGATTAACAAAATTTCTTTGGAACCCCATAGCAGCCGCGGTGTCCCGCATTTTGGCTTCGCTATAAAAAAAAACAAAGTTGATTGTCAGCGACATGTTTCCATGTCGTCTAGTTTTGTGAACTTAAAAGGACTTCGTTTATTACTTATTGACATGTAACTTTTGCTTATGGGACTCAAAAGCTATCTATCAGCAATGAACATCGAACTGAAACAAAAGATGTCAAAAAATATTTTTAGAATACCGCAGCAAGCAGGTGTGTCGAGCTTTACAACATACCAATTTAAAAAAATGCCATTAGCGCCGTCATTATATTCAGCATAAGCTAGACCTTATCGAACTAAGACAGTGTCATTGACTTTATATCCTGGATGATGCTATGCTTTTGTTGGTTGTCACATACTGATGAGTTGCCAAAAAAGTACGAAAGGGTTCCGAGACTGTTTGTTAGAGAACAGTCATCGATCAGTAGGACAGGCATCTTCTGAACAGCATCGAGCATAGATAATTTATTTGGGGCGGCAGCAATCTAAACATGTGAGCAATACTCAAGGCTTTCGCTTATCTGACCCAAGAATATTTTTCTTCTACATGTTCGCTGTTTAATTGTCTATTTCGATTGTTCCAATACTATACTTCTTTGCAGGTTCCAGCGGTTCCTCGACAGACCGTCAAGACTCGACCGAATCCAGCGACATGTCATCAATGAACAGGCCGCCTATGCAGCGACCATCGATCGTCATCGATTCCTCGCAACTACCATTACAAAGGGAACCTTCCCTATCCAAGGCTGAATCCAAAGGAAGTCTGCACATGCAGTCGGAAACTATGTGTTGAAAGAGTCGCTAGCGATGTAGCGTGTATTGTGAGAATTTTCATTTTGTCGATTTCAGTTTACCTATCGATTGATAAACTTCTTGGAATTTTAGGTATACGTTGAAAAATCGTGAGCAAAAGTCGTGGTTAGCGGTGATTTCATATTTTTGCTGATGCCTTCCACGCGGGACAGTGGAAGTAAATTAGTAAACAACAGTTAAAAGAAGTATTTCTTCTTTTTATAAAAGTTAAAATTAGTTATAAAAAAACTTGTTCATAAACTGGATGACTCAAAAAAACAGTTACCCTTACCAAATAATAGGTTATTCACGAAATCCAGAAAAAAGTATGTGAAGTGGATAAATGGTTCACATATAGCAAGTACTAATCGGATTTTGTTGATATTTCGAAACAAGCTTTCTACTATGCAAAGCACGAAAAAGCTGTAGTTGATTGTTCGATTTATTTGAACTGATGATAGAATTGCCTGGAAAATACGGAGTCAACCTACTTGACGCCAGTTTTTCCACACCGTGTCATTACCCACTGAGCTGATAATTCATATTATATTACCTAAGATTCTATGAAGTATACCCAAAAAAGGTATTCCACAAAATGTATATACCCTTCAAATTCACATGAAGTTGAGAGTACCTGTTTGTAAGTACTTAAAAAGCTGATCGTATTGGTGCCATGTTCAAAGTAAATAGCTCCAAAAATTATATGAAAATGTTTCATTTTTATCTAATTCAAATTTTCTGTTATTGTGAATCAAAGTACTTAGGTAAACAAAGGTCGACAAACTTAAGTAGAATAACTAGGTAGGCATACTTTTTATGTTTTAATACTCAAGACTTAATAGATACATATTTATATCCCGAATACTGCGAGTTCCTCAAACTTCCTTTTCCCCATTTATCGATTTGGTTTTGAATCTTTCATATTTTCACGCAGAGCACGGTAACTCGACAAGGGAACGTATCTCAAAGGATTCACACTCGAAATTTAGTGTTTTTATATTGAACTAAAAGATAAATGAGTTTGCAACACCTTTGCAAAAAAATATGTTGATATGCAACATAACTTGTACTTTAAAAATTTTAATCCTAAAATATTTACATCTTTAATAAAGCCAAGAGCTTACATTCTCAATAATCTATAAAAATCATTTTTTTTTGTTTACATGGTGTACCCCATACACCAACATGTAATTTCCATTTCGATAGACCTTATCCTATGAACAGATTACAGTTGCTCAGCTTTTGTTCGTTGTCCATCGAGACGATGCTGAAGAGTTTCCAAATAGCACGAAACGGCTATTATGTAATTTCTTAAAGTACGTAATATCGTACTCATAATTCAAATTATATTGTAACTTTTTCATATCTATTTCAAATTTTGCACTAAGGTTGAACTTCGAAATTTGTCTCGTGTAGTACTTTAACTCTATGTGTCTAAATATTATTGTAACAGCAATTAATGAAACAAAGTATATTTTCTTAAGTTGGCACGTCTCTTTTTTAGATTTTTTCCAACTTCCTGTTTGCAGCATTATTTTAAATCCTTTTCATCTGATAATTTCATGGTGTGTATAGAGATGAGTAAAAAACAATGGTTCAATTTTTTTTTGTCGAAAAATGCATTTTTTGTGCTTGAGCTTGTCAACAAATATAAGTACAGCTCTAAAATTGTGTGTGAATATTCCTCTTTTATGGAAGAATGAAACGAGTGCTCTTATCACTTTCCCTTTTCGAAAAATATTTACATTTCTTGAAAACTCAACTTGCTGCGAGACGAGGCTTCAAGAAAATCGAAGATTTTTCGGAAAGGAAAGGTGATATGAACAAAAGTAATCACTCATTTCATTCTTCCATAAAAGAGGGATATTCACACACAATTTCAGAGCTATACTTATATTTGTTAACAAGTTCCGATTGAAGAATGCACAAAAAATGCAGTTTTTGACAAAAAAATGAAAATATTGTTTTTTAGTCATCTCTATAACACCATGGAATTATCAGCTGTAAAGTATTTAGAATACTGCTGCAAACAGGAAGTTGGAAACAAATCGAAAAAAAGGGACGTGCCACCTTAACCCAATACATTTATATGGTCCATTCATTTTTACAATTTGTGATACAACACTTTCTTTTAGTACAACACAACGAAATCGAATGGGTTGGGAGCCAAGCCTATATGTTTATATGGCAGTTTGTCACCAAAACTACGTGTAGTGCATACTTTGAGGTGAAGATGCCTACCAAAGTCACAAAGCAATACATTGGCGTACATTCTTTTCTCTGGAAAGGATATTCAAATAGCCAATGTATGTATGGATTTTTAGTCTGATGATTTCTCAAAATGTTCAAATGGAACTCCCTGTATATTTTCACATTATTTGATTCCTATTTTTCCACTTTTTTTATATAAAGTATTTGGTGTTTGTACGACCGGCTTTTGAGTTACAACTAACTTTTCTGTAAACCATATATCAATATGAATGAAAAATATTACATTACATATCAAAATAAAAAATTATATTTAGCTGGTAGCGACAAATCGCTAAGAATTAAATTTACTCAAGCTTATGCAATAAATTGCAAGTCGAAAAGTCCCTGTGTTTTTAGTAGCTCAAAAATCAGTTACACAATCCTTTATAAACCATATATTAGAAAAAAGCATATGAAACGAAATCAAAGGATGTTGAAATAACAGTTAATTATGTTCCAAAACAGACGATTCTTTGAGTAGTTTTGAAACAAAAAGTTCGTATAAACATAGGCACGTAAAGTCTTCGATCTCAAGATACAGTGTGTTAATATTTAATTTCTTGAATCCTTTACCTAATTTTGTTGTAATTTGCCGGTGGTATTTATAAACTTAAGGAGCTAATTTAGCCCTAAAATGATTAAAGTTCAGTTGCGTCTCGAACAGGATCTGAACGAGTATTTGTGACAAAAAATATACCTCACTGACTTTGCAATCTTCTTTGGATTGAGCCAATAAAAAAACTACTTTTTTGTCTCTTGAATGTTTTTCGTATATTTCTTAGTTTTCGAGAAAGTCCACTTAATTGTATATCCCTGGACCACAAAAGGAATATGAGGAAATTTTATTTTAAAAATCATTATTTTTTTATTACTAGTTATGTAACTACAAATAGACACTAAAAAATTAGGTAAAGGATATTTAAGATACATATTTGCGAAAAAACATTTTTGTTTAAATACGAAGAATTTGCGGACCTGTGAACTTTTTGTCTTAAAATTACTCAAAGAATCGTCTGTTAAATTTATGGTACATACTTAGTTAACACCATGTATAGGGTGTTCCTTTTAAACATTCTGAAAAACAGTTGATTTGTTGTTGAGTTCTGGACTACTCTGTATGAACTATAAAAAACTGAAGTATCTAGAAAGAGAGAAAATATGGGATCATAAAAATATTCTTACATAAAATTTAGCAATTTAGCAATAACAGTTGCGGAGGTGCGAGTTGTCAAAGTTGAGTGTTTTCTCCGATGGATTTTCCAATATCTCAACACTTTGAAAATCATTATATCAAAATGCTTTGTTTGAAATGGCCTATCCAAATTTGTAATAAACTATAAGTTTTTCTCTTAAAAAAAATGTATATTTGGGACACCACGTAGTTATGAATCACCCGGTAGAGATAAAAATATTTTCCAAATCGGAAGCATACTGTTGGCAAATACCTAGTCGAGCATAATATGGAAATTGCTGCTGTTATATCATTATCACTATATTTTTCCAGTATAAAGATTTGGACGTGATTCAATCAATTTGATATTCATACATTTTTGGAATCTCGCAACACTAAAATGGAGAAATGAATAAATTTTTTTTGAAGCGAATGTGAAGACTTTACCGAAGAACTTGTAGATTCAAAATTAAAGTACACACATCATCAAAAGTGTTGGACCCCCTGGCGTACTGGGAAACTATAGCCTTCTAATTTCAATCTTGGATATATTTTAAATTGGGGATATTTTTACTATATTTATTTAACAAAACGTTAAATTAATTTCATTAATATGAAAAGAAAAAGAAAGTTGAACAAGGTACCAAAAATTTTATTTTTAAAATCAAAATTAAAGAAAAATAATTATTCTAAAGAAAAATAAAACATAATTAATAACCGGTCCGGTGTCCTCTACATCTTAGCAGTGCGTTAACACGCCTTGGCATTCCTATTATTCGGTGGTTAATGTTTTCTTGGGGTAAATTATTCCACTCTCCATTTACTGCTGCAGCTAGCTCATTTAGGGTTGTAGGTGGATCTATTCTGTTCCGTACGGCTCGAGCTATAGTGTCCCAAATATTTTCAATGGGGTTCGTGTCTGAGCTGTTCGCAGGCCATGGCAATCTCACTATTTGGCCCCTTTCTAGAGCCCGCTGGACCCTTCTCGCTCTATGTGGCCTTGCATTATCATCCATAAAAATGAAGTTGTTACCGAATTCGTTTCGCAAAGGTTGAATAATGGGTTGTATGAAATTTTCTTCATAAATTTCTGCAGTCATTGTCCCCTGGATCTGAATGGTTAAACATTATGCCTCCCCAAAACATTATTGATCCGCCCTGATATGAGACAACTTCTCGGGCCAAATTTAGTCGCTGTTGATGTCCTGGTTCTCTGCAAACCCTTATTCTACGGTCATCACTCACCAGTCCAAACCTAACCTCATCTGTAAATACCACATTTCGCCATTGTGGTAAAAGCCACTCCTGATGTTCTCTAGCCCACTGGAGACGAGCAGCAATTTGTCTACGAGTAAGACGTGGAACCCTTAAAGGTCTTCTAGGGAGCAAATTTGCCATTCGCAATCTTCTTATGGTAGAAGTGGAAATAACTATTGGAAAGGTATGTTGAATATGCGATCTGATAGCTGTACTTGTTGAAAATTTATTCCTTCGGGCAAATAGAGCAATGTAACGATTCTCCCTATCATCCGTTACTCGAGGACGCCCACTGCGTGGCCGATTTTCAATTGAGCCAGTTTCTTGGAATCTTCGAATTGTTCGAATAACCGAACTTCTTGGGATACCCAAATCCAGTGCTATTCGGTGATTTGAAAATCCAGCATGGAAGAGGGCTAGTATTCGTGTTCTGTCAAAACCAGAAATTTCAGCTCGCGGCATTTTAAAAGTTACAGTATAAAATTTTTTTTTAATACTTTTTGCTCAAACACACACAAGATTTCTTGTTCACAAACAGAATGTAGATAACGTACCTCTAGACGGATTTATACAGGGGGTCCAACACTTTTGATGATGTGTGTAGATAAAATTCATAGTTTTGGTTGGCCCTGTAGTACCCATGAACATTTTGGGTCGACTTCAATATTTCGCATTTTTTAATGTGTTAGATACATTTTTTTATCAATCCTTAGATTGAGATTAAGCACTCAAATAAACAAAAAGTGTCTTTCGCAATCTACAGAAACCTTCACCTATTTTAGCAAAGGTGTGGAACACCAGGACTGCATGGAAATTCACACACTTGTATTTTTTCGCCGAAAGATAAGTATGCACTTGCATCCTGACTACCGAATACGTAATTTTGGTTCAAAGCAAGTCAGATGCTAACTCCTTAACCTACTTCGAATTCGATGGTACAACCAAACCTTGCAGTATTCATGTTTACCTTTTCACCTGTCCTGTGCCCTTAATAAAACCGTATATTTTGATATTTATCTTTAAAATTACTGAAAAAAAGTTTCCACAAAGATATTTTTCTCTTCAAAGAATCAAAGAATTTATTGTAGATACAAATGTAATGTCCGTTACAATTAAATGATAGATTATATTGCAGTTACCGATTTTCTTTGTAATAAATCAATAATATAATAAATTTTATATTTGACAATAAGATAGTCTATGTATGTGTTAATATCCAAGTGTGTAATTTTTGTCAAATCGTGAATGTAAATAGGTAAACAGAAGTAGCTTTGAATAGAGTAATTTTATCAACATATAATTCGACTTCAGTATGTATTTTTGTCTTCCATCAAACACATTTGCGTATGGATGAGAAAATTAATTTTAACAAGGACATTGGATAATGTTGGCGTTGTTTTTATCTCATGACCAACGATGAACCTTGTTTCTCTTACAAGGGTTGCTCATCGAGACAATATCTAGAGAGGCGCTATTAGAATCTCCTTTGGATATACAAAACGGCGTCAGGGGGCAGAGCCAAGGATGACACTCTTGTATCAGGTTGACCCAAGTCTGGCTTAAATTTCACACTTTCAGTAGCAATTCGGCAATACAGCAGTTTACTACTTTTTGAAACACGAAAGAAAAGTGAAGTACAGTACTGAATTTTTTTTTCGAATATCTGAAAAAATGACAGAGGTGTTTTATTTGGAGAATTATTTTGTTGAGGCGTGAGACTGAGTGATGACGTCACATGATACTAGCTACCATTACTAACATGCCCCATTTAGAAAAGTATTTACGATTTACGGTAAAAATGGGTCAGAGCATCGACTTAAAAATACTGTATAGTACCTATAGGTGTACAATTGCAGGCAAATCAGCTCCAGGTATAAAGATGTTTATCTGTGCCAAAACAGAAGAATTAGAGGGAAGTGGAACGTGGACGTTAAAATTGCCTCTTTCGGAAATATCATTGTACTGCTGCAAATACCATTTTGATGTCAGTAGGTATTTAATTAATACAGTAAAAAGTATCAAAATACATATAACTGGGTGCCTATTTTGATGGCTAAATAACCTAATTGGTGTAAACGAGAACGGGAATAGATTTGATTATTGCTTTTATTTCGAGATAATGTGAATATTGTTATAGTGATCATGTTGTGGCTGGAGGGGGGTTAGTCCTTGAACCCCGTCTGTGTCGACGTGAAGATGCATATGCGTGGTTCAAGAACTAAAAAAACCTGGCCAAAAGTGCAAGAAATTTGAGTAATAGAATAGTGTCAAGTTTTAAAATAATCAGCCGTATTGAGATATGTGGCAAAATGGATTGAGGAGTCGACGGTATGTACAGTTATTATTATATAGCAATTGTACTACTTGCCAATCGGAACTATACAACAAAAATATGTAATTGTTATTATTTCTGCAATTAGTCAATACAAAAATAGTTTACAAAATCGATTACATTGAGATTTTTTTAAGAAATTATTTTTAATTCGTTATTAGCGATCTTAAAAACACCTCAATTCCAATTTTGAGCGCTATTTAGATTTTTGAACGATTGATATCAAGTTCGTTATTAGCGACCCTGAAAACATCTAAAACTTAAATTTGAGCTCAACTAAAACAATATGTCAGCCATATTAAATCCACCATTTTGATCTTTAACAAATGGATACCATATTCGTTGTCAGCCACCTGGAAAACGTAGAAATGATTTTTTTTTGTAATATTGTGAATCTTTTTTTAATTTTGGACATATTTTAGGACTTTTGATCCACCATCCACCATGGCGTGTGTGGGCTTAATTATAAATGTCAATACGTGCCAAAATGTTTCGCATAATATATTTAATCAATAACCATTATTGTCCTCCTTTTGAAGATTAGTGGAATCAGTAGGCAGAAAACCTTCTTCCATTTTATTTATTATACTATATCTATAATATCGCACAGCAATCAATTCCAAGATACAAACAATACATTGCGACTGATCTTGAGCGTTAAGCATGAAGACCGCGTCAGTTCCGTTATCAGAACATTTTTTTCAGATTTGTGAAAGATTTTCGTCTATAGGAAACTTCCCAATTAACAAATCCTCACTTCGGTCCTGCTTCTTGTCTTTGCAATATAGTAACCTGAGACGATTTCTTGGTATCCTCTAGCCTACAGTGCATCGTCGGGCTACCAACACCATATGTGTTTGCCATAACGATAAACATAGTATACGAAAAAGAAATAAGTGATAAAAAGTTCGGTCTGACGCTGTGATTAGACGTTATGCCATATCCCCTAGAGATTCTATATCTTCTGCCTAACACGACAGTTAAAGTTAAAGTTGTGCTAAAAAGCAACGTTTCCGAAATGAATAAAAAAGATCGGTAATGGAGTGAAAGTAACGTAAACCTCCATTAAAAATTATCCATGGTCCTTGCAATGTCACTTTTGTGCAGCCTAGAATGGAGACTAGAATGTAAAAGTTGGTATTTGCACGTTAGAATGATGAAGAAAACCGCATAAAAGTAACGAATGTTCCGTTAATTTATCCATTTCTAGTCTAGACAGTACTTTACTCAAATAGTACTTAAACAAATATGATACTGACGCGACAGACCTATGTAAGACTCAAAAAGGCCTATGTAAATTCATTATTAGCAATGGATAACATAACATCACAGTGGTAATAGGATACAAAAATTTTATATTCAAGCTTATGAGGGGATTTTAAGAATTTGTCAAATCAAAAACTGTATTTCATAACCAAATAATTGTTAGATGTTTATGAATAAGTTTTTTTGTAGGTTTTCATGCATTTCTTACAAACCAAATCCTTGTGCACATTTCTGACATTTACGGTGGTGAGCACCAACCAGGTGAGTTCAAAACTAAATTAGTCTGTCACTGAAGATATCTAAAATCGACGACTTCAGGAAATGATATAATAATGCTGAAATCTCATATTTTTGGTTAGCTATACTACTTAAGTTTTAAAATCTCTTGGTTGGTTCTCGCCACCGTTAGAATCTATAACAACAGTGTTTGGATCTATCTATCTTGTCTATCAACGACACACAGTGATCTATGTAGTCGAAAACCTGGAGAAATTGAAAAAAACAGTATCGGAATGAAAAATTAATTCCTATTTTAAAGTTGACGCCTTAAACATCAAGTTGGGCATGGAGTCAGCACTTTGTTTACACTGCGTTTACCATGACAGGTTAATAAAGTTTTTGATGTATCACTTGACACTACTTTTTAACGAAAAAATTGGAGAGCGTCTGCATTATCCCTTGTCTTATTTTTTGAAAATATTTGAACATCTGGATATGGATCAAGATATTACGAACTTTCATTTGATGTAATAGAAAAGTGTCGTTATTATTTTCTTGTAGACATACTATCTTTAGCGTCACTCCTTTGTATTAGAATTATACAAAGATGTTTTTAATAAAGTTCCGTCTTTTGATCCCAATTGGAATAAATTATGTTTGTGAACCTTGATGTACTGCCAGATAAAATCTAGTGTCAGTTTTTGCTAACTTTTGCAAAATGTAACCTTATATATTAACATATTATTGCTGGGGGTGGGATACGTTTAACTTTTTTGAATAGATATAAAATCGGCAACCTGAGAATCGTATAAATGTAGAAGTTGTATTTTTGCCAGCTTTCCGGTATTCTAGACCACTTTGTGACAGTATATTTAACTCATGTTTTTATACAGTATACTACTTATGCATAACTCGAGATTCACCGGGAGTATAAACGGCAACACTCAGTAGGTATTTTCCTTATAGTCGCTAAACTTGATCCGTCATCCCCTACTTCACCAAATCACTGGAGGCTCAGCATCAAGACAGTGTTGCCATTTACATTAATTTATATAAACATATCTTGCTCTGGCAAATTCAGCAGCCACCAATTTATTAATGATAATTTATATAATAGTATCAACAAGGAAACTACAAAGGAGTCTTCAAGATACCTCATGAATTCTATAGTCCATCTATGGAAAACAACTAAACCCAAACATATTCACGCATATTTCACGTGATCAGAACCTGAACGCCGTACGAACACTAACGACAGGCAATGCTGCCTGCATCGCTGTGTTGTCTCCCACTCCGCCTTTCTGGTTTGGCATTGGTCTCCAGCAGTTCTGCCCAATAACAATTATGATTCCCCTTTCTTAAATAAATATGTTTTTTTTATTTTTCAGAAAGGTTCATCGTCATAGCTATAGGTTTAAAACATCGCTATACCTAGAATGTTTTTCCTAAATTGTACATTATTTTATTCTGTACATATCTTAGAAAAATGTAGTGCTCAAAAAAAATTTATATATGTATATAATTGAAGAACTGCAAATTGAAAACGAATTCGTCATATCTTTCTACCAAACTGTCATGCGTGATACCAGATAAATATTTGTGAACAATATATGCTGATGATATGCAGCTTGAAAAAATTAGCTTGATCTGAGAAGGTTATATATGCCATAGACACGGCCAGGTGGATAGAAGGGACGACGATATTGTATATTAGGCCAATATATAAAAATTGTCGTATAGTCAACAGATTACGAGAAATTAAAAGTGCGTAATGATATTTCCGCTTATATTGGCTAAACTAATAATCTAAGAGTAAAAACTACTTTTTGTAGGGAATAAAATTTGTTAAAAAAAAGATCTTTCACATTCTTTTAGAAAGTTGAAAATTCGTAACAAAACAGTCGTGTGACATACTCCACTTGCTACGTACGTTATCCACGTTATCCGCATACATCATTTCACGTAGAGATAACTTCAGAATCATTATCTGTGATCAAGGATACCATTTTAAAATGAATCATTTTTTTACTTCCAATGAATGAAGAATGTAATATTTTTCTTGATAATTTGTGATGTTTTTTTCATTATGAACATCCAGTCACTCACTCCCATCATTCTGTTTATCGAATATTTTGTCAGTGAGTAATGTCAGTAATGTAGTATCACTCCCTTTCCATTGAAACCGATGCAACGGTTCCTGAGGTTATGCAGTGACACAATGGTCAATACACAGACTGATGGAAGTGAGTGACTTGCATTTTCATGATGACATTATTATTATATCGAAGCAGCCGCGCTGGCAGAAGCCTAAATACCAGGGTACCGCGGCTGCTATTAAGAACTTAAAGCAACTTTGTTAATGCGAGTTTTGAACTGCCTAAGGTACGTAGAACTGTGAAAAGTTAACTCAGCTAGATTGTTCCACAATCTCGATACCCTAGGGAGCGGTTGTATAATAGGCCAGTTCTAGATGTACGATGTTAGGACACAGTTAGGGTGGGAGGCAAATCTGTCTGGCAGGCATCATGTGTTATCCGAAAATATTAAATTTTCTATAGCGCGCGACTGTTTTCATGCGAACGTTGAACTTTCGCTTCTGATTCTTGAAGCACCGTCAAAGTGTCGAAAAAGCGGAAAGGATATTTTTGTAGAAAATTTCGTCGTCTTACAAGAAATTTTAATAGTTTTTATACGCTTAGGTTGTTATAGTTTAGCCATTATAAGCCAAAATATTATTACATGTACCTTTGCCCTTAAATTTCTCGTACCCTGTTGACTTGTAGAAGCAAAATTATATAGAATTTAATTTCCTACAAAAGTGTTTTCATTACTTTTTTACATAGGAGATGCGATTATCAAAATGATGGCAAATTCTCCAGCCCTATCATGCTAATTTGATCCTATCATTAGGAAGCAATAATCTTGCTATACCACCAAAAAATCTAGACTCTCCAAAATTGTAGGAAAAAATTACTAATTTCATTGCCTATATGTGCTGATACAGATCATCTCAATACAGAGTATCATTCCGGCGGCTATACATTTCACGGATGAAGTTAATTTTGTCAAACTACTAGCTCAAAATTTTAACTGTATAATTTAATCAAACTAAAAATGTAGCGCTGTATTAGCATACATACTTTTCTCTATCGATATTTGATTAGGTTCAACACTGATTATTTGTCTGAAAATGCAATGGGAAATGAACTAAGATGAACATATGAAAGAAAAAGCAATTGGAACTAAAATCATGAGTAAAATTTAAAATGTTTGTTTTGATGGAATAGTTATTGTTGTTAGTGAAATTGTGTTTACTATATCATTTTCAATCTGTTTTTATTTTGGGAATGAACTGTAACGTATTCACGAAAATATTGCGTGGTGCAAGCTACATCAAGTACTTTATAGAAGCTCGCAAGTTGAAATTGAAACTATTTGTCTTTAACTAATTTGTGATTTTTTATAAATACAATTCACGCACCTATCAATAAATTTGTACAACATCAAACTCGACCTTACGCAATAATAAAACAGTAAAATTATAGTTGTTTTTATTTTCAACCACCTATCATCAAATAAAAAGTTTAGCAGTCATTTGTACTTTTTGCGTTTCTGCGACTCCGATTTTCTTTTGATATGAATTCATGATTCATCCTCTCGTGCTTCAAAATGTTACGCGTGCGCAAGTTGCACATTGCTTTTTAAAATCACAGGAACGTAAAATGAAATATTCATGCTACCCAAGTCGCTGTTCTATTCCGTCTTTGCCGCGGGGCTCATGCTCATGGCCACCAACTTGAGAGAATCCGAGAGTCAAACGAAATTTCAAAAAAAAAATGGCGTCTAGTTGATTGACACTCCACTTGCCAAGCATCAGTTCATAAAGGATTAAATTCAGCACAATTTAAATCCTCTGAAAAAAAGTCAGTTACGAACATGTACAACAGTGTCCCTTTCCACATCTGCGCGACATCGCTGCAGCGAGTTATAGTTCATTTCGTGCATGGTCCGTGTATGTTTTTTGCGCTTCAGTGCGGATAGATTAGTCAGCCGGACGGGTTCGCCGGGCGGTGAGTTTAGATTACAGGAGTAAGAGAATTCGATCCAAGTTTTAAAGGCGGGATATACAGGGTGTTTCAGTTTATTGTTGCATAACTTTAAGGTTCGATAGAACTTTTAAAATTAATGCATAAAGTCTATATAAACATGGGTCGAAAAATGCGTGGCTTCCGAAATTTAAATTAACTTTCTAAAATAGTTTTTTTTAAATATTTCGAACAATATCTGATATATAATAGTGAAAATTGGTATACAAGGGTTTTTTGGTACGACAAAACGAACCATGGGCATAGTTTTACTGTAGCCGCTAGAGGGCGCTCTCTACTGTACCTGTAGTGTATTAAAATGACCGAAAAATTTTTCTTAGTGCAATTGTGTGCTTTTTGAATAAAAAACCTGATTCTTCGCACTTTTCAACATAAAAAAGCTCTCCTGTGAGTTTTCGTTATAGTTAGCCGTTTTTGAGATATTTCGATTTTTAGGGTTCGATGCATTTTTAATTATTTATGGGAAAATATTTTTTTTTACATTCTCGATTTGGGCATTACAAGTAATTAAGATGATCGTTTAGATTGTGTTTTTAAACACAGTAATAATTCCTAACTCCAAATAAACACAAAAAAACAGGATATTAATTTTCCAATATTATTTTTAACAAATTAAATTAATTATTTACAACTAAAATGCTATTGGATAGTTAGGACAAACATACAAAATCTAAAGTAGTTGCTCGAAATGTAAACCCAATTGTTCAATACACAATTCACATCTACGAATGATCTAACGTGGTATAGCATTATTCAAATAAGGCCTTATTTCATCACATGCATTCCTGATTCTGTCTATTAGCATATCTCTTGTGGTTACGGGAGTCTGGTACACTTTTTCTTTTAGAAATCCCCACACAAAGAAATCTAATGGATTTAGGTCAGGGGATCGTGGAGGCCAGGCGACTGGTCCTCCACGGCCGATCCATCTTTCTGGATAATTTTCGTCCAGCCAGTTTCTAACTATTCTCGAATAATGAGCTGGACAACCATCAAGCTGGAACCAGGCTAATCTTCTTAAATCTAACATAGCATCATCCCGCATATGTGCATGTTCAGCCTTTAAAAATTCCAAGAAGGTCGCAGCATTTAACCTTGCATGCAAAAGGTAGGGTCCAAATAGTCGATTACGGTAGATACCAATCCACACGTTCACACTAAATTCATGCTGAAAATGTCTTTCCCGAACTGCATGCGGATTTTCATGCGACCAAATATGTGGATCATGAAGCATGACTCATCGGTTCATAAAACGTTACTTAAAAACTCCCTATTATTATCAGTTCTATCAAGAATCCACTGACAAAATGTGATTCTTCGTTCTCCGTCCCCTGGCTGTAGTCCTTGCACAGGTTGCAAATGGTAAGGACGTCTATGGTCATTTCTGAGAACACGGTGAACATGGCTTGCTGAAATTCCCAAGGCACCAGATACTCTCCTAACACTTGTGGTCGGATCTCTATCAAACTCACGCAGAATCATACGGGTAAATCTGCGCTGACAAACATTTATGTTTTAATCCCTTTGGAGATTTCAAAAACCGTTTTCAATTATTTGGCGATGCACTCTTACAAATACTGAGCGAGTTGGATGTCGTCTGTTTCTAAATCTTCGTGCGTATTCTCTGGCTGCTTCTACTGCGTTTCCATTTACAAAGCCATACACAAAATGAATATCCGCTAACTCTTGATTGGGGAATAAAAATGGCATTTTTATAAAAAAAAACAGGTAAAAGAAACTAAATTTCGTGCATTCAAAATTGCAAAAAAACGTTTCAGGTTTCAACAGACAACAAAACGAACTGTCAACTACTTGACGTTTAACCTTATTCTGCTTTCAATTTCAAAAATATTTGCAGGCACAGCCTACTTCTAAAAATTAGAGATACTGACTTTTTAACGTTATTTTATCATAAAAATGCATCGAACCTTAAAAATCGAAATATCTCAAAAACGGCTAACTATAACGAAAATTCACAAGAGAGCTTTTTTATGTTGAAAAGTGCGAAGGATCAGTTTTTTTATTCAAAAAGCAAAAAATTGCACTAAGAAAAATTTTTCGGTCATTTTAATACACTACAGGTACAGTAGCGAGCGCCCTCTAGCGGCTACAGTAGAACTATGCCCATGGTTCGTTTTGTCGTACCAAAAAACCCTTGTATACCAATTTTCACTATTATACATCAAATATTGTTCGAAATATTTAAAAAAAACTATTTTAGAAAGTAAATTTAAACACCCTGTATTTCGGAAGCCACGCATTTTTCGACCCATGTTTATATAGACTTTATGCATTAATTTTAAAAGTTCTATCGAATCTTAAAGTTATGCAACAATAAACTGAAACACCCTGTATACTAGAATCAAAAACTTCTCATGTACCTTTCCCCACCTCCCTAAGATCCTCCAACCCCCGAATTTCAACGCCTACAAAATTTTTTCCGAAACTGATTGGGACCTCTGAAACGTCAAAGAACGTTTTGGGCGATTTTTACTTTTTCGTTTTTGGTTTTTTCTCCGCCATCACTGCACCGATTTTCAAAATTTACAAAGTGTTTTCATCCTTGGCATAGTAGCACCTGTGTGTAAATCATCATCGCCGAGCGGTTATCTTCAAGTTATAGAGGCCCCAAGGATTAGCTGACACATACACCGAGGGAAATCAGTGGCATGGTGTTTGGTGATACACATATCAAATAACATCGAAAAAACACAATCTCATTTTCGAAATTTTTCGCGATTACTAAACTTCGCCCCGTGGTGTAGAAAGTAAAAAGTGTCTTCAATTTTCACCAACGGCAAAATAGGGTCCAGGATGTACCCACTTCAGCTTTCTGTGTGCCCAAGTGCCTTTACATAGCTTGAAATGGTTCTATCACTGTTAAAATACCACTCGCTGTTTCTGCGATAAACTTTTCAGTCACAGGTTTGAGTTGCCTAAGCAGCCTTGCTCAAAGTTTGCTATCAGGATGACAGAAACGTAAGGAGGGGTAATACGAGGCGTGTTTTTAAAGTAAGTACCGTTTTTAAATTACGCCGCCGCAGCGCTGCGGTCGCCGTTTAGCGCACGCGCGTCGTGTAGCTACATCTGTTGGGTAGCCACAGACGCCGTTACGGAACCATCCGATCGAGTCTACATCTGTTTGCGTGATTTTAAAATGCCTCCACCGATTGTGAATCCCGCCGACTGCGAAGTGCGTGCTGTAATACGGTTTCTCTGTGCACAAGGCTTCAAATCAGTTGAAATTCATCACCAAGTCAGTGAAGTGTATGGTGAAAACATTATGAGTGATGGAATGGTGCGGAAATGGGTTAGGGCCTTTAAAGATGAGGAAGACCTTCAGTCATTACCGATGACCTGATTCAAAAAGTGGACTGTAAAGTGAAAGAGAACAGACGATTCACGATTTCGTCCTTAGCTGAACAGTTTCCTGCTGTCTCAAGAAGTGTTCTTTACGAATTGTGTCCGAACGTTTAAATTATCGGAAATTGTGTTCACGCTGAGTGCCAAAAATGTGAAGCAGTGGTTGTTTACTCAGGCGGCAAGCTTCTTTGACGATGGCATACAAAAGCTGGTCCCAAGATACGACAAATGCCTCAATCGTAATGGGAATTACGTAGAAAAGTAGAGTAAAGTATGGCCTTTCAAGTGAATAAATCATTTTTGGACAAAATTTACTTGTTGTTTTTTTAGGTCAAAACGGTATTTACTTTAAAAACACGCCTCGTATTTAAATCATCCATCACCGTTTCTGCGATCTTAATACAAACTTATGAAATACACAACACACGGTAAAATTGTAGTTGTTTTTATTTTCAACGCGTCATTCACAATTAGCCTTAAAAATAAGCAATTTAGAAATACATTCTGTATTACTCTTCCATGGGGTAAAAGAATATAAATGTCAACATTTAAAAACGAAGTAAAAATACATTGGCGAATATCCCACAGCTTGGTTCGCAAACTTCGCAATGCACAGTAAGAAAAGTCTACCGCCTACCTTGAGGATTATAACAATGACTAACAGATTCTACCGCAAAATATATTGTTTTCCGGGGTCTGAAAGATACTAGCGCTATCTACGCGAGAGTAGCAGAGCACAAAAATGAATTTAGAAATCTACATTGAATAGTTAAATTGTTTGATTCTGCTACGGTCGCAGAGATGGCGCTAGGATATTCAATCCCATTTTGGCACCACTCTAATGGCTATTTTAATTAGATATCTTGAGGTGGAATAAGTTACTCAATGATTACATCTAACAAGACCTCCAAGGCCCGATTTTACTATTGACTCGCGGGTATCAAAATTTGCGCATTTGGCAAAAATTGTGCCATTTTGAAGTAATGGACATAATGAATATGGTCGATTTCTTGTAAAATGTATAAAAATTAGACGATTTGTATAACATGGATCCATAATTTTCATATTAAATCAAGAAATGCTTCATATATCACCTGGTTTAGCTTCACAACCTATTTCGCTTTTTTCACAAAATTTGCGACAAACACAAATTCCACCAATGGAAACGAAATTCGCGGCAGTATAGGGGAGTTACACTACGCCATTTTTAACCCTACCTTGCGACGGTGTCGATAGATGGCGCCAGTGGTATTGTGATAGCTACGATAATAGCGCTAAACACGTGTTTGTTCACCATAAAACTAATTACAAAGAAACGATAGTCAAATAAATTGAATACTCACTCGATGTTTGTTAAGAAATAAGAATTCTGTAATTTTATTTATGTCCACAAATTTTATCAAACAAAATGTTATACAGCAAAGACAAAAATCAATGACCTAATTTGACTGACCTGTTACTAAACTATGAAGGAAAAAAATTGGGTTTTGTAGCTAACGTCAATGGACATGGCGAATTGTTAAAAAGATATCATTTTTTTTTTCAAAATTATCTCTCTCAGGTAAGTAGTATGTGACAGTGGTATTTCAATAAAATAGTAATTGATCTCATATTAATGTATTGTCTCAGATTTGATCCATGCTTCGAGCCTCTTTTTTAATTGGTGGAATTTGTATCTGTATATTTAGTGCCCATGCGGAAAAAATAGGTTTAAGTATTTCTTGATTCAATATGATAATTGGTTTTTCTCTAGTTTGAGAGCCATTTTACATTCATTCGACGATATTCATCAGATCCAATACTTCAAAAACGTATTCTCATTGGTAGGTTTTGTGCCATAGATGCAAATGTTGCGCGCCGAATCAGTAAAATCGGATCTATACATTTTCGCGTTAATCAGAAGGTCCTGCTCACTCTGGAATGATGACTTGACTGCGTTTGTAGATAAAAAAATAACACTGTGGCTCCACTAACAATGGCGTGCAAAATGTTCCACTATACAAAAAAAGAATAGCAACGAAAAATAGAACATCAATTTCCATTATTTTAAACACGATCCCTTTATTTTTGTATAAAATTGAACAGGAAAAGTTCATTTAAATGTGAAAGGCTCTCGTTTTTCATCGCATTATAAATATCACAGTACAAAAACACCACGAAGTCATATTGAACAAATTATTAAAATTCGTTACGTATATCATATTTTATCAATACTCGTTATCATGCTAAAAAGAAAACCTCAAATAATTAACACAAAAGCAATACGAAAAAAGATATGAGGTAGACCTAAAATAGAGGATATTTGAACATGTCAATGAAAACATTTGACACATGAAACAAAAAAAAATATTTAAACTTATACAGGTTGTTTTAAATTCAATTCTCACCATTGCATTGAGATCTTGGAAACGGTAAGAGATACGAAATCGGTTAGATGGGCGCAATTTTGAGCATTTAGGTAACTAAAAAAAATTAAAGTTATCAATCCGGACTACTTCCGAAAAAAAAATGTTTTCTCACTCCATTTGAGGTGGGATTTCATAATAGACTGCTCCTCTTCAAGATGGCATAATTAGAAATCGTTTCTTGTCCTCCATCATCAACATTATTCTTCCTGATAAACCTCTAAAGGATTTTTGCACAGGTGGAGACAGCCTTTCAACTGATTCCAAAAGTGCATATTCATGCATAGGCATTGCAAACCTTATTTATTCGATTGCATCACCCATTAAAGATAGCTTCAGTTGTTCAAAGGGCATTTAGATATCTTGCCCCTTTATTGACTATAACAAGCGTTATTTTTAGCATATGACACCTTAGCCAAAAATTAATATTATTCAAATGCAAGATATATATACATCAGTTTATGTATGTACAGCCTTGGCCAGAAGTATTGAGCACCCTAAAAATATTGTAAGGACGCTATAATGATAGATGAAAAGAAAAACTGAAGGTTACAAAAATATTTGTAGGTATCCAGACCGGTTTGTAAACAATACCATATCTGCTTACTATCGCTAAGACGTCTAGTTTTTTAGAGATTACTCAGTTTTACCTTTTCAGTGCGAATGTATCATTTCGCTTCTATCGTTCGTTGTGATCAATTCAGTGATTTAGTGAGACTTTGATAATTTTATTTCGAGAATTTAACTAATACTCTCGCAATATGGCAAACAAGAATGAAGTGAGCATTGAAAAACGTGTGAAAATACAGGTTCTTCATGAACAAGGGAAGTCCCAAGTAGACATTGCGAAAACAGTGAAGTGTTCGCATCGATGTGTACAATACACTATTCAGCGATTCGCTCGGACCGGTTCACTTAACGATAGACCTAGAAGAGGCCGCAAACGCATCGCCACAGATCGTGAAGACAGAGTATTGACCAGAGAGTCTTTGAAAAAGAGGAAAAAAACTTCTATTGTCCTCGCTGCCGAGCTATCAGCGCAGACTAATAGACCAATTTCTACCCGAACTACTCGCAGAAAGCTTCAAGAAGCTGGTCTAAATGGCCGCAAAGCCGGAAAGAAGCCATGGCTCTCAGACAAAAACAAGAAGGCTCGGTATGATTGGGATTTAAAATACAAAAACTTCACTGAAGAGGATTGGTCAAATATTGTATGGTCAGACGAATCAAACTTTGAGGTACGTTAGTTGATTTGATGCAGTAACGAGATGTAACAATAATTTTTGAAACAAATTGTATCAATAAATTATTCAACTAACCAACTACTTAATATTTCTTAATTTTTCAGATTTTTGCTACACCTAGTGTGACATTTGTTCGTCGTCGAGTAGGAGAAGAATTCAATCAGGAGTGTGTGGTGCCTACTTTGAAACATGGTGGCGGCAGCGTAATGATCTGGGGCTGCATGAGTCAGAAAAATGTCCGTGTGTGAGGGTCGCATGGATTCCACAAAGTACATAAACGTACTTGCATGTGCTCTTTTGCCGTCGTTTACCGCACTTTATGGTGATACCAACATGAATGGTGTCAAATTCCAGCAAGATAATGCGCCTTGCCACAAAGCTGCACGGACAAAAAGGCTTGGTTCAGAGAAAACTGTATCGAGCTTCTGGGTTGGCCTGCCCAGTCACAAGACCTGAGTCCGATTGAACATTTGTGTAACTTATTAAAACGCATGATCAGGCGTCACACAATCAACACAGAAGAAGAGTTAAAGCGCCGCCTACGTGAAGAATGAAACGCTTTAACTTACGAAGAATGTAATAAACTTGCACGATCTTTACCTAGAAGAATTTCTGCTGTACTTAAGGTGAAAGGAGGTCCCACAAAATATTGATTTTCTTCTCATAATAAGACATTTATGACTATAAAAAATTCTGTCAATTTATTCCAATATAATAGTCCCCTAAAATTGAAAGATATCGAGGGTGCTCAATACTTTTGGCCAAGGCTGTATGTTTTCATTATTACCCTAAAATATTTATTTTATTATTTATTACCCTAAAATAAAAAAAGAGCGCAACTAAGCTCCCATTTAACCGACCTTGTATTTCTTGCCGCTTTCGAGATCCAATTGGTGGGAGTCGAATTTGAAACACCCGGTATACTAAACTCAAAAGGAGGAAAAAGAACAGCCCAATATAAATGAGTTGAACCTGTAAATTACGACACATCCAAAAGCTTGGCGCGTATAAAACACTCGACAGTTTGACCGACTGGGTTATTGAATAAATGCGACCGTTATAAAATGAACGAAATTTGCTGCCAAAAGTCCTAAAAACTCCTCCTCATAAACCTTGAGGTGTAAACTATCCCCATTTCATAGGACTGTACTCCAATCGGCAAAATCTTCGCAGATCTTATTACAAGTATGTATTGTTCATTATTGTCAAATTTCTTTCCAGATATAAACAAATGCGAACGCCATGAGATACCGCCAACCTAGTCATAACACAATAGAATCAACAATCTTCTTTAGGATGGAGTGGAATGACGAATTTTGGCCCGAATGGTGATTTGTACTTGATGCCCACTTCATTAAAAATATCCACCGGAAACCCCAAATTGCATAAGTACAGCTTTCCGTTGTTCGAGGAATGTGGCAATGGTAGTACTGGCAACAATGAAAATTTCGGCGAGATACCTGAAAAAGAGAGTCGAAGTTGAACCATAAAGCGGAAGGCTTTCATCTTCCAGATCCTATGAAAATATCGACAGAATCCAGAATTAACGTTAAACCGAATTAAACCATAAAATAGGGTCAATACAACCAAAGTACCAAGGCTTCAGCTTTCAGTATCACGCGCATAATATATGACTGTTTACAATTACCCTCTGGATGGAGTGCAGTTATAATTAAACACGAAAGATCTCAGAAGGCAGGCGCCTCATTCCATGCTAACCGAGTTTACTATAATTTTTTCGATCACAAAACAACCATGAAAGTTAAATTTAGCTCTTGTCATATTAGTTTTTCTATACCTGGAGTTCCGATCGTTGGAGGATCTAACGCCAATACAGGCGCTTTGTTCTTATTTATCCACTGCGCCATTCCCGGGTAACGCCTGGGGCTATCAGACTCTTCGCACAGTCCAACAATGATGAGATCACTGACGTTCGGAAGATCGCCGATATTTGTCACTACCCTGTTTTTCGTTAACATGTAGAGAGACAGTTCTTTCTTGAGAATGGGCACTTCAGTTGACATCAGGTATAAAACTATTCTGACGCCGTGGCTGGCCAACTGTCTCCCTGCGTTTATGGAGATGGCGCCTTGCCTAAAAAAAGTATACAACCGACACATAGATGAAGGCGGTCTCAATAAGAGCGCCGGATTTGATTTTCAAGAAAAACACAAAGAGGAATAGTTGCGATTAAACATGAGTTAGGACATCCGGTAAATGGCCACCACGATTCAGCAACGCGAATTTTGTCTCAAATTTTGTAATTAAACGGCGAACTGTCGACTCATTTGGCGCATTATTGCGATCGAAAATTGTACGTAATTTGCAAACTGTCTCCTCGTGATTTTCCCCATTTTTGTAGAGAAGAACGGTGCTCGTTTGAATACTGATCCCTGACGTCTAATCACGTGGTCTGGACATGACAGCTGGCATCAAGTAAACACCATACCATCTGTACAAAAAAATTCACTTATTGGCATACAGTCGCAGTTTCAAATAACCCCCTCTGAGAAACCGTTTTTAATGTAAAATTTAAAAATATTAATGAAAATTGAACGCGCCTCAAATCAAGGAGTGACAAGCCAAACCTATGACACAGATGAACCTCAGAAATGCCCGTTATAGGATATGAGCTATCACATTTTAATCTTAGATATTTGAGAAAACGACACCGAACGATTTAGTTTCTAACAATAAATCCATATAATTTAAATGCGTTTGATATTTTTAAGTTGATATGATAGTTAAAGGCTAGCTTTTCATCGAACCATACACCCAGATCCTTAACTTGATCAACTCTTGAGAAACCATTATTCGCAACAATCATCTGATTTTTTCCTGAAAACGTTAGAATTTTGCACTTAGATACATTCAAGTACAGCTTGTTCGCTAGACACCAATCATGAATGTAATCAAGGTTCTGCTGTAGAACACGGAAATCTGAGATGTCATTAATTATTTATTATGTAGATTTTCAGATCATCAGAGTGTGATAAATTCAAACAAGACAAGTTGCAAGGCAGATCGTTTATATAAGTCAAAATAGAAAGGTCCTAACTTGGAACCATGCGGTACACCTGAACCACCTGCGCTTTCTTTATAGCCTAAATAATAGCTTCTTTGTTTTGATTTCCAAAAAATTATCGAAGCATTGTACTCACTTGTACGGCCCAGCCAATATCACAACCGTAGGCCACTGATGTGTATTCTGAGGATTGAGCCTATGTCCGCCACCCAATAACTGGATCGATATTTCCGTTGCCGCCCGGCCCATTAACTCTACCCTTTTTTCCCAGGTGAGGCCTAGCCTTTCGGCCGCTTCGAACAGTTTTGTTCTTAATGTCCTTGATATGCTTGGTATTATCAAACCATCGTCAGTAACATATTCACAAAAGTCTTGTTTTGGTACTTCAATTTGCCGATATGCGGTCGGCATTGTCGCTATCACGTTTTCATCGTGTCTGAAATTGGATGATTCTTGGTATAGAATATACAGAGTGATTAAAATACCAGTGTCAGTACCAATAGCCCTAGGGTAAAGAATACATTGAAAAATAGACAAAACATTCTTATAAACATGAGTCCTACATTCTCATCCTGATAAGCATAAATTTTATTAATGAATCGTGAAAAAAAAAGTGGAATCAAGTAGGGTGACTTTGGACTTTCCACAGAAAACTGTCATGACTTCATAAAGATTGTTCCCGGCACAGGCTAGCCCCTCTTAAAAAAAAGTCAACTATGAACACGTATAAAAAAGGAAATTAATAGACTAAGTCCCCACTCCTTTGACAACTTTGCGATATAGAAATTTATTTTCTGCACTACCGACCACCCAAGAAAATTGCGATCACAGTTGTGATGAGTTTAACCTCGTTAGCTATAGAGGTCCAAAAGTCCGAAAACATGTCCAAAAAGATTCACATAATTACACCAACAAACTTCATTCATATATTTTCGAGGTCACTGATAAGGATATTCATTTGTCAAAAATCAAAATGGCGGATCCAATATGGCAAACATGTTTGGAAAAAAGTTTTGGATTGTGCCCAAATTCTAATTTTGTATGTTTTTGAGGTGGATAATAAGGATTTGGATATCGATTTTTCGGAAATCAAAATTGCATAATGGTTTACAACAATTACATTTTTAGATCAGATCGCTTTATTTTAGAACTAATTTACTAATGCTGAATTAAGTACAAGTTTAAACCCCCTCGAGTCATTTGGTTATCCATAGCGTTTCTTTGTGAAAGTTTTTTCTATTGTGCTCTAAAAATGAATGACATCAATTTCAAGCTACGGAGATATTTTTTTGGTCAAGAGTGCACATTTTTCGGTGGTTTAAATTTGACTCACACCACCGTTCATAAGATCAAGAACAACTGGGTGTTGAATCACTATAATGCTCCTTGTCATACAGCAATATCAATAAACGATTTTTTGGCCAGTAAAAACAGTCTTGTAGCTCATCAGCCTCCTGCATTCCCCTGACCCGAGTCCCTATGACTTTTTTCTCTTCCCGAAGTTGAAAAATCGCCTCAACGGATTTCATTTTGGGTAGGTCGAAAAAATTCAAGCTGCTGAATAAAGAATTTACAAAAAATCACTCAATTTACAGACGTCGTATGATGTAACAGCCAAAAAAATATCTGATTTGCAAAATGTTTCGCGATAATACTTCCTCACCAATTGAAGTTGGAAATAGAAGACCCTGTAATTCATAAGGTGTAGTATGAACTTCATGTAGGAGTATACAACACATTTTTGAAAAGTAGCTTGAAGTCATTATGATACTGAGGGGTTCTTAAAACAAATTTAATCAACTTTCGACCCAATAACATTTGCGTAATGTTCTTGTTCAGTGTTGGATTTTTAACATTTCTTTTGCCTATTTCAGTTTATCTATTCTTTCAAAGGCTGGAGTACCCTAGGTCTATATACAGGGTGTCCGCAAAGTTGGGGTTTTCCTTTTCAGAAACAACTACCCTTGAAATGACAAAGGTAATGTGTAGTGAAACGAGGGCGACCAAGTAAAAAAAAATAAAGGAAAAAGTACTCACTCTCCAGCTGACGAGAAGGGCTAAGTACGTCTCTGCCCGAAATCATACCGCTACAACAGAAAATGAAATCAGCTGATGCGCTACCGAGCAGACGCAGAAACCACATTGATTGTCTTACACTTAATGGCACATCTTCTAACAAGGAAGGCAAAATCTTGCGTAAAAAGTCTAGGTATTGCATCCCGTCCAATCGATTTGGAAGAATAAATGGTCCAATGAGCATACCATTCACCATGCCAGCCCAAATATTCACCGAAAATGTTTGTTGAAAATGTGCCCGACGGACAGCATGCGAATTTTCTACTGACCAAACATGAGTGTTGCGAAAGTTATTCACCCCATTACGCGTGAACGTAGATTCGTCTGTCACCAATATGCACTTCAAAAAGTCCGGATTATTGTCATGTTGATGCAACAACCACTCACAAAACCGCACTCTTGCTGGAAAATCGTCAGGTTGAAGGGCTTGTACACGTTGGACGTGAAACGGATACAGCCCCTCTTCACGCAGCGTTTGTCACACTTTAGTTTTTGATACTTGCACTTCTCTAGCCACGTCTCTAGTGCTTGTTGAGGGATTCTCGTCTACGCGATTACCTCTACACGCGTGACCGTAACCGTCGGTTGAAGGTTGCATACTGACCTGACACACTGACCCCGACCCAGTTCTGTCGTCGGGTTGAGCCAGTGACCTTGTACCAGTCGGTGATGTCGCGGCTACAGGACGGTATTCAGATATTTTTGATGTTGCAGAGCCCTTTATCTCGGTTCCCTTAAGACATTGGTGTATATGGTACTAAGAAAAATTGCTTATGTTTTCAAGATCTACACGTCGTGTAAAGGAAAAGCCCAACTTTGCGGACACCCTGTATAGTATAATACTACTTCCCACCTGTATTTAGCGTTTTTCTTATTTTCAGCATTCTTGACAAAGTCAGGTCTTTGTGCATTTAACTCATCCCATAACGCCCTTTTATTGAATAATGCCAGATTTTTTTCAAAGTCGAAATCTTTACTGATACTGTGATCCAACGGTGAGCCAAAACACTCCTCGTCCTTCCACCCCTTAATCCACTTGCCTTTGCCCTTTTCTCTTTTATTCGGAGTGTTATTTTTGAAGCTATTCACCTGTTAACATAATTATGTGTCTCACACTTCTTTCTCGTACACATTGAACTCAAGCTCTCAGACAAATTTGGTTCTCAGTGTATAATGTCAACAATTTCGAAAGATACAAATTATAGTAATAAGCAACTTTATACACAGCTGATCTCATATTTGACGATTTATATATTGCGCTTCAAAATTAGCACCTCACACTTTAAAAGTTCCATATGATAGTATTTTTGAAATAATGACGTGCCACTTTGTCCGGATATTGTTTTCCTTAATATACTATGACAATAACAAAACCCTATGGGATGCCTGTAATTGCAAATACGTTCAAAATCGCTCAGACTGAGATATTTTTCTTGATAGTGAACGATTATTCGGGGAAGCTCATCAACATGTGTTCCTTAACCCAGATGCGCACCTTTAAGACTCTGCACCCAGTAGTGCTACTACCTCAAGTTAGGGATCGACTCCATTGCAGGATGTAATCGTCATTGTCAATGGCTAAAGTTGTTGTGGTTCACTTTCAGAACAAGAGCATTACAAAGATGGCATTCTGTCATCAATAAACTATATTAATTTTGCTTCTTACCTCCATCTTTCTTATGAGTAAATTAAATCGATCAAAGCAATTGTATACAGAGTCAAACTACTTGACATAAAGTTTATTCAAAAGACCGGTTCATTAAATTCCCTTATGAATTTTTTTCCTGAAAATGATCAATTATGTTGATGATAATTTTAAGGGGGCACCATCCGATTTCGAATCTGAAGCGACATTAATTTAGAACCACCTCTGAACAAAGTCACATGATTATAGCACAAAAAGTAGTCAGGAGAAACTTCCAAAGTAGTGGGGCGCATAGGCGCTAATTTTGAGAGCAGGAGTATCCATTACGGTAGAATAACAGTTGATTATAATGTGATATTTCAAAATTCCCCATATTTACAAGTTACACACAATTCTGATCCATCAACGCCAGGTAGACAGAACAGTATTTTGTTGTTTTTTGTATGTTTCACAAAAAATCCAAAACTTGAACAAAACACCATCCTTTAAAAAAAACAACAGTGGTATAATAAACTATTTTAAATGTTAGCTAAATTGCTCCCATGAATAATTAAGCCACAAACTCTAATAATCATAATTTTCTGACACTGACATTACCTGGTCACTGCCATTCTGTCTTACATCAACAATGTCAATGGGTTTTGAGCGAGTCTGGCTGCCACTTGGCTTACTGCTTGAAGATGCTACAGCTATATTTTCAGATGCACTCTGGGTACGACCTGCCCTTTTGGCAATGGGTTTTGCTATTGTTACTGTACTGTGCTGTTGTGTCATTTCAGATTGCTTATCAATCAGTTTCAGATCTAGTATATCACAAGCCCTGCAGAAACATTTATTTTCACACTTACTATATAAACAATGTTTCCAAAACATGGGGCAACATTCAAAGACTGATTGTTTTGACTATCCCAAAATCCAAGACTACTTTTTTCTTTGACTACTTTTCATCAGCCACCTGATTTCAACCTTATTAAATTTTATGAAAATAACGGTTTTTATCAAATATCTAATAACATTAAAGGCTTTTTAACCTGCATCAAATTTTCTCCTGTACATTTTTATGGTTTTGTTTAATTTTATTTTGATGATGATGCAACATTATTTAGAACTGAGCAGAGTAAAGTTGTTAAGCCACAATGTATCAATTCAGATCATCATCAACTGGGGTTGAGTGGAAGTGTAAAATTCTTAGGCAACTATATTGATGAATTTTTTGATTGAACAATACATGAAATGGAACTGTTGCAGAGGCTTAATTCCATTTGCTATGGTTTTAGGGCAGCATCAAGATATCTAAATAATTCAAGTATGAAAATATTGTATTATGCTAATTTTGAAAGTGTTCTAAAGTATAGGATTATTTTTCAGGGGCAGCGCAATAAGTTTGTTCAAAAAATGTTTGTTGGTCAAAAAAGAGCAGTACGTCTGATAAAGGGACTAAATTTCAATGAAACTTGCAGGGGAGAGTTTAAAAATGAAAAAATCATTACTATGTTTTCCATCTATGTCAATGAGTGTAATAATTTTTACAATAATAAAAATTTATTTGAGCTTGAGGTGCAAACTGTTTATGATAACAGTCACCATTAATTATCCAATCCATAGATTATCCTGCACAGAACAAAACCCTATTTATGTATGTCTAAAATTTTTCTAAAATCTACCAAATGAAATTAAAAACATAAACTGTTTACATAAATTTAAAAAGACCATTAAGCAATTTCTAGAGTTTGAACCTTATATCATAGATCAGTTCTATGTGATTATGGCCGGAGATATTGTGTCCAACTACTCGAATAACAAATTTTCATAGCAATAACTGCTGATTCCTCTTATCCCAACATTTTTTCATGAGATTGTGTAATAAAATTTCACATTTACACTTCAGTTAGGAATGGATACAAAGAAAAATATAAATTCTGTAAATATAGTGAAGGCAGGTAAAAGGAAACAGTCAAATCTGCAAGAAGAAATTAGATGCTCCTCATTGTATTTAATCTCTATAAGAAGACTAAAACTGCGACATAGCAATATTCATGTTGATGTTTAACAAACCAGTTCAGCAAGTGGTGAAAGTCCATAGTTGTCATAAATTGTAGCTTTACATTTTAGATGGAAGGCTCCAGTTATTTTGAACAGTTTTTGAAGATTAAGAGGCATCAACTATAATTTTACCTAACAAGCAGTTATTACCCAAAAATTTAATTAGCCCTGTATTTTATTATAAAAAATCAACAAAGGACAAAACAGTGTTAAAATAGCCTATAAAATGTCCTTTTTGATTCTTGCCTCGTATTTAGGAAAAGGAGACACCCCCATATAATAGTCAAGTAGCAGGAATTTTATCCAAATATCAAAAATTTTCCATTACCTAATCCTCACTTCATTATGTTCACAAGGAAACCCATTGCAGAATGCTTTTGTTAGAGTAATTTGTTGGTTTGTGGCTGCCTTTATTTCTCCTTGGAAGATACCCAGTTCTTCACGACATTTTATAGAAACCATATAACCTATCCACTGTGCCATTTTTTTATAAATACTCCTGGCCCAGTGTAAAACTCTACAATGATACTATGAATGAGAAAGCGCAACGAACAGCAAAAACTATCAAAGAAACCCACCTAATTTCTATTCAAAGACGTGAATGTAGCACAGAAAACAGAAATGCTTGTCTCCTAAATGCACTAATCTTGTGCTTATTTTTTTACTGTAAAAATAGTACCAAATTCAAATAAATATAAAATTGAGTATCAGTTACAATTATAACGTTCACAATAAAACAACACTTGCTGAATTTGGTTTCTTCTTTCTTTTCATTGAACTCAATTTTTTCTTGCTTTCGTATAAAATTCCATCTGCTGCTGGTGTTGTTTGGCACAGAAAAACATCAGCTGCTCAAATGTCAACCATCATAGAACCACTTGTTCTGTCAATCTCGAGGAAAAATCAAGGATGTGAACTTAATGTTGGTGGTAATTGGTATTCGTATTCAATTCTGAACGAAATTTAATAATTATGTTTAGGTAAAGTGACGTTGAAACTGAAAAATTTTCCATAGGTAATAAGTACATATGAGGCACATTATCCTGAATGCATGATTATACCATTTTACAGGGTATTCATATTGATTCAAATCAGAATAAGAGTATGATGGCGCCATCTATTGATAGATCTAGGTAGATTGATACCTTTTATGTGAATGGCGCGAATTTTCAAAAGAGTGGATTTAGACACCATTATTATTCTGTGCCTCATATATCCGGGTGCGATCTTTGGTGTTTGGCAAACCTGGCAAATTATCTTCATATTGATGCCAAATGGAAAATGAAACTCTTGTTTTGCAAGCTTTTAGATACGAGTAAGATGCAGTTCTGAAGACAAGCGTTTAGTATGAAAGTAATTCAGTTTGGATTTTTTCTGTACCTATAAGGGGTGCCGTATCAAATATTCCACGTATCGTCAACGTCAAAGTTCGAAGTAAATAATTGTAACCCTCTTGGACATTTTTGATGCGTCTCCATACCCAACCTGCAAAATCTGTGATCTGATTTTATACTTACCTGTGTCTCTTCTCATTCTGAGTGCCCAATTGGTGCCCAAGAATATGTTATCTCATGGATTTCAAGTAGAATAAAAAAAATGGCATCAAGTAGGTCGACTCTTCACTTTCCACGCGCAACGCCGTTGTCAGTTCATAAAGAATTATTTTCAGAACAAATTGGACCCTCTCAGATAAAGGTTAGTCAACATGTTGTGTGGATTACGCAAATAGACCTACAACTTTTTTGTCTCTTGAATTTTTTCGTATCTTGCTTAGTTTTCGAGAAACAAAGTCCACTTAATTGCATATCCCTTAGTTTCCCAAAGTTTGTTTTGGAAATTATTTTTTCTATAATTTTTTTTACTAATTATGTAACAACAACAACTAATACTAAATAACATTATCATATGTAGTTCAAATTCATTCAAAAATATATCTTTGACTAAAATGTTGCAACCTCAAAATCAGCACCAAGCGAACATGTATATTAAACAGGACATAGGATAAATAAAGTCCCAATACTACGCAAGACTGATAACAATTACAAAAGGAAGGTACATGAATCAGCCTATATTAATTTAACAATGATACTTTTTCTAGTTCTTCTGTAACCCAAATTGATTGAATCTCCTTGAAGGAAAGATCTAACTGATATTCTCCAACCAAACTAATCATGAGTTTTTTATAGCGGCGTAGTGGGAGACTGACCAAGAGTATCTGAGATTCTCACTTTAAAAACGCCCCTCTTAGTTCACTGACATCTTCCTGATAAGTTGTTGGATAGCTCTACAACTTGTCGCTAACACATAAAAAATGTTTAAAATCATAACGAAAATCACAAAATACAATAACAAAAAGGATTTACCATTAAAACTCATTGGTCTGCTTTCACTTTTGGGCTACCCTGCATATCAAAAAATATTTTTTTTATTTATAATTTAACTTATATATATATAATATAATTTCTTATAAGGAATCTATGGTACTCCGTCAGATCTATGACCCAGCCTGGACAACCAGTCTAGGAGTCTTCAATCTTTTAAATTCACTTTCATCGAAACTTACTTTTTGTGACATTAATCTTTTTTCCTCTGTATCCTTGGACTAATAAAGACGGAAGAATAGTTTTTTTATACCGGTATCCCGAACATTTCCGATTGGACAACCGAGCACCTGCCGAAAAGTCATGAGTCACCAACTCGCTATTCTTCTGTTTTGCACGATACAAAAAATATTCAAATACTGATATAAAATATCGTATAAAAATACGGGCACAAATTAATAACTCAGTTTCTGAAAACGCCAGGCTGTTAGGTTAGATGTAATTCATAATTCAATCTACAAGAAGTGAACATTCGTGTTGAAAACTTATAAAATCACAGTATCAATAAGTTTCCACACACAGAAATTTTCCACTGTAAAATAATCTGATGTTTAAAAAGTGTAGGCTAGGCAATTTATTAAAACAAACTTAGCTACACCCAAAAAGTATCAGAAAAACAATTGAAATTTAGATTACGGTCGATCTGAAACGGGTACTTACCTTCAGTGAACCGAATTTGGGGCCGTCATCATCTGGAAAGGTATCCATCCTAAAAGCGTCTCTCACACATACACACACGCGAGCGCGCAAAAACTAAGTATGATCAACAGACGCACTCATGCTCATAGTTCCGTACAAGACATCCGGTTCTTTCCAACAATGAATTTCCGAACGATCATTTCCAGTGCAAGGAGATCAGCTCAACGTTAGGCAAATTTCTATTGGTGACTGTATTTGTCAGTTTCTGATATAAATTGTTGGAAATAAAATGACGTAATCATACTGCGCGACGCGATGGTAGTACCAGACTCTCGCCGGCTCCAATCAGACTGACGAAAAATATTTTTTTATTTATAATATAACTTGTTTTCAATTTCTTATAATAAGGAATCTATGGTACTCCGTCAGATCTATGATCTATCCTGGACAACGAGTCTAGGAGTCTTCAATCTTTTAAATTCACTTTTATCGAAACTTATTTTTTGTGGCCATCTTTTTTCCCCTGTACGCTTGAACTCATAACGACGCAAGAGTAGTTTTTTATACCGGTATCTCGATCATTTCTGATTGGACTACCGAAAGTCATGAGTCACCAACTTGCTATTCCTATGTTTTGCACGATACAAAAACTATTTAAAAATTGATATAACGTATAAAAATACGGGTAGAATGGTAGAAATTTATAACTCTGTTTCTGAAAACGCCAGGCTATTAGGTTAGATGTAATTCATAATTCAATCTACAAGAAGTGAACATTCGTGTTGACAACTTATAAAATCACAGTATCAATAAGTTTTATGCTATGAACATCATGTCAAGTAGATTGTTTCAGTATTTATTTCTACTCCATATACGTAGTCGAACTATTTCTAAAGTTTCCACACACAGAAATTTTCCACTATAAAATAATCTGATGTTTAAAAAGTGTAGGCTAGGCAATTTATTAAAACAAACTTAGCTACACCCAAAAATTATCAGAAAAACAATTGAAATTTAGATTACGGTCGATCTGAAACGGGTACTTACCATCAGTGAACCGAATTTGGGGCCGTCATCATCTGGAAAGGTATCCATCCTAAAAGCGTCTCTCACACATACACACACGCGAGCGCGCAAAAACTAAGTATGATCAACAGACGCACTCATGCTCATAATTACGTACAAGACATCCGGTTCTTTCCAACAATGAATTTCCGAACGATCATTTCCAGTGCAAGGAGATCAGCTCAACGTTAGGCAAATTTCTATTGGTGACTGTATTTGTCAGTTTCTGATATAAATTGTTGGAAATAAAATGACGTAATCATACTGCGCGACGCGATGGTAGTACCAGACTCTCGCCGGCTCCAATCAGACTGACGATATGCCAAAGGCGAGTGATGTGCTCTGTATCGCCGTTTCATCCCCACCCAGTGCCCATTCGTTCATAGCGCTAAAACTGTTAAGCGTCACAGTGGTCCAGTTCCGTGAGAACTTTGCAAAAACAAAAAAAAAATACAACGATACTGAATTAAATGCATTACCTTTTTCAAACAATAACATAAATAATAAGATAGGCACAAAGAAAGTTTGCTTACACCAACTTTTCCATAGCGGCACATCAAACTTGAAGTTTTATTATAAAATTAAGCATAAATGCACATTCATATGTACCAAAATAATCAAGAATTATAAATCAAAATCATTAATGAATTTATCAAATTATGAAGCTTGGAAATATTCAATTTCTTTTTGTTTAAAGTTGTTATAACGCGAGATCAGAGCTTTATCCCTCAGTCTTCTCAAAGGTAAAGTTCGTTGTAGGATGTACCATTCTCTTCAGCCCATTGTAAACCTAGCTCAAAGGCGTTAATTGCGTCTTGTGCTGTGACTTGTAGAGCAGTTGCAATCACGTCGTCGTTATTTTCCTGATTGTTTGTTGTATAATTAGAAACCTCTTTTATAATCTCTTCGTCAGACATTTCATGAAAAACATTTTCCTCTTTATCCATTCCACGGCACCAGATTTCCAAATATTCCGGACTTATCTGTGTTTAAGTAGCGACTTGTTCTATAACTTGATAACGGTATAACGCATTCCACGAGTAACAAAGAGCAAAAACCAAGTCTTTCATATTAAATTCTTTTAAAGTTTTTTCTATTGATTGGTCTTTTGATACGGCTCTCAGAAGTAGGGTTTTCTTATAGTAGTACTTGACAAACTGAATAATATTCTGGCCCATTGGGAGCGTTATCAAGAAGCAACAACGCTTTTTGAGGAAAATTATGATGTTTTAACCATTTTCTAACTTCAGATACGAAGCATTCATCAAATCACTTTTTGAAAAGGTCTTTTGTCATCCATGCACTTTTCTGTCCGTAATAGTGTACAGGTAAATCAATGTTTTTGAATGCCCGTGGTTTATTAGATTTCCCAATGACCATCATCTTAAGCGCGTGTGTTTGCTTATTTTTCGTCCAGGTACGGATTTTTCGTTACAAGAAACGAAAGTTTTGTTAGGCATGACACGCCAAAAAAGCCATGATTCGTCTGCATTGTACACTTGTGACGGGTCAAGATTTAAATCGTTCACCTTTTGCAAAAATCTTAATTTAAAGGGCTCTATGCAGGTGGCATCGTTAGAAAGTTTCTCTCCTGTAATAGTCATTAAACATATGCCATGACGACTTTTAAAACGTTCTAGCCATCCTTTGCTTTCCACAAAATCATCTTTTTTTGTTATTTCCTTATAAAAAAACTTAGATTTCATGGCCAACATGGGTCCTGAAATTGGTGCATGCCTATTTCTTTTCTGAAGAAACCACAGCTTCTTCCACTTCTGGATGTTCAGCTTTCTTCAGTGTCTGTCTCTTGCCTGGCCTGCAGTCAGTAGTTGACACGACTTGATCTTCTCGTGGTTTCTTTTAATGTCATAAATTGTAAGTCGACCTACGCCGTATTCACTTGCTAAACTACTGAAAGTTTCATTGCGATCTATGCGGTCTAAAATATCATATTTTTCTTTAATTTTCAATGTTTTGTGCTTTCGCTTCTGAGTTTGTGATGACATTACTAGGTACTATACTTAATACACAATGAATAAATAGTAAACAATGAACGCACGCTAGGCCGTAACCCTATCGCAAGTATTCAAATTCAAACTAAGTAAAACAATGCTTACGCGTCGAGCACGATAGCCGTGGCGCATACAAGTGGTAACCTGTTCAAACCTGCATGATCTACATTACCGAAGATTGTCAAATACGTATGTATGTAATACATTTTCAAAGACATGTCGGATTACAGGGGGCGCCGGTTTAGACAGGGGCCGGATTATCGGGGGTCCACTGTAATTATGTGTGGAAAATGATATCTTGCAAATGACCGCCCCGTGATAACTTGCAAATAGTCATTCTTTTGTTAAAATTCTGGATGACACGGTCACATAATTGCGGCTCTATCTCAGCGATTACACGGGTTATTTCCTCTTTCAATGGTTCAATCGTCCGGGGATTGTTCCTGTAGACCTTACTTTCAACATAGCTCCAAAGGAGTCCAACGGAGTCAAATGGCACGAACGAGCTGGCCAGTTAATCGGTCCATTTCTGGAGATAACTTTACCATTAAATTTCTGCTCCAATAACTGGATTGTGTCTGGTGATGTGTGACACGCTGCTCCATCCTGTTGACACCAAATGTCTTGGGCATCAATATTTTTCAGCAAGGTCACAAAAAATCTTGTAACATTCGTCGATATCGAAGACCATTCACAGTAACAGCATGTCCAGCGTCATTTTCGAAGAAGTAAGGGCCAATCACTCCACCACTCCAAAGACCACACCAAACAGCGACTTTTGGTGGGTGTAAATCTTGTTCAATAATCACTCTTGGATTTTCCTCACCTCAAATCCGAAAATTTTGTTTGTTTACATACCCATTAAGTTGGAAATGTGCTTCGTCGCTAAAGATGATTTTTTTGGAAAATCCTTCTTCCTGTTGCTCAATGAAATTAATGAATTCACGGCGTTTTGCATGGTCGGTGGGCTTCAATTCTTGTGTCAGTTGGATCTTAAATGCTTTTAATGCCAAATCCTTGTGTAAAATACGCCAAACAGTGGTTTGTGGAATATGCACCTGTTGTGAACGCCGTGGAATCGACATTGTTGGGTCATCTTGAACACTCTCATGAACTGCAGCAATATTCTCTTGTGGGCGGCCTAGGCGTGGACGAATCGGTGTTTTTATGTCTAAAACTGAACCAGTCTCTCCAAATTTCCTCACTATTCTCGATATTATTGACTCATTTGGACGATTATGCCGCTGATAAAACTCAAGTAGTTTACGAAAAACATTTTTATTTGAACGTCCATTTTCATAATCGAGTTGAACTATCTGCGCACGTTTTTCCACGCTGTACGTATCCATTTTATAAATTGCCAACTACGTAGTAGTTTTCAAATCTCAATAAACCATGACATTTCTACTGTCGAACGTAACCTACACAACCTCAGAAAAAACTGCACCCCTAGCGGAAAACCCAATAGAAAAATACAGGTTGTGTATTCATTGATTACTTAGTGCGAACTCTGACAGCGATAGAAGCGGCAACGCGCGATATCGAGCACGCTGCTTTGGCTTAACACATTGACTGCGAACTGGGATGAGGATACCCACCTCAGAAACTGAAATACTTTTTTCCTTTTTTTGGAAGCCGGCAGAGAGCGTCGAAAGACGCCGTTCGCCTCCCACCACAGGAGCGGAGGGCGTCTTTTGACGCTGTTCGCACTGAACGTGTTAATGCGTAATCTTCCGTAACACGACGTGTATATTGTAACCAAAGAGGAACTTGATTTTTCTGTATTTGTTTTTCGTAACTGTGAAAGATTCTGAATTTTGGATATGGATCAAAACAATTATAGAAATCCACGACGTGGGGGAAGGGGGTGTTCTCGAATCTCGCGTGCGACATATTCTCGCAGCGACAGTGGACTTTTATTTTTCTGATTCTTGTTATCTCTGTGCTGCCACTTTCGTTATTTCCGACGGGTGTTGGAAAAAGGTGGTTAATAACGAAGTATTTTCAAGCAACGCATCCTCCTAATTTGTCATTCATTGTCGCATGTCTTAGCTTCGATTTTGAGGCGTAGAAAAATATCGATTGCGAGATTCAAAGCTCCATCTATCACACCAGAATCGACCACTGCGGAAAGCGCTTTGTGCTGACTTATTTCGATAGACCGTAAAATTTGATTTTTCGCAAATTTTCCATTTATCGATTTCCTGTATCTAGAGAGCAGTAGGCCTCAATGAATTCAGACCAGGTAGAAGGAGCCAGTCAAGGATTTGTTTGTCCTCTAATTCTCAGTCTATAGTGAGGATCGCAGCGCGCTTTACATAAGTAATTTTTTTGACAGTTCTGTTATTAAATCTGTATTCTTAGTGTTATCTTTTGAAGGTACGAGTATTCGTACATACGTGTGGTGTAAGACGACTACAAGATATGGTACTTCTTACATAATTTGCAAAGGGCGTCGCAATCCTCATAAAGGTAGTTAGTTCCACCAGAAAGTATTATTATATTGATAGAACGTTCTCACTTTGGTGGGCATTGGTAGATAAACGAGTCAAAAGTATGCATTAACACTACGCAATTTTCGGGTCTTTTCAACAGTGGATCTCTGATAGTCCCGAACGTCAGTTGCAGTGCAACAGCTGAGTTGAGCACATAGATGGGCAACATCTACCATCAATATGTGTGGATGACTATACGACGGTTGTCCGTAATTAAAGTCACCATCAAACCTGACATCAGCGCCGCGTTTCTTGTTTCCGTTACCAATATCCTGCCCAGTCCACACCTCTCTGCGAGGCTGATTCTCAGTTTAGGAGCCGTTAACGATGGAAGGGAAAATTGACGCCCCCGTGAAGTGTGAATTGCAGTGATAGGATTTCTGTGATTTAAGGGGTAAATCTCTATCAAAAAAATTACATGAAATTAGACCCTACCTACCTACCTTTTATATATAACTGATTCTTCTGCAAGGTCATAGAAAAAAATAAGAGGGAAGATTAATTTAAAGCCGGGCACTCAGTACAGTAATCAAAAGTACAGAAATAAATCAATAACACGGATTGCACTTAGTGATGCTTAATTCAACTAGATTCGGATAAACCACATTGACTGTTATTAGGGACTTTCTTTAATTTCTTCGAATAGCTAATTCCGCATCTTAAGGTTTTCGGCGTGTTTTTATACTACCTGTTTAAGGAGGACTAAAACACAATGTATTCATTTTTTTGTTGTTGTCAAAAAATGCATTTTTTGTGCATTGTATTGTGCATTCTTTCTTCAATCGGAAATTATTAACAAATAAGTAAGTACAGCTCTGCAGTGTGACTATTCCTCTTTTATGGAAGAATGAAACCAGTGAAAAGGTAAAGTGATAACAAAAGTAGTCACTCGTTTCATTCCTCCATCAAATATTCACACACAATTTCAGAACTGTACTTATATTTGTTAACAAGTTCCGATTGAAGAAAATATGCACAATAAATTGCACAAAAAATGCATTTTTTGACAAAAAAATAAAACATTGTTTTTTAGTCATCTCTATACACACCATGAAATTATCAGTTGAAAAGGATTTAGAGTACTGCTGCAAACAGAAAATTGAAAAAGAATCTAAAAAAGGGACGTGCCACCTTAATAATCATGATTATACCAAAGAGTGATGAATAAAAGAACATGTACATTTATAAGTAAATATAATTATAAATATCTTACACTCAAATACATAACCTAGTTCTATAGATTGCAAATGACCTTTTGCAAAGAACTAGCCTACAAACATTCAAATATTTTCAATTACATTTTTCTTTTCCAGAACTATGTTCAGCTTACATAAAATCTTCTTGTAGCCTAAGGACAAATTGAGCGATGCAAATGTCTTTATATCTTTACAATTTATACAAGTTCTCTAACAAACACTACGAATTAATTTCTAAATGCAGCAAACATATATAAAATATTCCAAAATTTCAGAATCAGCTTAAAAAAAGTCGAAGCATTCGTCTTCAACTGAAACGCAAGCAGACCTAACCTAAATAAATAAGTCGTTTAAATAATATAAAAAATACAGTTATCAAAAATACGTACTTTTAATACATGAGAATCATATTCATAATCGAAAAGAATCACAACTTTTAAGTTTCATAACGAGAAAAGATTAAGTGATGCAAGATCAGCATATTTCGAAAGAGACAATAGTAAAAAGCTCTAGGATACCACTTCAATGTCTTACAATGCATGCCAAACAATATAAAATTGGATAAAAGGGACGCTTTCGATGGGATTTCAGTATTTTTTTTTTGTTTCAATTATCATACTTTGTACTTTCCGTACAGTGACTATTTCAAATTATGCACAGAAAATGTACATCTTAAAAGTGTTCACCTAAGATTATACTCAAAAAAAACATCAAAAACGTATTGTTAACAATATGAAAGTCAAGTACGAGTATTCTTATGTAAGTAAACTCTCCTTTCAAGTACCGTGTAAGTGCGCTATACTCCCAGGACTGTCATGCATCTCAATGCTGTCAATATACTTTACCAATATCAACAGGCATTTTTTCGTTGAGATAACTGTCAAATTCCTGTCAATAAACCTACCTTCGCGAACTGCCATAATGTGAAGTAAACGGCATTCCTGTAGTGCAGATTATATGAAGACGATGGCTTTAACACGTCTTTGTAGACCGATAAATAATTAAGCGCACTATTATCACTGTTATTTTCTTGACGACAATACATTTTTACCATAATTTGAAGTAAACGGCATTCTTGTAGTGCAAATTATGTGAAAACAATGGCACTAACACGTCTTTGTAGACCAATAAATAATTAAGGGCACTAATATAACTGTTATTTTCTTGACGACAATACATTTTTAGTTGCTCCATTTCTGTAGAACCATGCATGCCAGCTACAAATGCTAGCGATGCCCAATTTTGCTCCCGCTAGGCGGGTTAGCGTGTTGGAGGTCAAACTGTCAAAAGTAGAGGTGAAAAATACATATTTGATATATTTCAAGATACTTCAACACGTGTTAGCGTCTAGTGAGGTAAACACAGCTGATCATCAATCTTTGTTTAAATGTGTATTGTTAAAGATATTAGCATTAAGCTGGCGACGTTACACGAAGGCATCTTGCGCTTAAAAAAAAATTTTCAAAATAAATTATTCAATGCTTTTGGCGAATTATTATGACGTCTCTAGGTGTCTATGAAATACCAAGCCGACGCTGAAAACGCCGTGGTTCAGTGTCAAGTTAGGTAAATGGCATTCCTGTTGTGCAATTATACAAATAGAACAGCATTACACGTCTTTATGGACAGATAAATAAACATAACTGTAATTTCATGCTTTATTTCTGTAGACCCACCACGCCAGCCTTTAAAGTAGATGGGAAAAAGATAAATTTGATATATTTCACGATACTTCAACACGTTTGGCTTCTCTACCGAGGTGAACAGCTGATCAGCAATTGACATCTTCGTCTAGAGTCTAGACCCTTAGGGCCGTATCGTCAATCGTTCCTACAATTATTGTAGAACACCTTTATAGCTTTCTTGATTTTCATAGTTTTTCCTTTCCTTCGGAAAGGCTGTGGTATTTTTACTGTTTCGTGTCAGCATTCTATTTTGAGGTTATGGTTTTTTGAATTGTAAGAAATTTCAGGCTGATAAAACTGGATTTTTATCAGCCTAAAATTTCTTAAGATTCAAAAAGAAAACATAACCTAACAATAGATCACTCCCCATTGAACAATGCAGCCGATTTTGTACTTATTGAACAGTCGTTGGCGCAACATAACCACAAAGTATCCATGAACGTAGACACCTAAAACGTGCTGTGCAATTTGACATGATATCGAATTACACATCGTAAAAAAATCTGAAAAACCATCGAAAACGTCCTTATCCGTGTCATCATCACCGCGTTTTCGCGCATCAATCTACCGCGTCTCACCGCCCGTAACATCAAAAGCTGGTTTCTTTCTGCGATGATGGGGCCCCCTTGGGCAGATCAGTTGCCCTCAACTGTGTGGTACTGTCGAGATCTCGCTCCAGCGCGCCTCGAAGAACTGTCGCATGCAGTGCCCTGCTTTACCGACAGGACTGTCATCCTCGTTGAACGTTTCGCAGTTGTTGAAGATCTGACGCACGTCCGCACAGAACTCGTCGCGAGATTTGTAGCTGAAAGAAAACATTTCTTCATTACCTGATTGATCAAGCTTGGAGTTTTCCGGCAGGGCTAATGAGAATTTACCAGAAATTTCCACTGAACATTATTACGGGATGTAAACAATTTCATCAAATAAGATCAAAGTTGAGATCGGCCGATATAGGATTTTCGAAAATATCGATAATCTGGCGGAATAAATATACCGCAAGCAGATATTATTGGCCATTTATTTTAGTAGGTCGATATCTGGCTGCAACACGTCAGAATACGTCATAATTTCTAACTGATTCAAAAGAGAAACTTGTTTCATGAAACCGATTTCACGAAACATTTTCAAAAAATCATATGGGGGACGCCCCAAACGTCCCTAGAAGCGCAAGTCTGCAATTTTTTTTTCAATAAATTGGTACATATACTAGGTCTATGAATTAAGTGATGAGACTTGCAGCGTAGCGTTCGGTCTGGCAACACTGGAGGCGCCGGGCTTACAGGAGAGACAGGGGAGCATGTGGCCCGCTTTCAGTACAAGTTGAAACTCGTTCGAGCCATTTGGTTGTACGTATCGTTTTTTTTTGTGAAACAGTTTTTTCTAGATGTTCTAAAAAAGAGTGTCATTAATTTCGAGCAACAAATTCAAATTCAATATATTTGTTTCGTCATGAATAAACATCATAAACAAAGGAAATTCTACATATAGAGCAATGACGAAAAAGGACAATCTCTCTATTATAAAACCGATACATAAAAGTCATTAAACAAAATAAAAAAAAAACAATAAAGAGGCAAATGAAAAGGCGGTGAAACACAAAAAGGCAAAAACGAAGAAAGAATCCCTGGGAGCTGGCAACGGACGCGAAGAACAAATCTATACAACTTGTCAGCGAGTAGGAATGTAAAAACGATATTTTTGCTCACACAAACGCTGCTAAAGTAGCTGGTGATTCTGTAACAGCGTTTTTGAGAATGTTTTTGACGATGAGGTTTTAAGTGAAGTTCGTAAATTATTCCATAAGTGAACCGCCACATAAGCAAACGATCGTCGGAAGCTACGCGTTCTATGCCTAGGTACGATAAAATTGAGATTATTTCTGGTCCTCTGGGGACGAGGCAAAGGCACAAATCTTTCTCTTAAATAGGGCGCTTGACCTGTTTTTATAACCCTATAGATAAAAGAATACATGTGATATTTTCTGCGATTCGTCATGTTTAATATGTTGTAGTTATTCAGATAAGGAGTGATATGGTTTCGATATGGAATTCCAAACGCAAATCTCATGCATTTTGAACTTTTTATATGCATTTTTTGGTTCGCGACGGTAGCGAATCACCATAGACGACATCTCCATAGCCAAAAAGTGATAAAATTAAGGTATTACACAAATAATATTTTTGTTTGGCTGATAAATGTTTTTTTAATTTGTTTATATTAGTAGTCGCATGTAAGCTAAATTTGTTCTGTTTTTTTAAATAACTGCGGAAGCCCAGCGAGCTATCAAATATAATGCCTAGATTTTTTGTCTCCTGAACCATGGGGATTCTGTCATTGTTAATAGAAATTACTGAATTTTGTTCAAAATGTTCTCTTCCATTACTGTTTTTATTCATAACCATTACTTGCGATTTTGAGGGGTTTAGTTTAAGATTGTGATGCTTTGCAAATCTGTCAATACTTTGGAGATCTGAATTTAGTTGTGGTGCAATATGGATTGTGGTTTTATTGAAAGGGAGAGTATTTGTGAGCCATCTGCATCTTGTTTTATCTTTGCGAATTTTACCGATTTGACGATGTCAGATATGTAGATTGAAAATAGCAAAGGAGATAAAATTGAACCTTGAGGAACTCCTCTTTTTATAGGTTTAAAATCGGTTTTGTAAATAGCGGAATCATTTGCTAACATAACACAGTTTGAACAGTTGCTCAAGTATGTTTTTATTAGATTTACGGAGCTCTGCGAAAACCTCTGGTAATGTAACTTAGCTAGTAACATTTCACGATTCAGAGTGTCGAACGCTTTACTAAAATCGACAAGAACTATGCACGTACTATTTTTTTGTTCTTGATGATGTCTGATATCATCCAAGATATTAATGATGTACTTGTGCTAAAGTTTTTCCTAAAACCGGATTGACTATCGGGTATGATATCGTTTGTGTCACAAAAAAATCTAATTTGATTATAAATATGCCTTTCTAATATTTTGGATGTAGTGGGTAAAATGCTAATATTCTCTGCTATTTTTGGTAAGGGTTTAACAATAGCTTTCTTCCATATTTCTGGAAATAATCCCCCAAAATACATGTGTTGATTATATTCAGCAAGGCATTCGTACAAAATGGGATACATAACTTTAGGTCTCTCATAGAGAAACCATCCTCTCGAATGGCATTTGATGAGATATTAGTTAGAATTTTGATTAGACTTGCCCTGTCTAACTGTTGGAAGCTAAGAGAATCGTTAATGTTTACATTGTTTTTGTGAAAATTGATTAATTCTTGGGAAACAATGTCTGGTAAATTGTCGGTCTGTTGGAAGTAATTGTGTATGTCATTTACATTTTGTAAGTGTTCGGGTATAGTTGAGTGAGTTTTCTTGCATGTTAGGTTGAGCTTTTTGGTAGTGTCCCAAAATTCCTTACCTTTCTTTGTTGAGAGTAACTTGAAGAATGTATTTTTTCTCGGATAATTGCATGCTTTGTATAGCAACAGTGTGCTATAAAGTTTTGCTTCAAACTTGAGCACAGTGCAACGGAAACCATTGCTAAAGCAGGCCTACAGAGAAAGTGTTTTGTCAAGACCCGAGTTTTTCGGTGGCTTTTTCACGAGGAAGATAGTTGATTGAAGATGAACCACGAAGCGGAAGGCCTTCCTTTTCAAGAACCGATGAAAATATTCTTCTCCTGACAACTTTGGCGGTAACTCGAAAGGGCCAATTATCTGATCGTCAAGAATACCCGCCCAAATATTTATTTTAAAACGTTGTTGGAAATGACCTTCACGAATGGTATGAGGATTTGCTTGGGCCCACGTGTGAGTATTATGGAAATTTAATATCCCGTCTCGCGTAAAAGTACATTCGCTAGAATGTTTTTTAAAAAATCCGGATTTTCAATGTTTTTGCGCAAAAACCACTGACAGAATGTTAGTCTGCGAGGATAGTCTTCTGGTAACAAGGCCTGCATTCGTTGTACATGGTAGGGATAAAGCAAATTTTCCCGTAGGATTCTATGGACTATGGTATGCGATAGTCCTACGCGGCGGCCTAATTCCCGAGTGCTGATATCCGCATTGATTTCCACGATATTTAAAATTTGTTCCTTCTGCTCTACAGTAACATGTCTTTCACGAGTGCGAATATTAGTGGGCTGAACACTTCCTGTATCTCGAAGTCTTTGGTACACTTGCACAAATGTCCTTCTGTCTGGGTGTACCCGTGGGCGAAATGTGTCGCGATAAATTTGAGCTGCAAGATTTGAATTCTGACGAGCTTCACCGTAAACTAACAACATGTTGGCGAACTCTTGATTCGAGAACATTGTTGATAAACACGACGACGTACGCGAACAAAAACAAAACAACAGGCCCGATGCCCGATAACTAACCACTGTTACCGTTTGCGATCGATTGCCGGTTCGATAAGAGTGACGAAAGGCCGACGCGCTGTTGTCATGTGTGTTTTAAATATTTAATTCAATGAAACTTACTTACTGACTACAAATTTTGGCTTAACTTAGAAAAACTTAGTGTCATTTATTTGTTAATTACCCAATTTAATAACGTTTTAGATTAGATTATAAAAATTAGTAAGATTGTGGTGATCGTGGTCGATATAAAGCACTTAAGGTTTTAAGCTATAAAGCCATTTAGACAAAAATCTACTGACTTTTGGACCATGGGTCATATAAACTTTTTGACTTGTTTTGACCCCCCCCCCCCCTATTACCCGTATAAATATATGTGCAAAAAATTTCAGTAAGGTTTACACACCCAACAGTGATACTCACTATAAATCCTGCAGCCTCTTCTTGATTGTAGACAGATCCATAGGCACCTTAATGATCTTCTTGTAAGTGGGGAACTGCTTCGTGTTGACCGGCAACAAGAACGGCCACGCGTCGTCGTGACATTCGAGGTCCTCGAGCAACGCCTTGCACGGTGCCAGCTCCTTTATCAACCGTTTGTTTGCGGCTTTTTCTTTCTTGGCAGCGTTCGAACAGCCGCCGGTAGAGGGCGATCCGGTGAGGGAAGAATTGGAGATGTCGCTCTGAGCACAGATGGACGGCTGGTCTTCGTTCGTAGTGAAGGAGCTATGAGACGGCGCCGGACTATAACAATCGAATTCCAAAATTAACGTATAATACAGGGTGGACTATAAAGGCGTTGGCAGCTTCAATATTCAATAAAAAAATAATAACGCAATATAAAAGAAAAATAAATGTATTTTTCAAAAGTTGAAAGACAGGGATTTAGACTTTTTTAATAATAATAATAATATTTATTCACTCAATGTACAAAGATAACAAACAATATGAGTAAATAAATATGAAATCAAAACAGGCCCAATAGAAGGCATCGCCTGTACATGGAGCAATAATTTAAGTTGAAACTGTAGAATGCAAATGACAAAAAAAGGACAAAAATTAGCTACAGTCGATTATGTATTTAGTTGATGTTCGTATTTATGAGTTTATGAATTTCAGTCCTAGATATAGAATGTAGCCACTTTTTTAAATTTCTTTTGAAACAATTTCCGAAACGTAAATCTTTTAAGTCTTTAGGTATAATTTCATAAAATTTAGCCGCTAAATAGAGATATGATCGCTGCATTATAGATTTATGCGGTTGAGGAACTACAGTGCCACGAATTTTGTACCTGGTATAATGATTATGTTTAATTTTTTGGTCGGTGTTTACAAATTTATGGTAGTGAGTGTTACTGTGTATGAAATAAAGCTGTCTTATATCATACATTCGAACATCTGCGTATAATTTTTCAGTGGGATAAAGTTTCGGTTTTTTAAATATCATTTTTAGAATACTTTTTTGAAAAACATCTAAATTAGAGATATGTGAGGAACATGCAGCTCCGCATGCTAATATACCATATGTGAGATGAGGCTCAATCAGTGCATGGTATAATGTTCGAAGATATTTTTCTGTCAATATATTCCCAAGGTATTTAAATTTGTAGGATACAAATCTAACTTTCTTTAAAATATAATTGACATGGATGTCCCATCATAAGTAAGGATCCAAGACCACTCCAAGGTATTTTATGTTGGGCACTCTATTAATTTGCATTTTTTGATCATTAATGTTGAAGGAGAAATTTGTGTAATTTGGCAGATGTCTAGCATAAGATCCAAATGGTAAAAAATGTGTTTTAGAGTAGTTAATGCTTAATTTTCTACTGTTAAACCACCGAATAATTTTGATAAAATCATTTTCAATTACATTTTTCAGATCAGACCAGTCAGTGCCTTCATATAATATTGCAGTATCATCTGCAAAACTAGATATTTTCCCATTACAATTAATTTGGAAAATATCATTTAAATATATATTGAATAACAGCGGACCTAAGACAGTTCCTTGTGGGACACCACACTTAATATACATTTCTTTACTAAATGATCCTGATATCTGCATAGATTGTGGGCGATTTGACAAATAATTTTCGATCAGTGAGTACGCGTTTCCTCTGAAACCAATGCTTCTAATAATAATTTGTGATTAACTGTGTCGAAAGCTTTCTTTAAATCAACAAAAATGCAGATTGAAGGGATTCTGTTATCAATATTTTGATGTATTTGATTTACAATTTTAGTTATTGCGTCCGATGTAGCATTCCCTTCTGTAAATCCATATTGATTTTCACTTAAAATTTTGAATTTTGTGAGGTATCGAATCATTCTAGTAGATAAAACTTTTTCAAAAACCTTTGCTACACTGGATATTATTGATATTGGTCTATAGTTTTTAACATCTGTTTTTGTTCCTGATTTATGTATCGGTATTATATTACCTTTTATTAAAATTGAGGGATATATGCCAGATTCAAAGCATTTGTTGATTAGGTAAGTGAGTGGTTCTGTTATGTCCTCGGCTATAATTTTCAAATGCTCGCTTTTAATACTATCGAACCCAGGACTTTTCCGATTTTTTAAGGACATACTATAACAGTGGTGTATACTTCACATTGCTCGACTTTATCCAAAATAAATGAGTTCAAAGTTCTTTTTGGAGGCTGAGCATTTTGAACATTTGCTTGTATATTACTTGCTAAATTTTCGCCTATGTCAGTAAAGAATCCGACTTTTCGAAATGAGTTTTCCAGGAAAAACATTTTTCAGCAGCTCTATAGATACCCTAGCTGTATGACATGTGGCCCCATCTTCTTGAAACCACATTCTAGAGGTATTGCATAGGAGTTCTTGCAAATTTGGCACCAAAAAGTCTGTTATCATATTGCAATAATTGTTAGCTTTAACTAATAATAATAAATCGTCTTTAACTGTCATCGCTTGCCCTCTTTAGTCGGTCCAATAATACCGGTTGATGTAATTCCAGCCCACACGACTAATTTAGGGCTGTGAAGTGGACGTTCATACAAGCGTCGGGGATTAGTTTCGGACCAGAACCGACAATTTTGTTTGTTAACATGGCCATTGAGGTGAAAATTGGCCTCATCACTAAACATCATGTTGTTAAAACTGTTGAATCGGACGAGCATCAAATTGACAAAGTTAAGTCGGTTATTGGCATCAAAATTCACCGCAAGCTCGTTCTTTTGATGTCCAAAGCCTGACATCTCTTGCGGTGTTGACTGTTGCGGATTTCGCTGAACTGAAACACGAACACGCTCTACATTGTCGGCTGATCTTGCAGAAACTGGACGAACACGAGCTGTCATTGCTACTGTCGAGCCGGTTGTTTCGAACATTCTGATCCATTTCGGTATCACATTGACGCTTGGAACTTCTTTTAAATCGCGTAAACCGTGTTCAATGTCGATACAAATGTCGTGCAGTAATAACCTATCTATTGTTTTCATAATACGCTCGAACCCAAATGCATGCTGTGCTCCCGTGTACGGCTCCATGGCGACTAAATTTCCAGGCAACGGCGCAGCTAACAGCTTATCCCCCCGCGTTTCGGAGAAATTTAAGATTTTAATCGCCAACACTCTTATGGCCCACCCTGTATTTAAACGTGCCTATTAAGATTCAATGCATAAACTTCATTTTTCCATAACGATTTCCTACATCTCTGTATTAATAGGGTTTTGAGATTCGTTAGCACGGCATAGTAGTCCTGAGTTTTTGAAGAAAACACTTGAAAAAACATGGCACCTTGGTATAGCTCAAAGTCGACAGTTGCTCCAAAGTAATGAAGCGTTGATTTTGATGCTCAATGATGCTCAATCAATCCATAACCTACCTGGACGGTCCTTGATCCCCTCCACTCTCCGACTCCGACCTTTGATGTTGACCTTGCTGAGGTGGAGGCGGCGGTTGTTGTTGCTGCTGCAAGTGCCCGCCTCCTGCACCACCATCCTTCGACGGAACCGGCGTGCTACAGGATGGCGCACCTGCACTGCCTCCTCCACTAGTCCGATGCTGGTTGTTCTTCTTGACTGTCGGCTTCCGGTGCGGCTTCTTTGAGAAACAGTTCGCGCAGTACCACTTGCCGCGCGGCGGTTTCTGCATCGGGGGGCGGGCACAGTCGGTGTGATACGCACGAGGGCAGAGGTCGCATAGCACTAAACGAGCGCCGGTTTGAGAGGAACGGCGGCCGCATACGATGCAGTTGCGTTCGCCTGTTGCTTTGTTCATGCATTCGTGGCAGTACCTGGAATAACAGAATAGGATTCCATAGGAGGATCTGACATGGGAATATCCAAATCAACTTTTGTGTGTAACGCTGATTAGATCAATTATTTAATCAATAGAAGTTAAAGAACTAAAATTGGCAATACAGTATCAAACATTGTTTCGGTAGGTGTGCCACAGGGTATCAAATTAGGTCCATTACTATTTATTTTATATATTAACGATATTCCTGAAATTCAACTATTTGCTGGTGATAAATATTTGATATATATATATATATATATATATATATATATATATATATATCAAATAATATAGACATTGAAACTGCAATAGAGCTGTTAAATAATGATATGAAAAACGTAATAAATTGGTTAAATGTAAATAAACTTCAACTTAACACAAACAAAACAAAATATATGCTAATAGGAAAATCTTTAGATCAAAATACGTTAAATCCTACAATTAATCATGAAAAAATTGTGTTAATCGAATCATTTACATATTTGGGCATATACGAAGACAATAAATTAAAATTTGAAGGGCACTATGAATATATGATTCCAAAAATATCCTAGAAAATACTTTTATATAATTTCGCATAGCCTAAGCGTTTATTCTAAAAAAATTGTGTACAACACTATCATTCTCCTCAGTTGTTATATTGTTCGACTATTTTGTTCACTGCAAATAAAACTGTATTTTCAAAATTACAAATATTACAAAATAAAGTCATGAGAATCATCCTAAATAAAAATAAATATACTAGAATAAATTTTATGCTGAAAGAATACAATGGTTAAATATCAAAAATTTCATAGAATACTTGGTTTTCATTTTCATATTCAAGTTAAAAAATCATCTTCTACCAAATCAGTTAGAAAATTTTATTGTATTGAACAATGAGTGCAACAATTATTCTACTAGAGGAAGTATAGACTTTGATTTACAAAACTGCAGTAGCAATATAACGAGCAAGTCATTATTTCAAAAGGGATTGTACGAATTTAATAAATTAAGTAATGATATCGAGATGTGTGTCAGTTTGAAAATGTTCAAAAGGAAATTGAAAAAATATCTCATGGAAAACCAGAATTCATCGTAGTGAAATTTTGTATGTAGTCTTCAAGACATAATATATTTTGTGATATACTGTGTAATATGGATATTATGGATATTGTAGCATTAATGCTAAATAAATCTGAAACAAACAAAGAAAGTATCCTATTTTTCGAACACAATTAAAATGACTGAAAAAATTGAATATCTTAAAAAAGTTGTGTTGCGTTGTATTTACGATTTACGGTGAAAAATGGGTCACGTCTTCGACTTCCAGATATTGCGTTCTGCCTAGGTCTACAAATATAAGCATATTAGCTCAGATACTTTGTCCATGAGCCAAAACAGGGAAGAGTTAAAACTACCTCTTTGTACTGCTGCGAATCTCATTTTGATAAGGTATTAATATGGTATGAATGACCATAATGATTATTATTAGTGTGTATTCCAATAATTATGATGGAGAAAGTACTTAACAAGAACGGAGATAGATAGGGTAATTGCATTTATTTCGAGATGATGTGAATCTTGTTAAAATGATCATGTTGTAGCTACAGGCGGGACACTTCAACTTTGTTTTTGTCGACGTGGGGATGCATAGGCGTAGTTCAGGAGCCAAAAAGCCAGGCCAAAATTGAAAAAAAAGTGTATTATCGAATAGTGTCACGTTTTGAAATGATCAGCTGTATTGAGATGTGGGAAAATGAATTGCGGAGTAGGTATTGTACCACTTGCTAATCGGCACATGACACTGTAAGACAACAATATGTGACTGATATTTTTTCCGTAATTCATAGTGAATTAAAAAAGAGTTTTAAGAAATTGAATAGTAGCACGTTTATCAAACACCTTAAAAACATAAGAAAATTGATTTTGAATGCGATCAAAACATTTTTTAACAATAAATTCGCTATCTCTATTTTGAACAATCGATATCAAATTCGTTATGAGCGATCCGTGAATCATTTAAAACAAATTTGAGCTCAATCGACACATTTTTTTTTGTAAACATGCCCGCCATATTGAATCCAGCATTTTTATCTTTTACAAATCGATGTCATATTCGTCATTATCGACCTGAAAGTATAAATGTTTTTATTTTGTAAAATTTAATGAATCTGTTTAAATTTTTATCGTTTTTTTTCCTTTAATGCTTTTCGTTGATATAATACTTCACAATATCAAAAAGCGATTCCAAGGATTGAATTAATAAGCTTACCAGTCGCCTTCAGGAATGTTCTCCATTTTGGGCTTGAAGCAGTAGGTGTGGTAACCCTTATCACAACCATCACAAAGTAATAACTTATCTTCGTTGTCACCACTATGGCAAAATTGACAATTCTGAAAGAAAAGTATCATGTTTTTTAGACTGCAATAAGTAATACCGTTTATTAGTAGAGAAGGGTAATTTTTTGTAGAGTTCTTAGTTTGTTGTTCCTTTTGAATAATAGACATTTTTTGTATACCTATCATTATTTTTTCAAGTTTTTAATCCTTTGCGTCCTACTGATCTTCTGAGATGAGCAATTCATAGTCATTTGCCTGGGCTCCTGATAATATTCTGACAATACCACGATAATAGGGAATATGCAAGTTTCACGATACCACAATACTTTGGCAAGATAAAAATATAAATAAAATTAAGACAAAAACTGATAGTTATATCCAACGGAAAAAATGGTGTCACAATAATTACTTGACAATGCTAATGAGACAAAATTTATGACATTTAAACGCTCCCTTGTTTCTATAAATTTAAATAATGAATGTATACACAAAAACATCATCAACATTTTTGGGACTGACCAATGATTTTACTAATCATGTAGACACATCACTCACTCAACTAGCAAATATTTCTTTTAATAGAAGAAAAGTTAGTTACACCGTAAGAAAAAGCGCAGCCTTAAGCAGATAATTTGCTTTGTTTGAAAGTTCTGACGTGTCTGCACCTAAAATTTTTCAAAAAGGTGCTTATTCTACAAAAACGAACTATAAAATATATAACTAAAAGCAATCCTAGAGCTACATGCAGGGCTTTATTTGTAAATTTTAAAATAATGACTGTAGTATGATTGTTCAATTTAGAAACAGCAATCCTTATTTTTTAGATAAATATGAATTTGAAACGTTTAAACATAAGTTACAATATTAAGAGGTAAACCAGATCTCAAATTACGAGACTTGTTCAATAAGTACCCGTGTTTGATGACAGATGGCGTACCTGAGGGAAGTTGGTGTTATCATCGTGTGCTGCCATCTATCAAACGACGGCACAACACATTTCAGACTGATTGATAGGTTGGTTTGGATTTGGCAGCCATTCAAATAACACGGTAATTCGCTTGTTTTTGGATGGGGAAAAATGCGAGGAGATAGAAGCAAAGTTGGATGCTGTTTAAGGGCACACTTCTGCTGAGGACGAACATCCTTTTTTGATGAGGAGCGACCAGGACGCCCGACAGACGTGGTTACAGAGGTCGTAGGTGTGTCGACCAGAACGGCAATATTTTACATGATAAGTTGGAGATGAAAAAATTGTCGGTCTGAAGGGTGGACAACAGGCGGATGCAGCTGTTGACTTCGAGGCAGTGTTTGGAGCAATTTAAGCGAAATCCGAAGGAGTTTTTGGGTCGAGTTGTCACCTTTGATGCAGCTGGATTGATCATTACACACAAGGAAACTAAGCAACAATCAAAATAATGGATTTCTCCCGGTGAATCTGCTCCAAAGAAGGCGGAGACAGTCTCATCTGTTCGAAAGGTCATGGCGACGATTTTTTTGGGATGCGAACGGCGTCAACCCCATGGATTTCTTAGAAAAAGGAAGAACGATCACTCGACAATATTACTGTGAGTTATTGGACCATTTCGACAAAAAATTGAGGAGACAAGGCCACATTTGGCGAAAAAGAAAGTGCTGTTTCACCACGATAACGCACCAGCACATTCATCCGGATTTGTCGCCGCTAAACTGCATGAATTGCATTATGAAGTGCTGGCGCATCCCCCGTACTCACCCGATCTGCCCCTCCGCGACTTTTTGTTGTTCCCTAACATGAAGAAATGACTCGCAGGAAAAAATTTGCTCAAATTAGGAAATCATCGCCGAGAAAGAGGCGTATTTTGGAGAATTCGACAAATCCTATTTTTTTGAAGGGATTAAAAAATTGCAGGAACGTTGGGAAAAGCGTATCTTTCTAAAAGGGGACTAAGTTGAAAAAAGATATAAAAAAGTTGGAAAAAATAGTGTCTTCATTTGTAACACGGGTACTTATTCAACCGCCTTCGTAGTTGTACCTAAAACAACACTCCGTGAACTTAAGCACTTTTTAACATGTAAACAATAATAACCCCAGTTCAACAAATCACCTACTTAAGATCCACTTATGTAATAATTATAGTTTAGTTTTAAGTTATTGTCATTAAGAATTAATTCGGTAAATAAAGTATATTCATCTACCTATTTCACTTTCAAAGAAACTTACCGCTTTCATAATACTCTTATCCCAAGCTATGGAGGATTCCAGCGAGTATAAGCACATGGCAAGCTGCGCTGATGTAGAACAGCGTTGCAAGGCCTCGCGCCACACCACCAGCCCCTTAGGAAGGTCGTCGGGGGAGGGCGGACCTCCCGCAGGGGTTGTCGAGCATCCGGACGACGTAGGGCAAGGGGATGTGGAAGGCCCCACGGATGAGGCGCCGCCACTGCTCACTGCAGCAGAAGGCGTCGAAGCGGCTGCGGCGGCTGCTTCGTGAGCCATCGCTACCAAGTTCGGGTCGCCAGTGCTGAAAATATAAGAGATTGAAAACCTATTTTAAAGGATAACGTCAGATACACGGCGAATTTGTTTGTCCTTGCCAGAGCTTGTTGTTTTTGGAAGCGAAATCAAAGTGCGCTTGGACGTTGTGTACGGTGACTCTTCTCCTGAGATGGCGACCGTCAAAAATTGGTACCACGGAGGATAACGTGGCAAAAATCCACGATCTCGTATTGGCAAACCGCCTATTGAACGTGTTCGAGATAGCTGAGACAGTGGTCATCTCAAAAGACCGTGTTGGTGGTATCCTGGATGAAATATTGGGCATGAGAAAGCTGTCCGCGCGATGGGTGCCGCATTTGCTCACTCTGTGCCTTCACGTCATTAATCTTCGTTTGCAAGTTTGATCCCCTATACCTAAATACGCATGGTCCATCTACTTCCACCAGGCGTCTGGTAAGGACAAGAAAACTCGCCCTGCCCATGGAAAGGTATCTATACATTTATTGATCACAATAGTTTAGATAGAAATGAGGAGAACGTCGAATATTGTAGGTAGTCCTTTCTCTATTGGCCAATATAAGATTAAAATAAAAATTTGTTCAATCGAAATTATGATTTTTAACAAAAAGAAGCGAAGATATCAATACTTACTTGACTCCCAAGGGTGGCTTTAAATAACGCCTTTCAATATTCTGTTCCAATGACGACAATCTGTCTTTTGCAGCCTCCACTATTTGACGATATGGTATTTCTTGCACATCTCTGCTAGGCAGTTTCCAACCTTTCACTTGCATACTCGCATTTGCCACCTATAAAAGATAACACAACTATACCTTACAAATCCTCGATTTATAACTCCGATTATTTACAAGATATCCAGGATCCTTAGAACTTATTTTATAACTCGAAAATCCTAGCTCTATCAGAGGCTGTTGACATCAGACGTAAAGAAAAAAATCAGTAATCATCTTTCATGTGTTAAAATTATTACTAAGTCGATATGTTTGAGGAATGGGATTTTCGAACATTATTTTCACAGCTCTGCGAACAGTCCAAACTTTTCACAAAATCAAATGAGGTATCATAAATCCATCCCTACAATGCAGCAAGGAACTATCCATGTTAGGTCTTTGGTTTTGTAGACGTTTATCCTATGTATTGAAATCTAAAACATTCCACATTTGCAAGTTAAAATAGGAAAAAAACTCATGAGAATTTTGTAGGGTACTGTAAAAAATTGAATATTCTTGGCCCCGATAACGTTTATCTGGTATTATTTCAAGAGCTTGAAAAAACAATTTCTCTACTTCTATTCGATTGGTTATTTCTATTGGTTTATATCCTTGCTGTACTCGTACTTATAGCAAAAAGATCAGAAAAATAAGAGCGACTGTTTTCGAATAATAGAGAATTTGAGAATTACCCGACAGGCTGTAATTCTGACAAAAAACTTTCGAACCCGAGTTTCTAGCGAAAATAACTAATGATAATAAAGCATTTATTGCCCAACAGTACAAGCATTTAGAGATCAATGATTTAATTTACAGTCTGTGCCATTAAGTGAAAAAAAAAACACATAAATATATAACAAACTAAAACGCCTAGAGAAATGGGTAATAAAGGCAAAGATTAATTCCTGAAATCCACAACAGAAGATATCACAAAAACTACCACACATAAAGTTTATTGGTGCTTTAAACAGAAGATTTGTATGTGCCCTCTTGCAGAAAAAGGAAACTTTATACTTGGATGTCAATCTAGGTACCAGTAAATCAATTTGCGATAGCAAAACAAGACAGTGTTACAATCATTTTGCGATAGCAAAAGACAATGTTACCATATAGTAATTTGTATAAAAATATGATCGATGCCTGCTTTCTACGCTTCTCCAAAGGAGGCACACCAAATCTATTCAATAAAACTGAGAAGTCATATTCTCTTGGAGGATATGACACCACCACTCCTATAGCATGGATATTTCAGAAATTTTTCACTATTACTTTTGTAGAGTTCATAGATAGGGCTCCAAAAAACTGCACCGTTTTCTAACTAGCTTATAAAAAGCACTGCAAGTAACTTATTAAGCGTTGTGATATTGAAATTTCTACTGATGTAGTAGTTAAAGGTGACCTGACAATCTAAATACACGCCCAAATCTTTGAAAGTCTCACACCTTTCTAATACAGAATAATTTATTTTGTATGGGTATGGTAAAAAATTGACTTTCAGGGTGAAGGTTAAAATGAGGCATTTAGAGTTGTTCAAATACAAATTGTTATTGATACACTATATTTGTAAAGCAATATTTATTATTGAAGGTTTTCACAGTCTTGCCAGCTATAAACGGATCAGGTAATTAGCAAACACAAGCTTGTTGCATGATAATGAACTACACATACACACATAATATTCTACTATCGCGGGGAAATAAAACACCAACAATTAAAGTTTCGTACCTTATCCTCCAAAGCCTCCACCTGCTCCATAAGGAACATATCAACCCTCTGCGCGACAGTTTGACTCCAAGCTCCAGGTTCATCTGGTGCCGGAGCACCGTGCACCCTTCTAACAGCGACTTCCTCTCCCTGGGATTCCCCGGTACTGCCCACCAACGATGTCAACTCCTTGTTACCCTCCTCTATGACCAGGTTGCCTTGGCGTTCGTACATAGTTTGCATAAGACTGATGATGTTGCGTTTCAGTTCGCGTTCACGTACGCCGCGCACGTGCAGACTGTCTAAGACTCTACTGAGGAGGGCGATATCTGTTATACGCCACCAACCGTATCTGAAACAAATTCAAATAAAGCGATAAATTTTCCTTCTCCTCTCACATCGAAAATGTTGTGGCTGCATCAAAGGCGTATGGTTTTATTGTAAGAAATACCGGTAATTTCCAACGCATGTTGGTTATCCAAACTTATTACGAAAACGGTCGAAGTATAAAAAATACTTTTCGCACTAGTTTTGGCCGACATGGACGCCCTACAGAGCCTGGAATTCGTTGGATTGTTGATCGTTTTGAGGAAACTGGTTCAGCTGAAGGTCGTAGACCATACCAACATGCTCGTCCAGCTCGTACTCGTGAAAACATAGCCACAGTGAGTGAAAGTGTGCGAGAAGATCCAACCACCTCGACTAGGCTCCGTTCACAACAATTGGAAATTAGTGAGACCGCTTTACGCCGGATTTTACACATTGATTTACACCTCCACCCATACAAAATCCAACTAGCGCAAGAACTGAAGCCGGCAGACCATCAACAGCGGCGTGTTTTTGTTAACTGGATGCTGGAAAGAGAAGACGGATTTTCGGACTAAGTGCTCTTTTCTGATGAGGCTCATTTTCACCTCAATGGGTACGTGAATAAGCAAAATTGCAGATTCTGGATGGCTGAAAATCCACACCAATATCATGAACAACCTCTCCATCCTGAAAAAGTGACTGTTTGGTGCGGATTATGGGCTGGTGGCATCATTGGACCATTCTTCTTTGAAGATGCCGAAGAAGAGGCCATTACCGTCAACGGGGAACGTTATAGCGGTATGTTAACAGACTTTTTGTGGCCACAATTGGATCGTATTGAGGCGATCTTTGGTTTCATCAAGACGGAGCAACGGCTCACACATCTCGCCAAACAATCGCCTTATTGCACACGAAATTCAGATGTCAGTTGGCCCCCGAGATCGTGCGATCTAACACCTCTTGACTATTTTTTTTTATTTTTGAAAGGAAAAGTGTATGCGAATGGTCCCCGGACAATTCAAGACCTGAAGCGCAATATTCGGACTGAAATTGCGACCATAGATCCGATTATTCTGGGAAAAGTCATTGAAAATTTTGATGTTCGGATATTGGCCTGTAAACGAAGCGCGGTGGTCACATGACTGATGTTATTTTTCATACATAAACAGCATAAACCAACCTTCATTTATCAATAAAAAAAATTCGATTTCACCTCGCAAAAAGCGTGTTGATTTTTCAATTAGAAAAAAAAAGTAATAGATGACCCTGTATTTTCGTTTTGTTTGACTTCGGGAAACCTTAACCCGCTAAATAAATAAATAAAATAAAGATCGTCCATCATTGTCAAAGTAGTCGGTGGAACCATAGCGTACGATTTATTGACCACATTATGTGTCTACAGTGTACATGTGAGGTTTTGCAAATTATCTATAACCGAACGATTTTATTGCATCAGCGTATTCATCAACTGAATAGAAACAGTGGTTGCGCAATGTTTTTTAACTAATTTTGAGAAGCATCGATTACAAATACACAGTGTCCAGTGGGAAAGTACACATTTCAAGTTTGAATTACGCGGAAACCGTATACGCGAGGAAGGTTACGGGTTAAATAGTCACAATGGAAGGTTGGACCGTAGCGCAACGTGCTTTTGCTATCGAGGCTTACTTTCAGAGTGGTGATTCATATAACCATTTTTACGACGGTTATGTGAACAAGCAAAAATTGCAGATATTGGACATCTACACACCCAAAAGAGAAACATGAACCACAGCTTCATAGTCCAAAGGTGTCTGTTTGGTGCGCCATATCCTCTAGCGGTATTATTGGACCGTATTTCTTTGAAGATGAAAACGGTCATGCATTGACAGTCAATTCTGAGCGATAAAAGGACACGACTGACACTTTTTTTGCTCCTATTGTAAGAACAGAACGTCGATTTAACAGAAACACATGGTTTCAACAGGATGGGGCCACTGACCATACTTCCGGAGAATCTATCGACACGGTGAAAGCACTCTTTCCTCAAAAAGTTATATCGAAGTTTAGAGACATTCACTGGCCTCCCAGGTCATCCGACCTCACGGCATGCGATTATTTTTTGTGGGGTTATCTAAAGTCAAACGTGTATTCCAATAATCCATGAACACTGGAGGACCTTAAAGACAACATTCGACGAGAAATAAACAACATAACTCCGGAACTCTACAAGAGTGTTTCGGAAGTTGCGCGCGTGATTAGAAAGAATGGCAAACATTTGGACGGATTCATATTTAAGAAATAAAACCCGTCGAATTTACTTAATATTGATAGTAAAAAATATTTTCTTTTCATCAAGATTGTATTTTTTTCTTAAATCGAAAAGTGAACTTTCCCACTGGACACTGTATTTTCAAAATCAGATTCTTTATTTGCATTGACGAACAAATTATATAAATTAACGTTAGGTCTATTATTTTCAATAATATTCAGTCGCGAGTATGGATGCCGACGTTTCGGAAAAACTTATTTCCTTCTTCGGAACTGTGGTGGTCAAAAAATAAAAATATAAACAATAACGTTATGCGTATATCATTTAGACTGCAACTGATCAATATAACAAACGAAAGACTATTACGAGGTTTAGCTAGACACAGAATCAAAAATGTGAATTGATGGAAGTGGTAATGTTTGAAGTGAATATTTTAAGGGCAAATGTACTGCGAAATCTATGATGTTTGAAATATGTTTGATTGATGCGTAGAATTACCGGAGTTGAGTGTATTAATATACTAAGATAAAAAAACTGCGATACACCCTCACCCATCCCTTTATAACCTCAACCCAACTTTTTACCCCTCAAAATGAAACGTCAAAAAACGAAGTTTGAGCGATATTTTTTTTTCGTATTTGGCATTTTTCTACGCCGCCACTGGACGGTTTTTCAAAAAATTACAGAGCCTTTTCGTCCTTGGTATAGTAGCAACGTTGTGTAAAAATGTCATCCAATTTTCAAGTTAAAGGCGATCCAAAGATTAGCGGACAGACATAATTACGTTTATTCAACCAGAAAATAGGTTAAAAAATTGCATGACAATTTAAAAAAGATTATATTTACTTCCATGCGTCTTATTTCGAAAGTGGGGAATAAAACCAAAGTAATTTAGAAGTCAATATTAGGTCTATGAGGCATTTTTTACTACTAGGTCAAAGGATATAAACAACTATTTAGGTTTTGTGGTTAAGCCGAACGATCAAATCACATGAATTTGACCTAAATTTAACAATAAAGAAAACATACTCTGTAGCTTGTTCATACATTCAGTTAGTAACTTTTTGGTTAAAAATGATAAATAAATAGCTACGATTTGTGATAGTGATTCAAAATATATAAGAATAAATCACTTCAAAATTACGTTCTGTATTACACAGTCCGAATATTGAGCGAACGCACCATTGCTTCAAAACTTCCAAACTGAACACGCGTGCGCATTAAAAAAATCGAGATTGCTGCATCTCTTTCATTAACCCCGTCAAATTGTGAAGTATGCTTATGAAGCTTAGGCCTCTCGGTTTTAAATTTTCAAGCATCTTCTAAATTAAATTCAAATATGCGTGAAAAAACAAACACGCTGCAAATTAAAAGAACGAGAACCAAATAATCCAGTACGGGGAGGGGGCAACCAAATTGCTATGAAGGGCTATTTTCGGGAACTGTAACTATGAAGACATAGTATTTGCAAGTAATTTTAAAATCAGTTAAAACAATTCTACTTAGAAGTTCGTAAAAATAGAAATGTTTCCTTCAAAGTTAGCGTTAATGTCAAAATCTAGACGAACATTTTCTAACAGAATCCTTGTAACCTCATTTAGTAGACATATCATTTTATACCTATATAAGTTGCAAACTTACAAGATTTTTTTATTGGTCGTAAATAAGATAAGAACAAAACAACGTTTTAAATGACTGAATATTATGAAAATCCTTAGCACATCGTATCATAAATCCTAAGAGTTGAAGAGATTTAGAAACAATCATATTTATATGGGTAATAAAGTATAATTTTTGGTCAAGAATTGCCCCTAAATCCCTAACTTGAGATACAGTCTTTAGAGGACAACCTTTCATGGTATAAGTATGATCAATGGGGTCCCTGTTACGGCTGAAGACCATTAAATGACATTTTTCCACATTAAGTCCCATTCTATTTATTTGACACAATGAATTCAAATCATTTTGGATATTTAAACAATCATTATTATATTTGATTTTTAAGAATAATTTCAAATCATCTGCAAACATTAGAAAACTAACAGACTTAAAACAGTATTTAATATCATTCGCATATTTATTGAAAAGAAGAGGACCCAAATGGGAACCTTGAGGTACTCCAGATGGCTCATTAATCTCATTTGATTGAAAGCTTTGTATACGCACTATTTGTTTTCAGTTAGTGAAGTAAGACTTCAGCCATGATAAAAGATCCCCGCAAATTCCTAGACAATGTAACTTATAAATCAAGATCTCACGGTTGACCTTATCGAATGCTTTACAAAAATCTGTATAAACTATGTGAACAGAATAGAGTTCCTCCAAGGATTCGAAAATAGTTTGTGAATGTGAAAAGATTTAACTCTGTGGAGCATTTTGAAAGAAATCCAAACTGTTGGCTTATAAAACTACTTTGCAAAATTTGCGGATAAAAATTCACACACTAGGCTCTCAAAAACCATTCCAATACAACTCAGTTTACTGATAGGTCGATAATTTTTGACTTGTGAAGGATCTCCAGATTTCAGTATTGGAGTAATGAAGCTTGTTTTCCATCATTCTGGAAAAGTCCCACTTTTCAACGAAAGATTAAAAATATAAAATAGAGATCTAGAAATCAGAAAGCCACAATGTTTAATTAACAACGGAGGTACACCATCAGGTCCAGGTCCTTTATTAGCGTCTAATTTGGACAGTTTTGAGGTCATCGTTCAAGGATATAATTAAAATTTGACAATTACAGGTAAGTTTTTCTTGGGAGGTGAGCCATTTTAACAACAAAAGTTGGGATCTCATTTTCGTAATTTTTCGCGATTAGAATACTTCTCCGTCAGTATGCGTGGGAAGTAAAAAAATACTCCAGTATATCAAAACATTGTTGATCGTCGCATATCACTCACCTCATCTCCTCGGGTACACTCTTCTTGGACCCAGCCGCCGGCATGCCATGCCTCTTGATATACTCCAGCTGCGCCCCCTCTTCGGCGCTCATCTGCAACGGTGCCGGGCTCTCGCACGTAGCTTGCGACGCAGCTGCCGCGACGGCCATGGCGGCTGCGGCCGCCGACATTCCCATCGTGGCGCCGTTCGCACCTGGCGGCGGGAACACCGGAATCCGGAGTTCGGTTCCCGATCCGGGAGCGTCCCATCTCGAGCCGGTTGATAGCAGCACGCCGCCGTCGCAACTCGCGCAGTCGCGGTTCAGGATGCCGAACCATTTGTGTTCGGCGTCTTCTTCGTGGTGTTCCTGTGAAATAAAAGTCGGTTTTGAAATTGACCATTTCCTGAAATGATCGAGCATTTCATGAAATGTATCATTATCTTGTGGCCGGATCATGATGTGCGTTGACCAAATCAGTGATCACAAATCGTAAATTCATCGAAATGGCCAAACATGTTTTGATCAATTCGTATTAATGGTATTGTATGAAGTTGTAATACACTTGCGGATAATTTACAATTATTCAGGATTATTGATTCCAACGCTGATTGTATTGCACTTCGGAGGGATACGCTTTAGTAGCTTGGTGTGACAAGAAAAATGTTAAGTGTAGAGTAGTCAGCTTTTCCAATGTTTGCAGAAATCGCTGTGGATGTAGTTTTCGACCACAAACTTAATTTTCAGTCATATAGCTCAAAAGGTGACTGAGGATTCACGGTTTTATTGTAATAAACTGCTCTGCCGCCCAGAGTATTAGTTTTGATTTCTGCATATATTAGCTTGTAATTAGAATATGCATCGTTCATCTGGAATCCAATTTACAAATTCTACAAAATAAAGCTATGAGAATCATTTTAAATAAAAATAAATATGCTAGGATTAGTCTATGTTACAAGAACTACAGTGGTTAAATTTGATAAATTTCATATGTTATTTAGTTCTCGTTTTCATATTCAAATTAAAAAATCATTTATTACTATCACATTTAGAAAACTTCACAAAACTAAATAGTCACTAATTGTATAACTACGAAATTAGAGGCAGTATATATTTTCATCTGCAAAATTGTAATAGTAGCATAAATAGTAAATCTATATTTCAAAAAGGAGTATTTGAGTATGATATTTTTTGTTTGTTTAAGATTTATTTAGCATGATTGCTACAATTACATTCTTCTAAAAAACTAAACAATTATATAACATACAGACATTCAGAAAAAAAAACAAAATTTGCATCTCTAAGAATTTTCATTGTCCATGAAATATTCCTTTAATTTTCTTTTAAATATCTTTAAATTACAAGTAGACTTTATATTATTAATTAGTTTATTAAATTCAAGTCATCCTTTCTGAAATTTTGCTAGTTATATTAGATACAATTGCAATTTTGTAAATGAAAATCTATATAACCTCTTATATAATAATTGTGGTAATGATTATTCAATTCTAAGTATGTAGTTTTCTGGCAAAAGATGTTTTTTTTATTTTTATTATAAAAATAAGAACCAAATATGATATGAAATTTTTTATATTCAACCACTGCAATTCTTGTAACATAGATTTTATTTTGGTGTACTTATTTTTATTCAATATTATTCTCATAGCTTTATTTTGCAAGACTTGTGTGAGAATACAGCTTCATTGGCAGTGAACAAAATAGTTGAACAATATAATAAATGCGGTAGAATAATTGTATTATAAACTATTTTCTTGGAGTAGGTACTAAGACTATGAGAAGCTCTATAAAAGTAATTTGTTTTTTTTTGTCAATTTTTGAAATAATTTATTCATAGTGATCCTCAAACTTTAGTTTACTATCAATATATATACCTAAATATTTAATTGATACAACATTTTCAATTATTTCTCCATTTATCCTAACTGTGATAGTATTTTCATTTAGGTATTTCCCTATTAGCATACATTTTGTTTTAGAAGTATTAAATTTTAGTTTATTTACATTTAACCAATTTACGATTTTTGCCAAGTCAGAATTTAGCATTTTTAAAGCAGTGTCTATATTTTCATCTGATATGTATATTAATCATCTGCAAATATCTGAAGTTTACAATAATCTAAAATATTGCAAATGTCATTAATGTATAAAATAAATAGTAGTGGACCTAGTTTACTACCTTGTGGTATACCAACAGAAATGTTTTTTGATCTTGATAATGGTTTTTTGACTTCTGTCAATTAAATAGTTTTGTAGAATTTTGAATACAGAACCTTTAAATCCGTAGTGATGCAATTTTGTAAGTAATTTATCCCTGTCAATAGTCTCAAACGCCTTTTTGAAGTCCAAAAACACTGTTACTGTATGTTTCCGATTGTCCATACATCTCCTCCAGTTCTCTAAAACCATTTGTGTTGCCGTTTCAGTTGAGTGTTCGAATTTAAAAATGTTTGAGGTGAAATTAAAAAATCACTTTATGAATACCGTAATTTGGGGTGAAATTGATCTCCAGGGGTGAAATTGATCACTACATCTTCTTAAAATGTTTTTAAATTTAGCGCCAAATCTGTTCGGTTATCGAGGTTGGCAGACAGCTCAACCGAACGGTGAAACTATAGTCATCACTTCTGCATAATCTCACGTATGATTATGTACTCTGTCTTGGCTAGAATAATTGTTTTATCTGTAGCGAATAACAGAAGGCCTTTCAGACATTTGAAAACTTTGGCTGGTAAGTACTCAGTAGTGATAAATTGTATTCCTTAGTGATAGTATATGGCTTTTTTCACCTATTGTTAAACTGATGTATAGGTTAGAATCGGAGAGAACATGGTGGTTGAGCGGGAATTTTGAAAATGAATTGGCTGGGGTCAATTTGATCGGACATGTGGGGCGAATTTGATCAAATTAGTAAGTGAACAATTTCGCCCCAAAATGCTTTGTTTAGGGAAATGTAAATGATATACATATCCATTATTCATTTTAGGTGAACAATGGTACGCACGTACATAAGGAAGCTGGGGGCTAGAAGGTACAAGGACTATAGTAGTGATGTTGTTGAACAAGCGTTAGCAAAAGTAACCGAAGAAGGCTGGAGCTTACGACGAGCTTCTCGGGAATATAAAATACCTTTTGGAACACTAAATAATAAATATCATGGACGCCATCATAGAATAAATGGTGGGCAAACAGTATTTTCCAAGAGCGAAGAAAAAGCGTTCCTTTTTGCAGCAAGTATCTGTGCAGAGTGGGGGTTTCCTTTAGATACAACTGATTTAAGATACTTTGCCAAAAATTATTTGGATAGCCAAGGACGTAACGTAGCCGTATTTCGGAATAATCTACCCGGAAATGATTGGGTTTATTCTATGCTTCAAAGATATAGCAATGATATTGTGAAAAAAGTAGCCGCAAACATTAAACGCTCTCGAGCTTCTGTGACAAGGCAAACCATACAAGATTATTTTAATAATTTACGCCTTACTCTGGATAATATTCCACCATCAAACGTATTCAATTACGATGAGACCAATATACAAGATGATCCAGGAAAGAAAAAACTGTTATTCAAACGCGGTACCAAATATCCTGAGAGAGTATGTAACTTCACTAAAAGTGCTACTACTATTATGATGTGTGGGTCCGCATCAGGTGTTCTGTTGCCACCATATATCATATATAAATCTGAAAAAATGTGGCTCCAATGGACCGAAAATGGGCCCAAAGGAAATCCATGCTGTAACCAAAGATGCTGTGCATCGGGAGCAAGATATAATCGCACAAGTCATGGTTGGATGGATGCGCAGACATTCACCGAATGGTTTACGTCGACTTTTTTACCCCACGCTAAGCAATTAGAAGGTCGTAAAATTCTGTTGGGGGACAATTTGTCATCACATTTCACTGACGAAGTGTTGCGTTTATGTGAGCAAAATAATATTGCCTTTGTTTGTCTGCCTAAAAACTCTACTCATTTAACTCAACCTTTAGATGTAGGTTTCTTTAGACCTTTTAAAATGTCCTGGCGATCAGTGTTACTGAGATGGAAACAATCGCATTTATCTTCAACCACAGTGGATAAAAAAGATTTTCCATATTTGCTTTCAACTGCTTTGACTGAAATGGATAAAAAGACTGAGGATGGTAATGGTGCCATTAGGTTGGATTTGGAAGCGTCTTTCAGGGCAACTGGCATTGTGCCTTTTGACCCAGATCGTGTTCTACAAAAAATTCCCGAAAACGATAACGTCGATCAAGATGCTGTCCATGACGTTTTGGTAAAATATCTGGAACAGCAACGCTTTCCAGCTGCACCTTCTAGAAAAAGTATCAAGAGGCAGCGCCTAGACATACAGCCAGGAAAAAGTGTGACAGCTCCAAATGAATCATCTAGCTCTGATGATGAACCAGAACCAGTTTTGCAAGACAACTCCGACGATGAGGTTCCTGAAGAAATGCATGAAGAAACGGAATATTTTTCCGCAAATAAGGAAAATATAAGGAAAGGAACATATTTGCTAGTTACAGTTCTAGGAGGCAGTCGAAAAAAAACAACGTATAGGTATGTCTCAGTCGTACAGGGCATAACAGATCATGGAATTGAGGTTCTGGGTATGAAAGCGATGAATACCACGCGAAACACTTTTCAAGTTGTGGTTAATGACCAATTTATTGTTGAAGAAGAGGATGTCATAGCGGTTCTTCCTAACCCTCAATTGGAAGAACGCGATGGAGAAATCATTTACAAATTCAAAAAGGATATTGACGTGAAAGAACTATAAATTTTGTCGAAGTCCAAGTTGTCTTATGTTGCTTAGAAAAATAGATTTTTTGTTTGTTGGCCAATACTAGTATGATAACTGCAATGTATTCTTAATTTAAAATAAAGATTTGGAAAAAATGTCATATTTATTTAAAATAAAAAAGAGAGCATGACCATGTTTCCTTTCAGTTGCATTGATCAATTTCACCCCCATCTGTTTTTGAAGAATAATTTTTAAACTATCAAAAATAATACATTTTGGATGAAATTGATCAATTGTATATGCTTAATACGACGTGTACGTTCGATAAAATGTATGCGATCAAATTCGCCCCAAACAAGGTATGAATTTGATCAATCGTATTTTTTTTAATTTTGCAAAAACTATAAATTATTTCTTATTTCTGATAGTAGGAACTCACGTACCCAAACGTAAAAAATCTATGATATTTTTATAATTAACAAAAAGCATATTTTAAAAATTTTATGATGAAAATAAGAAAATAAATGATCAATTTAACCCCAAACTACGGTAATCAAAATGCATAGTGATTTAACTTCAATAGACAAGAATGTAAAATTACAGAAAATGGATTGAACAAAAATATGTAAGCGAATAATTATACAAAATTGACATTGTAGCATTAATACCAAATTAATCTTCAACAAACAAACATACAAAATATATAGTTTGTCCCAATTCTTACCTGTTTCAACTCTGCCTTAATCTCAGACTTCAACTCATTGAGAATCTCATTTTTGAGTTCCTCCTTGACCTCAGCCTTGACCTCACACTTGAAATCTTCTTCGCTTTTATTCTCCCGTTCCATGCATTGTCCTAATCTTTCAAATAGGTTGAATTTCCTGCTACCGAACGGTTCTGTATCGGGATCCCGTTTAATACTGACATTACTGACGTCATTTATGTGATTTTCAGTGCTGGGTGACGACTCAAGATGTTGCTTGATTTTCTGTTCTTTCTCCAGCTCTGCAAAGAGAAACCTAAATGAAAATGTTCAGCACACAACTGTAGAGTTGTGAGTGGAGCGACTCTCTACTATCGAATCAAGATAAATACTACCTCAAAGCTACAAAAAAGAGATAGTTGCAGTTTTACTTTCCACGCCTACTGGCCGCCTGGACCGCCTATAACTTGGAAAGTACTGCTCGGATTTGGATGAAATGTTCACACAAGGTTACTACGGTATCAAAGATGAGAAAGCATTGTAGTTTTTGGAAATCGCTAGAGCGGCGGTCAGCTAGGGGCAAAAACACAAAAACAAATCTTCGTTTTTTGACGATTCAGAGACTCCTAAATGTACTTCAATCTTTTTAATGAATATTTCTTACCTATATTCCGTTCCAAATTTTGTACTATATCATCAACGCTCTTCTTCAGCTCAGCCAGATTCCTTTCGTTTTTATCTAATATTTCCCCATTCTGGATGACCTCTTCCTCCTCCGATCTGTTGGGCGTCTTCCTATGCTCACTTTCGCCATCATTTTCATTCTTATTGTCCTCCTCGTCATCGGCTTCGTGTGTACCTACGATATTGCTAACCTCTTTATCAACGCTAATGTCATTTATTTTCTCAACGGTCTGCATGATGGTGTCAAGGTCGTTTAGGCACTTTATTTTCTCGTTGGTGGTGGTGGGGTTGTTACCGTTAACGTTAGTGTCCTCTTCATCATGGGGCCTCTGTTGACGCTCCAGCTCCTCCGGGTCCGCGGATTCCATAGCCTCGACGAAGATGCCGCCCGCCTTTGGTATCGACCAGTAGCGTCGGAAGTATCTGTAAGCGTTAAATCGTACAAATAGAGGTGTTTGTTTAAGGAAAAGGGGAATAGTATTAAGAGACACGTTATGCGTATGTCATCAACTTAATTTTTTCTTATGGACGCCATACTGGATTATTGCGCAGAGCACTAGTTTTTAATTCTGATTTCAAAAATGTATATTATGTCATACATTGACATTGTCAAACCTTAGTTATTCCAGCAAAACAGAAGTTCCTAGGTAGGCCTTGAAATTTTCAGATATTCATTTGTTTCGTATACCAGACCAGATCTCAAATTGAACATAGTAACAAAGTTTATTATCCATATTATAAATAGTTGTATTAAAAGGTCTTATTTTCCTAAAAGCTGGAAGCTAGCCAATGTTCTTCCATTGGCTAAGGTTAACAACGACAGAATTTGGTCAACTACGTTCAATCTCGCTTTTACCGACCCTCTCTAAACTTTTGGAAAAGGCAATCGCTATACAAGTTGCTAACTACGTTTTTGCCAACAATATCATCCCCCCTAGACAGTCTGGGTTTAGAACCGGGTACAGTTGTTCCACAGCATTAACAGATCTTGTGGATGATGTCATCAGAGAACAGGATGCGGGAATGCTACTGTCTTGGTGTTATTGGACTACACGAAAGCATTAATCATGAGATACTAGTGGCTATTCTGAGATATACATTGGATTAGAGCAGCCGGCCTATGCATTAATAAATTCTTTTTTATCTGAATATAGCCTATATACTTTTAATTTCATGAAGACGCTAAGTTATCGTCAATATCATCTTAATGCTGACGACACTCAAATTTATACCTCTTTTAAACCTGATCTGTCAGAACTTATAACAAACCGACTGAAAACCGACTTGAATAGCCTTCTCAAAACCTTTGAAGATCACTTGTTAAAGATACACCCTATTAAATCGACGGCTATATTGTTTTGTCGTGATTCCTACAGAAACGTATTAGAAAATAATATTAAGCTCAAACTAGGGGACAATGTAATATCATTTAGGGATTCCGTGCAGGATTTGGGCTTAGTGGTTGACTCTAAACTTAAGTTTAGAGAGCACATTACTCTGTGCCTAAGAAAAGCATCTTCAATGTTAAAAATAATTTACCCCCATAGACATTACCTATGACAAAATACTAAAGTCACACTCTCGAAGCTTTAGTGTTGTCCCACTTCAACTTTGCTGATATGGTATATGTGGAAATAAAAAGGGTTTAAAAAGCTCAGACTTCTTGTCTGAGACTGATATTTGGCATAAGGGGTAGACAAAGAGTATCCCACAAACTACCTGAACTTGAATATGGCTCAGAGGCGTACCTACCTTGCACTCTACTTCCTTTTTTTACAAGATTATAAGATATAAAAGCCCTCCTTATTTTCACTTAAAAATTAGTTACCGGACTGATGTACATAATCTAAACATTATAAGATTGAATTTGATTACAATACCATCACCCAATAAAGAATCATTTAAGAAATCATTCTCATATCAAATTGCCTTTTTGGTAAACAAATTCAAAATTAAAGTTTTTTCTCTCTCGGTAGCTACATTTAAGAGGAACCTTAAAAGTGATTTACTCAGATATCATAGAAAACATATCTCCTGCTCCCCCTTTTCTCTTCTCTTTCACGTCGTTTTCTCTTCTCACTCTAAATTTCCATTTTTCTACTTACTATACTTCGCTATATTTCTTAATATCAAAACATTATTAATTACCAATGTCTTAGCAGTCATTTGAATTATTATAGAATTGTTTGAATTTGTTTGCTTTTTTTTGGCTCTAGCAGCTGCTTCATTAAGGGGCAAGCTGATGTAGCCCTTTATTCTCTTAAGGCGTTTTGTTTGTAAACTTTTATATACTGTCTAATGAGGGTAATAAATATTATTATTATTAATTGTTATTATTGTCACTATTAAGAGAAATAATCCGAGAAGTGAATAATGTATAGAGAAGGGTCAGGCTTTGTCTACAAAATAACAGACAAGATTTTGAACACCTGCTATGCTTTATCAACTTATTTATGATTATTATTGTTATTACCATCAATAAAATTTTCATTTTGTGTAAAGGGTTTACCATATCTTTTTATGTCCTTTTAATTTCCATCTAACACAAATTTGCGGTCAACTGAGGAAATAAATCACTGAATTTGAGACTGAAAAGTCGATTTATATGTACAAAATTCCAATATATGAAAAAACAAAGTTGGTGATGGAAGTCGAACAAAGAAAGCTCGAATTTAAAATTGGTTTACACCATCTTGTAGAGGAGAATAAGTAACAGTGACAACACGCAATTTATTTTGTAATCCAATCTCAAATAAAGTCAGGAAAAATAAAAATAATTTTGGAATAAATAAAATTGTAATTTCAAAGCTTACCTAAAAAATTCAGCTTTTTTTGAAAGAACTAAGATTTGACAATGTCAATGCATGACATATAAACGAATGAGGCTGATTTAAAACCAATAGTCCGGTTAGTTCTGTTGATTCTGACATTGACAATTTTGTATAGCTTATTAAAAACGATTCTAATGGGCAGACTCTGATCTATCTCTTGTACAATAAATAATTGTATAAATGTCATTTACATACAAACCAATTATTGATTCAAGATATCGTCTCTAAAATTGAACCAAACTATGTTCAAGAAAATGTGCAATGTATAACAAGCAGTCTTTAGTAACGATGGCAAGGTAGATTCCGATGTTTTTTGCTTTAAAACACATACCTGTCCTGTCCAAAGCAAGTAGCTCTCAACTGCGACGTAGACACGTTCAACGTCTGCAGCTGAATTTCGGACTGCTTGATGAGCTTCTCCAGTTTCTTGCCTAACTCTTCACCAGACAGCTTATTATCTTCTTCTTCTTCAGGCTGCGTACCAACGCTTTCGTTTTCACTCATGTCATTATCTTCTTCGTCCAAAAGATCGTCTTTGTGTAATGAAGGTGAGTCCACGACCGAATCGGTGTCTCCGTCAGTCTTGTTCTGCATTTTTTCCATTGCTTCGGATCGGATTTTACGGTTGTGCAACATTTTTAGTCTAAAAACGAAAAAAAAAAATGTTGTTGTTTAAAATCTGTACTGTTGGCAATAAGAAATTTGGTGAAACTCAGGACCGTATATAGAACAATTCACACCAAACAGTGAAGAATTTTATTTACACTTTCCCTAAATTTTGGTACAAAAATTTATAAAGCACACAGAAAACTATTTTATTGATTACACGGACGTTTTCCAGGGCCTCATTTGTGTTACTCGGAATAACTCGGTACTGCCCAACATCTGGCAATACTGTTCCAGTGTTCTAGAGTGTCATGCACCTGAGGTACTCTTTTTTTAAATACCCTGCCCCTCATGCACTAGCTTTTTAGTCGGTATTATACACTCCGAAATAGTGGGGATAACGAAAATGACAAACAATGTGTCAAGATTGCTAGGTTGAGTTTTTTCACCGTTTTCGTTTTTTTTTTTTGCAATAGCACTCATCAGTCCCTCCTGATGTTATACGAGGGATGTCTTTTAGTTTTGCATATGGAAATAAAACAACACGGTAGGTAGTTTTAAATGACTTTATTGTTTTTCGAAGTATTCTCCACGAAGATTAACCCACATCTGCATGCGCTCGAACCAATTTCCGAAGCACTTATTCCACTCGTTTGCTGGCAGATCCAAAACGGCATTTTTGAACGCGTCAACTGCTTCTTATGGTGACTGGAACCTTTGACCACAAATGTCGCAACCATCTTTTTCGAAACACTTCGAGAGCGGATGACTTTTGTTGACTTTTCTTCACCTTGGAACACCCAAACAGCCGACTGTCGTTTATTTTCTGGTTCATAACAGTAAATCCACGATTCATCACCACTAACAATGCCGTACACATTTTTGAGTTTCCGGAATTGAAACGGTCAAGCGTTTTTTGACACCAATTAACCCTGGCTGCTTTCTGCTCTTCAGTCAACAGATGGGGTATCCAACGAGAAACTAATTTTCTTACTCCTAATTCTTCATGTAAAATTTTTTGAATTGAGGTCTTTGAGATCTTCAAGGTCGCCTCAATCTCGCGATATGTCACATGTCTATCTTCAATAATGATTTTGAGCACTGCATCGACGTTTTCCTGGGTGACTGCCGTTTTTGGTGCACCCACCCTGGGATCGTCGCGATAATTACCTTTGAAAGTTGTAATAAATTATGGCGCGAAAATGTTCTCGGTTGAGTTCCATTTTTCTAATGACTTGGTGACACTTAAAAATTCACTGTAGTGAGAACACTGCACGTATTGTTGTGAAACTTTGAATTTAAGTTTACTATAGAGTGAGGTTAAGATTCAGTACTGACGTTCGATCCGCGCGACCTACTATGTATCTATATGCAAAACTTAAAAGACATCCCTCGTACCGATCAATGAAATACATTGAGTCCTCTTCTTAAGATAGTTTTCGAAGAAATATATACATATATACAAACAGGGTGTCCAGTGGGAAAGTTCACATTTCAAATTTGAATTACACGGCAACCGTATACGCGAGGAAATGGGGAGAGGTGTTGATCGACGCGTTCGGCGTGCGGGTTAAATAATCACAATGGAACGTTGGACCGGAGCGCAACGTGCTTTTGGTATCTAGGCTTACTTTAAGAGTGGTGATTCATACGCAGCTGCCCTTCGGAAATTTTGTACATGATACAACATTTACCGACCAAAAGATGCGCCAAGTAAGCACCTATTGAAAAAGTGGATTAGGAGGTTCAATGAAACAGGCTCTACACTTAGTCAACCCTTTCATGGCTACACATATACTGTATCAACCGAAGAAAATGTGCGTCGAATAAGTGACTCGATCATTGCAAATCCTCGGCGTTCAGTACCGAAGCATTCCGCTGCTTTGGGAATCCCTAGGTCAACACTGCATGGCATAATGAAGAAAAATATGGGTTTTCATCCTTATAAAAGCCAATCAGTCTATGCTTTAAAGGAAAGTGATTACGTATTACGGAAATCTTGTGCTGAACCAATCTTTTTTCTACGCAGCGAAGACTCAAGAACGTTGTTTTCAGTGACAAGGCCCACTCTCACTTAGACAATTATGTGAACATGCAAAATTGCAGATATTGACCGTTTGGGGCGCCATATCCTCTAGCGGTATTATTGGGCCGTATTTTTTTTAAGATGAAAACGGTCATGCATTGACAGTCAATTCCGAGCGATAGGACATGATTGACACTTTTTTTGCTCTTTTTGTAAGACCAGAACGTCGATTTAACAGAAACACATGGTTTCAACAGGATGAGGCCATTGACCGTACTTCCAGAGAATCTATCGACACGGTGAAAGCACTTTTTCGCCAAAAAGTTATATCGAAGTTTAGAGACATTCACTGGCCTCCCAGGTTATCCGACCTCACGCCATGCGATTATTTTTTGTGGTTATCTAAAGTCAAACGTGTATTCCAATAATCCACGAACACTGGAGGAGCTTAAAGACAACATTCGACGAGAAATAAACAACATCACTCCGGAACTCTGCAAGAGAGTGTTTCGGAATTTGCGCGCGCGATTAGAAGAATGTGTCCGAAGGGGTGGCAAACATTTGGACGGAATGATATTTAAGAAAAAAAACAGCCGAATTTACGAATATGTTGATAGTAATAAATATTTTGTCTGCATTAAGTTTGTATTTTTTTTTCTTAAATAAAAAAGTGAAATTTCCTGCTGGACATCCCCCCCCCCTGTATATACATAAAAGTTTATGATCTATTTTATCGAAAGCTTTAGAGTAGTCGACTAATATAAAAGCCATTTTTTGTCAACAGGATAAAAGATGTCGCGTAGATTTAATAAAGCCGATGTTGTATTGTAAGTCCCGGTTGATTAGGTGGAATTATCTGACATTCTTCAATGTATGATGTGATTTGAAGTTGACCAATCTTTTCAAGAATTTTCGATAATATGTGACGGATTCAGTTACTCCCACTATCCCCTTCACATCCGGCGAATACGACAGACAAGACAATACATCAGATTACTCACTTCCTAATCTTCATATCCAACAGCCACTTGTCCTTCTTCAGGTGCGCGACGCTTTCGAGCGAGCTTTCGATCTGCCTCACCACCGCCTTGTTCTGCAGCAGCTCGTTGCAAATGTACGCCAGAATTTCCGCTTTGTTCGTAGGCGAGAGAGCTAAGAAAGGTTTGTCTTTTAATAAGTCTGACAACTTGTAGGTGTGGTTACTATGGAGCAACTCGTAATACTGGGCGTTTTTACCGCTTTGGGTTTGCAGCATCTCTTCATCGTTCTGATGGTGGTCCGCGATGCGTTTCTCCCTGTCACGCTCGAAGTGAACGCCTATAAGGGAAAAAGAAAAAAGTATATAATTTTTTTGGTTTTGGAATTTTTTTTATTCCACTATTACCGCATGGCAGCAACCGACATACCTGTAAGAGCCTTCACTTCTCCCGTAGCGTTCGCGTACATAAAAATCCTCAGTATCTCCGATATGTTCGCCGGCGTGATATCGGCCTGCCTGAGACTCTGCCCCAGTATGGTGGTGTATCTGCCCGGGTTTGGTATTCCCGGATCTTCAATGGCACAAACCAGCAAATGGGTCATTATGGAGAACAGCTCCTCCTCAGCCTCGGTTGAATGGTCGGTAGAGAGCACGGCCTGTTGCAGAGAGTCTAAAGTCGGAAGAGATTCCATGTCAAAGCCGAGGGTTTCGCCGAAGTTGTGGAGGAATTCGAAGACCTGCAAGGTAAAAAAATATCTTACTGTCATTTTCAAAATGACTCAGTACTACCTATGCAACATGAACCTATTTTTGAATTACGGACGTTATAGAATTCTGAACTACCTAGAGTTATAGAAGATGTATTAAAGTAAATAGATTCAGGATACCTCCATTAAGTGAGGTACGAGGGACACTAAAAAAGAATTCTACCTAGCCATGAAAAAACAATTAAGACGCACAAGCACATATCAAATAGTGGCATGTGTTTACTTGCAAAATTTGAGTTAATTTTTATAATTGGTTACCAATTTATAAAGTAAATTGTAAGGAAAAGTGGGTAACTTAATATTAGAGTGTCAAAATTTCTGACAAAAGAGGACATTCAGCCAAAAACAATTCTTTAGAGAATGGTTGACGTTTATGGGGATGATGCACCATATATTACACGATCAAAATTTGGAAGAAACAGTTTTGATGGGGGCGTGAATCTATTGCAGACGATCCCGCACGTAGAAGACCCAAAACAAGCAAAAATGATGAAATGATTCAAAAGTTAAAGCTATGCGTAATAACAATCTTGCAACGGCAGTTTGAACGACTGTTGACACCTGGACAAAAATTGCGCAGGTTGGAAATTTTAGAAAGTCATTTGGAAACGTTGACCAATGATTCTGATGCAAAAACAAAATCCAAGCAGTGGTTTCACCACCAAATTTACGTAAAACAATAAACTAGGAAGGACCTGATTTTTTCAATAGAGAAGTGTTTCTTCTGCATGACGATGCGAGGCTGCCAACATCAGACCAACTGTATAGGAATGCAGCTTCCTTGAGATAGACCATCCTCCCTATAGTCCGGATTTGGCTCCGTGTGACTTTTATCTCTTTAAATTACTAAAGAAAATCTTGGAGGATCCTGTTTTGACACAGACGGTCGCTTAAAGGTAGCCGTCCACGACTTTGATAAGAGATTTAAAAAGGTATAAGTTCGCTGGAGGAGAAATGGCGCAAGTGGATCAATGTAGGGGCGATTTATTGAAAAATTAAATTATCAAAAAATCGTACGTCTTTTATTTCATGGCTAGGCAGATTTCTTTTCTAGTGCCTCTTGCATGTTTGTTTCATAGTTTTTCAACTGCTTAAAAATTGAATACACGCAAGAATGGAAAATTAGAAAACGAATATTCGTTTTCTTCAATTTGGGTACCTTAATTTGCTTACTGCGTTCAAAACTCAGAATTTCGAAACACATACATACAAAATTCTTACAAACACGATATCTGGCAAACCGACAACACATCTTGGGGAAATATTAGTAAAACATCTTAAATCAGAGTTACGCAATAATAAGACTTCCCTTGTCTATGACATGGGAAATGGAAGTAAACATTTTATTGATAAAAAAGTGATAAAACACTCACCATAAGAGTGTCTGCAAACGCTTTGCCAGACATCTTCAGGCCGGGTATTCGTTCATATTCTGGTAGATCGTTCTGTTCCAATTCCAAGTCTTCAACAGGTTTTCGTATTTCTGCTAATATCTCCATCTCCACCTTTCTTTGTTCCAGCTTTTTCTCTTTATTCGCTTGTTTTTCTGCTAACAGCTGTTGTTTTTTCCTTTCACGTTCTTCGATCTTTCTGCGACTCTCCAGCGATTTTACTAGCGCCATATGCTGTCTACGACGTTCCCTCTCCTACAGATTATGTTAGAATAATAGAAGAATCTAACGCATTTTTATTTAGAACATAGTCATGCTAGAGGTTAAAATATGTGTTTATTTTCAGTGAAATTGCAACAACAAAACTAAATTTTATTTTAGTCAGAACAATATCATGAAATCGGGACGTTACTAAATTCTTACTGAACGATAAAACGTTGAATAGTTATTGATTTCTAAGCAGAAGCTTTGTGGAATCATATTTTCAAGACATAAACTTCAAAATTCTGCGGTAATAAAATATATCCTCATTACGAAGATTGAATTTTGTATGAAAGAATCATTTGACGTTTGAATGAAAAGAATAAATGTGAAATATGTATTAGGGTTGCTGCTAAAGTTTTTTAGACAAAGTCCTTATGGCAAGAAGTCCCTTTTTCTATTTCAAGGTTTCGCTAATAAAATCTTTAGGAAAATTACAAAATATAGTTAAGAAGGAAAACTTATGTACTCGTATTATAATAAAAAAAAATACTTGCAGAACGTGAGGTTTATGCTAAAAAGTATTAAATATCAGAACCTAGATATTTTTTGCTTAATATTATACATTAGCGAAAACTCGAAATAGAAAAAAGGGTCTTCTTGCAATAAGTCCCCCAGACTTTGAAAATTTTTGGCAGCATCCCCGATATTTTGCTAATATAAAGAATCAATAAGCTTAAAAAAGAGTTGAAAATATATCCCTTCGTGTTGCAACTTCAGCTAATCAATATACTGTTATACAATGATATTAATGAAGCCCCAACCAAAATTATGCACCAAAATGATACCGCCGATGAACCTTTTGTTAGATGTATAAAAGAAGAAACCAAAGCAAATGTGTAAACCCAAAGATAATATCAGTGTAGTGGATAAACGAACTGAATTTTATAGTTATTCTAGTTTTTCAATTTGTTATTCAGATATATGGAGGGCGTAAAGGTGGACATTTTAAACACAGAAGAGCGAATTAATAAGTTAAATAGTTATACGGAAGGAAACAGTTAACAATATTCAGAATTTGTAAACGAACCTCAACCAAGGTGTACATATGGTCTAACTTAGATATACAAAGGAAACAGAGCACTTGGCAAAAATGTATTGCTTCAATAAGTTTGTACGTCCATGTTTTATGTTCTAAGGGTAAAGAATGTTAAAAAACAAATTACGAAAAACCACCCAACAAAAGATATAACCATTTTTGCTCTTAGAATATCGAGCATGGCTGTACGAAGTTTATACATTTTTCCCAGGTGTTTTAATTTCTTTGACATTGAGTATAATTTCATATTGTAATTGTTTATCGTATTTGTTTTTATAAAGGATCGATATTCAAAACATGAATTAAAAAATATGTTGCTTCTGGCTTGTGCAGGGTTTTATGTAGAAAGCTGATAGTAAAAAGAAATATTCAATATGTTTCTGAGATATAGTATGAAATAAAAAAGAAAATGAAAAAATAAAATGTCCAGCTTTGACGCTGATGAGTTAATAATTACGAACCACAAAAAAAAACCATAAACTCAAAATACACCAAAAATATTGCAGATATAAAAGAAGCGAAGAAAGAAATCTGCGAATAACAGTGCAAAATGCAATTAATTATAAATTAGGGTACTTCTTAGAAACGTGGTGGTTCATACCAACTCAACAGTGTAGAGCATTTCTCGCTGTTTACTGATCTCCTGTATGTACATCTATGGATAAAAAATAGCCATCACAGTATATACAGAAGCGGATATAGCAATGAAACATGAATAAATAAATGGAAATGTAACATTAAATATTCGTGAACAAATTAAGAAAACATTTTAGCTTTGTTTTTAGTCATAATCCATGGTTTTAAAGAATGCGAGTAACTGATTTGCAGTATTACCTGTTCTTTCAGAATTGCTGCTTGTTGTCTTTTCAGTTCTCTCTCCTATAATAAAAAAAATATTTTGACAATTATAAAATATTTGTTAAACCAAGTTAATGCAAATTATATTGCAAGTAGATGTGAAAAAGTAAATTTGATTAAAAAAACAGCATTTTTCTACTGGGTGGAATGCATAGTCAGTCGAACATTCACTTGGTAAGGATGCCTTACTTACCCACATCTTGACACATAAGAGTGACAAGACAATTTACTATCTTTCTCAGCCAAAAAGCTTTGCAACGTAGTTAACTTCAAGGGTCACATCATAAACTACTCAATCAAAAATTACTATCTCTATAAAAAACACGTCCTGCATCGGGCATCAAAATAATAAGTGATAACCTGATGCCTTTTTTAATTTCAGACGCCCTTTGAAACTTGAAAACTTTCATGTCACTCTCAAATGACATGAGTAACAAGACATCCTTAAGATAAGGAGGCCACAAAGAACGGCTATGCATTCGGCCCTTAGTGACATCTGCAATTAATCAAATAAAGAAGCCACTGAAAAGTGTTTTAATTGTAACTTTTTTTTATTCAGACTGAGTAAATATAAAATACCTGTTGTTTTCGTTGTTGCTCTTCGTGTTTTTGTTTCTCCATTTCCTCCTGTCGCTTTCTTTTAGCCTGCCATGCAATAAGATAATGAAGGCAAAATAAAAATGGAAAATAGATAACTTAATTGGTATAGCATGCCAAAAACATTATCGAAATGAAATTAACAAATACCGCTGATTAAACCACATACGTTTTTGTAAAATTGAACTACCAGAAACAGGATACGCCTTAATCATAATTTGGAATACGAGCAAACGTCACAGTCGTTTCGGCTATCATTATCAAAACAAAGAAGTTCTGAAATGGTCATCAATAGTGAAATTGATGAACACGTTATTGCCAATCCGTCAATCTGAGAATATACCTTATAGAAAGTCAATCTTACAAAAGCTAATGAATGGTTATGAATTTGCGGTGCAGTTTAGTAAGCCAAGCATATTATATTACAGTGTAGCTAAAATACTTTTTTGAAAACGTTATATGGTTAACTTTTCATTTAAATATAGACATCACCTTAATGATAATCAATTGTCTGAAAACAACAGCTTTGAGATACTAATCGAAGTCTGCACTGCAAAGGCTAACTGAAACTGAAATAGCCGGGCCCTGTGCAAGCAAACACGGCAACATTACCTTCCACTCAAACTATTTGAATTCGGACGATCATAAGAACCATAAGTCAAAAAACAAATGAACTTACCTCCAACATTTGCTGTGCCCTGGCCTCCTTCTCTCTTCTAGCTTGTTCTTGCCTCTCACTCCTCTCCAGTTCTTTTGTTATTCGGGCCTGTTCTCTATCCAATCTAGCTGCCGCTCTAGCAGCTTGTTGTTTTCTGGCCATTTCTATTCGTTGTTCTAATGGCAGGCTGGTACGCATGGCAGACTTTAATTCTTCCAGTCTGAAATAATAAAGTAAGGTTATTTTGTATCAAAGTGCAATAGCAGATATGTACGTATACAATTTAGCATCCGATAATCGGTGCTTGACTGTCAAAAGTATATGGGAGGAAGACATACAAAGGGTATTATAAGAGTTTTGCAATATGACTTAACAAACGGACGCAGGAGGCTGCATGTTACTAGATGTTCATGAGTGCATAGTAGCCGTCAGCAGGTTTAGTTATTCATTCGTATTGACAGTGTAAAGTGCGGACTATGGCATCGTGGTCACGAAGTGAGATAAGGGCGGTTTTACGGTTTAACTTTACGCGTGGTTTAAGCATAGACCAGTGCTTAGAAAAAATGACGCTTGCATTAAAGAATAATGGTCCTCATCGTACGACTATATTCAGGTGGCACAGGGAGTTCCAAAGGGGCAATTTCACTCTGGAGGACGCTGACAGGGAAGGAAGGCCACGAAAGTCAGTAACAGGAAAATATTACTGCTGTGAGGAAAATGCTTGACAAAGACCGGAGAGTGACATACCAACAGATAGAGGAGACCTTACACGTGCATGCACCAGCAATTCATTCAATTCTACATGACCATTTAGACGTAAGGAAACTTTGTTCTCTCTGGGTACCGCATAGTCTGACGGAAGTGCAGAAGACTCGTCGTACGACTTGGTGCCGAAAGATGCTGAAAATGTTTGATACGGGGCAATCTCGGTATGTGAACAGCATCGTGACAGGTAACGAGGCTTGGCTCTATTATTACGAGGTGACTACCAAGGCTCACAACAAATTTTGGGTCTTTAATGATGCGGACACACCCGTAGCTGCCAGAAAATCCCGATCTGTTACAAAAAATGATAGGTGTATTTTTCAAATCGACGGGATTGTGACATTTTTGGACAGACAGAAGACAGTCACAGCTAAGTGGTACACGGAACAGTACCTGCCTAAAGTCATAGAGTCTATGAAAAACCTGCGGCCAAAGTCAAGAATGGACACTTGGTACGTTCACCATGACAACGATCCAGCTCACCCCGCCAAAGCCTGCACCGAGTATTGGAGCACTATTGCACTGAAACTTATTGAGCACCTTCCCAACAGTCCAGATCTTGCTCCCTGCGACTTTGCACTGTTTCCGCATGCGAAAAAGAAGCTAAAAGGAAAACAGTTTTCTAGCGATGGATACCTTCTGAGGGCCTGGGGCAACGATTATGCCACACTTCCAGGTGAAACTTGACAGAGCTGGTTTTGGCGGATGGAGAAGTGTATTGTATGTGGTGGAAATTACTTTGAACGAAGTCAATAATAAATAAAGCTGTATTGCAAAACTGTTATAGTACCGTTTTTATTTGATAGAAAGGTAACCAATATTCCACGACTTCATCACCTTTTGACGCCCACTGTCGAATTGACATGCTTTGTTTATAACCTTAAGTTTAAACAGTTATTTACAAATACGGACACATAAAAAATGTTTTATATAAAATTCTGGCTTCCCAGGTTGCCTTCCTTTAGCCAAGATCACAGTACAGCCCAATGAGTTCCTTCTACGTCAATTCTGTATCAGCCACCTCAAACTATACTAAGTGACATATAAATCCGAACACCCAGTTTAAATGGTTTTATTTTAATAAAATTTTTTATAAGTACTTAATGAAGCATAATAAGTAAATGATAAAAATTTCAAAATGATTGCACTGCTTTAAAGCCCTTTGACCTTTAATAATGTGTGGATGCACCCTGATGTGCTACGCATTCTCCAACGCGCCTAGGCATGCTTCTGATCAGGTGGTCAATGTCCTCCTGTGGTATCTCATTCCAGGCAACCACCAACTCCTCTCGAAGTGCTTCTAGAGTCTGAGGAGGACGTTGCAAATTGAGCAATCTCCTACCCATCATATCCCACACGTGCTCAATTGGGGATAAGTCGGGAGATCTTGGTGGCCATGGTAACAATGTGACATCATTATGTTGAAAGAAGTCTATTGTGACTCTTGCAACATGTGGTCGGGCATTATCTTGTTGGAAAGTTGGATCTGCCAGGGTGTCAAGATAGGGGAAAAGATTGCGTTCTAGAACTTCGTGGATATAACGCTGCGCGTTCATGTTACCTCTGATGAAGATTAAAGGTGACCTGGAACCATAAGCTATAGCACCCCAAACCATAACTCCAACAGTGTGATGAACATGTCTTTCAACAAAAAACTGTGGATTCCTCATTTCACCACGTCGCCTTCTAACCCTGGCACGACCATCGTGCATGCCTAAACAAAATCGAGACTCGTCACTAAAGACAATACTGTTCCATTCCTGATCCCAGAGTGACCGTTGTCTGCACCACTCAAGGCGATTACGTCGGTATTCTCGAGTTAAAGGGAGGACCCAGTGTGGCCGGTATGAGAACAAGCCAAAACTTCTCATTCGTCGGTAAACACTTCGCATGCCAATAGGTCTTCCGTGTTCTGCAAACCATTCATTTGCAATGGACCTGATAGTGGAGAAACGGTCCCTTAAGGCCAATAATCTTAGGCGGCGATCTTCACGGTCTGTTGTTCTACGGCGGCGTCCAGTGCCCCTTGCTCTTTGCGTACGGCCTTCTCGAAGCCATGCCTGACAACACCTAACCACAGTGTCTACACTTCTTTGCACTCTAACTGCAATTGCCCGAAAAGAAAGTCCAGCTTCCCGAAGTCCCACTATACGGCCCCTATCAAACTCACTAAGTTGACGAAATCGTACAGGTCTCCGTACTCTAGGCATCGTAACCGATCGTAAAGGATGTCAAGAACCAAAATCCGCCAACGTTGATTCTTTACTGCGGCTGAAATATTCATTTTTAGAGCGTTAGTGAATTAAAAAAAAGCAGTATAAAAACCGGAATGTCCAACTGATAAGGCTGAAAATTTTTTCACTTGTTATTTACAGTAAGATAAATACATTCACCAACTTTTATTAAAATAAAACCATTTAAACTGGGTGTTCGGATTTATTTGTCATTAGTATAGTAACAGAATATATAGGTACCTACCATTAGATTTAGCGCTATTTTTTAAATGTCATGTATTTACTTACATGCTTATTATATTTATGTTTTATGTTATTTTTACAGAATAAAAGCGGTTGAAAACTTGGAAACTATGTTGTAATGACTAAATACATATTTTTTAAGATAGCATAATTGACACCTTGTATACATTTGTTTATAAATATGTATAATGCAAACTTGAGGATAACAGAGGGACAAGTGTCATTGATCAGAATCCTGCAATCATCGTTTCAGTTTTCGGCGCAACCGTTAGATGGCGCTGTTAACGGTAGTACCAGGAATCAAAGGAGAGAGTGTTACCTGTAGTGTAGCTTCTAATCTGTGGTCTAGTTGTAATGTTAATTGAAGCTCGTTTAACGAAATTTTCATTTTACGATTTCAATAATAATAAAAAATAAATGTCAAAAGTATTTTGATCGTGCTTACCTTTTAAATACATCTTCCTCAGTTAAGCGTATAAACTCGTTACCGTCAGTCTGCATCTCTACTGGAAGCAACTGCAGGTAATCTCCCAGGATGACCCTGCAGCTGAATGTGAAGTTGTCCCGTGACAAGTCGGTTGATTTCTGGTATTCGAGGTACTGCAATGAGAAACAATCTATTCTTAAAATGCCCAAATAAATTGTTTCACAGGTATTATTTTAGAATCGACGAAATTTCTCGGAAATCTCAAACATTACCCATTTATCATCAAACAAAATAAAGATAAATACGATCTACAGTTTCATATACACAATCATGACTTTAGAGAAAGACATAAAATAGAAATTACACGATACCATATTGAGAAAATTAAAAACTTTGGAAGAACTCGATACCTAAATACGGGATGTTAGGGGAATTATATTCATAACTTCAAGGGGCGGTTCTCGCAGGCGGAGCCAGAATGTGTGCATGTTGCATGCACACGTGTTCCCTCGCCAGAGTCCGTGTGGCGTCCCCCCTTTCCCATGTATCCCCCTATAGCCCCACGGTACCCAATAGGTGCTTAGGCCTCCTTGCATTATTCTAAGCAAAAAAGTTCATTATAACCTATGTCCGAAAATCAACCGTTTCGGAGCAAAAAAATGCTGAACTTATTTCTTTTTAGTTAAGAAATAAATTAATTTTGCACCTTTTAATAATTTAAATTCATATGCCTAATATCGTAAAATGTATCTATACGTCTATTTATTAATTAACTGTGTCTAACAAAATAATTTTCTTGCTTATTAAATACAATTTTCCAAAGAAAAATAGACCAAAAAAATCCCTCACACAACTGGCTACGTCGTACTCAGCCTGCACTGCATGTATCATCGCGTGTTGTTGTGATTACTAATACATTTAACTGTAACTTTTTTTTAAGTAAATGTACTGTACTGAAAGCGTTATTAAATGAAAAATATTAGCCACAAAAAATTGCGAAAAAGTATTCAATAATTCAAGGCATATTTTCAACAAAAATATCATACAGTTATGTCTAAGCTGCTTTACTGTTTTATCCTTGTCTTGACTCCATAACAAAAACCAGATTGCAGAAAATTCAAAATTGCTGTTGTCGTTTTGTTTTCGGCCTTCGTAGGTACAGCCATGTTACATCCAAGATCTGTGAGCTGGGGTGGCTGAAGCTCAATAATCTTTTCAAGTTTCATATGTTGGTTTTTGTACATAAAACAGTCGTTACCAAGAGACCTATTTACCTTGCAAATAAGTTAGTTCCGCGTAGGAATTTAATTTCAAGAAGGTTACGTCATGATGAACAGTTCAATATTCCTCTTCACTACACCTCATTATATCAGAGGTCTTTCACGTATAATGCCGTTCAGCTTTACAATTCAGTCAGTGCGGCTAACAAACAAGAAAGTTTACTCTCTTTTAAAAAATCAGTTAGAAAACAGCTATTAGAGATACAATCATCTCTCAATGTTTGAGTTGTTAATTTATTTTATTTTTATTTTTGGGATTTTGTTAAATGAATATTTTCAATTTGGTTGACTTCTAATGTTCATGTCGATATTTGCTTTCTGGCATGCTTGGCTAGCAAATGGTATAATCTCGTCATTGTTCTGTAATTGTTTATATTCTATGTATTATGTTCCTTGTATAAATGTTTGATGTTTTGTCCATATTATGGTTAAGTGGAAGAGTAGCAATCAAGCTAAACTTCGCCATAATATGGAAGGTTGCCAATAAAGACACTTTATTATTATTATTATTATACAAACGTAAACAATTAGATGAATCAGTTGCTGTCGTCGTGCGCTCGTATGGCGGTTGCGTTGCAGCGTTACCAAAAGTTTGAGAAAATTTAATTATTGACGACTCACTTTCCTCTAAAACGATTGATTTTCGGACATAAGTTATAATTAGAATAATGGAAGGAATCAGCTCGTAAAGTTACGAATATTATTTCCCTAACACCCTGTATATGAGTAAACTACAAGCGAGTGCTTTTAGAAGACAATTGAAACTACATTTGGACACAACAGGTATCAAAGAATTTTGTGATTCTGTGAAAATCTCAACGTGGATTTTAGACCAAAAATGTTGTTTGTCATTTTTTTGATGTCATTTCATAATTTTTACCTTAATCTACTTTTCATGTAAACTGGAAGAAGTCATGTTATATGTTAATCTGTTTACAAGGTTGAGAGGTTATGCTGTTGTCTCCTGCTGGCGGACAGCGGTTTCGCCTGTCTAAGAAAAATATAGTATCAATTTTTACCTGTGTCACGTCAGACATCTGTTTGAATTTATTTGTCGAATCTGGCGCACTATAGGTTACGTCTCCCTTGATGCCTCCGTTCTTCGTTAGGCCACGAATTATCGTCTCTCTCTTCCAACCTGAAAAAAAAAACATTATGTTGATTAATAAAAGAACCAGCAACGCGACACTAGTATGACACTATATAAATAAAGACAAGAGTTCATGTCAATAGCAGTCCTTACCTTTTTCGAGTGGTACCCGTAGCAACCTCTCGTCGTACTGTTTCTGCTTCTTGGCCGCCACTGCGTCCTGCTCCATCTCTGAATCAGTATGATTAGAATCAGTTAAGTTATCGGAATCTGATGTCGCGTCTACCGTACTAGAATCGCTAAGGGTGCCCCTCAGCTTTTCCTGTAAGAATTTATTTAAGGCCTTTTCGTCACCACCCGCTTCCGAGATGTACTGCTGCGCTGCAAGGATGTTCGATTTCAGCATGTTCATCTGCTGGGCCATGGAGACGTTCGGGTCTAGGATCGGTACCGGTTTGATACCTGCAAAAGATTTTTTCAATTAATATTTTACATACAAAATAGCAGGATGTTTCAACTTTTAACTGTTTTACTAAAGTGGCCTTTGTATGATTCCTGGGTATCTAGGCAAAGCACACTGAGCTACTTAAGATGGAGAAAACTTTAAAACGAATGCTGTTTCGTGCTCATGGTTGCGGTATAGGTCTTACCTTGGAGATCTTTCTCTACATAGTGCAAACGTTACAGTTACAAGTCAGAAGATTGGCAAGCCATTGGAAAGGTGGCGATCCTCAGATTTCTCGCCTACTTGTGCATGCCTGAATGTTGCCTCGGGATTACCACAAGGCTCAATACTCGGACCGCTTTTCTTTCTCTTGTACATATCTGATTTAAACCGCTTTGTAAATTACTGGGATATTCAATCTTTTGCAGGCGAATCATAACTATATTTTAATATTTCTGAAGCGCAGCTTTCAGAAGATCTGGAATTAATTGAAACTTATGACGCAGAACATGACCTTCAGTTAAATCCTTCTAAATCTAAAGTATTTTTTCTCTCGGAAGTCATGTTAAAACTTCAACTTGCGATTAAATGGCAGTGTTATTCAAATTGAGAAATCAGTAACAATTTAGGGGTATTTTTGTCGAGAACCACAAGTTCATACCTCACGTAAATTACATCATTAAAAGATCCTTTGCTGTCCTACGTTAGTTATATCTTAACAGAGAAATACTTGATTTTAGTCCTAAAGAAATTCTTTGCGAAAGTAGCACTATTCCGCGCGCATACTTTTTCCGCACGCGTTATTATAAAAATGAGGTAAAGTATCACCTTCCGCATTGTTAGGTAAATAACTATTATATGAAGTGTCATGGTTACTACCCTGAAAGAGGTTTTGGCTATTCGGTACTGTATAAAATCTTTCCAATTGAGTCGTTACCACCAAGGCGCGATTTATGGTGTTAATATTTTTACATAAAGCACCACACAATCAAATTGATTGCCCCGTAACATTAAGTATAATTAATTTTCGCGTCCGTAGGCTAGGCAGCTGCTGTCGGAATTTGTTTTGTCCTGACATTTGTAATACAACATTAAGCTATACAGGAAAAACCAAATTTGTCTAATGGCTCGAGTTCAATATGTCACCACATTGCCTAGCAATGGTGACGCAGAAGGCCGTGCAATCTGTCGCGTTGCCAATATGTTGCACCAGAAAATGTTCGCACAGGCTTCTTCAATAGGTTAGATTACTGTCAAACCCAGGAAGGAGGACTTAATTTAATATTTGGTTTTCATTTTGACTAGAATTATATATTTCAATTTTGATGCGACTTAGTGTTTATTTATTTTAGAATTGCATATTTTTGATTTCCACTGATCGTGATAAAATCAACACATTCTGAGATATTGTTACATTTTGCGACATCGAGAGCTAAGAAAATGTAACAAATGCAAACGCAATACAAATTATCACTGCCCGTGTGTACGCACGTGAAAACCATTTCGAGGCAGGACAACACTCCCCAATGAGCGCTAGATGGGTACTGACCAAAATCGCTCATGTACAGGTATGATCATGGAGGTGGAAACCTTGCCTTGAATGTACGAGTTGCGGTGTTGCCAAGCGAACCAATGATGCAATGTTGCTGAATTTGTGGCGCTCCTGAACTTTCATTTCAACCTAAAATGGAGCGCTTTTTTATAATCCAACCACCACGAAGGCCTAAGGCCTAAACACCCATGGGGTACCGTGGGGCTATAGGGGGATATAGTGCATGCAACATGCACACATTCTGGCTCCGCCTACGAGATCCGCCGGGTGGTACCTCTGCGTTCGACAGTCAGAGACGGTCTACCACCTACGGACAATCACAACATCCATAGCCAAGAGAAACATTTCTCTTGGGACGGGATTCGAACCCCCACAGCGCACGGCGACTGATCAGGAGACCGAAGAGTCTACTACTGCGGCCACCGCTGTTAGGAACGTTCGGGAATCGATCCTAAACAGATCCGGTACAATTCAAATATGTGTACGCTCAAAATAAAACCATTATTTGGGCATAGAGAATAAACACATATTTTCAACTTACCTCTAAATTCAAGGAATTGGTGTAACGTATTGGCAACGCGGCAGATTGCCACGTCGGCATTGCTAAGTAACGCGGTGATGAGTTTTGCTATCCAGCCGGCTTCTATCTCTTTGTAACATATGTGTCTATCAACACTTCTCTCTCGTACACATTGAATTCAAACCATTAGAAAAATTCTCGGTGTATGGTCAAGTGTTTCAATGCGGTTTGTTGGTGTGATATATACAATTAATATGTTAAAGGCTATTTCCACATTTCAAACACTGACACTCTTGTATAAATTTATTCGAGTTTTTTATGTTCTGCTGTTGTTGTTGAAGATTTATTTAGCATTGATGCTATAATGTAAGTTTTGTATAATGATTCGGTTACATATTTTTCTTCAATCCATTTTCTGTAATTTTACATTCTTGTCTATTTAAATTACGTCACTATGTATTTTGATTATTCATAAAGTGATTTTTTAATTTCACCTTAAACATTTTTAACTTCGAACTCTGTTTAATATCATTATTCAATTTATTAAATTCAAATACTCCCTTTTGAAATATATAGATTTACTAGTTATGCTACTATTACAATTTTGCAGATGAAAATCTATACTGCATCTAGTTTCGTAGTTATGATAATGACTATTTAATTTTGTGAAGTTCTCTAAATGATTTTTTACTTTGAATATGAAAACGAGAACTAAATAATATATGAAATTTTTCAGATCCAACCACATCAGTTCTTCTAACATAGACTTAATCCTAGCATGTTTGTTTTTATTTAAAATAATTCTCATAGCTTTATTTTGTAGAATTTGTAATTTTGAAAATATGTTCATTTCCTGCAAACAAGATGGTTGAACAATATAAAAAATGGGGAAGAATTATAGTGTTATACACAATTTTTTTGGAATACATACTAAGATTATGGGAAACTCTATAGAAGTAATTTATCTTTTTTGATATTTTTGAAATAATGTATTCATAATGTTCGTGAAACAGTAGCTTATTATACACATATACACCAAGATATTTAAATGACTCGAGTACTTAGTACTTACTACTAGGTGATTTTAATTTAAATTATTATGGTAAAAGCATGAAAACAAGAAAATTGAAAGAAACCATAAACAACTATGGGTTCAAGCAAAAAATTGAAGAGAGTACCAGAATAACATCATTATCAGAGACTTTGTTAGATCTTGTTATTGTAAATTTCGAATGTGCAGGGATTAAAGCTGTACATACACCTAAAGTTAGCGATCACAGTTGGACAATGCTGCCCTTGGTAGGACATTTTTCTGATACAAAAATTAAGAAAATCGTAAATACTATTAAGTACGAAAAACTTGAACGAGAACTTGCTGGCTGCTATTGGAATTTTGGTGAGAATATGGAAAAAATATATGACAACATAATAGGAAATATAAAAACTTGTTTAGATCTTGCAACTGATAAAAAAGTGATTTGCTCGACAAAAAATACACCCTGGTATAACAAGAATATTAAGGCAGCTCAAAATTTGAGAGACAAACAATACAATAAATGTATATTCACAAAATCAAATGATGATTGGGAGGTATATAAAACTCTTAGGAATAAATGTGTATATGTAATTAGAGAAGAAAAAAGAAAATTCTACGACAAATCGATAATAACAAGTGCGACAGTGTAAAGATGTGGAAGACTTTAAAAAGACTGATCAATTCGAAGCCGCATGATTGTGTAAATCAAGTTCAATTCGAAAACGGTACCGAAACAAATTCTTTGGTGATTGCAAACAAACTAAATGAATATTTTGTGGAAAGTATTGTTGATATTGTAGGTACTGCCAATGCTGCACCTGACTATATGAAAATCAGTTTCCAGGGGGAAATGTTGCATACACTTTCAAAATTTCACAGCGTATCATTGAATTATCTAAGAAAAAAAGTAAACAGTTTAAAATCAAATAACAACTGTGCCGTAATGACTTCTAAAAACGTGCTGAAAAACTGTTTCGAAATTTTGGGATATCCTGTATTAAATTGGATCAATTGTTCACTGAGAAGCAGTTCTTTCCCTGAAAATTTGAAATGCTCTACAATAACACCAGTTCCCAAAATAAAAAATTCTAAAAGATGCTGCGATATGAGACCAGTAAATGTGTTACCAGACATTGAAAAATTATTAGAGTCCATAGTGCATGACCAATTAATGCAGTTTATAGAAGAAAACAAAATTTTAGTGGAGGCGCAAGCAGGCTTTCGAAAAAAATATTCCACAGAAACAGCTTTCCAGTTTGTAACTGAGAATTGGAGAAGAGCCATAGACTCAGAAGAAGTTGTCATAGCAGTATTTTTGGATTTGAAGAGGGCATTTGAAACGATTGATAGAGATATTTTGTTAGGTAAATTGAAGGCATATGGTATAACAGGAAGTGTTTTAGATTGGTTTAGAAATTATTTGTCTAAAAGGATCAAGTTACAAAAGTTAATGACACTATTTCATCAAAAATTGAAAATACGTTGGGTGTTCCACAGGGCAGTATCCTGGGACCACTTCTTTTTATTTTATACATAAATGATTTACCTGCCATAGTCAAAAAATGCAAAATTCAAATTTTCGCCGATGACACTATGATTTATATAAGTACTAAAAATATTCAGTCTGGTATCTCTTATATAAATGAAGACTTGAAGCTTGTCTCAAAATGGTTAGCATCTAACACTAAAATTAAATGCAAGTAAAACGAAAGCCTTGTTAATCGGAAAAAAAAACAATGTACAAATGTTCAACTGAATATTGATGGTGAAGATATTGAATTCGTAGAAAATTTTAAATACCTGGGAGTTTTTGTTGACTACCGATTAATTTTTGATATTCATTATGAAAAAGTTATAAATAAGATTAGTAGTAAAGTGGGATATTTATCGAGAGTTTCTGGATGTCTGAGTTCATATAGCAGAAAAATTATCTATAATACCATCATTCTTCCAAATTTCTTGTACTGTTCGACTATTCTATATTTAGCAAATAATTCGATTTTTGAAAGACTGCAAATTTTACAAAATAAGTGCATGAGAATAATACTAAATAAAGATAAATATACTCCAATTAGGCAAATGCTTAGCAAATTAAAATGGCTCAATGTAAAAATTTTTATCAAATATCTTGTAATGATATTCATTTATAAAGTAAAAAATAATATATTTCCATCAAGTCTAACTAATTTAACATCATCAAATGTCGACCATCATTTACATAATACCAGAAATAAAGATGACTTCCATTTAATGACCAAAAAGTATAACATACGCTACAAATCTGTATTCCATCAAGGGTTGATTGAATATAATAAATTATACTCGGAGATAAAAGACCAGAAAACTTTGACAAAATTTAAAGTAAAATTGAGAAATCACTTGTTAAATCTACAATTATAGGTTGCCCAGCATTTACATCATACACCATATGGCTTGAATTTACTAGTTCTAAGTTGTTTACAATTGTTCTGTTTATGTAGCCAAATGTGCTAAATAAATCTTTCTACTACTACTACTACTACTACTACTTCAATTTTTTCATCATTAATCATGAGTCTAATTGTATTGTCACCTAAATGTTTCCCTATTGACATACATTTTGTTTTATTAGTGTTTAATTTAAGTTTATTGACATTTAACCAATTCATAATTTTTTCAATATCACTATTTAACAGTTATAAAGCAATGTCCAAATGCTTATGTGCTATATATAAGTGTATCGTCCGCAAATATTTGAATTTTGCAGAGATATCATTTATATAAATAATAACTGCCCTAATTTGCTCCTCTGTGGCACCCCTACTGATATATTTTGAACACTTGAGATAATATTTCCAACTTTAGCTTTTTGACTTCTATTTACTAAATAAGTTTGTAAAATGTGTTATACTGATCCTTGAAAGCCATAGTGACGCAATTTCATTAACAATTTTTCCCTGTCTATAGTCTCAAATGCCCTTTTGAAGTCTAAAAATATTGTTACAATATATTCTTTCTCATCTATACTTCTTCTCCAGTCTTCTACCACCATTTGGATTGCCGTTTGATTTTTTATAAAAATTTTGGTTTCTTCAATGAATTCTGTGATTTGTTCGTATATTATCCCTTCAAACAGCTTCTCGACATCGGGCAAGACGTTAATCGGTCGCATATTTGTTATATGTTGTTATAACTGCTTCGATCCTGATGAATATATGCTTGGCCAACATCAAATCAATCAAGATCTGCAGTCTATTTTTGACATATCTAGTGCTCACAATCTAAAACTAAATTCTGGCAAATCAAGATGCATTTTATTTGGGCCCAAAAAGAATCGTGAAATAAATCAATATCGCATTAATATTATGGTGAATAATGAAGACGTATCCTTCGTAAACGAATGCAAAAACCTTGGTATCTGGTTTGACTGCAAGCTACGCTTTACTAAACATGTTAACCAACTATGCAATGCGTCCTATAATGTGCTTCGTCAGTTATACCCGAGTCGAAGTGTCCTGTCGACACAGCTCAAGCTTAAACTCTGCGAGTCCCTTATCCTGTCAAAATTATCTTACGGTGACTCTGTTTATGGACCTGCTCTTTTACAACGTGATGCCGAGCGGATTCAGATGATACAAAACTCATGCATCAGATTTTCTTATGGAATCCGTAAATTTGATCATATTAGTAGCGCTTTTGACCAATCGGGATGGTTTAAGATGAACAAATTGAGGAAACTGCATTGCCTATCTCTGGTACATAAGACCCTTATTCTTAAAGCGCCATATTATCTTTATACAAAACTAAGCCTCCTCTGCCAGTACGATCAAAGATCCTCTAGGAATAAACTCATCTTACTTATCCCGCGGCATTCGACAGCATTGTTCACACGCAGTTTCTCGTACTGGGCACCCAAACTATATAACTGCTTATCAAGTGAGTATAAAGAATATAGCCTAAGCAATTTTAAAAAAAGGTTAAAGATGAGTTTAAAGCAGTCGGATGGCTAAAATTTTACTTTATGCATATCCACAGGTAATTGATTGTTTCCTTTCTCTGATAAGTGTTATATTCTAAGTTTTTTTTTTCTCTCTATAGTTTGTGTCAATGTTTTCCAGGTCGGGTTGAAAAACAGCATAAGCTGACACTCCACCTTTTCGTCACTGTTCCTTTTAAACCAATTATTTTGTAACCGTGTGACGAATAAAGACCATTTATTATTATTATTATTATTGACCTGTTGGGAATTATAAATAAATAAACTATTACCCAATGCCCTGCTTTGCGCTAACAGTGACGCCACCGTATTTTTCTTAGGCTTGCTCACGCCCCTACCCAGGTTCCTCGGCCTGCCGTCCTTGTGATGGTGCTGCTGATGCGCTTGAGCAGGCTGCGCCCCACTGCTAGCCGATGACATCGCGCCCCCTGTGACCTGCTGCTGCCCCCCTACGCCTGACACCGACGAAGTGGAGCTACCTCCATCCGAGCCTCTGCTAGGGGGCCGGGGGCTTTCGGCTGCGGCTGCCGCTGCTGCAGCTGCGTTGAACAGCTGCGCTAGGGAAGAGCTAGGGAGGGCAGAGGGTGGTAATTGTTGAGTGGCCGCCGGTGCGGAGGAGTGGTGCTGTTGAGGTTGGGGTACTCGGCGGGGTTTCGGGCCTGGTTTGCGGCGGGCTGAAAGAAATGCATTTTATTTAGGCCAGTTGCAATGTTTCCCTTCATTTCTAATTAAAGAACAAAACTACTGCTTGTACACAAAGGCAAGCTTTGTAGTGAGGTTCGATTTGCTTGGCACGGCGTGACGTCATAGAAGACGCCATGATAGATTGTAACGTTTTGGAGACGCATTCAAATTCATTTTTGAACAGACAAAATCCATAATGTAAAAGTTAGATTTTTTCAGAAAACAAGTTTTTTCGCTTATGTACGATGTAGATATTAAGGTATATTGAGCAATTTTTCAAATTTCTAACCTATTACGAATAGATGTTTCCCGTTGAAAATTCATTTGATCTTTAGATGACCTTGATGGCCACAGTCTTTTACTTCCCACGTCACACTGGCGAGGAAGTATTGTAATCATGGAGAAAGACAAATTAATGTTACCTACTGCCAGACTGCTTCATATGCGTTTAATTTTAGCTTCTAGTTTGTTATTATATTTTGGCTGGTGTTTCAAATGAAACAAAATACTTGTTAACGATAATTAGTATTTAGTCTAATCATATTAGAAGAAAATACCGCTGGTTGGCGAAATAATTGTGTAAAGTCGGGTTTTATTGAAGTTGTTCAAGCGGGTATTTAAAACATGGATGCATAACATGGATACACCAATTTTTGTGGGAAAAATTTTTATTCTACAACGAATAATGAGAAAACGTGTTTTTTATCATTCAATCTAAAGTGTTGAAAGGAACGAAAAAACTCTTCACATAAGATTTTACTAATGGTAAAAAAGTTATGGCCGAAACCGAGGTTTTGCCACTTGTTGTTAATGCAATGATAATTTAACGCAGCTACTTGAAATTTTTCAAATCAGAAGGCTTCCTACTTCTAAATAACCACAAAAAAATTGGAGTCGATTGCTCAAGTAGTTTTTGAGAATGTTTAGTTGTGTATCCCAAAACACCTGTCTCCCTATCATCACTATTAGTTTATTGAACATTATACAGGATTCGTTCAAAGCGCATTTTATAGCTAAATACACGAGTTTACCTTGCCGACATGAATCATAAACCATTCCGAAAGATAATTGTTATTTTTCTGCGAAAAATGAAAGGTTATGTTTTTTCTTCTAAACAAATTCCTAAACATTTCGTACGAGGGATGTGTTTTAAGTTTTGCTTATAGAAACACAGTAGGCCGCGCGGATCGAACGACAGTACTGAATCTTAATCTCACTCTTTAGTAAACTTAAATTCACAACAATACGTGCAGTGTTCTCACTACAGTGAATTTTTAAGTGTCACCAAGTCATTAGAAAAATGGAACTCAACCGAGAACATTTTCGCGCCATAATTTATTACAACTTTCAGAGACAATTATCGCAACAAGAATGCCTTGCTGAGTTACTGTCTGTTTTCGGCAACGAAGCGCCACATCAGTCGACAATTTCCCGTTGGTATGGAGAATTCAAACGTGGACGGGTGAGTCTTAGCGACGATTCCAGGGTGGGTGCACCAAAAACACCAGTCACCCAGGATAACGTCGATGCTGTGCGCAAACTCATCATTGAAGATATACATGTGACATATCGCGAGATTGAGGCGTCCTCGAAGATCTCAAAGACCTCAATTCAAAAAAATTTGCATGAAGAATTAGGAGTAAGAAAATTAGTTTCTCGTTGGATACCCCACCTGTTGACTGAAGAGCAGAAAGCATTGGTGTCAAAAAACGCTTGACCGTTTCAATTCCGGAAACTCAAAAAATGTGTACAGCATTGTTAGTGGTGATGAATCGTGGATTTACTGTTATGAACCAGAAAATAAACGACAGTCGGCTGTTTGGGTGTTCCAAGGTGAAGAACAGCCAACAAAAGTCATCCGTTCTCGAAGTTTTCGAAAAAGATGGTCGCGACATTTGTGTCAAAAGCGGGTCATATTGCAACAATTCCTCTTAATGAGCAAAGAACTGTTACTGCAGATTGGTATACCACCATTTGTTTGCCAAAAGTCATCACCGAGCTTCGAAAAATCAACTCAGAAAGAAGAATCATCCTCCACCAAGACAATGCAAGCTCACACACAGCCCAAAGAACAAGGCAGTATTTAATGGAAGAAAACGTGGAATTATTGGACCATCCTCCATATAGTCCCGATCTGAGTCCTAACGATTTCATTACTTTCCCGAAAATTAAAAACAGACTGCGTGTCCAGTCACCAGAAAACGCAGTTGACGCATTCAAAAATGCCATTTTGGATCTGCCAGCAAACGAGTGGAATAAGTGCTTCGAAAATTGGTTCGAGCGCATGCAGATGTGGATTAATCTTCGTGGAGAATACTTCGAAAAACAATAAAGTCATTTAAAACTACCTACCGTGTTGTTTTATTTCCAAATCCAAAACTTAAAAGACATCTCTCGTATTTGTAAGTAATTAAACAGATTCGCTACGATATTCGAAAAACATACATTTTTATACACATTTTAAAACAAAGCGAATAGTCAATCACCTTTTGTTGTGAAGAAAAAAATGTTTTTCAAGATTTCTTCATATTCTTGTGTATACATTTTACACGGTCACAGATAAGATTTAAAGTTTATAAAAAAATATATCATACTGAAATGCGCTGAACTGTTTATAAAGTTAGCACGCAAACTGAAGACAATTAGGTTTCAAACGGTCTTAGACTAGTTAGTACGAGTACGTAGCATGTGCTAAATGGCATTATTGATGACTGCATGAATTTGTCAAATAAGTAGTTTACGTAACCCAGTTTCATTACGAAGAAATATTTCCTGTACCTCTTTTCTAAAAGTATTAATATTGTGACAAATAGCGCCATCTGTAGGCCCAAGTAGGAGACTCGCCCGAGCTTAATGGCCGATCTCTGCTTTTACGCGAACCCGGACCGCACAAGCCGCCTGGCGGCGTCTGTGAGGATCGTCACAGTGGCTCGCCTTCTAGATCGACGCGAAGTGATCTCCAACATTCTAGATGTCGCTTTGTGGTACACCCGGTCTTTCTCGAAGCAGCAATTGGGACTATATATAACTTGGCGGCTAGGAGATGGGGGCAGAGAGTACTGAATACGGTAGGGTAGCAGAGCGGAGTGAAGTATAGTGCAGTCAATGGTGACATAAGGATTAGTCAGACATAAATAGTGGTGTATATAAATGTTTTATCCAATTAAATAAATTTCTGGAATCCAGTGTTTTAATCCACACTCAAAAGAACCCAGAAAAACGCAACAATGTGTAGTATATGTCTATTTCCGAAATCTCGTACGATTAAAACGACTGCGAGTTCAAAATGTTGAAAAATAAACTGGAGAAAACGAAAAAACAGTAAACAAATATCAACCAATTGTAGCGAACTGACCGTCTGGAAAATCAGGCTAAATGCTCGGTATTCGTCCCTTATACATTATTTAAAGTTTCAGCATTGTATCTTGTATCGTTTTCAAGAGTATTCTAATTGTTTATAACAGATTTGATATGCCTCCAACGTTCTCTTAACATTTGTCAGTGTCAAGTATAGTGGTATAAAGATCCAGTAAACCAAGAGGCGTCGTAGGGTTATGGGAAGGGTTAACGATTGCGGAATTGTAGGAGGGAAGCTCGAATCGACAAAGCTCCTTTTTTTCTATTAGTTTTTTAAATTTGGTGAAATTAATGCTTTCCCATATTATGTGTACTTTTATCGTGATCAAACAGTTTTAGAATCCATAGCGTTTTTTCAGATAATCCCAAATAGGAAAGCTTTGCCAAAACAAGATCATAATCAATGCAATCGAATACTTTTGTCAAGTCTATCATTACCGCTGTTCCAACTTTTAGAGTCATCTATAGGTCTTAAATAATTTGATATACGCTTCAGGGTTGAAAAAAAATATGAATCTTTTATTTTATATGAAACACATGTTATTTTTTAGTTTTAAACGTTTTTTTTTTTTCGTTTTAAATTTGAAGTTTTAAACAAATAAAGCTTTGTTTAAATCATATTTTTTTTCATATTACATGAAAATGTTCGATCTATTATTCTACTAAATAAAAGATACTTTATTTAAAGTCCGACTCTGTACTAAACTGTTACGAACTACGTCGCGCCACGCCGCCGTTAGGCTGTGCCGGTGACTCCCCGAAATAAGAAAACCAATTGCAATGAGGAACTACTGGCCTGGGGGAACCATAGACTACTATTTATAAATTAGCCTTGCAAGTTGGCTACTGCAATAACGTCTTCTGTAAGTTATTTTGTGGCGTTCTTTTTTTTTGAAAAATGTCGTCTACCTACCTATTTTGATGTTAAAGATAATAACAAAAAATCGGTGACTGCTAAATGTAAAAAATGTAAAGTAATTATGGCTGGACTAGTGCTGCGTATGAAGAAACTTATTCAAAAATGTGTTCCATCTGAAAATTCTCAGCTACCAATGTCAATTATCTATTATTCCGAGTCAGATGAGGATTTAACGCTAGATGAGATATCCAAAACCCAAAGATATTCAAAGAATGTTTACCCAGATAATAATACAGGTAACTTTTAAATTTTTACCAATTTAAAGACAAATGCCCAAAACTATTCAAAAAAATTAAAGCATGTCGCATTTGCTTTGGCCAAAGTCCAAAGAAACACTTGCACTATAGGAGAGGCTACAGAGATATGGCTAGAATTTTTAGAAGCATTCGAGACTGAACAAGCAAATGGAGAATTTTCGGTAAGTGATACGAATTAAGTCGAGGACTTATGAAAATGGCTTTGACCCCAGTTCATTTTTTGGAGAATTTGTTGTTTGTATGCAAAATGTTTAAGTTCAATTTTTGTTGTGTTCCTATTATTAATAATATTTATGTTAAAAAGTTTGTATAAGGCGTATCTGAGAACATTTCCTATTTTCATTTATTATATTAATAAAGAAAAAGAAGAAAATAACGCTTGTTTAATTTAAGTGTTTTAAACAAAAACTGTTTTAACACTAAGCGAATATTTAAAACAAAATGTTTAAAACGAAACAACCCTGATACACTTACATATTCGATCAGTCGTAGTACTCCCAATACTCGCCGACATATTGGAGAGCGAGGCAAGTGACGAGCTAACACCTCCGGTACTGCTCACCCCACTGCCACTCGTCGTGGAGGCGGGACTGGGCTTCAGAGAGAGATTCAGCGGTGCCTCGCCGAGCCCACCTCCTAAATGGTCGGGATAGGGAGGTGGGGCGGGCGATGCGCTGCCGCCTCCGTTGGCAGCAGACGCAGGCAGTTTGATCACATCCACTCTGTCAGCCGAAGAGGGAGTGGATGGCGGAGAGAGCTCTTGTTCCTGAAAAAAAAAATAGAAATGTTAACGAATAATAAATGAGTTCGGCTTGATTGATTTTGAGACTTGAGGTGTCCTTAGATGCATCCTGAAGGTATAATTAAAACTTCATTATTTTCAGTTATTGCAGTCGTTTTTTACTTGCTACGATACTGTGCGAGGGTGTATTGTAATCAAGAAATAAGGTATGTTTTTTTGATGTTATATGACATGAACACCACGAAAACCATGTCACATTATTGGAGAGAAGTTATTATTGTTAGTGAATCACTGTTTAGTGTATAGCGAATTTCCTTCAAAATTACAATTACTCCTGGTCCAAAAGTGCAAAATTCTGAGTTATATACAAACATGCGGCCAATTAATGTACTGCCAGATGGCGGGAAGCTCTTAGACGGAATCATATATGAACAAGTCATTGAATATATTGAAGAAAATAAGATATTGATAAAATTTCAAGCAGGATTCAGGAAAAAAGTATTCTACTGAAACAGCAATTCAAATGATAGTAGAAGAGTGGAGGCGAAATGTGGATGAAAAAAGTTTACAGGAACATTGTTCTTAGATTTCAAGAGAGCGCATTTGAGACTATTGACAGGGAGAAATTGTTAACGAAATTGCATTGCTATGAATTTCAAGGTTCAGTATTCAACTTATTACAAAATTATTTCGTCAATAGAAGTCAAAGAACTAAAATTGGCAACACAGTATCAAACATTAAAAACATTTCGGTAGGTGTGCCACAGGGTAGCAAATTAGGTCCATTACTATTTATTTTATATATTAACGATATTCCTGATATTTTACAACACTGCAAAATTCAACTATTTGCTGATGATACGTTAATATATGTATATATTAAATAAAGACATTGAAACTGCAACAGAGCTGTTAAATAATGATATGAAAAACGTAATAAATTGATTAAATGTAAATAAACTTAAAATAAAAACAAAACAAACAAAATATATGCTAATAGGAAAATCTGTTAATCGAATCATTTAAATATTTGGGCATATAAGTAGACAGTAAAATAAAATTTGAAGGGCACTATGTATTTCAAAAATATCCAAGAAAATTGATTACTTTTCGCATAGCCTAATCGTTTATTCTAAAAAAATTGTGTACAACACTATCATTCTTCCTCATTTGTTATATTGTTCGACTATTTTGTTCATTGCAAATGAAACTGTATTTTCAAAATTACAAATATTACAAAATAAAGTTATCAGAATCATCTTAAATAAAAATAAATATACTAGAATAAATTTTATGCTGAAAGAACTACAATGGTTAAAATCAAAAATTTCATAGCCTACTTGGTTTTCATTTTCATAATCAAGTTAAAAAATCATCTTCTACCAAATCACTTGGAAAATTTTACTGTATTGAACAATGAGCAGTGTGTCAGTTTGAAAATGTTCAAAGGGAAATTGAAAAAATATCTCTTGGAGAACAGAAATCAAAGTAGTGAAATTTTGTATAAAAATATGTGGTATTGAAGACATAAGATATTTTGTGATAGACGGTGTAATATGGATATTTTGGACATTGTAGCATTAATGCTAAATAAATCCGAAACAAAGAAACAAACACATTTCTGTTGGACTGTCCGATAATCTTATAACCGTCTATAACTCAGGTACCTCTCGGATTTTGATGAAATTTGTACACAATATTACTACTATGCCAAGGACGCAAAAGTTTTTGAAAATTGATCCAATGGTGGTAGAGAAAAACGAAAAAAAAAATAAGAATTGCTCAAACTTCGTTTTTTGATGTTTCAGAGACTCCTGATTATTTTCGGAAACATTTTTGTAAGAGTTGAAAATTAGGAGTCGGAGGTTGAAAATAGTATTTATATCCATAGTATCAGTCAAAGACGTTTTCTCATTAAGAAGCTGCTGGTCCCGGTAACAACGGAAAAATTAAACGATAAAGGTCGTGGAAGCCACTACCGACTGTAGCAAGCACAATAAACAGATAACTCGAACTCGATGTTCACACGGAGACATTGCTACAGGGGAGTACTTACAAATTTTAGGAATATTTAGGAGTACGTTTCACTTTAGCGTGCTGGGATACTTTTGTAAATGATAACTCAATTGTTTTTATCTCTACACGTATATTTTTCTGAATTTTATTATCACTAAATGTACTTCCATTCCGCCTAACCTTTAAATTTGTGTTACTCTGTCTATGATGGTTCTCTGAATATTTCGTCAAGTACATTGACTCCGTACTTATGACGCAATGATATACAACAGACACGCACTGGCAAACCGACATAAATGAGAAAGACGAACTTGTGCGATGCAGATATTTTTAAGCAACAAAAAAGACCTGTGAACTGAAGTTCGAATATTATTTCCAGTTTCACATATTCCTGCTAAATTTCAGACAATGTTTGGAGAAGTTGAATATTGCAGTTCGCAAGCTGTATGCGGTAAATGTTTATAAATTGTTGCACGTTTGGTGTCAGTGAAATACATTCTATAATTAAGAAGCTACAGATCCAGGTAATATCATACACTTGTTAGACATAATGAGCCTCATATGTTTTCCCTAGATCTGCCATGGAAACAGAGACATGTTTAAACAGTTTTATATATCGAGGTCGAAGATTCATCAGGCCTAAGTGAACCTACTTCACGCCGTTTTTTTATTGAACTTTTGAAATGCACTTACACTTAGTTTCGGCCTCTTCGTGGCCCTCTCTATTAACAGCCCAGTGCTGGAATGCGACGGATGGAGACTGACCGATGGCGGATCCAAAGAAATTGTCTTCTTCCTGCCGCGGTTGGTGGTCCCGGGGATTTTGGGGCCCACTATCGAGGACGTATACTTGATGATCTCCGTGTCGGGTGGCAACCTAACACCGCCCAAAATTGAATTAGGATCGCTGCTGGAACACACACGTGCAATGTTGATACACACACAAGGGATACAAAAACACATTACATATATTACAAATAGGCAATTCAGGGTTTAGGGTATCTGTTCTACAATACAAGAGCAGGATATGGTCTGGATTATCTAGGAATTTTTATCTACGTTGTGCACTATGGAAAGTACAGTCTGCGAAAATCAAAAGATCGACAGTTTTCGAATGAAAAACAAGGTTGGAACCGCTTTAAAATAAACTAATCTCGAAATACTCTTGAAAGTCTTGTCGAATAAGGTTTCAACTTCAACATTTACACACTTGGCAATCTCAAAAATTATAATTTTCAACAGAGTTTTTAATCACCGAATATACCCCCACGGTAACACAGATCAAATATGTTTAAACAACTTTTTACATAATTTTTTCCATGGAATGCATAATACCTCATGAAATCACTAATTTGTATTTAATTCTCCACAAATTCAGTGTCAGGTTTGAGGTTTGCTAAGTTTTAGTATAGTTAAACACATTACTTAATTTCTTAATCCTAATAAATTCTAAATAATCCCACAAAAATAGCCTGCATAAAGGAACTACAAAATCCCAATTTACCAGAAATATAGAACAGAGCCAAACGGAATTCTTATCCCTTCACTAGCAAAAAAATCCTTTGACATAATTCAAGAATTGTGCATTTCAACTAGCTATGTGAAAAGTTATTTCCATCTTTGTTTGGTGTCAAGGAATTTTTTTAACCAAAGTTATTTGACCCCGCTCTCCAAGATGACATGCAGATCAATCTTAGGGTAAAAGACCACCAGTACCAACATTAAAAAATATATAAAGATGACTATCCTATACTACGCACACCATTCAACTATTCTAATGTAGCATTATTTTTGTCATCCCGTGAATTTATATAACTATAGTTTATAAGTACGGTGATTTTATTTTCTGTATTAAAACAGTTAATGACCAAATAGTGGACGGATGATACAGGAATTGAGGTTTTATATTTTTTGTCATTTATTTACAGTAGAAATAACAAATAAAGATAATCTAGTAGAAAAATATTTATACAAGGTGTCCCAGAAATAACACGCCAGAGTGACATGGGAGGTAGACTCTCTTCAGATCAATCAGATAAAATCAATATGACAGGTCGTTGCATTCTTTAGTGATTTGGATACAAAAGACTGCTGCTCTTTTTTGTTGTAATATTTCGCAAGTATTACTTCAATGACAAAACTTGAAATTATTCAATTTTTAGTAGAAAGAACCTACAAATGTTATACTATTTTTAAAAGAGAATTAAATAGGCTAGTTTTTAAGATCATTTGCCGATTCAGTCTGGTACATTTTTTTTCACAGTAATTAGTCAAACTTTAGTGAAGGTTTTCTCATTGAAACAACGTATTAATTTTTTTAGCATACCGTGCTAGTTTTCAATAAAATGAATACTCGGTTGTCCCAACCAACTATTAATGGTAGCCCAGGAAAAAAACTCATAAGTTAGAAATTCTTAATTAGCAAAAAGTAGCGATTTTTTGAAAAAACCTAAAAGTGGCAATATCTCGAGAACTATAAAACTTTTACCCAGGTCATTTTGATTTTAACTGATTGATCTGAAGCCAATCTACCTCCGGTGTCACTCTGGCGTGTTATTTCTGGGACCCCCTTAATACTTTGTTCAAAATATTCGGAGGACGGAATGTACGGCTCAAAAGTATGCTACATTGAGAAATAATGCTTCAAACTAGAAAAAAGAAAACTATCCGATATCTACGAGAATAACAATCCATATCTGCAAAAGGCTTGATACCAACAAAAATGAAACAATTACAACTCAAAACAGTACAACTTCCTAAACAATTCAAAGAACAAAAAGGATAAATCCTTTCTTTGGGACTAGCTTACCTGTTGCCTTCTAAAGCGGCACTATAAGCAAAACAAGAATTTAAGAAAGTATCAAAAGACAGTTCACAATTATGCAATAAAATAATATGGATCATTTATACAAAGAGTCTAGTAAATCAATCTCTATTGTTATCGATAGTGTAATAGCTCAAGTAAGCTTAAGAGGATTAAAAAATGTTCAATCGCCTATAATCGCAAATTTCAAGTAACAAATGCTCATTTATTTATACAGGGTGGCCGATATGTAACTGGCTGGTTTGTATCTTGAAGATTTGTGAAATGAAATAAAATACATCCATTTTTTTCATCCTAATCTTTTATTGAAATTATGTATGAAAAATAATATCAGACAAATGTCGGCCTCTAGAAGCCGCGCAAACCTGAGCCCTCTTGATTACATGTTCCATCACTTTTTGGTAGGTTTAGGAAGGAATATTTTCAATCGTTTCCGTAAGACTAATTTTCAGCTGCTCAACAGTACTTGGTTTGTTGGGGTAATCACTATTTTTCAAAAAGTCAGGAGCCGTTAAATGACATTGGTGGCCAGTTGAGATCACCAAATCGAGAAATTAAACGTCCCGGAAATATTGTTCGTTGTTTCCCTAGCTGTGTGATAGGTTGCTCCGTCTTGCTGGTTAGATTGTTGGATTTGAGGAGCCAGAATGTTTTGCACCATATCACCTTAGCGCTCGCCAGAGACAGTAGGAAAATTATGTCCAGATCTTCAAAGAAGTAAGGTCCAATGACACCTCCATACCAAACACCGCACCAAACTGTGACTCGACGTGGATGTAGTGATGTTGATGGGTGACACGAGGGTTCTCTAATTCCCAGATACAATTCTGCTTATAACAAATTCGTTCATATTGAAGTGGGCTTCATCGCTCAATATCAGTTGTCGGTAAAAATCGTTATTTTGGGTATTAAGCTGCAATATTGCACGACTGTATTGTCGGCGACATTCACTAGGTTGCAGGTCTTGAGTTAACTGAATTTTGTATGGCCGCAAATGCAAGTATTTTTTTAATGAGGTGTGACGAATACCCAGTTCTTGAGAACGATATCTGGTAGACGTCTCAGGGCGCTCCACTACACTTTCACGAACTCTCTCGATATTTTCTGGAGTTTGAACAGTTCGAACACGGCCAGACCTTGGCAAATCTTTAACTTCACCTGTTTGTTCAAATTTCCGCACCAACCGACGAATGGTGTTGACACTGGGCGCATTATTTCGACCGAAATCTTGTCGTAGCTTCCGAATCGTTGCAAAAATCGGCTCATTATTTAAGCAAAACGTTTTAACAATCCGGACGAGTTGTGGGATCGTGTATGAATTGGACACATGTGCTTTAAACAACTACTACTGCGCCACCTAGAGTGAAATGCGTGTATCAAAAATGGCGCGCAATTTAAATCAGTCAGTTATATATTAGCCACCCTGCACATAAAGTACATAGGTCAAAACTAAGATTCCACGACCTAGCTGGGTAGGTGATATCTCAGATCGGGTCATGACCCATATCATTTTTATTTTCTGAAAAGAATCTGAGACAAGGTCGCGGAATTTTAGTTTTGACCTTTACATACATCAAATTAAAAAGTCCATCTTACCTTAAAATACTAGAAGGTAAACTGGCAATGGTAGTACTATTAATCCCGCCGGTGGGGGTACTGCGTTCAGATCCGCTATTATTGCTAGCTAAGCTTAATGGACTCGTGAAGATGCTTGGTGAAGGTGAAGATACTTTCACGGTACCGCCACTGGAGTTATTCGAGGTATTCGTCTGAAACATAAAATCACACATTGTAAGTAGCGGCAAAAACAAAAGTCACCTGGAAGACAGAGAAATAGAGTATTGCAGCTATAAAAAATAAAAAATCAGGCATTGGTAAATTTCTTCAAATGTTATAGCTAATCTTTCACATGATGCTCTTAATATGCTTGCAAAACTTATAAGTTATTCGAGGTATTCATCTGAAACATAAAATCACACATTCTAAGTAGCGGCCAAAACAAATGTCACCTGGAAGACAGAGAAATAGAGTATTGCATCTATAAAAAATAAAAAATCAGCCATTGATAAATTTCTTCAAATGTTATAGCTAATCTTTCACATGATGCTCTTAATATGCTTGCAAAACTTATAAATCTTTCTCTTAACACAGGCATTCACCAAGAATCTTAAAAAACATCAATAGCTAATCCTATTTATAAAGTAGGTCCAAGCAACGTACACCAGAAAAGTATAGACCCACAAGTTTAACTACTGTTATAGCAAAAATAATGGGAAAAAATAGTTGAAGTTAGATTAAGAGACTTTCTAAAAACCAACAAAATTATAAGTGACAACCAGTTTGGATTTCAAAAAACAAAAAAGTACCATGGATGCTAGTTTCACATCTCTCAAACACTCAAATTTAAACGATAAACAAATTTCAATGGCTCTTTTTTGCGACTTTTCCAAAGCGTTTGACTGTGTAAATCATGATATATTATTAAGGAAATTAAACAAATATGGTTGTACTCACTCGATTGGTTTAGAACATATTTAAATAATCGATCCCAATTTATAAAATTATCAAGACATTATATTTCAAATCAATATAAACGCGTGGTACCTCATGGATCAGTATTAGGTCCGATCCTATTCTTAACCTATATCAACGATTTATTAAACTTAAGGATAAATGGTAAATTCGTAGTTTTTGCCGACGATACCACAAGACTTTGGCAAGACAAAGATATAAATGAAATAAAGACAAAAATCGTGACGTCACGCCAATAGCGTTTCCATCTTTTCAATAATGAATATTCGTAATTTTATCGCGCCTAAGTATAAAATAATGTTGACGGCGGCTTTCTGTAGCAATAAAGACTGCAAATAAAATTATACTCAGTGACAGAAGTGCTACACCCAGAAAAAAATAATGTCTTCAACATTCTTCTTCATATTTAACGCATGATGTGACGACAATGTCAACGTTTCATCTTTGTTTTTGTTTACCTTTGCTAAAATCTTACCTCTTAGTTTTTGCGAAGAAAGCTATTTCTGGGAGCTAAGTAGTACAGATATTTTTAGTTATTGCAATTTCATTTACTAATATTAGACATAACAAAATGCCTTGAGTTCAAAGACGTCCAAATTATCACCATGGTAGCGACTTTGACAGGTGTTGAATTATTGCCTATCGAGATGTTGGTTTGACCTACCGCCATGTTAATTGTACTGCAATGACGGTAATGCGTGTGTGGATAGAAGAAGGTAGAGGAACACGAAGAATGCCGACTGGTCCAGCTAGGCGTACCACACAGCGTCAAGATAGACGCTTCAGTTAGCCCTATGAAACTGTTTCGCTACTATGCGTCAGATCGCTGACCAATAGTTTGGAGAAAAAGGTAGACCTGTTACTATGCGTACACTCTATCGCCGGATTCGAGCATTTGGACTTTTTTTCATACCGTTCACGGTTAGTGCTGCCTCTGACTGCGGACCACTGACGTCAACGATTGAACCGGAGCAAATAACGGCAACACTGGGAGGCAGAATGGCGATTGTGTCTAGGTACGCACGATGGTCGTAGAAGGGTAAGACTTGTTATTGTACACAGGATTGTTGGAGTAATGGCTTGGGGGGCTATTGCCTATATTCTTCAAGGCAATATGACTGCTGCGCGTTGTGTTGACGATGTCCTACAAACCACTTTATTGCCGTATCTAGAGGGCCGTCCCCACATCCTTGTTCAGCAAGACAACGCACGTCCCCATATTGCTCGTCGTACTACGGACTTTCTTCAAGAAGCAGGCGTTAATGTCTTAATGTGTGGGATATGATGGGGAGGAGACTATCCACTTTGCACCACCCGCCACAGACAATCCACTAAGTTCAAGCTGCTTGGAATGAGATGTCACAACCAGACATTGATCATCTCATTTTGTCGGGGTCGGACACATCATTAATTTTTTTCTTATTACTTGTTAATAAAATTTCGTGAGAATGGTATCGTTTCATTCTTGATGTAAGACTACCTCATTGCCAAAAAATTATTTTTTTCTGGTTGTTTTAATGTCACTTAGTATAAAAATAAATAACCGATATTTGAATCACTTGCATGTTCCTTATTACGGTCACTAGGCGGCGCTGTCTTCGCGCACAGTACTTCTTTGCTAGTTAAGCACTCACCTTACTCTTGACGGGCGTCGTCGCCTGCGGAACCGCCGCCCCAGAGCTGACTGGGGAGTACGCAGCTTCGCCCCCTTTCTGCCCGCGCTGTCTCTCGCCGACAGACACCGCTTGCGCAGGCTGAATCGTCAAGCCGGGCACCGACGGGGCGCCGTACTTCAGTTGGGGGGATGAAGTGGGAGGGCGGTGGCTGCCCTTATCACTGGAAGACCGCCCGTTCACGTCCGACTTGCTCGAGTGGGAGGTCAGGGAAGATTTGGAGTTGCTCGACGACCTAAGGATAAAAAGGAATGTTTATTAGTCAAATATCGGCAAAGGTTGAAACACTCACAATGCTTTCAGGCGGAAACCGATTACACTGATAAACACAGGATTTGTGACATGACTATTTTTGGGTGTATCTTATGTATTTTGAGACCCTTAAATCAAATCTAAAAACAGAATTTTTCTATCACCCACAGATATTCGGTAACATCTACTTTTATGAATTACAATACGTATCATCTCATACTGCTGCATTTCTCGGCGTTTATGCGATGACGCACATATATAATGTTTATTATATGCGAGTTCTATGTTTAGAGAGCATATTGCGTTTATTAGTGGACTAACAGCAGCCGAGACAGTTACGTTTTCTGGGTTGAAGAGTACTGAGATGTTCTGCTAAATACTGTTAATTTTTGTTAAAACGGTATGTTTTCTTTAGTTTATTGTGATCGAGACTAGCTTTATCGACAATGCCTAGAAATTGTGTAAATAGTGCGAAGAGTTTTTGTTATGTGTACGGAGACCTAACCTTGCGGCCCGTTAAGCATAGTGATGAACTTTCTGTCCCATTTCCACCAGAATCTTGGTCTTTAATGAATATGGATGGGCTATATCTGCTGATTTAAAGGTAACAGCCCTTCTTCTTGGAATGCAACTGGGATATACCAAATATTGTTGTTTTCTTTGTGAATGGAACAGTCGTGCGCGAGATCGTCATTATGAACAGAAGGAGTGGCCACTAGTTGATCCACCTTTGCATATTAAGTTGGTGTAAGCTATGGATCGAAATGGAAGAGGGTTTCTGGATTTAAAACATTTCCGTGACTTAGTGAGGCAAAAATTAAAGAAGGCATATTTGTGGGTCCACAAATTCGGAAAGTCATGAAGGATGATGTATTTGACAGTGCTCTAAATGAAACTGAATTACGAGCCTGGAATGCTTTTAAGTCAGTGACTGCAAATTTTTTAGGTAATGTGAACGCGGACAATTATAAAGATGTTGTGAGTGAACTAATTAATGCTTATAAAGGAATGGTATGTAACATGTCTCTAAAAATTCACTTTTTGGATTCTCATCTCGATTTTTTTTCCGGAAAATTTAGGTGCGCTAAATGATGAACATGGTGAACGGTTCCATACATTTCTGCTATGGAAAAACGGTATTAAGTTAAATGGAGTGTCAATTTGCTTGCTGATTATTGCTGGACATTGTTGAGAGATTTCAGGAGCAACATATCGCCATCAGACATGGACAACAACATTCCGAGATTAATGTTTATTCGAGTGTTTATTAGTACTCTTACACACATATCCTTATATTTTACGAGTATAAACAGCAAATAAAATGCCTTATTGCAAGAAAACCGTGGGTGATAGAAAAAATCGAATACTATTTCCGGCTATTCGGGTACGTTTTACATAATAAACACCTTGTTTTGTCCATGTCACAAAATATTATTTTAATTTTGTTCACCAGTGTTATTGTCACTACGCTCAAGTTGAACCAGATTTTCATATATATTTTGCTACAGAATATGTCAAAAAATACTTTCGAAATACAAAATATAAATTCTTCATATAATAATTTGAGGAATCATAGCCTGAAGTAACCAGAAAATTGCAAAAATGCAATTATTGTGAGAATGGGGAAAATCTCTAACGCTGAAACTAGATGGAGCTAGTTATGTTTGGGTCATGTCTAATGTTATGAACAGCTTAAGCCAAGATTTGCAGGGCATCTGAGAAGCAGAAAAGAGCGTTGACAGTTTGGCACTAACTTAAAATTGTGATGGAACAGATAATACAAATATTAAAGTCTACCTTTGGCTCCCGTGCTAATACAAGGTTTATCTTATCAATATTCAAATTCTTTGAAAATAAAAACACGCGTTTTATAAATACCACAGTTTTTGTAACGACAAAAGTATGGAAACATTTCAGTTTTGCCGTGTTTATTCGTTCTGCGATGCTTTGATATTGCGTGCGGTAAATATTGACATCAGTGAGAATGGCAAAGGTAAAAGATTTAAGAGACAAAGTAACTGAATTATTTAGAAGTGGTGTCAGAAATGTTATGTTTTGGATCGGTACATTAAACGTTTGTCCCATGATGATCCTCGACTGCCATCCACACACATTTTCAAAAGAATCGTAGAAGAGGGCGCCGAGAATCTTTCTGTCAGAACAGGATGCTTGGTCGATTTTGGGCTTTTTGGTAGGAGTCTAGTGCAAAAGCCTCTCATTTAAAAAAAATCGTATTGCTCGGCTTGAATTTGCTAAAACTCATCTAACATGGACAAAACAACAATGGAATGCAGTTTTAAGGAGCGATGAAAGCAAATTTAACTTGTTTGAATCTGACGGTACGACATACGTGAGACGTCCAATACGAAAAAGATGCGACAAAAAGTATCAGTTGCCAACAGTTAAACACGGTGGAGGCAACATCATGGTTTAGGGCTGTTTTTCTAGTTCTGGAACGGGTCCAATTGTTAAAATTGTTGGGAAAACGGATGAAAAACTTGGATATTCTTAATAACACATGCTCCCTTTTGCTGAAAAATAATGCCTTTACGATGGACATTCCATCAAGATAATGACCCCAAGCATACCTCAAAATTCCTAAAGGACTGCTTAGGACTAAAAAATGTTCTTACATGTCCTTCGCAGTGCCCGGACCTAAACCCTATAGAACATCTCTGCGAGCATGTAAAAGACTGACAAGAAAAACTTTTGAAAATAGGAACGATTTATTTGATTATGTAAAAAATATTTGGCAAACTATCCTAACAGACGTCTGTAAAACATTGGTGTCTTCTATGAGCAGCATTTGTCAGGCAGTGTTAAATGCTAAAAGGCTATGCTACCAAATATTAGCTAAACAGTATTTTTTTAAATCTTTGTATATAGTTAATGTAATTAATTCTGTAATAAAAAATATGATTCCATACTTCTGTCAACTCATTTTTGGTCATAAAATAATTTGAAGGTATTTTAATGCTAGTCTGTAATACCACACCAAACACAAATTGTCATTTGTATCCTCAAGACCGTAAGCAAACTATATGAGAAAAAAATAGACCTTAATAATAAAGAATAAAAAATTAGGGCACTTTTTAAAAATTACTAAGAATGTTTCCAAACTTTCTCCTCTACTGTACTTTTCAGCTCCAACTACACCAGCACTACCTAGCGCAACCAAAATCAAACGTCGCTGTCATTACATGAAACTTTTGAGCTAAGTAATAGAGCGTCATAATAAAGGTACATATATGCAAATATTCAACTAGCCTTTTTTCATTCCAATGTGGAAATCTTATTTTGTTCGTTTATTGCTAGCGCTGATTATACGTTACCAACCTGGATAAGGAAGAAGAGAGAGCAGATCCTTTGCCGCCTTTAGAACTAGAGGAAGATTTATTGTGTAAAGAAGCGAGAGGAGATGGCAATCCAAGCGCTGAATACTGCAACTCTGCGGGGTTTCCCAAACCCGGAAAATTCAGACCGGACGCTTGCAAACGGGCCAAGTAGTCCTGGGCAGCCAAGTGGGAAGCCATCGACCACCAGGCTGCACCTAGAAAAAAATAGAAAATTTAGTGGTTTCAATATTAATTTTATTAGTAGTTAAAATAATACTAAACCTAAGAAAACCTTTCTCTTATTTGTCATTCACCTTCTCTTTTCGTCTTGCAATATTTCTTGTCGATTTTGTCTGGTTTGTGGGAAGACTTTAACGAAATGTATCACGGATTATTCTGACAACTCATTTGACAGAGAATGACAAATAGAACAAGAAAGATATGACTGAAAATTGTTTCAATTATTGTCTTTCAGATCCGTCATTTTTATTTTATGAAATTTTGATGGATTCAGTTTTACTTGTGTTAACAATATCAATCTGAGGATACCTCAAAAATATCAAAATCAATCAAACCGTTTGGCCTGCAATTCGTGAAATAGACATTTCAAAGTTGAAATTTGCGTTCCAAACCAGCAATTCTGAATTTCGCACTGTCAAGACAAATCCACCAAGCACGTTAAATAAATATTATAAGTCAGAATCAAAAATACCTATTTATGAAAATATAAATCCAAACATTGTTATATTTCCTTATTATTTCTATTAATATAACACGTCTGGGATATCAATTGCTTTTAAAGTGATCTGCACATCTGCAGTGTTGCCGAAAAATGGTAATCGGTAAATAGGTCGTTGAATTCGGTATAAGGTAAATGCCGTCTCAAGATCAGTGGTAGATCAAGGACCTTTGTGTCATGAAAAACGTCTGTTATTGTATTGGGCTCGCTCACAACATGTTGTTTGAGGGCATAGTTCTATATTACTTCTACAATGTGCATACTGGTCGCTCTTTCAAAGTACTTTGCAACCATTCTGGATACTCATTTTTCGATTCTTATAGGATTGTGAATATTTTTCTGTTTTAGTTTTACCCCCGAACTCATGAACTCACCTCTCATTTTAATTAAATATTTATTTTGAAAACAGACAGGTTTCGGTTTCTTTATTGCTTGTCCGGTGATGAGGTAATGACGGTAATCTACCAGTCTGTACCTTTTGTATGCACAAAAATCATTTCAGGGCAAGCCGAGTAAAGGATGAGGAGAGCTATTAAAAATATAAATTTTTAACAGGTAGAGAAATTACCGAAATTGTATGTGTGTTTTCAAAGTTTCATTGTTTTACATGTGCACGTATCTCATATCGGGTTTTAAGTGCATTTACAATAATGTCTAACAACGTACGGATAATCAAAGCAAAATCAAATTGGCATGCAACCACTGTGTCATCACATTACTATTGCTATTTACAAAGATATAACGAAGGTTTTGGTTATGTGTTTATATGCTGCAAATACGTACACGTGCGTTCTATCATGCAGAAAAGACGAATCCTCGCGGAATGTGCAGTGAACAAAATTAAAATATATCAATAGTATTCCCGTCACAAAAGTTTAACAGGAATGAACGGCAAGTAGGTTAGTGCGCTATCTTACCGGGATAATTTTTACCCCGGCTGTTTTGGGTTAATATGACAAAGTTCATCATGGATTGATGTGGAAATAATTGTTCGATGAATAAGGAGGATCATTTGCACAAATTAACTTCTGAAGTTACTCATATCTCCACTAGCTGCCATACATTTAGAAAAGAAAGAGCATAGGGATTATTTTACATTTACAGTTTTATTTCCATTTCAGCCTTGACACAGGAAAGCATCACAGGATTGAATGACACTAATTAATACTCGTGTACGGGCTAAAATTTCCACAAAAGCCCAACAAAGTTGTTCATACAGAGCCCCTCAATTGCTAACAGCGCCAAAAATACTACAAATCAATGTGATCCGTGCATATAACATTTTATAACACATTAATGATTAAAGTGTATTTCCAGCCAAAGTGTAATTCATTGTTTATAGACACAATCACTTTACTACTAGAGGGGCTTATCAACAATCTACAATAACATAATCCATAAAACAAACAAGCAAGCATAGCAAACAACTGAGGTTATTCCAAAATCAAATTACCACTTCATAATTGCATTTATCCATAATCCCACAAATTCTCCTAACGCCGATTTTTCAGTTCGAATTCCGGTATGACCAGTTCGTTCAGATGGCCTGTTTATTTAGTTGCCCGAACAGCCTTAACAGCGTATGTACTAAATCTACATGTGCCCAAATTATGGAGCGCTGCGCGCAGACCCGCTATAGGACGAGGCACCGTAATGCGTATAAATTATTATAATTCGTCAGGTCAGGTGTCGGGCATATTTGCATGGAATTTGTTGTCGGGAAATTAGGGGTAATTAGATACGAGGTGGATCGATTACTCGCTTATATATAAAGATGACCGTACTTGGGATATACAGGGTGTTTCACTTTATTGTTGCATAACTTTAAGCTTCGATAGAACTTTTAAAATTAATGCATAAAGTCTATATAAACATGGGTCGAAAAATGCGTGGCTTCCGAAATACAGGGTGTTTAAATTTACTTTCTAAAATGGTTTTTTTTTAAATATTTAGAACAATATTTGATGTATAACAGTGAAAAATGGTATACAGGGGTTTTTTGGTACGACAAAACGAACCATGGGCATAGTTTTACTGTAGCCGCTAGAGGGCGCTCTCTACTGTACCTGTATTGTATTAAAATGACCGAAAATTTTTTCTTAATGCAATTTTTTTATACCACGTTTGATCATTCGTAGATGTGAATTGTGTATCGAACAATTGGGTTTACATTTCGAGCAACTACTTTAGATTTTGTATGTTTGTCCTAACTATTCAATAGCATTTCAGTTGTAAATAATTAATTTAATTTGTTAAAAATAATATTGGAAAATTAAACAAATTAATATTCTGTTTTTTTGTGTTTATTTGGAGTTATTGCTGTGTTTAAAAACACAATCTAAACGATCATCTTAATTACTTGTAATGCCCAAATCGAAAATGTAAAAAAGAAATATTATTTTCCCACAAATAATTAAAAATGCATCGAACCTTAAAAATCGAAATATCTCAAAAACGGCTAACTATAACGAAAATTCACAAGAGAGCTTTTTTATGTTGAAAAGTGCGAAGAATCAGTTTTTTATTCAAAAAGCTAAAAATTGCATTAAGAAAAATTTTTCGGTCATTTTAATACACTACAGGTACAGTAGAGAGCGCCCTCTAGCGGCTACAGTAAAACTATGCCCATTTTTCGTTTTGTCGTACCAAAAAACCCTTGTATACCAATTTTCACTGTTATACATCAAATATTGTTCGAAATATTTAAAAAAAAACTATTTTAGAAAGTAAATTTAAACACCCTGTATTTCGGAAGCCACGCATTTTTCGACCCATGTTTATATAGACTTTATGCATTAATTTTAAAAGTTCTATCGAATCTTAAAGTTATGCAACAATAAACTGAAACACCCTGTATATGTTATGATGTTTTATTTCTCATGAAAACTGGAAGGGAATAATTAATTATTATTCAACAGATTATAATGCATGTGTTTCTTATTGACATAAAAGTCTTGCTCTCCTGCTCACCTCGTGTGGGAAGGTTACAACTAATGCAATTGTCTGACAAAAATAATGTTAATCATCCGAAACTACTGGTTAAAAATATCCATAAATATGAACTAAAAAATCGATAGTATTCTACGCATATCTCAAATACGTTCACCTCTCTTCAGTTTGCTCAGTTTATTGCACGTTCTTTTTATTTTAAATGAGGTGAGATGTTCAGACCAACCTCAGCTGAGTGAGATTTGTTATCATTTTCGGCTTTAACGACAGGCCGTAATTACAAAGGCGCATTCCTAAATCGAATTAAAGTAGAAAAGATAACGAAAAATGGTTTCCATGAAACAGTGTGACAAAGATTTAAAAAAATTGGTTTTAGACAGAGTAAAAATAATAGCAAAAATGTTACACAAAGTAAAAAATATACTTATAACAAAAGAAGAACATTACCTAAAAACGATCAGAGTTGATTTCATCTTATTTTAAGAATTTTTCGACATGTAAGGAAGTTGTTATTTTTTCCTTGAAAACGAGATCGGATATGAAGGGAAATCAAGAGACAAAAAAATTGTGATTTTATCTACTTAATCCGAAAAAATGTCCATGAGACAACAAAGATCTTTGAGATATTAATAAAAGAGATTTTTGTTGAAACTTTGAGGTACTGTTACGGTCTGCGGGTGGTTCTGATGTGGCTGTAACGGCATATCATGTACACTCAAAAGTTAAGGTACGGTTTAATATTCTGGGGAAATTCCACAGACATTGACAGAATTTTAATACTTCAAAAACGATGTATTAGAAGTAGATTCAGTATGCAACATGATGAAAGCTGTAAACCGATATTCATAAAAACTAAACTATTAACTGTGATTAGTATGTATATACTAGATTCATTTTGTTTGTATCCAATAACAAAGATCTTTTTGATAACTTATCAAGCAGCCATCAATATGAAACGAGGCATAAAGCCGATCTGCTGCCTGAAAAATGTAATTATAGTTATATACAAAAGAATGTACAATATATGATTGTTAAAATATACAAGGCGACTTCGAAGTTGAGTCATTTATTTTAACAGTGAGTAGATCTGATCAAAAGAAATTGTTTATTAATTAAAGTAACAAAGTTATAGCCCTTTAGAAGTTTGAGTACCGCCCTGTCTCAATAATAATATTATGTGCTCGTGTTTGGCAACAACGGATATAATCCGCCTTATCGGTTCATCGCATCGGAAACATAAAAGCGAAAGAATTTGAAACGCTTATCACGATGTTTTTACTACAATTTTATTCAGTTGTATTCAGTCAATGTGTCAGTCGGTAACGCGTGAGTGAATAGTGGTGTTTATTGCGTGGCTCAAACGAAATACAAAATGGCACATGTTTACGAAAATGCTGAACTTGTGGACGTGATTCTTATTTACGGGGGGGAGTCTTTACAAAATGCTGCCGCGGCATCACAGATTTATGCGGATCGGTTTCCCAATCGAGTGCAACCAACCCCTCGTGCCTTTGTTAATGTAGTACA